TTCCATCTCATTTATTTTTGGGGTATTATTTTTGTCTGAGGCAGCCTTGCTTGTCAAACTGGATCACTTGCCAGCTCTCAAGATGATATTCTATGCAATCTCTCTAGGTAACCTTTAATATTATTTTGCACATAACTGGCAGTATGCACTTAGCTTTTCAGAGCATCTTGGGGTAAGCTGATTTATAACGTTGACACCTTACCATTTTAAATAAGAGACACAGATTTAAAAAGAAAAACCAAAAAAACATGTTACCGATGACAGTGGCAAATAGTTCAGATTTTTTTTTTTATTTTTTTTTAATAATTGTTTCATTCAAGCTCAAGTCTGGATCAAGTTCATGCCCGTTCGAGGTCTGAAATACAAAATCTGGACATTTTTGAATTCCATCAACAATGCCCGGATTTTGCAGCCCGAACGGTCTAAATAAAAGGAATGGGGATACAGAGAGTAAACGTTTAATTTTATATTCGAGATAACCTCTGATACGTTGAGCTGCCATACAATCTACAATACAATACAATTCATACAATGGTACCACTCATGTACACAAAATGTAGTAAGTGCATTTATTTTTCTATATTCTCTATTAAAAGATATACCACACCATATACATCTCCATAGTCCTAGCCCTTTTCTCGTCTGACAACAGTTCAAGGTGCTACTCCTATTTCCTATTGTAAATACAATCTATGTTCGATCCAGTCCAGGTTTGTCATAAACTCGCAGAGGTTTGTTTTTTCTATTTTCTTCTTTTTTTTTTTTTGCCATTATCAAAGTGGTACTGTTACTGGAAATCTATATCCATAAATCAATTTAAAATAATAATTGACTCATATAATTAAACTATAGTAAGTTTGGCTAAGGTTCAACACTTGACGATCTGACAGTTTATCAGCATGGAGGCGGCCATCTTGAAATTGCATCAACATTTTCAAATCCAGAATGACATTTAATCAGGGAGGTTTACCCATAGGAAGACCCTTGGTGGCCGTCTAGGGTCCAGTGGTTAGACAGGAGCCTCGAAACCATGAATTTGCTTGGCCCCATTAACCTTTCCTATGTGAAGAATAAAGGGACAGCCCTCAAATAGTACGCTGCCTCGGGGGCCCATGGGATCTTGACCCTTCTAGAAAAACAAGGCAGCAAAGAGCTGGGGAGGTAGATACAGTGCTAGTGTCATGGCTGCTCTCCAGTCGTGAAGTTTTTAGAAGAGGCAGGAGGCATTCTGGAAGAGGTGACCAATATCGTTTTTATACCAAGTACAAATAAACCAGCGCAGCATGCAGAGCCATACGTTTTCTGGGACCCTGTGAACAATCACAGGAAGGGAGGAGAAGGCACGGGAAGGGGCATGTTACGTGGATGCTTCGCTATGCGGCGACCTTTGCTGCTTCTCATTGCAGCCCCGTCTCTAGCTGTAAGCATGGCTATAACGAGAAAATTCACGAACATGAGAACACCTTGTGCACCCTCTGTAGCTCACCTCTGGAAATCCCTGATTCATTACAGTATAACCTAAAATCCTGAAAATAACAGTTATTTTTGGGGGGCTATAGGTTCCCTTCTGTCCACCCATTTTGGTTTAAAAAAATTAAAGTTAACTAATAATTACTAACTTTGTTTCCAGCGCTGTAGCCGCCCACCCCACCATCAAAAATGTCACCTTGCTTGCTGACATCTTCCACGTAGAGAAGCACTGGATTGGAAATAGGTTTATGTGTCCAAACGAGTTTTCATTTGTTCTGCCAATAGAGATGTATTTAACCCTGCAATGAAACCATTGCTATTTCTACAATACTGCAATATTTTATATCGCAGGGTTACAATAACAGGACCACTTCACCCAGACCATTAAGATTAAACATATCAGTTTTGGCATTAGATCTCATACTAGACAGAGGGTGCTGGGGGACCCAGGTAAAATCTGTATAAGTACTTACTATTAAACGGTGCCATAAGGACTACAGTGTATTGTAGTCATGGTGCCTAGACTGACCCTTTAAATATTGTGCTGTTGAAATTAATTTCCCTTATGGTTTCCTTCACATTAAGCAGTGGGCAGCTAGCCAAGTTATAGGTTGTATATCATTGTGGCAACAAGGGTGTGTTATTAATACACTGCCTGCAAAGTCATTGCCTATAATAAATTTGTTAAGACATTTACTTTTAATTTGCTTATTGAATAACATTTGGCTTAAAGTAATTCACATTCTTGGTAATACAAATTGAAATGCTGACATTTTTTTTTCTGTTTTTTTATTTTAAAAAGAAATGCACTATAACCATTTCATCTCATCAAATTGGTTTTAGTGCCTGGAGTCTCCGGGCACTGTCCCTTTATTCAGTGTTACATTTTTATTTCAACACTGAATGAGGGTGCCTGGCCACCCGTAGCCCCGCACGAACGAGAGAGGTTACACACTTCCTTCTAGTCGATCAATACCAAGAATGGGCGCTGTGATAGGCTGAAAGCCATCAGCTGACACTTTCAACCAGTCACAGCCACCCATTGCTGGTCAGGCTAATACTTCCTGGTTAGCCCAGGCAACACTAAGGGGATGGGCTACTGGGGACTCTTATTTACCATGAAAAAAATTTAAAACGGTTTAACGCTGCATGGCGCCAGGTGACACTCCAGACACTATAACCATTTCATTGAGATGAAGAAGTTGCAGTGCACCTTTAAGTCTTTCTGAATCCTTGCTCCATATGATGCACCAGTATATTAAATAGACGTTCATCTTCTGTTTAATATTGAAACTTTCTTTGAAGTCATCTTATTTTATATCGTTCAAAGTTATTCCTTGGTTAAATTGGTTGCAGACCTCTGGCCTAAAAGCTCTGGAGAGAGTTAGAAGAATATATGTGACTTTTTACCAAATGTGTGAGGATTCACTTTTAGGCACTGAGAATTAGACAGCAGATATTTAAATTGTACAATGTGAATTAGACAGGAGACATTTAAATTGTACAATGTGAATTAGACAGCAGACATTTAAATTGGACAATGTGAATTAGACAGGAGACATTTAAATTGGACAATGTGAATTAGACAGCAGATATTTAAATTGGACAATGTGAATTAGACAGCAGATATTTAAATTGGACAATGTGAATTAGACAGCAGATATTTAAATTGGACAATGTGAATTAGACGGCAGATATTTAAATTGGACAATGTGAATTAGACAGCAGATATTTAAATTGGACAATTTGAATTAGATGGCAGATATTTAAATTGGAAGGTTTAATTTCATCTCTGTTTTATTCATTTGCTAACGTAACCTTTGCAATTTCAAGCCAGGAGGTTTTTTATAATAATATTAATAATAATCATTATATTTACATATCTATAATTGCAACTGCAATTTCCTATGATCTACTTTATTCCCTATTTTAACAAATGTAATTCTGATGTTTAGAAATGTAAACAAAATGCAAGAAATCACATGCTGTATTTATGACTATCCTGGAACTGAGCTGATTCTCCCCACACAGCCCTCCTCCTGCCCCCTGGCCCACACAATGCTGCAGACTAGTTGTCTGGCCAAATCCTGCTCTTCTCATCGAGTTGCTGTTAATCTGATATTGTCATCCAAAACCTGAGAGCTGCTTGAATCCAGCAGTGTGACTCTGATGGACAAGATCACACTCGGCATCTGGAAACAGACTACACCAATACCAGACATCTGTTACCCAAATGCATAATATTCATATGGTTATAATGAAGCGGGCTGGTTGTCAAAGAAAAGAGCATCAGCCCTGGAGCTATTTAAAGGGGCTGTACAAACACCATAAGCACTACAATCTGATGTAGTAGTTATGGTGCCATCAGGCTGCAAGCATCATCTGCCAGTTCTGTAAATTTGAAATGCAATATCCATAGTAAAAATATGCTCAAGAGTAGCTAAGAAAAAAAGTAAAAAAGCAGAGTATAATTATTTGAATATACTGCACCATGTTTTTGTGGTTTATATTTACAGAATTGTATCAAATTAACATCCGTAAGGTAACATGGAGGCCAAAAAAGCCACGCTGCGGCTATAGTTTACGTAGAAATTTTATTTTTCTTCCAGATCAGCTATTTTAGCCTCCGTCGTATCATTTGGATTTTAATTTGCTACAATTTGGAGTTCAGTAAATAAAATATTCTAGTTTTTCTTTTACCATCACCCTCATTTTTACCGCTTCTGTTTCTGCATTACCCTTACCACCTACATTTGATATTCATTATAAACTAAAAACAAGATGTATGAACACAAATAATAAAAAAAGGCAAATACCAAACACTATATTTTGTATAAAGAATCTGTGTTACAATGCTCAAATTCTACACAATGAAAAAGTAATGATGGCATTGTCTGATATATATACGTACTACCGTTATCTTTTGAGCCACTTTACCCCACTCTAGAATGTAAGCTCTTTGGAGCGGGACCCCCAACACTCTTTGTTACTGTGCGTCCAACTCGTCTTGTTGCAAATACATGTCTGTTAGCCCACTTATAGTACAGCGCTACGGAATGTGTTGTTGCTTTATAAATAACAATAATAATAATAATATATATTAGTGCAATTCTTCTAGTGGCAGGATAACAATTTCATGCACATACAAACACACCTTCTTTGTATTTCTATTAAGAGCTTCATATAAAATATAAAAACCATATACAGTAATGTTACATTTTTTATCCAGCATCCCATTAACCCCTCCAAGGATGCTCTCCCTGCAATGCACAGCAGGCTCCCAGCAGTGGAAAGGTAGCAGAGGGTGGGTGGGGGAGAGGGGGGGGGGCTTGCTATGGTAAACGCTCGGCTGTGATTGGCCGCTCGCGGGGATGACGTGGAGGTGGAACTAGTGGAAACTACACAAGCCATTTCCACCTGCGTATCGGTCCAGTGGTCGTGGCGCCCTGTGGGAGACACTGCAGCAGTGACCGCTCCCTCCCTCCCTCCGTCCGTCCTCCTCCTCGGCCAGCACGCTCAGCCCGGCCGCCATGGCTGCTAATCCGGGGGGTGTCAGCCCTCAGCAGGAGGGAGCTGCGGCAGGAGCCGCCTGGAGCTCGCCGGACCCGAGAGGGACCTTCAGGGCTCAGCCAGCGCAGCATCCTCCCGTTACCATGGAGACAGCATCCACAGGTAGAGTGGTACCCAGGGAGGCAGCCCCATCACATCCTGCATCCCCTATATAGCATCCCCCCAGCGGCAGCCTGTGTGCTGGGGAACTCATCACAAGTCAACACAATTAACACAACACTGAGATAATACACTAAAGAAACAAAACACAAAAAAAATATTATTGGGTTTATAAAATAGGGGGGTTTCCTCACTCTCCCTCTGGGTTTAGTTCGGCTCCATGGTGGCAGTGTTGTTGATGTTGTACATTTCTAAATGATCAGTATTTATTTTATTTATATATATATATTTTGGAGGGAAAGTAGGGTGCAATGCTTTGTGGGTCACCTGTACATGTATATGTGGGGCCAGCAGTGTGTCTGCTAAGAAAACTACATGTGAATGGTTGATTTGCACAATTAAACATCTCTAGTATACATGTAGGAAAGTGACAGGTTCTTTTAGATTTTTTATTTAATTTATTTGTTTATTAGATGCATTGGAGCATGGTGGATGCGGTTTTCATGTTGGATCATAATTAGTCACACCCACTTTCTCCTAATGATACAGGATTTGCCTCTATTTTTCAAGTTTTTTATTTTTATTTTCTAGTTTAAACAAGGCTTCCAAAACGACAAAAAAAAAATCCCTGAAAGACATTACAGCTCACACAAAATGCAGCTTGTCAAACTGTCAGATCTATTGCCTTGTACTGTCAATCTCATCTAGTAGATAATTTAGGTAATTTTAGTCCAAATATAGTTTAGCAATTCAGGGTTCTCGCTCAAAACCCCCCACATCTAAGTCTCAAGAGATTTGTAATTGTATATAACTTGAGAAAATAAAACCTCATATCGATCTAATGCTTGAACGCATACAGCTATTCTCTAAAAGTAAGATATATGTGTTCTTATTTCTGTAAAACACTTTAAAATAAAAAAAAATGGATGTCTTTGGAAAACTCAATATTTGTATAATAGAAGTATTGTTTTTTTTTCTTAGGAAGAAGTCTAATAAATCTGTACTGCTCTTTAACCCCTTAAGGACCAAACTTCTGGAATAAAAGGGAATCGTGACATGTCAGACATGTCATGTGTCCTTAAGGGGTTAATCAGTACTGCCACACAGACAGTTCTCTGTTAAATGTAAATAAAGGAATTCAGTTCTAATAGTTAAACCTTTCAAAATAAGTACAAACAGCAAAGTGATTAACGTTATCTGTTAATTGCTTTAATGCCCCTTTCATTTTATATAGTAAGGTTATTCTCTAAACAGCGATCTGGGGTGAGTTGACACTTTCAGACCGACCTAATGAGATTAGAAAACTAATTTGGCTGAGAGTTTAGTCTGTTATTTCTCCAGAGCCCACAGTGCTTAGTGAGTACACTTTAGTGTGCTTGATGCATGTTGTCTACAATCTATTTCATTTAGACATTGCCTGGAAAATTGTATTGCACTTAAATATAGCACACGGGTCACTAAACAACCTTTAATGCCATGGTTTAAATTCAATGAGCAGCTACAAAGTGACCTATATATAGACATGAATACTCTATATACAACTGGCAAAATGGATATAGAGAGACACGGATTAGAGGCATATATATGGAGCTACAACAAGCAGAGAGACGTTGGATACACTGAGAAGGTCTTCTGAATGTGGCATAATACAGAAATATAGATGCTCTATTCATAGTAACACTTTACAGAGAAATGGCACTATGCACATGTTGAACATTATATATGTAAACGCAGATACACTATAGACAGAGACACTACATACAGACTAATAATACAGAGGCCCAGATACATGTAGCAGTGGGACACTATACAGAGACAAAGGTGGTCTCCCTGTATTCAGAGCGACATTGTACAGACACCAGGCACATAATCAGAGATGGAGCAAAAGCCACTCTGATTGACATACTACAAAGATTGACAGACTGAAGACACACACATTGATCGATACATGGAATGCGCCTTTTGGACAAGTTAAGGACTAGCTTCACATTATATTTACTATAGTATTAATGCTTATAATGTTCTCACTACAGCACCTTCCACAAGAGCTTTGCTATTTTTTAATTTACTTTGCAGATTGCTACATTTATCATCTGAAAGATTAAGATTTATTAAATGCTAATCACAATGATTTATATAAACAGTGCTAGATGCTAATAATTTGCCATTCTGATATGTATATTTAAAATAACATATAGTTGTATGCTGCATTGATAGTGTCCCAATGGCTTACACCTGTGTTAACATAGGTAAAATATGTTGTTCTGTTCTGTACTGTACGGCAGTGATGTAAAATGTCTGCCCCTCTCCCTCCGGATATCGTTGGCCTACAAATCCCAGAAGTCTTTGAATGTAGTAGATGGCCAGAGTTTGAGATATCTGCTGTTGGGTTAACAATTGCATAAGGGACAGTTGGACCCATTTATGTAGAATTAGGTAAAAAGAGGAAATTTGTATTATCAGCCTGTGCACAGATATTACCCGAAAAGAAAGAATCAGACTTAAGATACCAATAATGAGAACAGTCATAAATATGTCAAAATGCTTGTGCTGGCAGTAACAGAGCGATAATCATTGAACAAGCCAAGTAAGCAAAGCCAAAAGCCATAAATCTTTAGAGTAAATACAGGCCAGGTCAGAGCATGTGAACTATATGGAATCATCATGGGCCTGTATGTTTCTATTTGCACTACAAAAATAAAGAATTATAAAAAAACAAAAAACTTTATTGAATTGGTCACATGCGCAACAACCACACAAGTCCACAGAGCATTGGAGTCACCAGTCTCGCCACTGGCACTCCATTAAGAAAATCTGTATTAAAGATACACTCCACACAGCTGGAAAAGTGGCCACGGACACCATAAATTGCTTAGACTAGTGGCTATGGAAAGAGTGTTTGCGTGGCGTCTCATTTGTTTTTGTCAGACCATTTTTGAGAAGTGTGACAAAAGCTCTCCTGGCCATCAGCTGCCATTAAAGAGATGTAAAATATTTCCATCCACATTCCCTATACACAGCAGCCAGCCCTTGGACTATAAATATGTAAGCTTCTATCTTAATAACAAGTTCCTACGCACATAGATATTCTATTCTACATTTTGGAACTCTGTGACCCCTCTCACCAGAGAACCCCTTCCACTACATAATATATCAATACTCCCTCTTTCTCTCAAAGCTACACTTAGTTCAAATGGGTGTCATTTGCAACTGGAGAGCCTTACTTCCCCACCTCTTTAATTCTTTATGGATACAATGTGTGAAAATTCTGCAAAATATTAATTCATTGAATTTTGTTTCTGCAAATCGCTAAGATTCCCTGAGTTTCCCCATTTTGTCATAGTCCTACCATTGCTTACAGTAGGAGTACTGTGCAGATCCAATTAATTAAATTGCTCAAAAAGTAATAACGGCTGTTGCTCAGCCTCTATTAGTTTTATGTTGTTTTCATGAATTCCTTCTATGGCTTAGTAATAGCAAAGTTATTAAAGCTGAAGAATTTCACCGAGTCCTTGTTAGCTCTTTAGATCCAAACAAAGTTTAATGCTCACTCTGAAGTGGTTTTAAAATTGGCTTTAGAAAGGATAATAAAATGCCTTCCTGACTCCAAAATGCCAAATGAATTTATTATAATGACTATTTAAACTTTTTATATTCTGAAAATGCATGTAGGTCTCTTTTAAACGGATCTATGACATTTGACATCATGACTTTTCTAGGAAGTGAATTCTGTATCTTTATTTTATTTAATGAGAAAAAAACCCAACTTTCCTCCTTCTTAAAGTCTAAACTAGTGCCTTGGTTCTAATCTTTAATGGCCATGTCACTAGAAAGGTGTATTAGTTCTGTATATATTTCATAATGTTACTATAACCTTCAAAGACAACTTCGCTAGCTTCTCTTTATAACAGGAATCTCCCATGACCTTTTCCGCCTCCATAATTATGCGTTTGTTAACTGGTGCTTGTTTCCCCTATTTCTTAGTCATTCTGATTCCATAACATCCAGAGTACGATTAGGGTGATGCTAGGCAGCTGCCTAGGGCCCAGGGGGTAGGCACGGGCCCCAGAACAATGTATTTGCATAACTCCATTAACCATCCTTATGTAAAGAATGAAGCAGGGCCCGAACTAGTAGCTTGCCCCAGGGCCTCATGAGATCTTAATACTCTCTGCTGACATCAGCCTGATTACGTACCATGTTTACCATATTGGGAGGACCAATAGTACGCTGTGCTATTCTTTTAGCTCTGTTTCGACTCTCTATCAGGCCGTGTGGAGTACAGCTTATGGGGAACATCTGATGCCAAACGTTACGCTATGTTGTGGGGTTGTTTGCATACTGATCCAAAATTGATGTTCTTTTCCAGATACATATTTACATATAAACCCAATATTTCAAAGTGTAGATTTTAACAACCCATGGCAATAAGAGGGAGGTCAGTACCCACCTTGAATCTTTGTTAATAGTGCGATATGTATGAGTAGGTGTCATGTCTCCTTGTGGATCCAGCATAGTTGCTTTCAAATATTTTAAAGTTGCCTATTTTAATTTTATTTGACTTTGAATGTTTTGTATCCCCAGCTCGCACATGTTTCAGGATGAAAGGAACACTCTGTCACCGTAACAACTTAATCTAAATGAAGTTGTTATGGTGTCAGGATGCCACTTAATTGATTAAAATGTCCTTGAACAGATTAACCAGAACAGTTGCCTTCAGTGCTGGTTCTGCAATTCTCCCAGGCCGCATCTGACTTCTGAAATTGAATAGGGGTGCCCTGAGTGGTCAGCTGACGCTCTAATATGAATGTGGAGATACTGATTGGCAAATCAGTGACACCCCGGCCCGCAGGCACTCCATGCTTTGTTTAAAAACAAGAAAAAAATAGAGGGTCAAAACAAGTGAAATTTAAAAGAGAAACCTGCATAGCGACAGGGCCGCTTTAAGTACTACCATATGCAAGGTTCTGTGATGGCCATCATTACACAGTATAATATTCAGTACATTTTATTTTAGCACTTTGCTAAGGTTGCATTGTGAATATATCAACGGCTGATGGTGTTTACTATATGACTTAATGATGATTACTTTTGTTCATAATGCTTATCATTAATTAAAGTAACGCTAAATATCATTAACCTGAAAATGATTTTGCATGGTACGCGGCTTTATATTTCCTCAACTCAATTATGTGCAACATATTTTATTTTAATATGAGCTGATATAAATTAGTATGATCACGTCACAAGCCCATAACATAAAATCCCAGTGTCTCTGTTTTAGCACAAACGCTCATTCACACTTTGGCTTTGATTTTATATTTGTGGATAAGCTTTTTAAATTATCACAATCCGTGTGAAAAACGTTTCATATGATTTATCTACAGAAGTCACTAAGTGACGATGACCTGCAAAACTTAGGCCCAAACAGCTGATATCTAATTCAGCTGAGATGGGATGGATGGCCTAAATTTTACAAGTTTGATGTCTGTGCAACATAGCTTGCTGTTAAGAGAATACAAGGCAGACTGACAATAATATTGTACCCAAATATTTTCAACGCCAAGCGTTTCTTTGTTACCCCAGTTCCACAATTCGTGAATCCTCCACTTCCTCTGGCAAGTGACTGGAATATTTTTCTGCATGAAAAATACATGTAATATGTGCATGTTGTGTTTTAACCCTCAACAGTTGTAAATTCCATCTATGAAAGTCCTGCATTATTTGTATGCATAAATTATTTACTGTTCTCACAGTAATTGCTTTTTTAAACTCCGTACCATATCCCCTGTAGACTCCTTGACTTAGAAAATGCCTGCGCCAGATTTGGGTGTATCTTATTACCCTTGCAGTGGGTGTGGGTTGGAAAAAATGCTAAATTTATGGTGACCAAGCTACCATTTTAATTAAAGATGATTGAGTACTACAAGAAAGCACCGATTTTAATGCAACATAGAATTTACTATAATTACCTCTAAGAAAATGAAATATGATTGCACTAGTTATGAAACAATGATCGCTGCACACTCTTAAAGAAACACTCCAAGCACCATAATCACGACAGCTGGAAACTGGCACCCTGCAGCCCCCAGGTTTGTTGTCAATTTATTGGCAAATATTTTGACTATTTACACGGGAGGCGCCAGAGCACTCCTGGCACTATAACCACTGCACTGTGTTGTAGTAGTTATGGTGTTTGAAGTGTTCCTTGAGATTTAATATTGAAGATCGGTAATCCCACAAGACGGTTCTCATTTTTCTAATTTCCATCCAATCAAATATTTAAAGTAAACCTTTCATCCAATAACCTTGTTGACAAGGTCAACTTTTGGGTAGGCATTACAATACAATTTATATGTTGCGTCGGCTAAATCATTATTGATACCCTTACCTGAAATATTGTTCCTCGTCCAAGATGGCCAGCAGTGGATATAAACAAGTGCGTGGGCATTTCCATCATTTACTAGTGATGAGCTCCAGAAAAGTCCAGACTGACTCACACATGGTTAAATGGTGGTCTGCATCAAAGCCCAAGGACTTTACCTGTAAATGGAGGTGAATGTTAAAGGAACACTATAGTGCCAGGAATTCAAATGTGTAATCATGACACTATAGGTCTAAATAGCTGTTTAGCCTCCCAGTCCCCCATACTTCCCTCCCCCCTTGGCTGATCTCATCAATCTTGATAATCTCATCCAATCCACTGCTTTCTCATAGGAAAGCATTTGGAGGCTATCACGCATGCATGACAAAACGCAACGCTGCACCAAGCAGCATCTCCTCATAGATATCACTGCATCTCTGTGGGGAACGTTCAACACCTCCGTGCAGAGCGTTACACTTTGTGCAGCACTAGCCCAGGAAGCATGTCTAGTGAACGTCTCAGTGACGGCCACTGGAGGTGTCCCTACGCAGTAATGTAAACACTACCTTTTCTCTGAAAAGGCAGTGTTTATATTAAAATGCCTGTAGGTACTGACTACACTGAACAGAACAACTAAATTAAGCTGTAAGTATTCTGGTGACTGTAGTGTCCCTTTAAATGAGCACTAAATTCAGCCAGACCATTTTATCTCAATTAAGTTATCTTCTGGGTGCAGTAGCTGTGTCCTTTTAACCCGGTAATGTAAGACACTGCAGATTCTTAGGAATGGTCCTTTATGAAGAGCATTGGATCATACCATTGTGGCACACGGGGGCAGAACCTACATAGAACTCTGGACAGGGCCACTGGAGGTGTCCCTACGCAGTAATGTAAACACTACCTTTTCTCTGAACACTAGGAATACTGAGTGCCCCTTTAAGGGGAACAATTCAATAAGGCGGTGTTAAAACAAACCGTTTGAAGTTTACAAACACAATGAGACCTGTATTCTATGAATAGATCCAAACATGTTGAACTAAGTGGTTCATGCTCACTACAAATCACAGTTTATGGTACCACCAGTTATTTCAAGTTAATGGTGGTCATCCCACACTTTGTTCAAATACAAATGAGTAAAGAGGAAATATTGCAGAGGAACACTATATTATTTATTCTATTGATATTCATGTACATGCACACATTTTAAACCATAGTACTGATAATACTAGTCTCTTAGTGAATAGGATGTAGTTTCTCTCCTTAGCTATGTTCTGACCCATCACATTTCTCAGCATCTGTAATCCCTATCGGGTCTCATCCAGGTTCTGGTAGTACAGTATCACCAGATAGCCAGTCCTACAGTGTGTTTTGCATTATGATATAATCTCAGCCTGGAGGATACGCTACTCAATAATTATGGGACCTCTCTATAATTCTTACACTTAATATATACGCAAATGAGTACGTTGGATGGCTGAGGACATGATCGTGGAGATCCACCACTCAGATGGATGATGCAGATCTCAGAATTTGGAAGGAGCTTTGCAGTCACTGTCACCTTTTAGTACAATGTCTGAATTCATCATTTGTGTATTTTAGTTTTGCATTATCTTGATGTCATTACTAGCATGATGTCATCAGTGAATCTGGATGTCAGATATGTATTTGTCTTTAAAACAGGAATTCATAAGTACTTTATTGTTGTTTTCTGTAAATACAATTTAAAACAAGTAAAATTGTTACAAATATTGCATTATACATCCCACATCCTGACAAATAATTGCAATTTGTAACAGTATATTATAGACATTTATAGATCAGATACAATATAATTCACAAGGAAAGAATATTTTAGAGTAGAGTTTATCAGTTATACATTGATTTATTCCTTTACAACCAGTTTGTTTTAACACTACTTGCTTTATTACTACTTTTGCGTTTTCTCCATAAAGTTACTGCATTTTTTTTTTTTACCTTTGCACTTGGGGCAGAGTTACAATAAAAAAAAAAAAGTACAAATTTGTGAACAACAAAAAATGTACTTTTTACATAACCTGACGTTTTTCTACAGTTAACCACCTCACAGCTGATACACTGGTGTTTTTATTTCAATGGACATCCAAATTACAAAATATAAGGCAAAATAGCTAAGTTTGGAAAAAATATCTAACCATTTAATGGTCAGTTCTTGTACTTTTCATTTTGCATTCTTCAAATGTCACGTAAAATGCTCATTTTCTTTTACTATTACTGACTTCAGTCTTTTTCACAAAACGTTTTATTCTCAGTTCCTCATAAGCCCTTGTTCCTAATTTCTCATTAAACCCTTACCCATTTACGTCAAAGAACTAGAAATCTGTCGTTGTACTTTTCAGCTAGCCTCTATACAAGGTGCACCTTTATTGATAGGTTATCACTAGAGATGTCGTGAACCGTCCGAACTTCTCGCGAACGGTTCGTCACGAGCTGTTCGCGGCGAACTCCGGTCAGCTGACACGTCCCGGCCAATCTCCAGCAGACCCTCCCTCCCAGACCCTCCTACTTCCTGGACAGCATCCATGTTGAAACCGCGGCGAACCGTTCGCGAGAAGTTTGCGGACGGTTCGCAACATCTCTAGTTATCACCAAAATGTCTGGCTAATTCTACTTTAATATGTCAACTAAAAAAATTAATGTCAAATAGTAAACTTAGGAAACCTTGGGATTTATTCACTAAACAAGGAAATGTAGTAAATGGCAACATTTTTACATTAAATTTGATAAATTTGTACAACTTCTTTTTTTTTTTTTTTTTTTAATTTTTCGTTTTATTCATTTTTCAGAATTGAACAAAAACATTGGTAAAGCGAGATTACAGATGTGGTATTCTACAGTGTAGACAATACAGTAAAATGAACAATAGAGTTGTTTACAGAGTATCCATTACAATTGTAAGTTTGAAATGAGTATGAGGTTGTCAAAGTGGCTTAGGTGGTTAATTGACGCGTTTCGCCTTCAAACAATGAAGAAAGAAAAAGCCTCGGTGCAACTCATTAGTGGAAAAGCAACACAAAGCAATCTATGGTATGTATTATACCTCATATGGTGGACGGAATAAGTCGTTTTCAACACTAGTGTACATTCCTGAGATTTTTTTATTTTTTATTGGTTGTTGGATAGGAGGACCAAGTCTCTAAGAGTTGGAAAGGGAATAGAGGCAGGTTGGGGGTGAGGTTAGAACTATTTCCTTGAAGGGAGAGTAGTCAAACTGTCTAGCCGGCTAGCCTGCCACCGACTAGTTGCTCTCCAGTAGTACATGAAATGTGGGCTTTTGCCATGGGGTAAGGTGCTGGAAGTTATAATTGTCTAGGACTGAAAGGATTTACTGTTTACAAAGTTGTTCCATGGCTCCCAAATGGTCTCAAATTGTCCCTTTTTCCCTTGCTTTGCTAGTGTAATTTCTTCCATTAATTTAATGGATTCAGCTCTCGATATCCATTCCCTGATTGAGGGAGGAGTAGGCTGTTTCCAGTATTTAGGTATCAATTGTGAGGCTGCCATAGCAAGGTGACGGAACAATGCTGTCTCCTGTTTCGTGAATTCTTGCGGGGAGAGGAGGAAAATGTATTGGTCGGGGGTACATGGGAAGGATTTGTGGAATATCATCTGAATGAACGAGTGTATTCTATTCCAGTACTTGGAAATTGTTGGGCAATGCCACCAAATATGTGAGTGGTGAGCATTTGGGGCGGTGCACCTGCAGCATCTGTCTGGTGATGTGTTGTAAAATTGGTGGAGTTTAGTAGGCGTGTTATGCCATCGAGTTAAACGTTTAAAGTTACATTCCTGGGCGTGGACCGAGACCGAGGATTTGTGTGTAGTAATGAAGATGTTTCGCCATTGTTGATTGGTAAAATTGATTTTCAGTTCATCTGACCACTTCAGAATGTAGCTAGGGGGATTTTGCGTGAGCGCATCTCTGAGTATAGAGTGAAGAGAGGAAAGGATTCTTTTTTTTTGGTGTTAGTGAAGTGCATATTTGTTCGAACTTGGTAAGGGGTCTGTCGCCTTTTGGAAGTAGTGTCTGGGTTTTGATGAAGTGTTTCATCTGGTTATAGTAGAAATGTTGGTTCCCTGTGTGAGATTTGGAGGAGGTGAGTTCTTGTAAAGGTTTAAGTTTGCCCTTGCTTAGTGCATCCATCAGTTTCAAGAACGGGCCCTCATATTGTAAGCCGAATTGTTTCCCTGATGTTCCCTGGTGTAGGTGAGAGTTGAGAGTTAAGAGTTAAGGGGTATAAAGTTGATGAGAAAGGTGATATATCTGTTTTTGCCCTCAGTTTAAACCAGATGTTAAGTGTCGTGGATATCGTTGGGTGTTTGCTTGTTAGACCTGTGTATTGGATGGCTTGGTGAAAATTTGTACAACTTCTGTAGCCTCAATTTTGCCATTCACATTTTTAATTTGGAGTTTAGTGGATATACCAAATGTGCATACTGTTACGCGAATGGATGGCTAGCGGTAGGTTGAGTACATCGGTTGACGCTCACAGCCAATTAGTGGCATCCAATGCTTCCCCTCTCTGCTGCGTAAATTGGCAGATCAGCGAAGGGGAAAATCCATGCGCATCCAGGGAGTACCTTAGGTGTTAAGCTGTTTGAAAATGGTTTATCACATTCAAGGAACACTCCACACACCTATAGCTTGCTGAAATACTTTATGTGTGAAGAGTGTGTCCTTTTTTTAAATTTTACAAAAAAAAATGCAGTTTTTAATAGAAATTGGCACTTTTTAAATTAATGTGATTGGACAACCATAGAAAGTCTGGGCGGGGGAAGAAAGGGTTGACTTGCAAAGGCTGCAGACAAGAGATCTGCAGCTTTTGCAAGCTGTTTTAGAAATATACCCCAATTAAAAAAATTAAATGCATTCATGTTTTCATAGGGTATATATCTACTAAGTTTCAGTGCATATATATTTTTTGTATTAGGGTAGCGGAACGTCCCTTTAATTTATAACGGCACCCAAGGACGTTGAGGGAAGAACGTCCTTTCAAAATGCTCTACTTCACTAGTGCCATCTCTCTTGGAACCCCAGGTTTGCATCAGCGTGATTCTTATATACAAATATGATTCCTGCGGGCAATCTCCCACTATTCCTGGGTGGCAGCAATGACTATGGTACACATCAGTGCCAATGCATACTATAATAGTGTGATTCCTGCTTAGAAATTTTGTGAGATATTAATCAGATTTGAAAAATTATTACAGTTATTAAATTCAAGAAGTTACATATAACCCCAAAAGGCTGTTTATTAATATTACTAATACTGTATAAGCAGTACCATGTGTAGCATTCTCTCCTTGGCTATGACATGCCTTACTAAGTTTCAAAAAGTGAATATTTTGTGTACCCACTTCTCCCAGTTTGATTTTAAATTACTTTAGGGAGCTGAGTAATTGGATAACTGTCCTCGATATATTTTGTCATTGTCATGGGACCTAACATAAATACATTCAGTAAGATAGAACTTGGTTTGGCACATTTGCCATTAGCAATTTTCATTTCAGTAGTGTCTGAAGATGTGCGTGGAATAATAGTTTATTTAAAATGTACACGCTAATATAGATTTTGCATCAGGCTTCTCCCTTGTAGAAGTAGCAGCACTTGAATTGATTGTAGGAATGGGTCGATACCGCTGCATGCAACCTGCAATGTGAATTCATTTCTATGTATGTGATCATTGTATGGTTTATAATTTTATTAGATCCTTGCATTTTTTTTTGTGCTGATTTGCCATCATTTATCATTTGCACAGCCCATAAAAACATGAAGCCATATTCATGTTTTCATTATTCTGCTGCATAAACAATTTGACTGGTAGTTCCATCATAGCTGAATAAAGGCTTTCTGCCATGTCGGCCTTCTCAATAACACTGTAACGTCATATGAATTTAAAGGGACACCCCATGCCCCATTACCATCACCACAAAAACTGCAGCTTATTGTAGTGGCTGTAGTTCAGGACATCATTGTGTGCAGTCCCTCTTGCTTTTGTCAAATTTTTATTATTTTATTTTTTTTTACCTAAAAACATAGCTCTCCATTTAACAATCACAGCCTATTTTTGAAGGGACACTAGTCACCTGAACAACTTCAGCTTAATGAGGTTGTTCAGGTGAGAACTATGGCTCCCTGCAGCCTCTCATGTAAACACTGTGTTTTCTGAGAAAATACAGTGTTTACATTGAAAGCTAGGAACACTTCCAGTTGCAGTCACTCAGAGTGAACCAGAGGGACTTCGGAGTTGATGGAGGCATAATATGCCTCCATCCACTCAGATCTGCTGTCAGCAGAGCACAGGGCAGCACTGTGCACAGCATCCTGTGATTCAGTATCTCCTCCCTCTGCATGCAGACACTGAACCTTCCTCATAGAGATTCATTGATTCAATTCATCTCTATGAGGAGATGCTGATTGGCCAGGGCTGTGTTTGAATTGTGCTGGCTCTGCCCCTGATCTGCCTCTTTGTCAGTCTCAGCCAATCCTATGGGGAATCATTGTGATTGGATCAGGCTACCACATGTCAGCAGACTGCTTGTTTTTCTGAGTCTAACAGCATGCAGAGTTACAGCTTCAGGCTTGAATACAATACGATTTTTACTATATTTATGGAGGCATGAGGGGCCAAGGGGGGCTAGATGGTGGTGTTAACACTATAGGGTCAGGAATACATGTTTGTGTTCCTGATCCTATAGTGATCCTTTGAGTACCATTTAAAAAAGATAAACACTATTTTAGGGAATGGACATCCTAATACACATAAAATATAATGATTGAGCCCTGCAGGCCTTTATACACGCTACATAAAAACAAATCAGTATGTAGCCATACAATACTATGCGATTGGACGAGTCATTAAGAGATCATGTGATAGACTGTGCTCATGTGACCAGTGGTCATATGATCAAAACACAATTCATAAACACAACAAAAAATTGTTTTTCAATTAAATGCACAAATATATATAAAACAACAGTGGAAGAAAACTCCTCGAAACAAGTTACATAGTGAAAAGAGCGTTTTACTGTATATATTACATATGATCACAACTTGAAAATACGTGGAAAATGAATGTTGTCTCAGCAACATGCCCACATGTAGTCCCTACAGTAGAAGAACATATGTAGGTGTAAATTCATCTGAAAATGGATTAGCATGACAGTTCATAGGTTGATGTAACGCTATTGATGAACTAAACATCAAAATAAGATAATTGACCCACACAATCAAACTTGAATGTCAAAAATATAGATAATTTACTACAGGGTAAAAATAATTCGAAGAAAAAATGGAGAACAAACTCCCTATTAAGACCCTTCTGCTGTAAAGGATCAACGTGTAAATCCAAAATATATCTGGTTTCACCAGTACCTTAATTTAACCCTGTCACCTATCCTTCCTAGTGAAACATTCAATCATTTGAAGGTGCGGCTGTGAAATTGTAGGATATGTGAAATAAAGTGTTCAGGAACAGATGCATCACTTGTTTTGGCGTTCACGGTAAACTTGTGTTTTGTCAAGCAATGTTTTATTCTCATCAATGTTTTGTCCCTGCAGATTTATCCACATGGACGTTACAACACCGCTTGAGTAACATGTAAAATACCCATTGATTGTTTACAGCTAACCAGTCCTGGGATAACTTAATATATCACCTCTGCTGACAGAGTTACATGATCAGTGATTCAAGCATAGAAATGCACAGCTTACAGGCATAGATAGAACGCTTGGAGCTTATTCGCTGAGGGTCCAATATCAGCTCTGACCAAAAAAACATCCTATATGTTTCTCTGGCGTCTGTATAAACACAATGGGGGACTTCGGAATTCTGGATTATTTTGGGAGGCTTTCCTTAGAGAAAATGTGTGAAACTGTAATGATACTTACCAGTCCTCGCGGCGAACTGGAACCTCCGAGCAGGCCCTGTGCGCTGAACGAAATAACCAGAAATGAGAACACTTTCCGGCTCGGCATGGTCCATGCCAGTCGGGCTTCCCGGTCATGCATGTTCTCTGGTCACAGGCATGACGTAGAACAATCAAATCACACATAACAGTATTTAAACTCCTCTGACCCCACTTACTGTGCCCTATCGTAGTTTCTGTTCTCAGTACCTTTTATCGCATTCCTTGTCACATTGTGATAATTCTGGTATTGACCTTGGCTAAGTCATTGATTCAAAAGTTTCTCGGTAAGCTTTTCCTGGCTAGTTGATGTGTATGATATACCATTTTTCTTTTCCGCTGTGTCTCTGTTATCCTGACCTTGGCTTGTATTTGACTACGTTTCCTCTCTTTTTTACGCTAAGTCCGTTAACTCAAAGGACCGGTAATACGTCTATTGTATCCTGTATGTTTTTTTTAATCTTAGACTCTGCATGTTAGAGTAATTCCCAGTAACAGAAACATTATTACTAAACTCACTGTAGTTGCTGACAAGAGGTATCCTACATGAGCTCTGCCATATTGGTTTCAATCGATTTCTAAATATACGAAACCTCTCCACTATTTCTGCCCAGACAAAAGAAATGAACTGTAGAAGCTACATTTCAGCAACCCTCCAACAGCCAATTATAGGATAGTCCATGCAACACCATGGCGGGAGGAAAGGTGATCAAGACGACAAGCCTATGGAAAAGAACAAAGTCCTTTTTCCTTTCCCCAAAAAAGGAACCAAAACTTGCTATCCTAATAGGAAGAAAATCTAATGTCTGGATTCCTCGTAAAGTGAGATCATAAATCACAAAGCAACTGTACAAGCTGTGCACGGTACATCCTAATAGAATAAAAAGAATAGGGAAGAAATAATATATATCCAGAAATAGCAAGTAATCAGAACAACTGGTGCGCATAACTAAGACAAGAGAAAGCTAAACTAAGCAACAGTATTAAAGGCAGATGGATGGAGGTATGTCATCAATAACGGGTTACCAAACCTGAGCTAGAAGAGAAAAACTAATCAGCGATAATAACCAGAAAAAAAAGTATTTTAGGAGAAAGCTGATAATTACATCATGGATATGCCTCATGCTTATTTTCCGTGAATGGTCCCAAACCTCGTCTTCCCGTCCCAAACCTCGTCTTCCCGTGGGTGGACTGGTCCAAAATAGAGTGATGGCAAGTGGAAAATGCAGGTGGAAAAAACCCACACATTATCAGAGGGTTCTGTGGAAATAAATACTGATCTAAACAGCCGACAATAAGGAGTGAAACCTGGAGTCCCTGAGACACGTTCCCAAGTATGCTAAGGTTTAACCAATGTATATTAAAGTAGGAGGATCGTCATATTTTATCTGATAGTTCTGTTTATATTACGCAGAGTATAACCTAATGAATATCTGTTGTAATAAAAGCCTACATTTCTGACTCATTGGGGGCAGGAAAGAATGGATCCATTTCTACTCAAAAACATGTATTTTTTTTTTTACACACGAATACCCCCACAAACTAATAATTCAATGCTTATTTTAGCTATTTTAGCATTGACGCCAGTAGGGAGATTACAGGTAGACTGTTCAGTTCTATAATAGTTTTCTGTGAAGTCTTAAGATGCCTGTGGCCCAGTAAAGTTAAGATAAATGAGGCCATTTAAGTTTTAATTCTTCTGTAAAAGGACATCTCTCTCAATTTCCTGGCAGTCAGACTTGTTTTGTGAGATCGAAAGCAGTGGTGAGTACTCTCCACAGATCCCAGTATCAGCAGAACATGCCAACCTGGAGTCCCGATTTATTTCTGTATTCTAGATACAATAGATAACTGCTGCTTCAAGGAATCGGATTGCTGTCAATAAGGGTTTGAGGAAAGAAGAAATATATATCATTTTAACACTGCAGGCTTCAATTATTGAATTACTTCAATCACCATAACCACATCAGTGATTTAAAGTGGTAATGGTGCCTGGGTCTGTATATGCAGTATTTTGCTAGGAAACTTTGCACATACAGAGTTTTATCCACTCTGCTGTAACTCCACCTACAGCAGTTTCATTGGGTCGTCATTATCCAGCCCGGAACAAGAATTCTGGGCTGACTACTATTAATTCTGTGCATATTTAGGTCATATGACCAAGCAACGCAATCATGCAATTTATTATGGTTTTGAAACACCTTGCATCTCATCATATATTGTATCAGGCAAGTAATATTTGTTTTTATAATAAATGATGTTTTTTTTTTTTTTGTAAATATCTTATTTGTTTTTCATTTAGGTGTGTACATTGAGACTCGCAGGCCTCAGATTCACATGTATTCATATGACATAGGATTGCATTAGGTTTAGTTTACGTACAGGTTCGGCGGACACGCAGGTCCCATGCATTTTTGCTTTCATGAGTAAGAACCTTTTCAATATGACCTTTGGGGTGGGTCTCAGTCTGCGTTTTCCCTTCTAGAGATCTCGTTTTCTTCCCTTGGTAGTTTGGTGGGATAGAGCCCTCCCTTTCTGTCCCTATACATTTTATTTTGGGTTCGCAGACCCTATGCCCTCTAGGTACACACAGATCCTTGTGGTAACTCTGTTTTTGTGGGGTCTGTTAGGGTGGCTATTGCTGTGGTACCTGTGTGTTTTACTTTTGTATTCGGTCCCTCCCCCATCTTCTAGCCAGTATCTGCGTGTATTGTATGGTTTCTTTTGTGACCCTATCGGTCTATCGCTGAGTATGTATCTGGGGTATAGTAGGGCTAGCTGATCCCTTTGCTGGAAGTTCTATGTCGGTTTGGTCTCATTTCCCTTCACTTCCCTGTGTTTGTCAGACTCTGTTGTATGTTTCGGGCCTCTACGTTGTATTTTCCCTTAGTGTGTCTTTTTTAGTTGTGGTTTCATTTTCTGGTCTCTGTCGTGTCCTTTAGGTTGCAGTTTATAGGTATTAACATTGGGTGTGATGGGGGTGGGTGTTTTGTGTGGGGGGAGGGGTATTGGGTGTCCAGGATCTATCGTCTCCTATGTTCTGTATCATATTGGGTTCCGTAATCTTTTTTATAGGGTCCTATCTCTCTCTGTCAGTGTAATTGTTATGCCGGAGTCACTGTTGAAATTCCTCCTTTGCCGTCTCTAAGATCCAGTATGTCCATATGTCAGTATATGTCGTGGGGGTTACCGAAGCTGACATATTCAGCTCCTCTATAGATCTGAGCTCCTCCATCTGGTCGGACCAGACTTTAAGGGGGGGGGGGGGTTATCTTTTGTTTCCAGAATTGGGGAAGGAGTTGTTTGGCTACGTTTAGTATTCTGACCATCATGGATTTCTTATACTTTGATCTTGGGGTGGATGTATGGTGTAGTAGCATTTCGGCCGGTTCTGGGGGGTGCGTCGTAAAATTTCTCTAACATCTCATGTATCCTTGCCCAGTAGGATTTGATCATGTCACATTCCCACCAAATGTGCATTGTGGTGCCCACGTCTCTCTGTCACCTCCAGCACACTTCGGTATGGTCTGTGTCAATTTTGTGTAGGAGGTTTGGTATTTTGTACCAAAGTGTAAATAGCTTATAGGCTGTCTCTTGGGTTCTGCTGTGTACCGAGCAGTGGGGTGTAAAGTAGCAGATGGAGTCCCATTCGGCGTCTGTGAATGTTCTGTCTAGGACTGTCTCCCATTTTCCCATGAATAGGGGTTTCTCTGTGAGGGTCTCTGTTTGGAGTGTGGAGTACAGTAGGGAGATTCCGTGTGGGACTGGGTCTGGGTGTTGGCACAGCTTTTCGAATGTGGTTCGATCTCTATTGAGCACTGGTCCCTGGGGCAGGGTGTGGACATATTTGGCCAGCTGAGCATATTTGAAGTGTTGCAGGAAGATCGGAGGGGTCTCTCCCACTAAGTCTGTCAGTGGTCTGCATTTCCCCTCCCGTATTATGTGGTGTAGGCATGGTGAGGGGGTTGGGAGAATATCTTTAAATGCTCTTGGGTCCAACCCCGGTCAGAAGTCTTCATTATGGGTCAGTGGTAGGAGAGGGGAAGGGTGTGGTGCCAGGTTCTCTGCTTTTGCAGATTTCCACCATACGCCTAGTGTGTGTTTTGTGTATATGGACATTTCCCCCTTGCCTTTGGGGTCCCGGCCCCAGGGTAGCTCTGAGATCGGCCTACCTGCTTCTGTCTCCTCCACCACCTTTCATAGCTTGTTTACTCTATCTTTCGAGCATTCCACCACCCTCTGGAGGTGTGTGGCCACATAGTATAGGTGGAAGTCTTGGAGGGCTAGACCCCCTCTGTCCTTGGGTTGCGTTATTGTGGTTAGTCTTATTCTGGGTCTTTGGTTATTCCATATATATTTAGTCATTGCAGTTCTAAGGGTATTAAAGAATGTTTTGGGTATTGTGATAGGTATAGCCTGAAGGAGGTATAGTAGGCGCAGGAGAAAGTTCATCTTTACTACCTGAACTCTCCCCAACCACGATATGTGTGGGAATGACCAGTCTCTCATTTCCCTTTGGAACGTCTGTAGTGTGTCGATATATGATGGTTTTATCTGTTATATATGTCCATTAGTGAAAGCCAGTACCATGACGTCAAAACTATGTGACTAAAACTTAATTTATTTTATAAGCTTTAGGTGTAGCTTATTAAAGAAAAACACACCAGGACTGTTTAGATGCTTTGATAAAGCCTTATTTTAGGTGAAATGCGTTGGTGTATTTTAAATAGTTATTTTTGTTTTGTTTTTGGATGTGACAATAAACTACTTCTAAATTATATTCTGGATCTTCGATGTCTTGCTGTACCTGGACTGTTATATCGATGGTGTGGATACATATGCCAATGCCATATTGCTCTCTAATCAGCAATTAGGTTTTATCCTTATTTGTATCTGCCTATTGCTACAGTGAGCTATATATATATTCCTTTTTTTGTGTTTTACATGTATCTATATATTTATCAATGGAATTTGCCTTTATAACATCCTGGAGTAGGGTTTCATACTACAGGACATACTACCAAAAGATAGATCCCAGATATTAATATATATATATATCCAATGGTGTAGTACAGGGGCCCAAAAGATAGATCCCAGATGGTTTTAAACTACAGTTTTCTTAGAATGTTTTACGACATCCAGGGATCTATCTTTTGGGCCAAAGCCGCAACCTCCATCTGCCCTGTAAGTCATGGATTAAATTTGATTTGGACAAACAGGTCTGCATACATTTTTGCACAAAACTACTACGCAATCATTGAGTTAATCAGATTTTATTATTATTGGGTTTAGCTGAGAAAGGACTATAACCACCGGAGGAGTACCAGCCAGCTATGGAGTGAGCAACATTAATTAGGATGTTCAATTGATAATCTTGGTTACATCAATGTACAAATACCTCTCCTTATTGTATTTGTCGGATACATAGCCAATTCAAAACAGAGTTGTTTTCTTGCACATCTTTTTGTGGTCTTAATACATAAAGTTATATAATCCAGAGATTTAATTTCTGTAATGCACTCCCAGTTGCTTGAAATGGCTGGCCTGCTCCATACCATTACTGTCAGAATGTGTTATCGTTTTAATAAGTAGTTTTAGTTCTAATGGGAGCACTAAGAAAGATGCCATCATAAATCAAGATCAGTCTGAAATGTCACATTGCAGATTTGATGAATATGGTACCAGTGATATCATTGTCATTTTCTGAATCAAATCAACCAGTAAATAACATCGTCGTCATTCTGTGCTTTCGTTTCCCATGATACCCTCATCGTTCGGATTTAAGCTTCTCCAGACCTGCCCTCCGCAAGTGCTTGCAAGTACTTTATAGATTCACCATGGTAACCGAAATCATTAAGAAGACAATAATGCTCTGGAAGATTAGAGTGTCGAGGAAGAATGCATTCTGCTTTCAACTCACATGTCACATTTCGACAGTCCAATCAAAGCCAGAGGGAAAAAATGAATCTTTCCTGTAAGGCTACAAAGCTGAATATATTCCTAAGTACCACGGACAGCACCAAAGAATATCTTGGTTTATATAAGTGATGGCCTTCCAGGTGCTGTGGACTGACACCCATGATGATCGTCAGTTCTTTGGAACGTTAGACACTGCTGGCTTATAATTTGTAATAGGCTCAACTAAATAGTTGATGGCATGAATTTGTCGAAACATTTTGTAAAATCTTCAGGTGTTTGTAGTTTATCTGCATTTTGTTCAGTACATCACGTGTAACTCTCTACTAACTGGCTATCGCTTTAGTAGGGTGTGGTAACTGATGCACTGAGCGTATTTTGCATTGGTGACCATTTTGTTTTCAATTAAATGGACACTCCACACCCCTAAAGCACTTTAGCTTGCTCAAAAGCTTTATGTGTGAAGAGTGTGCCCTCTTTATTTCATTTAGTAAAAAGTGCAGATTTCAATAGAAACTGACAATTTTATACATTACCCTTAATACACCCCATTGGTTTTCAAGCAGACAACAGGTCCTGTTACTTCCTGATTTGATTAGATCAGAGGCAGCAATTGCGCAGAGCACCAAAGACTTTTCATTGCGTTGCATTGGGAAGTCTGTGATTGAACAGTTACAGAAAGTCTGGGCGGGGTTAGAAGGGGAGGGCTTGCAAAGGCAGATCTGCAAGTACAAGCTGTTTTTAGATATAACTCGACGAAATTGTTTTTTATTTTGGTTATATCTACTAAACAGTGAGTTTTATTTATTTGGTATTTGGGCAGTGGAGTGTGCCTTTAACTTAGTAGTTTCTGTTAAAATATTTAAATAATATTGGCAAAGTTACTTTAAAAAGTTAACAGGTATTAAATAAAATGTGACTTTGGATTAACGAGCTATGATATGGAAGTATTAACCAGTGTTTACGGTGCTTAGAGTGCCCTTTAAGTTTGTTTTGCATTATATCTCAATCTGTAGGTAATAATTTGAAGGATATCAGCTGAATCAGCTCATACCAAGGGTGCCTAAAATGTAGATCCCTAGATGCTTTAAAACTACAACTTCCATGATGCTTTGTCATTCTAAAAGTATTCCAAAGGTATGCAAAGCATCAAGGGTGTTGTAGTTCTACAACATCTGGAGAGCTACCTTTTTTTGCACCCCTGGCCTATAGCTATACCAAGCCTATAGACTCAGACATATTATTTTACAGCCTCTCTCACAAACTCAGTCAATGCTTTATAATAGTCTAACAAAATGTGTCTCTGGCTACCCTTATCAAACATAGAAATACAGCCGTATATGAGTTGTATTTCCCAAGAAGCTCACCCAGCCTTTAAGCTACCTATAAAAAAAATAATAATCTGAGAATCTCTGCGTAGGCTATCACAGATTAATCCCTGTGTATTGAATACAACTAGTGATTTACTGTTCACAGTGTGGATGGCGTTTCAAAATCTGCCGTTTTTATATTCTTCCATAACACATCTTTATCTACATTATTTATTATTATTTAAAATGTGTTTTGTTTCCTTACCGATGACAAATAAAAACATATATATTTTTTTAATCCATAAATCTTGATATTCTGTCTTGCTGTGATGCCAAATGTCAGCTACGATAGCATGCGATCTGTGCTTTCGAAATTTATAAAGCACTTTTTAACCAGTTAAAAGCCAGGAGTTTGGCATTGCATTACCTGTTTATTTTAAAACAAAAAACGTAGTCAGATATAATGAGAACTGAGTGGGATTTAGAAGCCAGAAAACACATGCACGCAGAAATTTGTATACAGTACCGGGAAGAATAAAAAATTAAATCATGTCTACCTTGATTCTGGGATTCGTGTTACTTTTGAATGAAGAACCGTGATTAATGTTTATGTACCTACAATCAAAAACACAGAGAAGATCATGATTGCCTAGTGTAAGAGTTGCTTGAATTGTGGATAACTATTAAGGAGGGCCAGTTCATCAAAGTACCACTCAAAGTACCATAACCACTGTAGTGCTCTGCCAATGCCCCCTGCCAATGTAAGCCGTCAAACAGGGTCCTAGTACATTCCAAATAGCACAAGCACGTCAAATGATGTGCTCGCGCTGTGCTTGTTGGGGACGGTTCCCTGGTGTAGGAAATCGTGACTCTCTCTCTAAAATTGGGACCGTTGGGAAGCCCAAAACAGGTTATGAGTGATATTGAACAACAGCACTGGAAACAAGCCCTTATTAGGAAAGATCAGCTTGGCTGAATTGATGATTTATGTTCCAACGTAACTATTTTATTCTATGTTTTGCAATTGGAATGTGAATCTTGATGCAACTCACTGTTTAGTAAATATTTACCGTAACAACGCTGCTATCTGTCTGAGGACTCCAGTTCACCCAGAACTGAAAGGAAGGTTCAATATTTACCTAGACTGAACCATACATTCTTGGAAAGTACATTCTCTTGCCATGGTAATTGAATGTTTAAATACTTGTATCTGTTTGTGATTTCTGGTTGATAAGCAGTTGAGTGAATCATTGAACAAATATTTAATTTAACATCCCTATTGAACCTTTTTCTTCCCCCACATGGAAGCACTAGCCAATATTTGCTCATTTTCTAAAGCGTTCTTTTAAGATTTCTTGTAGCCATTATTACTTTTCCTTGTTGTTGGTTCTAATTTATTTCCCCATATTTTTAAGTGTGTTTCCCTTTTAAAATGTTGTTAACTCAGAAATGTAATAGTCACACACGGAGAGTTAAATTAATTTAATAGCGTTCTCTAGGTAACTGAAAAAAATATTCACAGGACAATTTAAAGGGAAGTCCCACCATCCAATATAGAACATTACAATCAGCTATAAACTGCTTTAATCTTTTTGAAACATATGATGCTCCATCGTTTTGGTAGTGCCCTCTTCACCTCCTGGAGGAAAAACAGAAACGGTTTATTTATTTAAGTGAATTTTATATAGACACGGTTATCCGCTATAGTGAGAATTCAAGGTGAATTCAAAGTTAAAGGATCACTATAGTGTCAGGAAAACAAACTTGTTTTCCTGACACTGTATCATCCTTGGGACTCCCCCCCCCCCGGCCCCCCACCCTCAGGGTCCACCTCCCGTGACGCTAAAGGGGTTAAAACCCCTTCAGCCACTTACCTTTATCCAGCGCCGGGCTCCCTCAACGCTGGTGACCTCTCCTCCCCCGCCGACGTCAGCTCCCGAGTAGAGCGGAATGCGCATGCGCAGCAAGAGCTACGCGCACATTCAAATAGTCCATAGGAAAGCATTTCTCAATGCTTTCCTATGGACGTTCTGCACGCTGGATGCGAATTTCGCATCCAGTGTCACAGAAGCGCCTCTAGCTGCTGTCAGGGAGACAGCCACTAGAGGTTGGATAAACCCTGCAATGTAAACATAGCAGTTTCTCTGAAACTGCTATCTTTACATCTGAAGGGTTAAAACCTGGGGGACCTGGCACCCAGACCACTTCATTGAGCTGAAGTGGTCTGGGTGACTAGAGTGTCCCTTTAATATCAAATTTAAGTTAGGCTATTGCCTAAATCTTTAAAGTCAGTTTGAATTCAATTTGAATTCTCATTCTCTATTTAGTAAATAACTCTGATGACGATTTCATTAGAACATACAACATTTTATTAATTGTACAATAATAAGGCAAACTATTCTAAATTAATAAAACGTATATATGTGTATAATAATGGTGTCTACTTTATAGTTGCTCTTGCAAGCAATTAACCAAAGGCTTTATAAATCTGTAACGTAGCATCCTGCTCCGTGTCCTTGAGTTTCACCCCTCCTAGATCAATTGATTTCTTTAGTAATGCAATCCATTTTAAGCTTCATAAAGGCCGTTTTGGAACAGACTCAAAGTGTTCATTGATTCTTATGACTTATTTTTGGAGGTGTATAATATATTTGCATTATAATACAGCTTGGTATCATCACAGAATTAAGCCGTAGGAGTGCCAAAAGTAGATGCGTTTAAATTGTTTTACAAAATATGAAATTTTTCATGTTATGAGATTTTTCGACAGCCACCAGTTTTGTGTCCAATTCTAGCAAGATATATTGAAGCAATTATCACAACTTATTTTATGAGCTACTGAGCTCTGGTACATGTTCAACACTAAATTCTGATGTGCTGGTGCCAGTTAGCAAATGTATCAGGAAACCTGTAGATGTTATAGGTTTTACAACCATCGCAGGGTCCTAGGGTGAATGTGCAGGTTTTGAATATAGGAACCTTCATAAGCATGAATAATTCTCAGCTTTACTTACTGGCATGCATACCTCCAAAGGTGTGAGATCAATACTGCAGGGCGGGAGTGGGCATGGTGGGGGCGCAATCGCCAATGACTCGATTCAGATGAGCCTGCCCATTCCTGAGGCCTGTCTAACTGGCCCTCAACCTACAGGACATTGTTGAAATGCTCTCTGCAGGGTGCTAGTGCCTGTTCACACTGCACAGTGTGACTAATGATGTGCTTGCGCTGTACTGCCCAAGGACTGTTCCCTGGTGTCTCCTCCAAAATCAGGACTGTCCTGACAAAACTGATACTGTCCAACCACACTGTTGTAAAGCCTGTGAATGTCAGTTGAAATTCATTGCTTACTTACGGATTATTTAAGTGTAAATTTAGCCATAAAGAGTTCATTTTGCTATAATATGGAGTTTATTGAATAACCTTTCATATGTAGGGCTATTCAGTAAACTAGGAATTGTTAGGAATTCTCCAGGAAACTGCAAATTGTACGCCAAAATAGGCAAGCTAGAAACATAGCAGTATCTTTCCTGTACCGTTCTCTTGGCCAACAATTTGCAACTCTCCGATAAATTCATTGTATGCGTAATAACCCCAACAGTGAATCTCGCTCATACTGGACTTTGTAAAATAAAAAACACAAATCAAAATTACATTTCATTTATTAGTCCATTAAATTGGATTGACTTTTGACTGTGAAGTAATGGTGCATGAAGCAATGTGCACTGGAGCGAGCCAGATCAGGAATATTTAAAAAGTTGTATTCATTTTATTTACCTTGCTTTGCTCGTTGTGAAGCTACGAAGATGGACTTTCTAAATGCCCGAAGCACACCAGATACAATATTTATTTGAAGAGGAAGCTTCTAGAAGCACTGACTGACCTAGTTTTGTCTGTAAACTGTGATACATATTACAGATTAATGAGTTTGTAAGGGAGGAAACGGGAATAACAGGAAGAATGTAAATGAATCCAGTGTGTTTTTGGTGAAGACTTCATCATAGCACAGATAATGGAAAAGAAATGACAGAGAGATTTATGATTATTACAACTAAAAGAGTAATAAGATATATTGCAGTTTCCCCAGAACAGAAAACGTAGAATTCAACACAAAAATAGGGTCTTGTACAAAAAATTCACCCAAGTGTTATGCCAAAAAACACTTATACATACATAAAATCTTAATGAGAAATAAGGTGATAGCGCACTAATGGTAAGTGTATTTCACACTGGCAGAGGTAGGCAGGATAAAACCTATTAATAAAAACATAAAAGCGACATAGCGCAGACTGTACAAAGTGGTATCCGTATAGCAAAAATAAAGGACACTCACGTATTTAAGAGCCCTTCAGGTCGACTCTGAACTCAGTAGGTATGATAAAACCACTCAAAGTATTGTTGTGCAGACGGTCCCAGCGGTATTTTTCTCAGATGAAGATCAGGAATCATAAATTATATAAGTAATATACTTTGTTACAATAAATAAGCAAACACAACAAACTTAGGGGTAAAAGCTTATAGCACAACGCGTTTCGACCGTAGCTGGTCTTCCTCAGGTTCATGTCCTACTGGGTTTAAAATGTTCTGTTTTATACCATAGTTGATTAAAAGTTGATTTTGTATTTACACAGACATGCATGTTGTTGTTTTAAAATAGTCATCGGTTTTGACAGTATTTTTCTTGAACATATCATTACAACGTTTCAGTCACCAGACCTTCATCGCAGAAACAATGTTTTCCCAATAAACCTGCGGTTCTGGTGAATTACCAGTTACAGTGAGTATTGAGGAAAGGATCCCGCTCCTGCATTGACTGCAGTTGAGTAATTATGTTTTTGGATTATGTGATATACATCATTCATTTTGCAGTCATACTTGCTATAGATCTACGACCAGTGAAGCTACTTCTTCTTGGCATTAGACTAGGCTCATTGCTTTCATTGTTTAGATTTGAGTGCGTTTTATTTTTGTTCCAGAGATGAAGCAGTATTTTTAAACATTACATGTGACCAGAATATTTTTGGACAGTAGAGATATGAAGATTCTGAAAGCTCGGCTGTCTCATGAATTATTCCTTAGTAGTAATCAGGACAGTATGACTCTGTGCAAGTTTTTGATTCGAAGATTACTGGCACAAGGTCTGGTTACACTGAGCAGATCCGCAATGTGCAACATGGCTAAATATGCACTATAATAAAAAAATAAAATAATAGATGACATGCTCATCGTCATTCCAAAACTTCTTCTGCCCCTCAGAAAACACCTTTTATTAGAGCTATGGCTAATAATATGATTTACTGCTGGGTTTTACTAAAGGAGGTGTTTAGAACTTAAAGGAACGGTAAATATAATTTTGTTTTCATGAATGCATTAATCATTACGTACTCACCCAAATCGAAATAGGAGCGGTAAGTTCTGGGGCAGTGTTTCTATTAGGAATGCTTCTTCTAACGCAACATCTCTACATAATGAAGCAAATTAGGAGTCTGCCTTGTTAGCTGCCTGTCTTGGCTTACCATTGATTTTCCTGCCCTTCTCGCGTGTCACATGTAATGGATGGTGAAATACAACATTAAATCATCAGTTACACATTTAGTAAATCTGGTGAGTTTATGCAATGCGTCATGTATTGATGAATCAAATGACAGAGCCAGGGAGCAGCAGCAAATGTCCCCTGGGTTGCTCTAATTTGTAAGATTTTATTAAGCCTTTTTTTAAAAAACAAACAAAAAAAAACTAATGTTTGGTTGTTTGGTTTTAACCCCGTAAGGACCAAACTTCTGGAATAAAAGGGAATCATGACATGTCACACATGTCATGTGTCCTTAAGGGGTTAAACCTCCTCCTGGGTTGCTGTGCATTTGTACATTATTATATACTTGTGATGTTGAGGTAGCTCCTTTTGAAGTGTGTGAGAAGTCAGTTTTTATTGAGCAAGTCAGATTATTAAAATAGAGTACCCCAATTTAATCTCAATATTCCCTGTGCCCTAGGCAGACATTTTCCAGATTAACCATGTATAGTAAAGTGGCAGAATAAAGTTAAAAATCATAGATTTTCTCTCTGCCATGATAGTTACACATAAAAAAATGTTAATAAAGTATACATTGAATGCTAACTATATAATAAAATAATCTCTGTTACGGGATTATTCCTGTGAGATAATCTTCAACCATTGAGCACTGAACTCGTTATATATAGTTAGCATATCACCAAACTGCTCAGACCTGATTCCAGTTGAAATGGTGTTGTGATATTGTGGGTAGTCTGTCGTTGATTTTGATCAAGTCATTCCTTCCTGATATTATTTAGTGAGTGGATTAAGAGGCAAACATTTTACCTTCTGATTTCTGCTGATCTTTAGCTCTGATCCATCACTTCCTGCGATTTGTTTTTATGTTATTTTCACTTGTCATCTAAATTTGAGAAATATGTGTTTGTGAGATCTGAAAAATTTAATTAAATGTAGAAATCCACACACTTATATTTACCGTAAAGGAACACTATATTATTACTGTATTATTGCATTACTGGTCCAATAGTGTTAAAACCACTATCTAGCCCCCATCCCCCTTGCCTCCCTAAATATAGTAAAATCTGCCTTCTTGGCTGATTTCATCAGAAGTGATGATCTCAGCCGATCACAATGCTTTCCCATAGGAAAGAATTGGATTGGATAAGATTGTAAGTACTGATGATCTCAGCCAAGGATGCGGACCAGGGGCGAAGCAAACGCCACCCTGACCAATCAGCATCTCCTCATAGAGATGCATTGTATCAACACATCTCTATGAGGAAAGTTCAGTGTCTCCATGCAGCACTGACCCAGGAAGCCCCTCTAGCAGCCATCAGAGAAGTGGCCACTGGAGGTGCCCCTAGACTGTAATGTGAAAAGACAGTGTTTACTGCAAAAAGCTTGAAGGGAATGATTATTCTCGCCAGAACAAATAAAACACGTTGTAGTTGTTCTGGTGTCTATAGTGTCCCTTTAATCCTTAAAAAAAATGTCATTGCTATAATCTCTGCCCTTATTTATCATTTAACAAAGTATTTGTTCATGGTAGTCCCAATATCGAGAGTATGTGTCCTCTTCCAATGGAATGTGTGCCCTGATTGCGCCTGAACTGAACTGAATTGTAATGTCATTTTTCAAAATCTTTTATACAAATTTGAAGAATCTCTCCCAAAACAACTTCACCTTAACTAAGTAGTTATGGTGGCAAGAGTGTCTCAACCTCGAATTTGGTCCTAAGGCACTCGACAACACCGATATCTAAATTCCTTCCACACAATCAGTGCACATACTATACACTGTTGGGGCTCTGCTCTGCACTATCCTCTACAATCATTATTTTAAGATTTATTTTGTTTGTAATCAGATCTAGGACATTATGTCCTAGATGGAAGAGCTACAGGCAGGACACGCGTATGACTTCCTGTGTTCTTCCTAAATCAGTGCTTACCTTAGACTAGCAGATAGTTTCTTATAGAGAATAGGTGCCCTTGAAGGCACAGCTTAGCAATTCATAGGACGACTGGTAAAAGCACTATTTAGGATAACAGTCATGCATTTAGTGATTTGATCTCTTTATCTGGTACCAGAGATTTCAAGGCTGAGTTCTTTGTTTTGTAGAGTCTATAACCTAAGCACAGGGATACTGATAGGTCCCTTCAAGGGAAACTGAAACAATTGTATACCAAACTATAGTTTCGATTAAGTGGTTATATTTACTCTTCTGATACTTTGTGTCTCTTAAGATTGTCAGTTTCAGATTCACCGGCATCTCTAAACTAACACTATAAATGTCTTATACTTGGACTCATCCTGCAATCCCAGAAACAACTAATAGGCTATTAATTCATCTCACATATATTTTTCATCTTATATTGGATAATTTGATATTAGTCTTTTTTTCTTTTAAAAAATATATTTTTTCGTTTTCTTTAAACATTAGTTTTGTTTGTTTTTTGGTCTATGCTATTGATAGTTTTAGAATTAAAGGACCACTATAGGCACTCAGATCACTTCAGCTCAATGAAGTGGTCTGGGTGCCAGGTCCATCTAGGGTTAACCCTGCAGCTGAAAACATAGCAGTTTCAGAGAACCTGCGATGTTTCACTGAGGGTTAATCCAGCCTCTAGTGGCTGTCTCACTGACAGCCGCTAGAGGCACTTTCTGCGATTCTCACTGTGAAAATCACAGATGCTGGACGTCCATAGGCAAGCATTGAGTAATGTTTTCCTATGGGCAGTTTGAATGCGCGCATTCGGAGCTGACGTCGGCAGAGGGAGGAGAGTTCCCCAGCGCCAAGGGAGACCAGCGCTGGAGAAAGGTAAGTGGCTGAAGGGGTTTTAACTCCTTCAGCCCAGCGGGAGGGGGCCCTGAGGGTGGGGGGCCTAATGACCCTATAGTGCCAGGAAAACAAGTTTGTTTTCCTGGCACTATAGTGCTCCTTTAAGTAATATCATTTAGTTTATCTGTTGATTTTCAACAGTAATATTTTAAAGGAATTTATTAAATGTTATGTTTTAATTAAATTGACACTAGTAGGCGAGTACCTTTCTATTCAATTTCTCTTTACCTAGGGTTATCCCCTTTCTTCTTGCTGCAGCTTTTCTGATATTCTCAGTTGCTATCCCTTTCCCCATTAAAATACTATACACTGTAAAAGGCTTACTGAGAGATACATACATCTACATGCATCGGACGGATTCTGATTTATAGCATTGGTCAGCAAAAAAAGGAAATCAGAGAGAAGGACACAACATACTTCAAAGAAACATCTTTTCCTAATTGGATTTGACAAATTTAATTTCATTAGATTGCCTCCAGTAATGTGCGACAAATCCATCGTAAATAAATTCATTTGAAGCATTCTGCAATCTGAATGTAAACACATGTATCATGTCTCTCCTAAATAAGCAAATAAAATTTATACAGTCCCTGTAATATTTCCAAGTGTGAGTCATCAAATCTAGTGAGGATATCAACATTCGTCTTCAAGGATCACGCTTTATCTTAGACTTGATTTATGCTCATCATTTATTGCCCGGCTTATTTCTTATTGTAGGGCCTTTATTGAGTATCAGAGAATCGAGTCTTACAAATTATTATATTGTATTATTATGCGTTATCTGGTGAAACATTCTAAAATGCAAACTGAAAAAATAATCAACATTTTAAAAGAGCACTATAGGGTCAGGAACACAAACATGTATTCCTGACCCTGTAGGGTTAAAACCACCATCTAACCCCCCTGGTCCCCTCATGCCTCCCTAAATATAGTAAAATCTTACTTGTATTCAAGTCTGCAGCTGCTTACTTTGTCCCTGTTTCCATTAGACCTGCCTGCTGACATCCAATCACAATGCTTCCCCATAGGATTGGCTGAGACTGACAAAGAGGCAGATCAGGAGCAGAGCCAGCACAATTCAAACACAGCCCTGGCCAATCAGCATCTCCTCATATAGATGAACTGAATCAATGAATCTCTATGAAGAAAGTTCAGTGTCTGCATGCAGAGGGGGGAAACACTGAATGTTTGGATGCATTTTAGGCAGCCATGACCCAGGAAGGATCTCTAACGGCTATCTGAGGAGTGGCCAGTGAAGTTATCACTAGGCTGTAATGTAAACACTGCATTTTCTCTGAAAAGACAGTGTTTACAGCAAAAAGCCTGAAGGTAATGATTCTACTCACCAGAACAAATTCAATAAGCTGTAGTTCTGATGACTATAGTGTCCCTTTAACTATGAAAATTAGTTTGTTTGTTTTTTTGTCGCTTGCGATCCTTTATCAATTTATTTTCATAGATTTCTTAAAAAAACAAATGTGAAAACACTTAGCTGTACTCAAGAGCCAAGACAGACCCTCCACTGCAGCCCGATCTGCCCTCGCTGCCGTCATCAATTGAACACGATCTTATTAATCAGTTTATTGTTTCTCTTAGAGATACATTGCAGACAATTGCTTCACCAACAGCAAAACAGTCTAGGTAAGTGTATATTCTACTGCTAACGGTCAGGACTCCATTGAAGGTCACCCGCAGATCCCTCTACAACACTATTGGTGCACAAGTAGCTGTCAGGCTGCTATAGGACTGCAATTCCCATGATCCCTTTATTCACCCAACTGGAGAAAGCATTGTGGGAGATATACACAGCACTTAGCACTACCTGTTGCCAATATTTGCTCTTCAGTCATCCTGAAGAGAATCTAAATGTATTTGTAATTTAGAGAATCACTGCAGTTGTAATTTCTTTAAACTTACATTTTATCCTTAATTCAAAGTAATCTTACTTCTAATATAACTAGCCACTTACCGTGGAGAGATAGAATTAACACCATAATCAGGACAATATCTAACAGTGTGTACATTGTGTATATTAAATGGCCTATATGTTGTCGTAGCAGCATTAAAAAGTAAAAGCCATGTTTGTGAAGTCAAAACAAGTATAATTCTGGCACAAATTGCTAAACAATGATAAATCACCATGGAAACCAGTAGAATTTTCCTCCATATTTAGATTTAGCACATTATCCCGGAATTCCTCCAGTTTTGCTTTGATAAATATTGTCCTACATAAACAGCTCAAAGGGGTAAAGCGATCATTAAAATGGTTTCATATTTAGCTATCAATGCAGGCCAGTATGCTCTACTCGTAGACATTGCTTGGGGGGCTGAAGCCCCAGATATGGGACTGGTTAGCCCCAGGTCTCTACAATTGGAGAGGGCAGACACCTATTATAAAAATAATGATTAGTAGTGTAGCACTCTGCTAGGCTATGGAGGGGTACTGCCAGTAGGGGGTGCTGGAGAACAGAACGTTGCTACTCGCCCCTTTGTAAGCTAGGCTGTGTGGTGGGATAGCATATCTGCAGCACATTTTTCATGGGTTTAGAGGAGGGGACATGACATAGAAAGGGTGGATATGTCATGACATTTTTCTACCTGTTATCAGTATATGGGGCATCAAGGCAGTTGATCATTCTCGGGCAGCCGTTGGACTTCCATTACAAGTTGTACCCGGTGCAATCTCAGTGATCACGGCATACACATGCTGTTAATGGACTGTCTCACTCCTGAGGCCAAAAAGAGCCAAACGTCTAATACAGCTGTGCTTTCATTTTGGCTACTCTGGCCTTAAATTTGAAATTCCCATTAAATTCCATAGAAGTTCTCATTTTAATTATAAAAAATGAATTGAAATCCTAGACATATGAGGATTGTTACAATCAGGACTAATAAGTAAAACTATTTTTAGTTATTTTTCTTTAGTTGCAAGTTTTTATGAACAAAACTTTGAAAAAAAAGTGTTTTGTTTCTTCTTTTTTTCCCCATTTTTAGTATTTTGTTCATAACTAATTTTGTGTTAATTACACAGATATCAGAAGAAAGCCTTCGGTATTCGCTAAACAAAAATGGTATACGTTGTGTATATGGAACAGGCACTAAGCAAAATGGCCTCAAAATGACAGCATTTGGGAAAAGGCTCAGTCATGAAGGGGTTGAATGTCACTTGTGGGATGCTCATGCCATTCTATAAGTTCTACTCTGACACGTTTTTATTTTTGTTGCATATATATGGAATGAAAATGTGGAATGTGTTAACCATAAGAAAGGAAGAATATGACCGTGATAAATAATGTATATGGGCATGTGGCTCTAACATCAATTTTATTTCAGCATGGCTTACCCCAGTGCTTCTCTCCTTTTACATAAATGATGTTTTAAAACACAGTGACTCAGCAGGGGCACTTTGACCCAGATTTACTAGATGGTAATGAGTTTTAGGCTCAAAAGGTACAGAGCTGTTCAATTGACTGTTTGTTTTCCAGAGAGGAGATCAGCCTATTTTACATCAAGGTCCTTCTTCATTCTCCTCCTCCAGCACATGCCAACACAAAGCGGCACACACATTTCCACCAGTGTCACCTAACATGCAGACACACCCTGCCACAACACAAGCCGGCACATGCATTGCCACCAGTGTCACCTAACATGCAGACACACCCTGCCACAACACAAACAGGTACACGCATTGCCACCAGTGTCACCTAACATGCAGACACACCCTGCCACAACACAAACAGGTACACACATTGCCACCAGTGTCACCTAACATGCAGACACACCCTGCCACAACACAAACCGGCACACGCATTGCCACCAGTGTCATCTAACATGCAGATACACCCTGCCACAACACAAACCGGCACACACATTGCCACTAGTGTCACCTAACATGCAGACACACCCTGCCACAACACAAACAGGTACACACATTGCCACCAGTGTCACCTAACATGCAGACACACCCTGCCACAACACAAACTGGCACACGCATTGCCACCAGTGTCACCTAACATGCAGATACACCCTGCCACAACACAAACAGGTACACTCATTGCCACCAGTGTCACCTAACATGCAGATACACCCTGCCACAACACAAACAGGTACACGCATTGCCACCATTGTCACCAAACATGCAGACACACCCTGCCACAACACAAACAGGTACACGCATTGCCACCATTGTCACCTAACATGCAGACATATCCTGCCACAACACAAACAGGTACACGCATTGCCACCATTGTCATCAAACATGCAGACACATCCTGCCACAACACAAACAGGTACATGCATTGCCACCAGTGTCACCTAACAACACAAACAGGTACACGCATTGCTACCAGTGTCCCCTAACATGCAGACAAACCCTGCCGCAACACAAACCGGCACACTCATTGCCACCAGTGTCACCTAACATGCAGACACACCCTGCCACAACACAAACCGGCACACGCATTGCCACCACTGTCACCTAACATGCAGACACACCCTGACACAACACAAACCAGCACACGCATTGCCACCAATGTCTCCTAACATGCAGACACACCCTGCCACAACACAAACAGGTACATGCATTGCCACCAGTGTCACCTAACAATTTGTGTCCGCACCTACATGCACTCAGTTTGTGTCCACACATACACGCACTCAGTTTGTGTCCGCACTTACACGCACTCAGTTTGTGTCCACACATACACTCACTCGGTTTGTGTCCGCACATACACGCACTCAGTTTGTGTCCACACATACACGGACTCGGTTTTTTGTCCGCACATACACGCACTCAGTTTGTATCAGCACATACACGCACTCAGTTTGTGTCCGCACATACACGCACTCAGTTTGTGTCCACACATTCACGCACTCAGTTTGTGTCTGCACATACACACACTCAGTTTGTATTAGCACATACACGCACTCAGTTTGTGTCCGCACATACACACGCTCAGTTCTGGGTAGCAGTGGCCCAGAATGTGACATATTGTTATCATGTTGTACAAACCCAAATTTATCAGCACTACATAAGTCCCACTGTGTGAACAGAAATGCCCTGATATCGTCCCCATGTTTGATTTTTGGGGACCTTTAAATACACTCTCTAGGACTATACTTCGTAAGGGTGGCAATATAACTTGTAAAGGCACTGTTCCCCCACTTGGCACCTTTAAAAAGCATATCATTGCACTCATCACATGGGGTGTAGGAATAGTCCACGGAATAGGGAGAGCACTGCAAGTAACCCTTTAACTATGAGATCTGCAGGACTACACAAATTCCATCTATTTAAACATTGGTTGAGGAGGAAAACAATGCCTCATCTGACATTATTATGAGATTACCCTGCCTTAGCTAATTACATTTAACCTGATTTTGTTGCACCTTGGGCAATGGAGTCTTTATAGTGTTTGCTACATTTTATGTACTGTAGTTATATTTTACATTATATTTACCTCCATATTGGTTTTCGGTTGTTTTTTTTAAGCAGTGCCCGGTTAGAGATATAAAATGATCCATGATGTGGAGAACAAAGTGACATAAATGGGATTTTAACAGTTCTCAAATAGAGCTAAACTGAGAGTATGAAATTTAGCAATTAATTATAGGTAAAGTTACAGACAGGGGTTATATAATTAAACTTCCTGTTACAAAGGAGTACAGAAACCTGAGTGTGTTTCAATCTAATATGTTTCATACAAAGTTGACCTGTGAGCTTACAGTCACTTGCACACAAAATGTGATCATTATTATTTATTTATATTTGTGAAATGCTCAGTTTAATTTGTAAATGATTGCTTAGATGCATTAATTGCCTACTGGTTTCTGGTTTCAGCAAGCCATTAACATAATACTTAACAATTAAAATCACTTTTTCAGCAGCTGGATGTTTCCATTACACAAGATTCATTATATGTATAAAAACGTAATTATTGCAGAGCTGCTTTAAAGGGACACTTTAGGCACTATAACCATTTCATCTCATTGATTTGTTCATGGAGCCTGGTGACTCTGGCATTGTCCCTCCATTTAGTTTTAAACTATTTTCGAGCAGTTTAACATTGAATGCAGGTCCTTGGCTTCCCATAGCTTCACCCCCACTAGAGGTATGGTTACTGCAGATATTGCACACTTACGTCAAGCCATACCGATCAAGCCAACAAGTGGATGCTGACACTCTCAGCCAATCACAGCCGCCCATTGCATCACAGACATTAGCCCAAACAGCACAGTGGTGATGATGGGCTGCTGGGTACTTGCGTTTATTATTGAACCATTAAAAACTGCTTTAACACTGAATGGAAATATGGTGCCAGTGGACTCCAGACACTATACCCACTTCAATTAGATGAAGCAGTTACAGTACCTAATAGACTTGTGCACGGTGATGGTTGGTTGGTCATGGTTCATGTTGGCTCTTGTCTGGAGTCAAGTTTGTATTTCTAACACTATAGTGTTCCTTTAAATAAATAAACTATGAAAATATTACCGTTATAGGTTTGAATTTTGAGTTCCAAAACTGCCGTAACAGTAATTTTTGTATTTAAAGTGAGCTGTCATGTCTTATAATTTTTTATATTATAATATTATGTTCACTTATTCCTATACCGACATTTAACAAATATGTATTTATGTGATTTTAAAAATAAAATTAAACAAAGGAATCCACAGTTCTTTATCCTGCAACTGTGTGCCTCCATCTTAGCTCCCTATCAATCATCGTTAGAAGTTCCTGGCAGTCAGCATAGAGAGAGCATTCAGATAAAAGGAGAAATGATACAATGTTTCTACTTAACCTCCTTATTTGCAAAGTGTGCCCTGGCTATGCCTTTATTGAACTGGATTGTGGTGCCCTTTTCTAAATCTAAAATAAATTTAAAAGTAAAAAGAGCATCTTATGAAAAAAGGTTAACACAATTGATATGTGATTTAAAGTGTTTTATTCAGTGGCAGAATTTCAAGGGAAGCCACAGTTCCTTTAATATATTTTTCTTATTCCGTACATTGAACTAGTTTCTTTAGTATGTGTGTCCTCATTTTTTTGTGAGGGATCAGGAGTAATATAGAAATTTAGAATGTGTATTCTGATTGTCTACCCACTGTGAAATCCGATTTGCTTATTTCTTCATAAAAAAGCTCAGCAACACAAATCTTCAAAATAAAATAACTCGCTGATTAAAAACTGTTTCTTTATTTGTTTAGATTATACCAAAACTTTCGACATATCGGAACATAAATCAAAAAAATTAACTGATGAGGCTGACGATGGAGCCCTTTATACCTCTCTGACTTCCATCGGGCATTTTGAGTCTCAAGCCAATTCGGCCTACTATACTGGCATCCTAAAGAAAGGAAATGGAGGTACGTCTTTAGATGACTCTAAGGAATTCAACATTGGAAGTCATTCCCCTCAAGAAATCCCAATATTCGAGTCTCGTGGCCTGTTTAGTTCAGATTCAGGAATTGAGATGACACCTGCGGAAACTAGCAATAAAATGTTGGCAGATCCTGTGGAAGAGGATAAAATAGATGTGTATAAATATATGGACATAAGCAGATCACCAGACGTAAAACCTCAGCAACCACTTGACCGAGAGGTAGAGGAAAAGAAAACAAGTAGTCTGAGCTATGGGTTTCCTGAACAGCGGGAGCATGAAGTTCTCATAAAGTCTTCTCAGAAATACTATCACAATGATGAAATATCTCAAGATCTGTCTTTTGTTTCATATATGGAAGATCATGACTTGGGAGCATATAGTTCCACAGAATTCAAAGACACTAAAGCATCCCCAATCAAAATTACACTTACTGGGACAGAACCTCTGGTAGAAGCTGATTTCTTCGGAAGTCTCCAAGAAAAATCTGAAAAGGGCTTAAAACCAAGTCCAGACATGGTACCAACTGTCACAGTTTCAGAACCGGAGGATGACAGTCCCGAGTCTCTGACACCTCCAGAAGCAGGTAAACAATTTGCCTTATTATGCTGTCTATCCTTCTTAGCACTAGAAACCAGCATACAACCAGAGAAGTATTTAACCCCAAGGGGTATCTTCTTAGCTGGCAGATTTTAAGAAGGCTCACTCAGAGCAAGTTTTAGATCTAGTCTCCATTTCCAGCATACAAAAGACAGAACTTATTGTATTGTGGTTTGTATATAATATTTACACAGTTGGGGGCAGACAATTACAGAAGAGTGTAGGCTCGATGGAGGACTTAAAAAAGGGTCAGGGAAACTAGGTAGACCTGGTCTGAAAGTCCACTTCTAGAACAGTAGAGACATGCTCTAGTCTAGTGAAACAAGAGGGGAGGGGGAAGTTATGTACACATAAACACTGGCTATATTGTAACTTAATTATAGACCAACAGGGCAGTATATACCAACAATTTGTGATAGGAAACCACAGGACATGGACTCAGGTCTGCAAAGTTCAGTTCAAGTTAATGCTAAAAACTGCCCCGGGTCTCTGGGCCGGATGTCACCCAATCCTCTACACTTGCGTCTTTCCATGGTAGGTAAATGTCAGTGAAGAAGTGGAGTGGCTGTATTGGGGACCCTGTTATAAAAGTATCCACCAGAAGGAGCGTGTATCATAATAAATATTAAATGGTACCTTTACCTTTTTGTGTTACCGAAAGTATAAGCCTAGGGTTATAGCAATCATACAATATCTTGCACTGCTAACAAAGAATGCATTACTCAAATTGAATATTCTTTAATATTAGGACACTTGGCAGTGAGGAGTTGGTAGATGATACTTAGACCTACAGTTTTTGACCCATAAAAAACAATCCAGGATCGGGTGGACCCCCTGATTTTTTTCATAATTCAGCCCTAAAAATTCCCAAGTCTAAAATGTATTTGCAAACTCAAACAAAAAATAGCAGTTTGTTTTTGGTTAAAGGATTGTTTACTGTCAGTGTGTATGAATGTAGGAATGTGTGTGGAAATCCATTTGAGTGGAGTGTCTGTGTATGTGAATGAAAGATTGGTTATAGGTGGAGGGTCTGCACAAAGGACCAATCTGTATTTTACCCCAGCAGGAGTGAGATGTTTATGGTACAAAAGTACTCCCAACAACCACAGCACCTGCACTGTTCCAATAAAAAAAACAGGAGAACTCCTTATAAGAAGGGTCTCCACTTTCCCCTATCTCCTAATTGTTGATATAGACCTCTATCAATTGGCATTTTGGAGGCCAGTGGTGACAGTGCAGTAGTATATTGACATTTCTGAGACTCAGAAGCAATAATGATCACATCCCAGGTCCTTTTGAGGCCATTTGTGGTTTACTAAATACACCCTGTGATGGCCCCCTACAGTTTAGGCCAATATTTTGGATGATAGTCTTGGTTTAGTAAGACAATAAGTGTAATAATTACGAGTTACACAGTGGATTCTTAATGCTAGTCTTTTAACACTTTCTATTGTCCGTTAACATGTAGATTTTCTGTTGTTTACTTCCAGATGGATATTCAGAGCAGTCTGCAGAAATGCAGAGTAAATACAGAATATCTGAAGATGAATTTAACTCTGCCATGAAAGCAAAGGGAGGGACAAAAGGCTTTTCTTATGAAACAAATGCAGAGCTGAAATCTGAAAGTGTTTATACAGATAAGCAGGATTATCAAAGCATGTCTGTGAAACCAGCTGCGTCCTCTCCAGTAGATAATGAAGCCTCTAGCACTGAATCTGGAGACTCGGAAATTGAGCTGGTATCTGAAGATCAACTGGCAGCCGAGGATGCCATGCACTCTGCCTACATGACCTTCAGCCACATTTCTGGTCCTCCACCTTCACCGGCCTCACCGTCCATTCAATACAGCATACTAAGAGAGGAACGCGAAGCTGAGCTGGACAGCGAACTTATCATAGAGTCATGTGATGGTTCCTCAGCCTCAGAAGAAAGTCCAAAGAGAGACCAAGATTCCCCCATGATGAAACCTATGATGATGGACATTATAGAAGAAGAAAATGGCTCAAGAACTGAAAGTTTTGATGCCATGGACTTTGAATTGTCCAGCTCCACAGAGAGGAAGCTAAACATGGAAAACTTAGCAGAATCTGCAGCTTATTTAAAAAGTGCATACACTACAGAATCAAAAGCAGATTTACCGCTGATGAAGAAAGATGACAGATCGCAACAGAAAAAAGCATCAGAACCCCCAACTTACCAAAGCAAAGTATCTGGAAAGACGGTTGCTGTTCTGCCAGCTGCCCCGGTGCCATTTCTCAGTAAGAAAAAAGGTAAGTACAATTTTATTTTCTAGACTGTAGCATTCAACTTGTGTCTGGGGGAGCTGTGGAGACAGCAATTAAAGGGCCACTATGGGTACCATAACCACTTCATCTAATTGAATTGGTTATGGTTTCTGGAAATCCCTTGCTTTGTCTTACACTTCAATGTTAAACTTAGACATGATGCCAGGGTATTCCTTTATCAGGAGGTGGCTATGATGCTTAAAGTGTCCCTTTAACACATTGTTCTAGTAAAGGTACAATTTCAATCATGCAAGTCGCTGGCTTAAGCCCTTAGCATGACATGAGTTTTAAATGAGTTTTTTATCGTAGGTGTAATTATGTTCTTCAAATGACTAACTTTAAAATACAATGATTTTATAACTAAAGTCAGCAACAGCTTTGAGTGAATTAATATTTACAGTTTTTCTGTAACTGTACTCTGTTTAAGACTTTAAAATTCTATTTTCTATTATATGTAGTTATTTTTGAGAGTAGATTTTATTCAAGAAGGAAGTAACCATGCATTTTTGTTGTGTCTATAAAGCAAAGCAGCTTGAAATTCATTCTGTCTCGATGCCCATGTTATTACATGGCTGAATCACTGATTTTTTTAATTGTGCAGTGATGTTATTTTTTGCATTGTCACTGGGCCAGATTCCCTATAAAAGAACACAGAGCCACGAGGGGCATATATAAAATATTACAGCATTATCCGCAATACACACTATACATCACCAACATGACAGCAAGAGACGAGGGACATGCCTTATGCATTTGCAAACCCTGAAACTGATAAAATCCCTTCCGGTTCTGCTGTGTTTGAAAAAAGCCAAAAAAAAAGAGCTCAACTGAAGGATTTTTCCAATGCAGCTGTACATTTTATTGTTTGATTTTTCAAATCACCAGATTCTACTGATTAGTGAATAAATACTTTTATTCATGTGTTTTACTCTGCTAAATCGCGTGACCGTACTTCCTTTCGATTGTCCATGTTTTGTCTTATGATGGAGAGCTATGAGCAGCATTGCGTGGCTAAAAATGTCCGCCTTGTTTTACTTTGCTATCTTTCATTTTACCTACTGTAATAAATCTTCGATCTCAAGAGAAAAACAATGGAAATGTCATTTCCCCCTGAGAGATTCAGCTCTGGAGCAGGTCCCTGCCTTTTGCAGAATCATCTAGCTCCTCAGTATAATATGCTGTAACCTAATATACAGGCAGATAGGGTGAAATATGACAAGAGGGGTGTACGCCTGTGTGCGTGCTTGTCTTCTGTCTGTCTTAGTGCTCATGACTGATTGCCAGTTCCTCTCAAAAGCCCCAATTCTAGGCATATCCGCCCATAACAAATAATGGTTCTCCTCTTTGGGCCGGCCCCTTATCACAAGTTAACACCTCCCAGTGATGGGTAGTATGTTAAAAAGATCTTCGGATTTTCTGATTGTCTGAGTGAAGGACAGGTGTTCACCAGGGGTTGCTAAAATCCATCTGCAGAATGTAACATAGACCAGTAGAATTCTGGCCAGACAGTCAAAGGGACACTTTAGGCACTACAACCACTTAAACTAATTAAAGTGGTTATGGTGCATAATGTTCCCTGCCACCTGCTTAGTGTCAAATTGTTTTCTGTTGTGGTACTGGATGTGGGTCCCCAGTGCCTAGAGCCAGCTGCTCTCTGCATCTAGCGCTAATGTTTTCTTATACGGGGGAAACAATGGTCAGCAGTGAAAGGCTGGGAGTATTATCTTAGTGCTTTCAGCCTATCGCTGCTTCCCATCACAGGTAAGAGTTGTTTTGGCTAATGTGTTATAGCCTCCGCGTTAGCCGTGCCTTGAAATAGGAGCCGACTCACAGCGACTTTACTTGCCACCACTGAATCTCCCCTGCACTTCCTTCTGTCAATGTATGAAGGGCAAGGATTTATCGTGCACACGGGTTGAGGAATGAGGATTCTATTAAACTATTATTAATTATTAATTTCCAGTTTGACTTATGAAATATTGAAGTTCTAAAATGAATTTCCCCACTTCCGGGGGCATTAAATTTAAATCATTGTATCTGCCACAAAATGTTTCAAACTGGAAACATTCATCTGCAGTTCACCTAAAATGTGGCTTTTATTAGAACGCTGAATTGCAATAATTAAGAAATTGCTGTTTGAAATCGCTGTTGGAACGTACTTGCTTTGAATATAATTAATTTATAACCGACGCATAAATGTTATAGGATATTCTGCCGACGCTGGCCCACGGCTTATTAAAACAGGACGTGCCCATTCTTTATTTTCCTTGACCTAGCAAATCCTAGTTTTGCTGCAGTCGATATAAATTTTGTGTTTGTATTGTGTTTTTGCTTAATGCACAGTTTGATCACATGATAGAGACAGTGTTATGAATGGATTTTGCCTGTTTTTATAGGGCAATTTATTGTTATCTGAAAAAGAAAGTATTTTTTTTTTCTAATCCAAAATACGTAAATAAGCAGCGAATGGGAGAACAAAATGAAAATCAAAACAAATATTGACATATAAACGTGTTTATTTAATTTAAAAAAAGGAAATTGTCCCAGCGCCGATCGGTGCAGTCATATGATAACGACGCCAGACGCATCATTAGGCGACCTCTTACTGTGCAGTGAATGCCGCTTCAGTCTGCCTCCCATGCTGCCCCATCTCCTTCTGGCGCTTGGTTGAACACTGGCCGCCTCATGCTAGCTCCGCCTGCTCTAGTCTCATTAGTAACGTAAACATGCTTATGTCATAGCGTTGACAGCAGCCAAGCACATTTTGACATCACATGGGCAGAACTCAACAATCACTGACCTCGAAGGGCTACTAAAACTAATTTTAGCTGGTTTTTTTACGGGCTTTGTCGTGGGTTCCATTTACTGGATATCCTTGCCCGCGTTTTTCTTGTTTTTCTTGGGCTTGTTTTATCGTATTTGTCTCATTCTGTATCCCCGACCTTGGTTTGTTTCAGACTATTCTATTTGGCGTTAGGTCTGGCCTCGCTAAGGCACAATAATACGCATTTTTCACTTACATCTTTTGACCCTCTATTTGCTAACTGAGGCACTGCGTGTTGGGTCATACTTTATTCTGACAGAAATATCCAATATGTAATTACAATATAGAGTGTTAAAACCAGTGAGTTTAATCATCACAAACATTATACAGTATCACATTGTAGAGTGTTCTGTTGAATCTGATGATATTTTCAGCCAATTAATTTTCATCGGCTCCATTCATTCCTCAGGAAAACTTGTATAACTGTTTTAGTGTTTTCTGTCGATAAGATTCTGTAATCAGGCCCGTCATAATTGCCAGGACCAGGCCCAATGGGCTCTTAACGTGGCCCTGACACAGATACACATTCCCAGACAAATATACAAAGAAATGCATCCATGGACACACACACAGATACACATTCCCAGACATATATTCAAAGATATGCATTCATAGACATACACATTCCCAGACATATATAAAATGATATACATTCAGACACACACACAGAGATATACATTCTCAGACATATATACAGAGATATGCATTCATAGACATACACAGATACACAGACAGATACACATTCCCAGACATATATACAGAGATATGCATTCATAGACATACACAGATACACAGACAGATACACATTCCCAGACATATATACAGAGATATACAATCAGATACACATTCCCAGACATATATACAGAGATATGCATTCATAGACATACACATTTGCAGACATATATACAGAGATATGCATTCAGAGACACACACAGATACACAGACAGATACACATTCCCAGACATATATACAGAGATATGCATTCAGACACACACTGATACACAGACAGCTACATACTCCCAGACATATATACAGAGATATGCATTCAGATACACACTGATACACAGACAGATACACATTCCCAGACATATATACAGAGATATTCATTCAGACACACACAGATACACAGACAGATACACATTCCCAGACATATATACAGAGATATACAATCAGAGACACATGCAGATACAGAGACAGATACACATTCCCAGACATATATACAGAGATATGCATTCAGACACACACTGATACACAGACAGCTACATACTCCCAGACATATATACAGAGATATGCATTCAGATACACACTGATACACAGACAGATACACATTCCCAGACATATATACAGAGATATTCATTCAGACACACACTGATACACAGACAGCTACACATTCCCAGACATATATACAAAGATATGCATCCATAGACACACACAGATACACATTCCCAGACATATATACAGAGATATGCATTCATACACAGATACACAGACAGATACACATTCCCAGACATATATACAGAGATATGCATTCAGAGACACACAGATACACAGACAGATACACGTTCCCAGACATATATACAGAGATATGCATTCAGAAACACACTGATACACAGACATATACACATTCCCAGACATATATACAGAGATATGCAATCAGACACACATTGATACACAGACAGATACACATTCCCAGACATATATACAAAGATATGCATCCATAGACACACACAGATACACATTCCCAGACATATATACAAAGATATGCATTCATAGACATACACATTCCCAGACATATATAAAACAATATGCATTCAGACACACACACACAGATATTCATTCTCAGACATATATACAGAGATATGCATTCATAGACATACACAGATACACAGACAGATACACATTCCCAGACATATATACAGATATATGCATTCAGAGACACACACAGATACACAGACAAATACACATTCCCAGACATATATACAGAGATATGGATTCAGACACACACAGATACACAGACAGATACACATTTCCAGACATATATACAGATATATGCATTCAGACACACACTGATACACAGACAGATATACATTCCCAGACATATATACAGAGATATGGATTCAGACACACACTGATACACAGACAGATACACATTCCCAGACATATATACAGAGATATGGATTCAGAGACACACACACAGATATACATTCCCAGATATACATACAAAGATATGCATTCATAGACACAGACAGATACACATTCCCAGAGACACACAGACACACACTACTAGACACATACACAGTATTACACACATAATGAAATCTATCCTTATTGGTTTTAGCTCCTAGATGCAGGAGGGTGTGTTCCCTGGTGACATCCCTTGCTCTCCTTTGTGGTATCCTTCGAGAATCAGAGGATTTGCAGCCAAGCAAAGTAGATGGAATGGCAGCCATCACTGAATCCTGAAACGGGTGCTGTGTAGGGGTGCCCCTAATCTGACTGTGTGGCATTATAGCTACGGCATATTAAAGTACTGCCTGTACCCCATGATGGCAAATATTGTTCATGCTTTTATTGTAAGCATTTAATGGCTAATGGTGACCATTTCAATGCAATGCTAACCTGCTGCTAGTGTCCCTAGCTTTTTAAGTAACTATTAAATACATAATGTATTCTGAGCCATCTCATACTAAAAGGTTTAATGCAGATCTTGTGACTTCTCCCAGACTGAGTTAGCAAAAATGTCCTATATGTGTAATTGAAATCCGCACTGAGCATCTTCAACTAAAAACTGCTCCTGACGGCTAAATATAGCATCAGATCATTAAACGGTGCCGGACTTATTGACAAGTCGCCTTGGATAATGCAAGTCATATCTACAGAGAACGTGAAATAAGGCCCCTCTATCTCGAGCGGGATGAACAGTGTATGTATCTCTCTTCTTTAGTGTGACTCCCTGATCAATGGATCCCTATCCCTGATCTCTTACAATGTAACAGCCCAGTAATAAAGCTGTGTAGATCTGGTGCAGAGACTCCCAGGTCAATGGATCCCTATCCCTGATCTCTTACAATGTAACAGTTCAGTAATAAAGCTGTGTAGATCTGGTGCAGAGACTCCCTGATCAATGGATCCCCATCCCTGATCTCTTACGATGTAACAGTCCTGTAATAAAGCTGTGTAGATCTGGTGCAGAGACTCCCTGATCAATGGATCCCTATCCGTGATCTCTTACAATGTAACAGTTCAATAATAAAGCTGTGTAGATCTGGTGCAGAGACTCCCTGATCAATGGATCCCCATCCCTGATCTCTTACGATGTAACAGTCCTGTAATAAAGCTGTGTAGATCTGGTGCAGAGACTCCCTGATCAATGGATCCCCATCCCTGATCTCTTACGATGTAACAGTCCTGTAATAAAGCTGTGTAGATCTGGTGCAGAGACTCCCTGATCAATGGATCCCTATCCCTGATCTCTTACAATGTAACAGTTCAGTAATAAAGCTGTGTAGATCTGGTGCAGAGACTCCCTGATCAATGGATCCCTATCCCTGATCTCTTACGATGTAACAGTCCTGTAATAAAGCTGTGTAGATCTGGTGCAGAGACTCCCTGATCAATGGATCCCCATCCCTGATCTCTTACAATGTAACAGTCCGGTAATAAAGCTGTGTAGATCTGGTGCAGAGACAACTTGATCAATGGATCCCTATCCCTGATCTCTTACAATGTAACAGTCCATTATTAAAGCTGTGTAGATCTGGTGCATAGACTCCCTGATCAATGGATCCCTATCCCTGATCTCTTACGATGTAACAGTCCAGTAATAAAGCTGTGTAGATCTGGTGCAGAGACTCCCTGATCAATGGATCCCTATCCCTGATCTCTTACGATGTAACAGTCCAGTAATAAAGCTGTGTAGATCTGGTGCAGAGACTCCCTGATCAATGGATCCCTATCCCTGATCTCTTACGATGTAACAGTCCTGTAATAAAGCTGTGTAGATCTGGTGCAGAGACTCCCTGATCAATGGATCCCCATCCCTGATCTCTTACGATGTAACAGTCCAGTAATAAAGCTGTGTAGATCTGGTGCAGAGACTCCCTGATCAATGGATCCCTATCCCTGATCTCTTACAATGTAACAGTCCGGTAATAAAGCTGTGTAGATCTGGTGCAGAGACTCCCTGATCAATGGATCCCTATCCCTGATCTCTTACAATGTAACAGTCCGGTAATAAAGCTGTGTAGATCTGGAGCAGAGACAACTTGATCAATGGATCCCTATTCCTGATCTCTTACAATGTAACAGTCTATTATTAAAGCTGTGTAGATCTGGTGCATAGACTCCCTGATCAATGGATCCCTATCCCTGATCTCTTACAATGTAACAGTCCAGTAATAAAGCTGTGTAGATCTGGTGCAGAGACTCCCTGATCAATGGATCCCTATCCCTGATCTCTTACGATGTAACAGTCCTGTAATAAAGCTGTGTAGATCTGGTGCAGAGACTCCCTGATCAATGGATCCCTATCCCTGATCTCTTACAATGTAACAGTCCGGTAATAAAGCTGTGTAGATCTGGTGCAGAGACTCCTTGATCAATGGATCCCTATCCCTGATCTCTTACGATGTAACAGTCCAGTAATAAAGCTGTGTAGATCTGGTGCAGAGACAGCTGTAACTCTGTAACATCAACGTTGAACAGTTTAGCCCTGTGGCATAAGGTCTATAAAGGAATGCTTTTTGAACACAGTCTATGCCTGCATTGTCAGAGCATTGACTTTGCGCCCTCATTAAAATTATTGTGTAAAAATCTCAAAGAAGAAGCATAGAACTATAGAAGGATTGTTGCAGCCTTGACTTTCCAAGTGGCCATATATGGTACTGCAGGTAAAAATATTCATATCTCAGTCCCAAGTAGCATTTGTTTCACTATCGGTCTAGCTCAAGGATAGACAACCTTCGGCACTCCAGATGTTGTGGACTACATCCCCCATAATGCTCCTACACCTAAAATGCTTGTAAAGCATCATAGGAGGTGTAGTCCAAAACATCTGGAGTGCCGAAGGTTGCCTATGCCTGTATCTAGCTAGCCCATTGACATCTGCAGACCTCTGATATGACATCAGCCAGAAAGTATCTGGACCAGTAACTGTCTCCAACAAGGTTTGATGTCCCTGTACATCCTTTATAAATGGCCTTATTTTATTGGTTTAGAAATGAGAATAGATTATATTATCACATATAATTGTTTATATAATTTCATAATGACCTCACAGAAATATTTATTGGTGAACTGTTTTAATCAGCAAACACAGCATCGATAATGTTGTGCTTAGTGAATAACTGTACAGTTATAGCAATTAAAAGCTCCAACAATAGTCATTTATTTCAGTTCAATGGCTACCATGAGTCACATGGCTTTTGTGAATGCATGGAATTTAATTTCATTTATTTATTTTGGACATTACATCATTCCCCTCTCCCATGTTCCATCCTTTCCATGCTGTCAGGGTAATCGTTTCTGGTAGATTAGTGGTGGGTATGAGTGGGCTGTTCTCTACCACCCTTCTCCCTGGCATGACCTATAATTTATATGCCAGTTCTGCCCAGAGTGATGGCCAGCAGCACAGTGTGGCAAAGGGGCACAAGGAGGTGACACAGCTAGAACTGAGCTGGGAATTCAAAGTTCTCATTCTCCATGGCAAAGCATGGGTTTGGCAGAAGAGCCCCTGATCACCCCGGATTCTCTAGGATACCAGCTGTGCCATGCAGTGCCACACAGTGCAGATACCGGGCTGACTGGTAAATAACGCAGTCTGGAAGATAAGTTCCCAGAGCACCTGACCTGTGTGCGAATCTGTTTTTTTGTTGTTAAATATAATCATGGTGCCTTAACCCCTTAAACTTCTGGAATAAAGGGGAATCATGACATGTCACACATGTCATGTGTCCTTAAGGGGTTAAGGAACCCTTTGAGTGCCAGATGTATGACCAGCACTTTGCAAAGCAATGTGGGTGGTAGACCTCCATATTGTGATGTTCCAAAGAATGTGTCTGATTATCAGCCCATTGTAACGCACAAGGTGAAAGGAACTTTGTGTTTTAAATCAATTATTTATTTCTAAAAGACGTGTTCTAATAGAAAACTATACATTCAATTACTGTATATGAGTGCTGAACAAAATGCATGATCTGTTTTCATATTAGGAGTAAAATGCTTTGAATGGGATTTAATCAACTGTCAAAAGCTTTATTCACACTGAGAATAGGGGAGTTTTATATTTTCAGCTCTCTCTTTGTATTCCTGCTATAGCAGAATCATTAATATAGAGAACGGTGTCTCAATTCTTTATATTAACAATTTAACTCTAAGATATACTGTATACTATGCAGTAAGAATTAGACGGAATTAGACTAGTTTAGCTAAATACTTATCAACTTGCACCCTCCAGTGGCAAAAGTTAGGAAACACAACATCTTTTCTGTCCACATTTGTACAGCTGTAAAACACCAGGAGCAGTTATTCGTTGTTCTGTGGGTTTTTATTGTAAATGGGATTAAATGTTCCGTTAAAGGGTATCCAGGTTAACAAGCCCATGTGTCTCTTATAGAATTACATACAATAAAAAAAAAGTGAATTTAGTGAACAGAAAGCTATTTGTTTTATTTCAGAGAGATTGCGAATAGTGAGTGGCTTGACAATACAGCCAAAGTGACTCCCTCTTATTTAATGCAATATACAGATAATACAAAGGAATAGAAATCAATGATAAATTATATCAAATTTCAAAGAATAAACCCGCCATGAAAGTTTCCCATACCCGAACATTTTAGGGAGTTTTCTGTGGGTACAATCCAATCAGGAGCTTCTCACTCTGATCAATGGCATCTTATGTTATCCCATAAACCCCCGTGTAAATGGTGTGGTGGGATAAGCAGAGTATTTTCACTTATCACATCACGCCATGCTGAGGATTCTATCAGTTTACAGCACACAGACTAATTTACTCTTTGTAGCACTGGGATTTGGGATGTTCTGCAGCCCCTGACCACCTGTGCTGTGTCTCGGCTCTCTCTGGGGAGGACCAAGAGATGCTGTCTGCTTGTGTGCATGCTACACGTGCTGAGATTTAAAAATCTGCAAAAGGAAAGTGTATAATGTTAAAGAGACACGACTCCCTCCCATTGTCATGCATTTAAAAAGATGCACAAGTAATGAAGAGATGCACATTTGTGAAGATCCGTGGTTTGTTATAGACCTGCTATAGCTTCTACAGGGAGCAGGACATGACTGAGACCTCTCTGCCAATCCCGGTCCTCCCATTGTTTTCAATATTAGTGACTTTGTAATGTAGTTATATTGTTTTAAACCATTTAAAGCATTCTTTTTCACTCCACTGTTTAAAATGTTGATCCAAAAGAAGCCAAAGCCAGACATGTAACAGATTTCTGATTGTTTCCCAAAGCAGGAAATATATATATTTTACTCCAAGCACCATAACCACTACATCTGTAATGTGGTGAATTTGTAAGGAGTTATTCTGTTTTACTATGGTTTAGCTTCTCACCCAGGGTCTGCTGGGAGCCGCTCCCATACTCCACTACAGCTTACTGAGAACTGAAGCATAGGGTATTCTATTAGTTCTCCTGAGCTAAGCCCTCCAATTCTCTCAGCCAATGAGCTAAGCCCTCCAATTCTCTCAGCCAATGAGCTAAGCCCTGCAGTTCTCTCAGCCAATGAGCTAAGCCCTGCAGTTCATTCAGCCAGTGAGCTAAGCCCTGCAGTTCTCTCAGCCAATGAGCTAGGCCTTGTAGTTCATTCAGCCAATGAGCTAAGCCTTGTCATTCTCTTAGCCAATGAGCTAAGCCCTGCAGTTCTCTCAGCCAATGAGCTATGCCTTGCACTTTTCTCAGCCAGTTGTATTGGAAAACAGACAGGATTAGGCGCTCACTATAGTGATATATACAATAAAGAGTGGGCAGCAGTGACCAACACAAGGATTCCCAACCTTGTAATAGAACAATTTGTGAACAAGAAAAAAAGGAAACCGCGCCCTTATTGTGATACGAATATACATACTCGGATCCTTATGATCGTGTTATATCAATAATCAACCTCAAAAAGAAAAATATACAAAGTGATAGTGTAATACTGTAGATAATTTGATTAATAAACAGCAAATAGATAAATGCACACTCACATTTATCAGAGCTAATACAGAGCTCTACTTTTCTTGCGCATAGATGGAATAATCCCTGTCTCTGGATTAGTTAGAGATGGTCAGCGTCTTGATGGTCTCAAACAAAGAACACATAGAAAGGCATAGGAATCCACATAGTCTAGTATATACTAATACCTTGAAGATAATAAATGTGTATAAAGTTTCGTACTCACATTTGCTAGAGCGTGCCTCACTCTAGTTAATAAAGCTTAGGTGGTATAATCCCCACCAAGGAATAAGATGGTAACCAGGAAAAAATAATAAATTGGTATCTCAGAGTGATAAAAAGTAATATAACTGTTTATTATACATAAAGAACAAATGTGTAAAAAAATCACTCTATGAGAAAAGTCCATAAAAAATCCACTTCACGCATTTCACCTATGGAGGCTTCTTCAGTTGTATTGGAGGCAGGGAGTGGTGCACAGTAGTCCCCAGGTATCAAGACAAATGTCCTAAAATGGTTTGACTCGTTACAATTGGGGGTGCCAGAACATTCCTTGTACCATAACCACTATACAAGCGCAATGTAGTGGTTATGGTGCTTGGACTGTTCCTTAAAACTACTAGTCCTGGTATCCCCAACCAGTGTGATCTGCTTCTCCTTTATCCTGTATCATTGGCACTGGATAACCATTTTCATTACCTGCCAAGTCATGTGTTTCCCACCAGGTGTCTTTTAATACTGGTTGTGCCGTACTGTTAATCATATGGCAACAGGTCTCGCTCAACGATTCAATCTCTGGAACTTCATAAAAAATAAAAGTAACCAGTATCACCATATTCTGTGCTAATCCCATGGAGAGTTATGGAGATTTTCACCGTCTCTATCAGATCTTAATTTTACGTTTTGGGTGGTCTATGTGCTTAACATGCAATTCAGTGTTCAGTTCACTGCAGATCACAATTTAAACCCCAATATCTATGATGGCATCATGCAATACAATGTCTTAGAATAACCGCAAAAAATCCTAAATTTGAAACATTTAATAAACCCATCATTTTACCTTACCTGTTCAATGTGTATGCAAGTCAGCAGAGGTTCCTATTTAGAGTTCAGAGCATCTGGGCATCCTCATCTCCCGGTGTTCGAACATTCTACACAGTTTTTTAACATGACGGAGCAAATAAACATTGCCACGTAACAGTCCTTATCAATTAATTACATAATGTTTATTAATAGAATGATTTCCCTATTAAATGGTGGTATACCGGTACGCTGGTAATGGGCACCGAGATAGGCAAGTCTCTCCTTCCCTGCCTGACTTTGTCTCCATGATGTGTGTGACACCGATGGCTTTGTTGCATAATTTTAAAAGTCCACCTCATGCCTAAAGTAATGTGTATAGACTGGATGGAGACAAGGTGGGCAAGGAAGGATTAAGGAATCAAGGCACCCGTTAAGGGACTATGGAGTGCAAACTGTCCATGGGTTATGGGATGCAATACTGGTGCTGGCAACCCACGCTACACCTCTACCCTAGTTAATTAACTGAAAACAGTGAAAAGATTGTTGTGTCTATTCCATAAACCTGTGCACAGAAGGAGTTCATGGGATATACAGTTTAATTGCCAGATTTCTGTTGAAGGATGCAGTGTGTGTGTTAGTGTAGTAAATGCAGAGTGTTAATGTGTAGTGAATGCAGAGAGTGTGTTAGTGTGTAGCGGATGCAGATTGTGTGTTAGTGTAGCGGATGCAGAGTGTGTGTTAGTGTAACGAATGCAGAGTGTGTTAATGTGTAGTGTATGCAGAGTGTGTGTTGTATTATTGTATGCAGTGTGTGTGTGTGTTGTGTTAATGTATGCAGTGTGTGTGTGTGTTGTGTTAGTGTATGCAGTGTGTGTGTTGTATTAGTGTATGCAGTGTGTGTGTTGTGTTAGTGTATGCAGTGTGTGTGTGTTGTGTTAGTGTATGCAGTGTGTGTGTTGTGTTAGTGTATGCAGTGTGTGTGTGTTGTGTCAGTGTATGCAGTGTGTGTTGTATTGGTGTATGCAGTGTGTGTTGTGTGTTGTGTTAGTGTATGCAGTGTGTGTTGTATTGGTGTATGCAGTGTGTGTTGTGTGTTGTGTTAGTGTATGCAGTGTGTGTGTATGCAGTTAGTGTATGCAGTGTGTGTGTTGTGTTAGTGTATGCAGTGTGTGTATGCAGTTAGTGTATGCAGTGTGTGTGTGTTGTGTTAGTGTATGCAGTGCGTGTTGTATTGCAGTGCATGTTGTATTGGTGTATGCAGTGTGTGTGTTGTGTTAGTGTATGCAGTGTGTGTTGTATTGGTGTATGCAGTGTGTGTTTTGTGTTAGTGTATGCAGTGTGTGTGTTGTGTTAGTGTATGCAGTGTGTGTGTGTTGTATTGGTGTATGCAGTGTGTGTGTTGTGTTAGTGTATGCAGTGTGTGTAAATGTGCAATCTGGGGTGGGAGGGGCATTTTAACATTATTTTTTATTAATTTAATTAAATGTTTCTCCCCCCTCCCTGCTTACCTGTATCCAGGGAGGGGGGAGATTCCATCTGTGGTGGTCCGGTGGCATGGGGGCCCAGAGGGGGACCGCAGAGGGGGCCCAGGCAGCACACAGCTTCTCCTCTTCTCTCTTCTAATAACTCTCGCAAGACCCGCGGAGCGTTGCCATGGTAACCGGGTCTCGCAAGAGTTATTAGAAGAAAAAAGAGAAGAGGAGAAGCTGTGTGCTGCCTGGGCCCCCTCTGCGGTAACAGGGAGCCTGGGGCCCGTGGCTGCACACAGATAGCGATATTCGCTATGTGTGCAGAGAAAGAAAGTGGGGTCCGGGCCCCCCAGGGCCGCCGGGCCGGTGACAACAGTCACAGTTGTCACCCCCTGATGGCGGCCCTGGTCAGGACTCTGACTGGGCCACCTCAGAAGGCGTATTTTCTTCTGTTTAAGCCATTCTGTTGATTTACTTCTATGCTTTGGGTCATTGTCCTGTTGCAACACCCATCTTCTGTTGAGCTTCAGCTGGTAGACAGATGACCTTAAGTTCTCTGGCAAAATGTCTTGATAAACTTGGGAATTCATTTTTCCTTCGATGATAGCAATCCATCCAGGCCCTGACGCAGCAAAGCAGCCCCAAACCATGATGCCCCCACCACCATACTTCACAGTTGGGATGAGGTTTTGATGTTGGTGTGTTGTGCCTTTTTTTCGCCACACATAGTGTTGTGTGTTTCTTCCAAACAACTCAACTTTGGTTTCATCTGTCCACAGAATATTTTGCCAGTACTGCTGTGGAACATCCAGGTGCTCTTGTGCAAACTGTAAACGTGCAGCAATGTTTTGTTTGGACAGCAGTGGCTTCCTATGTGGTATCCTCCCATGAAATCCATTCTTGTTTAGTGTTTTACGTATTGTAGATTCGCTAACAGGGATGTTAGCATTTGCCAGTGACTTTTGTAAGTCTTTAGCTAACACTCTAGGATTCTTCTTCACCTCATTGAGCAGTTTGGGCTGTGCTCTTGCAGTCATCTTTACAGGAATGGCCACTCCTAGGGAGATTAGCAGCAGTGCTGAACTTTCTCCATTTATAGACAATTTGTCTTACCGTGGACTGATGAACAGCAAGGCTTTTGGAGATACTTTTATAACCCTTTCCAGCTTTATGCAAGTCAACAATTCTTAATCGTAGGTCTTCTGAGAGCTCTTTTGTGCGAGGCATCATTCACATCAGGCAATACTTCTTGTGAAAAGCAAACCCAGAACTGGTGTGTGTTTTTTATAGGGCAGGGCAGCTGTAACCAACACCTCCAATCTCATCTCATTGATTGGACTCCAGTTGGCTGACATCTCACTCCAATTAGCTCTTGGAGATGTCATTAGTCTAGGGGTTCACATACTTTTTCCACCTGCACTGTGAATGTTTACATGGTGTGTTCAATAAAAACATGGCAGCATTTCATTCTTTGTGTGTTATTAGTTTAAGCAGACTGTGATTGTCTATTGTTGTGACTTAGATGATGATCAGATCATATTTTATGACCAATTTGTGCAGAAATCCATATCATTCCAAAGGGTTCACATACTTTTTCTTGCAACTGTATATATGTACACATACACACACACACCAGATCATGTGAACATGGTTTGACTACGTACTGTGGGGCAGCACCGAGGCCCTATAACCACTATAGCACACTGTAGTGGTAATGGTGCCAGTTCTATCCCTTTAAAAGCTGTGCATACCTCAGTTTCATAGTTCCAGTTCCCGGTAAGGTCATCCTCCCAAGGGGAATACAATGATTGATGACAGCACTTCCTAATAATCTAACAATTTGGTTAAAACAATACACCAGCACTGTGATGCGGTCAGTTATGTTATGTATTGCAATTTAATTCAAGTATTCATTTACTGATTTTAAATTGTTTTTGATAAATATGAATTTTAAGAATGTTATTCGATTATTATTTTGTATTTAAACTGTATGTTTTTTTTTTAAATTCATGGATTGTCTAATATGCATACCCAAATATTTAAAATGTATAGAAATGGACAATATAAATATTGCTGACAATATGCAGTGCAGCTTTAACTAGAGAATCCGACATCTTTGTGTAGTTAAAAAATATATATATATATAACAGCTTAGTTAAAATTCACTCTGTCACCCAGCAGCACTGCTGTTGCCATGGAGACACAGTCTGCGCTTGCTTGCAATCAATAATTTTGCTTTGCTCTCATTCCTAGAAGCCAAAAATAGCCTCTCTCCATTCTTAGTCTTTTTGTACAAAAATACGTGTGTCGGACAAAAATGAGACAAGAACACTACTGGATAATTGGCAAAATAAACTGATTTTCATTTGATTTTCTCATTTGATTAACTGTTTGTGACTGTACGGATTTTTGCTTTGCCACTAGATTACGTAATTATTAACCATTTCATTGCGGCATTGGTGCAGTGCAGTCTGCCTTCGTGTCACTGCAGATTACATTGTCTGCAAGGTATCGCTATGGCGATCTGTCTTTCTAAAACATGGATTCTTCTATAACCCCCTTGATTCTATTCATATCACCTTAGATCTTATAGCGACACGTTGAGCTGTGGCAGCTCAGTTGTTGTCGGACTATAACTGCCATAATTTTCCTTCAGCCAATGACCAATGGCTGACCGAAAATTACAGGGGTTTTAGATTAACAGCAGCTAGGTAACAGAGTGCAGTTCTCCACCCATACCTGCACATTTGGTTTAATTAAAAAAATATAATTCTAGAACAAACATGTTCCCTTTAAGCAGCAGCATGGATACAAAGCAGGCAGTAAATGGTGGCATTGTACGGACTGTCGCCGTGGTGGCAGATTGTGATTTGATGCTATGAATGTTTCTGGATTACTGGAGCATTGGATGAATTTAGACTCTGCATCCTCACACCCCCTCAGTATAACTTACTCTAACCTTAGTGTTAGGGTAGCTGTCTCTAAGATTAGTGTTAATGTTACATACCACCCAACTTTCCCTATTTAGGAGGACAGTCCCTAGTTAGGCCCAGTTAACTTACTTTTCTATTCAGATGTCTGTCTTTTCTAGGAGCTCCATATTGTTGGCGAGTCTAAGTGTATAACTCCCTGTAATGTGTCTTTAAACCACAATAAATGTGTTCAGAAGATACATTGTTCTCGTTCTAAAATACATCTACTATCTAAAAGTTACATTGATTGTTATTACTAAGGCACGTAAAATTTCTCAAGATAGCCTTGTTCCAGGCCATAAGCCAGCTCACACCCCTAAAATGAAAGTGTCCCCTCTTCGTACATCTGAAACGTTCGGAGGTAGAATGTTAGGATTAGTTAGGGTTAAGGTTAGTGCACGTATTGGAGTTAGTGTTAGGGTTATATAGAATTTGCCTTTAGTTGCACTTGTTGCATTAAAATTATAATAGACAAAAGTGATTAAAAAAAAATTAGATTTGTTTTCCCTTCATTTATATATTTTTCATACTGAATTATGAGATACTTACATGCAATCACAGACTTCCCAATGTAGCTCACCGCCTCTTGAGTTTATATCCACTGAGCTAACCAAACCAGGAAGTACCAGGACCTGTTGTCCGATTGACAGCCCAGGGGGTGTAACATGGTCCATTTATAAAAGTGCCAATTTCTGTTGAAATCTGCACTTTTGGTAAAATGAATAAATAGGAGAACATTTTTACATGCAGTCAGACAGCCAGATGGGATTTGTTCCTGATTGTTTTGTAGGCAATCTCTTGGTGGGCAGAGTGGTAACTCGCTGGACTAGAAATAAGTTTACTATTTGCAGGAAGGGAGGCGAAGGGGGTCCAGAACACACCCCAACAGGCCTCCATGATATTTATAAATCTAAGGTGTCTCAAGGTTCATTTCATTTCTGGTAATGGGTCCAGACCAAGCTGTGCAAGTAGTCTGAAAATATAAAGTCTTTGGATGTGCTGCACTGTTATATCAGCTTACTGGTACTTTCTGGTGTAACCCATCCCTTGTTTAACACAAGAGATCATTTTTTACAGTATAACGTATACAAACACTGTGATTAGCAAAACCAGCCTGCTGTTACATTATCCTCGTTAGAATTTCTCATTTTCTCATGGTGTTCTAATTGTTGGGTTTGGAACAAAACTGAATCTGTGTGTTCCTTTTTATTCACTTACCATTATAAGATTAAATACCCATTTTAGTTCATCAGTCTGGCAATTCTTAATACAAATGTCAAGGCAATTATTTTAGTCTATTGTTTTTGCACCTTCCGAGATGTGGGGTTCCCTTTCGATCTCCAGTTGAGTTACATTTTGGATGCAGATATTTCCTTACCCTCTCTGAATTTGCTTCCCTGGGAACGCTGCCATGTCTAAGTACAGGTCACGCAATGGCACCTTCTATGCGCAGTTTTACTAGAATATGCAAAAAAATATATTTTTATAGGGTTGTGATGGGACATAGATGCACATAGACTGTTGTTGAAAAAACTAGCTGGAAGTCAGAGCATTGCGCAGACATGCTTGGACAACTTAGGTACAGTAACAGTACCTCCACCTTGACACCTATTGCGGCTCTAACCATTAAACAATGTGACATACTGCCATATCCATCTTGGTCAGATCAGGGGCAAGCACTCCAGATGTTGAGCAGGATATTACTTTGCTGCAAAGGGAATTAGATATATTGGGGGACTGGGCCCTCAAACGGCAGATGAAATCTAATGTACAGTAGATAAAAGCAAATGATGCACAAGCAACCTATACCTTAATAATAGTGAATTAGGGATAACAACACTGAAGAAGGATTTGGGAATTGTTATAGACAACAAACTAGGCAACAATGTGCAATGTAAGTCAGCAGTGGCTAAGGCCAGTAAGAAAGCTGGAATCCCCTCAGCACTCTCAAAGGTAGGGAGGCTGGGGATTAAATGAAAAAAAAAATTTGAGTGTGTATGTGTGTTAGTGTTAATGTTTGTCAGTGAGTGTGTTACTGTGTGTGTGTCTGTTACTGAGTGTGTTAGTTGTGTGTTAGTTTGTGTGTGTCTCTTATTGAGTGTGTGTCTGCTAGTGAGTGTCAGTGAGTGTGTTCATTTTTGTGTCAGTGAGTGTGTTACTGTGTGTGTCTGTTACTGATTGTGTTAGTTTGAGTTTGTCTGTTATTGAGAGTGTGTCTATTAGTGAGTCTGGTTGGTGTCTGTTAGTGAGTGTGTGTTTGTCTGTGAGAGTGTATATTTTGTAAGTGAGTGTGTATGTGTGTCTGTCTGTCAGTGAGTGTGTATGTATGTCTGTCACTGAGTGTGTGTCTGTCAGTAAATGTGTGTGTCTGTTAGCTAGTGTGTATGCGTCTGTTCGTGAGAGTGTGTGTGTGCTTGTCTGTTAGTGAGTGTGTGTTTGTTGGTGAGAGTGTATATGTGTTTGTCAGTGAGTGTGTATGTGGGTCTGTCACTATGAGTGTGTGTCTGTATGTGTGTATGTATCTGTATCTCTTGTTTTCCTGGCACTATATATTCCTTAGGTCCCCCCCACCCTTGTGGCCCTCCTCCCGCTGGGCTATAAGGGTTAAAACCCCTTCAGCACTTACCTTTCTCCAGCACTGGGCTCCCTTGGCACTGGGGATCTCTCCGCCCTGATCCGCCTCTCAGTTTTGAATGCGCAAGATTTTCACAGTGAGAATCGCGGAAGCGCCTCTAGCGGCTGTCAGTGAGACAACCACTAGAGGCTGGATTAACCCTCGGTGTAAACATAGCAGTTTCTCTGAAACTGCTATGTTTTCAGCTGCAGGGTTAAAACTAGAGGGACCTGGCACCCAGACCACTTCATTGAGCTGATGTGATCTGGGTGTCTGTAGTGGTCAATTAAGTGTATGTGTATCTGCATGCACTGGTGTACATACCGCGGTCGCAGCCCTGCGACCAGGTGCCCACCGCCATGTGTTGCGGCCTGGCCCGTGCAGTGTAAGCGAGGGGGCACGGATCAGTTTTCGCACCGGGGATCTTGTGTGTACGTCACTGATTCAGGGCCAATACAAACCATAAACAGGAATTTACATAGGACACAGGGTCATGTGTTTAGACTCGAAGAAATTAGATTCAGTCTAAGGAAAAGGATTTTACAGTAAGAACAATAAGGATGTGGAATTCTCTGCCTGAAGACGTGGTTATATCGCAGTCTATACAGACGTTTAAACAGCAATTGGATAAATACTTGCAAAAGCACAATATACAGGTATATCATTTTTAAGTTGTGGAATAATGACTTCTTGATCCGAGCATAAATCTGACTGCGATTCTGGGGTCAGAAAGGATGTTTTTTCTAGTTTGTTGCAAAACTAGAAGTGCTTTAAACTGGGTTATTTGCCTTATTTTGGATCAACAGCAAAAACAGATGTGAGAAAGTCTGAACTTGATGGACGCATGTCTGTTTTTAGCCTATGTAATTATGACTACATCTCCCCTGATGCTTTGCCACCATTATAGCTGTAAAAGCATCATGGGAGATGTAGTCCGGAACATCTGGGGTGCCAAAGGTTGTCTACCACTGATCTAGGTGAAAGGTAGAGAAGGGGAGTTAGTAGGAAAAACCCTTACAGTAAACGTGGCCTGAAGCTAAATATAGTGGACACAGCAAAGCAGCCCAGTATGATAAAAATCAACCAAATGTAAATGATTATATATCTCACTAAATAGGCAATTATAGTAATAAGCAGCCGAATACCAGATGGATCTCAGCCAAACCCTAGAAGAAGTGTATCTTCATAAACTGGGCAGCCAAAGTGCATCAATGCCTCAACTAAACGTTATCCGTGTGTCAATCCAGTACACAGGTAGCAAATTCCAGCCACCCCCCAAAGGTACTGGGCTGAATTAGGTTAAAACAAGCTTCTTCCTTATTCGAGATATATATATATAAATCATGGGAGGCTTACAGATAAGTTAAAGTTTGTTTAACTACTCATTATCAGGGCTGCATTAATTTTAAGGGTTGCTCCAATCACCATGACCACTTCAGTGATTTAAAGTGGTCATGATTGTAGGTGTCTGTATGTGCTGGAGTTTCCGCTGGAAGAGCTACACATACAGAGTAATCTGCACTTGTGTGCGAGGGGCTAGTTACAACCCCGGCACACGTTCATTTCTGTGCATAAAATACGTTGTCAGTGCACACAACATGTTGGCAACAGACATATTTAATTTTTCCTTGCATGCAGTTTCTTCAAGGGGACGTGTTTCTCTACCTGCCTCCCAATACGATTGCTCATTTCAAAGATAAATAAACGAATACATTTCTACCTCCCCACTGCCTCTCCCCTTGCTGGCTTAGATTGCGCGCATGTGCTCTCTTCTCTATGAGAAGCTTGTCATTGGTCTGCGCAAGACCCTGGCTGACATCAGGCAGGAACATATAAGGCAGCTGCTGGATTCCAGGTAATTCAAAATCTTTTTTTTTTTTTTCAGGAATTACTGCACAATGGGGGGAGGAGGGGGAATAATTAATAGCACTCGCTTGGGCATTATACATAGAAAAATGTCTACCCCCTAAAAAGGGTTGGGTTTTTTAGACCCCCTTTAGCTTGGAAAGCCTTTGATACCTATTGAAGAGGAATTCTAGTGACTCCAGAGATGAGGTTAGAGTTCCAAAGAGCTCCATTGGAATTGCTGGCAAAGCGTGAGAAGCTGCAATTTCAGGTTTACTTTAAATTCTCAACGTATCACAGTGTTATCAGCTATATTTTATAAGTCCATTCATTCAATTATAGTGAAAGTTATCGCTTATGGTGTGAGGTATTTGGGGCTGCTGGTGCTATGTGTGCTCCCAGTATACCATTCACATCTTTATTTATTAGTATGGTCCTTGATGTCCCTAATGTCTGAGCTCGGGAATGACAAGTGAAGTACCACCATTAATGTGTTCTCAGGTCTCTGGGAGTTGGGGTATGTGTATGTGTGTATGTTATTGCTGGGATGGGAGCAGTACTGTTCATATAGTCGAGTTAAGAGACCACCATGGTTCCATGGCCAATTTAGATAGACAGGTCGGTGTGTGACCAGTTGGGAGGTCTGGCTGTAATGTCAGATAAAAGGACAATATCTTCAAGAATTACTGCTTTTGTGGAGCCATCAAGGCAATGCCTATTGAAATATAAAATGGCCTCTTGTGTTTTCGTTTATAAATTAAGATCTTAAGGGGTCACAGGGCAGAGTGTCACAGAGCAATTGAGTTAAAGCAGCATTTTGCATGAGAACATATGAAAAAGCTAAATGAAACAAACAGGTAGCCCAGCAGAGCAGTGCATGTCATTTATCTTTATATCTGGTCAATATCTTTGAATAACGAGGTGCACAGAGCAGTGTATGGTCATTCTGTATCTGTACATAGCAGCATATTCTTAGATCTGTATCCAATCATCTGCATAATCACTCAGTTGAAAGTGTGTTGGTTGTTCGATCATTACTGAAACTATGCCTCATTGTCTAGTAGATAATAAAAGATTAGAATGCAGTTCTAATAACCAGCCAAGAGAAAATAGATAATCAAAAAACACAGGCAAATTATGTACAATAAAAAGCATGAATGAACTGCAAAATTGACAATAATTTAATCAGTGTGTAAATTTATTTAGTTGTTTTCTGAACAGTAACGCAAAAGGCAGCCTGCCCTTGTAGTAAAGGAATGTCTATAAAAGCAAAGATTTCATTATCTGAAAAAGAATGGGCAGATACAGCACATCTAAAAGACAAAAATAAATAAATTGTAGTTTCCGTGTTTGATTACAATACAGCAGCCCACGTCAGATAATATTCAATATCCTTTATACAATAAATCAATTACAAATAGCAAACGTAAACTGAGAAAGAGGGTTCGGTAATAACATCAGTCCACCAATTCCAGCAACTAGCATACCAGAGTGAGACACGTCATCGGAACCTCCCAACGTTTTGGCAACTACTGGTACCTTGATCAAGGGATAGTTTCCTTGATTTCCTGATCTCATTCAGTTTGATAGTAGATCACTTGAACATTATTGATTAGGGTCAACTTGATCATTAGCTCCACTCTTAGGATGGGCTGTGGGGCTCCTGCCCCAGACCCGGGGCTTTGGAAGAACCTCAAATATTTACTTTATGTTGAAGAATAAGATCTTGGTGGGGGATAAATTTATCGCTAATTGGTGGAAAAAGAAGTACTTAATCTCCTGGTATCCTCGACCAGCAACCATTATATTTATTCCTCATCGGAACTGTCACACTGCATGAAATCATGGCCAGAGTCGAAAAAAATGGCTGCACCCAGATATTGAGACCCAGCACAAGGAAGAAAAGATAATAAATAAAAGCAAGTGGCAAGGGAGCATAAGGAAATTTAAATGCAGAATATATGTAATTCTACCTCTTTGCGCTTTGGACTTCTTGTACAGATTCCAGCTAGTCTAGCTAATATGGCAGGTCTCTGGGTATATTTCTTTGTTTTAGATCCAGTTACCCCTGGCATCCCATGAGTATTTACATTAAAATTAATGTATAACAGTCTGGCTTTGCCATAATCCCTGGTCACACTGTTCACTGGCAATGTCCCAGCAGCCACATGAAGACAAGTACATATGACAGCAGCTGTTATGACCAAGATATCCACCAATTCATCTACCGTTTTAAATGTCTCCACCCATACATCTACCCTTATAAATGTTCCCACCAATTCATCTACCATTTTAAATTTCTCCACTAATTCAGCTAACCTTTTACATATTTCCACCAATTCATCTACCCTTTTAAATGTTCCCACCAATCCATCTAACCTTATAAAGGTCACCATCAATTACTGTACTCTTATAAATGTCCCCATCAATTCAGCTACCCTTTTAAAGGTCTCCATCTATTTATCTGTTTTTACAAACGTCTCCAACAATTCCTCTATTCAATCCATTTTATCCAACCTTATAAATGTCCCCACCAATTTATCTAACCGTATAAATGTCCCCACCAATTTATCTAACCTTATAAATGTCCCCTATCCCCCCAATTTATCTAATCATATAAATGTTCTCATTAATTCATCCAGCCTTATACATGTCCCCACCAATTCATCTAACCTTACAAAGGTTGCCATCGATTACTGTACTCTTATAAATGTCCCCAACAATTCATCTACCGTTTTAAAGGTCCCAACCAGGTAATCTACCCTAATAAAGGTCCCCATCAATTCATCTACCCGGATACATTTCTCCACCAATACACCTACCCTTATAAGTTTTCCCACTAATTCAACTAGCTGTCATGATCTTGCTCAGGTCAGACAGGAGGCTTTGGCCAGAGTTGACAAAAGAGGCTTTATCGGCAGGTTTTGACATATCAGCAGGTTAACGTATAGAATGAAATAATAGGGAGAAGGGAAGAGAGAGAAATAAACGTTAAGGTAATATGCCCTAGAAAGATAATAAACAGTTGTGCAAATAATAAGAAAGCTAGAGATAACAGTATATGAAGAATAATAAGACAGGTACAAAGAATAAGGTTTCAGGGTAAGAAAATAACACCTTGTAAATAAAAGTAAGCAGCAATGTCCAGATAGGGGTTAAGCAGGATTGTTATGGAGCAGGGTTAGCAGTAAACCAGGTTGGCATAATAAAGCAGTGTTGCAGGTAATCCAGGTTGGTATGGAGCAGGGTTGGTATGGAGCAGGGTTGGTAGTAAACCAGGTTGGCAGGATAAAGCAGAGTTGCAGGTTATCAAGGTTGATATGAAGCAGGGTTGGCATGGAGCGGGGTTGGTAGTAAACCAGGTTGGCAGGATAAAGCAGTGTTGCAGGTTATCCAGGTTGGTATGGAGCAGGGTTGGTAGTGAATCAGGTTAGAAGCAATGAAGGCAAGTCACAGCTTGCTTCACAGGAGCCAGGATCGGAAGTCTTTTAGTAAGAACATCAGCTTCAATGTAAAGGCCACTTGGATTGTCGGGTATAGCCTTTTATAGCATACTTGATACATGCTATGCAGGTGTGAGACTGAGGTGGCTAGTGGCTAGGGAGGCCACTAGAGGCGAGAAACAGGTACTGTATTTAAAGGAACAGAAATAAATGAAGATATAACATAGTAATAAACACCAAGAAACTTTGTGGTGGGATACTGGGAGTACCCACAGAGTGTATTCAGCAGCTAACGATAACACAGTTCAATACAATACTACACAAGCGCCACTATTTCCCACACCTAGTTGTGTTTGAAGATAAAACATAGTTATCAGGATAGGATCCTGACACTAGCCTTATAAAGGTCACGATTAATTCCTGTACTCTTATCTATTTATCTATCCTTACAAAGGTCTTCAACAATTCCTGTAGTCTTATAAATGTCCCCACCAATTTATCTACCCTTATAAATATCCCCGCCAATGCATCTACCACCAATTTATCTAACCTTATAAATATCCCGCCAATGCATCTACCACCAATTTATCTAACCTTATAAATATCCCCGCCAATGCATCTACCACCAATTTATCTAACCTTATAAATATCCCGCCAATGCATCTACCACCAATTTATCTAACCTTATAAATATCCCCACCAATGCATCTACCACCAATTTATCTAACCTTATAAATATCCCCGCCAATGCATCTACCACCAATTTATCTAACCTTATAAATATCCCTGCCAATGCATCTACCACCAATTTATCTAACCTTATAAATATCCCCGCCAATGCATCTACCACCAATTTATCTAACCTTATAAATATCCCGCCAATGCATCTACCACCAATTTATCTAACCTTATAAATATCCCTGCCAATGCATCTACCACCAATTTATCTAATCTTATAAATATCCCCACCAATGCATCTACCACCAATTTATCTAACCTTATAAATATCCCCGCCAATGCATCTACCACCAATTTATCTAACCTTATAAATATCCCCACCAATGCATCTACCACCAATTTATCTAACCTTATAAATATCCCCGCCAATGCATCTACCACCAATTTATCTAACCTTATAAATATCCCCACCAATGCATCTACCACCAATTTATCTAACCTTATAAATATCCCCACCAATGCATCTACCACCAATTTATCTTACCTTATAAATATCCCCACCAATGCATCTAAAACCAATTTATCTAACCTTATAAATATCCCTGCCAATGCATCTACCACCAATTTATCTAATCTTATAAATATCCCCACCAATGCATCTACCACCAATTTATCTAACCTTATAAATATCCCCGCCAATGCATCTACCACCAATTTATCTAACCTTATAAATATCCCCACCAATGCATCTACCACCAATTTATCTAACCTTATAAATATCCCCACCAATGCATCTACCACCAATTTATCTAACCTTATAAATATCCCCGCCAATGCATCTACCACCAATTTATCTAACCTTATAAATATCCCCACCAATGCATCTACCACCAATTTATCTAACCTTATAAATATCCCCACCAATGCATTAACCTTTTAAAGTTCGTCTAACCTTATAAAGGCCCCCATCAATTAATCTAACCTTAAAACGGCTTCTATCAATTCCAGTATTCTTATAAACGTCCTCATCAATTCATCTATCTTAATTTACCCTAAGAAAGTTCCCCATCAATTCCACTCCCCTTCTAAACATTTTGTTAATTGATATAAAGAGAATAGAAAGTTATATAAAATCTGTATAATTTTCAGTGATTAATTTTGAGTGAATCATCTATATAATTATGTGCTAACGTGTGTGTGCTACTTTGTTCTGATCACCTTCCAGAGCAGAGGATATTTGTGCTATAATTTATTGTACAGCATTTTGAGATGAATCACATCTGTCTGGAAATAGAAGCACCGTTATCCAGTACTGTTCTGATAATGACAAATAAATGTTAGTCCTGATGCAATTTATGCTACCAGGAATTAAAGTGAAGTCATCTAAACCTTTTCAATACCTGGAATATATACATTGGACCTCAAATACATGGTTAACACAGTAAGTTATTGTGTTAGCTGTTTTTAATATAACTAACATTCCAGATTATGATTGCAACACACATATATAACAAAAACAGTTGGTAGGGGTTTTCTCCCTAGGATAGGGGAGAACCGAAATGGTTTATAACATAGTCTAAGGTGGTACAAACACATAGAGTACCATGCCTTACCTTCTGACTTATTGGAGAGTGTCATAATGGTTATCTCTCTAGAACAAAGACTGCCAAATAGACATGATAGACTTTTACAATTTTAGAATAAGTGCCCTACAGAACATTAGCTCCACAATTTTAATTTTCAAAGATGATTTAACTAAGATGGTGCTGTCACTCCCATGAAGACCATTATGATGGTTCCATAACCTGAGTCTACATTTAAAAAATAAATAGTGAGTCTCAATGATACTCCTAAAAACATAATTTCTGCTTGAGGAACTCATTCTACTGAACATCTAGATCTGATAGATCTTTATCAAACTTTCTCTATGGTCTTCCCAACGTCTGTGTGGGGAGTGAAGCTGGGAAGACCATAGAGACTAACTGTCGGATTTCAAATACCGTCTGACCCAAGGTGTGTGTATATGGCTGATGGATCCTGTCATATACTAATGCTAGGAATTAGTTTCTCATTTTTTACATATACTTCATTTAAAGAAAACCATTTCCTTTTCACAACTTAGGAAGGATTATTTTAATAAAAAATAGTTTTGAGATGACAGTGGTCCTTGAAGGATTGTGTAACCTTTCATCGATGTTGGTACTTCCTGTCCCTCATACATCTTTCTTGAAACCCTTAATTCTAGACTAATATTCTGATTTAGTGCATTCTATTCCTGCTCCCACCATACTAGACCAGAGCAATGAGTAAGCTTTCTAACGTCCTAGTCTTCTGTTTTTATTACAGTAACCTACAACAAATTTTCAGAAGGGCAGGTCCCTGTTCGAAGAGAGCCCATGGACTCATAGGAGACTGTGTCCTCTTTTCGTAGTTACTATCGCAACACGCCTTTCCTCCGGCACATGGACGATGCTGTGTGCTGATGCTGTGCCCTGCTGCCAGAAATCTATCCTGCTCCGATCAATATCTTTTATGCAGTCTGCGTAAATACAGCATTTTAGATAAATGCTTGTTTAATTTCTTAGGATACTTGTGAAAATCTGTTTTTCAGATCAAATAAAATGTATGGACAGTGTGGTTGTAGTTTTGGTACCTTGATCACAAGCATTGCTCCTTAGCTAGACCCTTGCCTCCACAATACGTGGCACCATACCTGTAACTTATTAATACCTCACATACCTCTACCTCCAGGCTGTGATCTAATCTTACCACTCCATTCACCTTGCTCTCTTACTGGGTACACCTTGTTTGACTTTTAGCCCAGGCTCCTAAAACAAGTTGATTATTTTGCATAATCTATTCAGTCCTATTCAGACGATACTTATATTATAATAAAAACGTATTTATCCAGGTAAGGTACATTCAGATTACTCTGGTTTTCAAGTACTTCCCGGGAGTGTTCGTTTGCCCAACATCCAGTGGATGGTTCTATCTACATTCATACAATGGGGTTGAAGTTCAGGCAGACAGCTTGTCCTGTGATGCCTAATAGAAAGCTAAAAGCTGCTGAATCTGACACGTTTATCTGCATGAATGTACTATAAACACTTATTCCTAAATATGAAAGCTTTTCTTCCTCGATATAGAAAGACAAAATCTTTTTCTCGCCTGATAGCCCGATACTTTCTTTCAACACACCAGTGACCTTTGTCCTCGGTATTGGAGATCAGCAGAATATTCTGTTTCCCAGTAAAGGAAAAAAAAGCTATAACTTTATCCCTGGCTAAAGGTGCCCTAACCCTCTCTCCAAGCATAGAAGGGGATCAAACATTTTATTTTGTCCCAAATAAAGTGTTCTTCATCCTTTCTGTTTACATTGCTCTACATTAAATATTAAACTATAACATTTTTTATTTTTGCTTATCAAAATATTTTTTTTCCGACCAGAAGAGAATATTGATTGGATTTTGCAAGCACCATCCATTAGGCTTAAGATATTGATGGAATAATAAATGCAACTGAAGCAGACTAATTAATGTAATTACCAAAAAAAGAAATCATATCTGTAAGGAGGGCACATTGATGCAGTAATACTGACATGGATCATCGGAAAAGCATATCGGTCCATGTATGATGTAAGCTCTTATTTACTTCATGGATGTGTGATGCCGTAAAGCCAGACAGCAATTGCTTTTCATTTGAAAGAAAACTGTGCATCCTTTCTCTCTTGATACATCCCCAAGGCAGTCACATCACCATGCTGATTTGCTGCAGTAAAGACTGCAGCGTCTCTAGTCCGCCCTCCCCCTTTCCTCGTTCTGCTTAGAGCATCAGTCTGTAGCCAGTGCATGTGAGCAGCAGTGAATCCCTCATACATTCATGCTTTGGAATGCTAAAACAATAGCCCTGTGCCTCAGCCGATCACACCCGTAATTCGACAGCCCCTCGAGATGCAGACCAGTGCCGACTCAACAAGGATGGAATGCTTTTGGACCAACTGGAAATGTCAGGGTATATTTTATATATGTTTTAGTCGTGCATGTGTACAAAGAACGGGGAACGTTTTGCATCTGTAGGCAAGATCGTTTCGTGTTATTCACTTGGTATATATTCATTTCTTTTGCATTATTTATTTATTTACTGAACATTTTTTTAAATTTTTTTTTTACAATTAAAATCCCAAAACCTCTACATCATGTACTCGCCATGTCGATAATACAGTATAATCTTTCATTTTATGAGCTTAGAATTTCAAGCCGATTCTTTCTGGTTAAACCGTCCACTTAGATTCTGTTCATACCTGCTATTTAATCTCTGGGTTTTATTTTCCAACAATGTTCTTTGAAATGAAAGACATAGATATTATTGCTCGGTAGAAACAAAGCCGTGGGCTTATAATAAAGGGGCTCCATTTGACGAGTACACACCCATTGTTAAATTTGTGTCTGCTCCACAAAGAAAAAAACAGCTCTGTCTGTTATCAGAATATTGCTAAATATAGGGGGGCAGGATGCTCAAAACGTAATAACCTTCATATTTACAAAAATTTAAACAGATTGATAGACATCTACCATTTTGAAGATTCATATTATTCATTGTATGCTTTAATCCGAGGCTGCAGCTTTATTTAATCAATTAATATTATATTATTGGGACTGGGTGTGGCCGTTGATGATACCTCTGTCTGTACTTCAGCCATATTTTTTTAACATCCCGTTTGGTCCCTCCTTTGTTTTTGCTAGAATATTCAGAGACGGTTGTGCACAGGGATATTGAAACAAAAGGCGTGTGGGACAGTATATTAAATCAACCAAGGTTATGGCTTTCTCATGTGAGATATTCTATGAATGATCAGCATTAACTAGAATAGACACCACCCATCGCGTCCTAATACATTTAAAAAAATATATATTTTCCATTTATGTACGCGATTTTTGTGTGGAAATCTGTAAAAATGTATATTCTGAGCAAAAAAAACAAAACGTCTTAGAAAAAAACAAAAAAACAACAACCTGATCAATCTGATGTGTTGTGAATGATTTAATAATTCCAGGCAGATTGGCGAAGTCCTTGGTTGTCATGGTTACAAAGCTTATCCTGATTCCAGCCCGTAGGTGAAAAATAATATGTTATTTACCCTTTATTTGCCTGAAGAGGCCTAAATAAAGGCTCACACGTCTCTTCAAAATATAAGTATAAACCTAAAGTATATAGAAAATTGTCATTACCTACGTATTATTATAGAGTCATTATTAGATCTAATGCAGATTGATACATATATAATTCATGTATAATTTTCAGGTGGCACCCAACAGAACACTGCCAGCCTCTTAGTTAATAGTGAAAGGATGTAAAATATGTTTCTCTTGTCGCATGAAATAATTACTGTTTGTTACAATAAATAGCTAGAAAATAGGCAAGCGTCAAAATGGATGTAATGACTCCCATTAGAGATATTAAGGATATAAATAATTGCTGTTATGGCTCCAGGTTTAGCTACAGGACTGCAATAGCTGTACAGTAATTATCCATATACCTCGCAGGAGGTTTTTACAGCAGAATTCATTCTCTACTTCAGTGATTATTTTCCTTCAAATTAAACCAAACATTGACTACTAACCTAGTATAAGAGCTTCACCAAAGGAAAAATACTATAAAAATAACAATAGCCCTAAAACAATAAATAAAAACAAGTTCAGCTGTCGGAAATCCATTAAAACGTGTTTAATTTGGAATATTTAGGATGGTAGGCATATAGTATTCCGTATGACTAAGCAGCAGAGAATGACGGAAAATGCGAGGATGCTAAGGGTATGTTGATATATGGGGCTGGTGATCCATCCTGTCTACTCTACCCAGGCAGTTGATGGTCCAAAGGGTCAAGTGTTGGAACACCCCCACCCCCTAAATGTTTGATGCAATAACAAAATAATAAATTGATTAAGTGTGGTAAGGACTAGTGATAAGTGTTAATGTATTGTGTGTGTTAGAAAAGAACATGTATGAGATTGATATAATAATCCCACCTTTATTGATTGCAAATAATTATGTCAAGATTTCGTCGTATGTTTGAAGAAAATGTCCCATTATCTGGGTACAGAACCTATATGCATGCTTGGTTAGCTCCAACAAGAGCATCACCGATCGCTTTAGTATTGGGCTGTCAGACTCTATAGGACAGGCCTCCATATTGTTCTGTCTTTTGGGGCTGTTATTGGGTAACAACGTAAGGGGTGGAGTCAGGCCTGTTTAAAGTGGTTATTGTTTCCTAAGTGTGTGTTATTATCTAATAGATAATTAATATCAAGATGATTTTTGGTGAGGAACATGGAATGACTGCTCATTGAGATGGGTTGAGAACAATACGATAAATAAACAGAGCCCAAAAAGTCAGGGGGTCTAGATTACAGCCCACCTTTTTTGAAACTTCACCAGTCGCTACTTCTCCACCTTAAATGAAGACTGGCATTCATTTCCAAGCAAGCCTTTATAATTTTGAGTGATGTTTAACATGTGGCTATTGCTCTTGTAGGCCAAAGTGTGCAGTCCGTCAAGGGCCCAAGATCTTGTAAAGTAAACTAATTTTTAATTATTTATAGAAAACCAAATAAACATCTGATGTAGTACAGGTAGAACATGAGTATTAGTAAAGAAACTTTCTAATCACGTGGCCACAGCAGCCCAATACTTTTGCTTGTACCCATCGATGGATACAGTCATCAATAAATCTGTATGAAAGTGCTTATGAAGAGGCAATGGACTATCATATTACTTTCAAACCTGACACTTCAATGAAAATAAATGCAATTTAACTACAGATGATAAATAAGTAGATATGTTTTGTTTTTTTGTTGCATATCAATTTATAGTATTTGGATGAGAAATCTGGTTCAACCTTCCAATTAGAAGTCTTTACAGAAATTCTCGTCTCTTCCCAACAATGGACACTTAAGCAGAATATATGATCAAAATATATGGTTTACAGAATGCACTTACAGTAGATACCTACCTCATTGTCTACATCTATTAAAACAGCAATTATGCCCCAGGTCCCAGTAAATCTTACTGAATCCTCTCATTACATTGCCACAATCATTGCTATTTTGTTTTTTTCACATATTTAACATTTTTGTATTTAATTATCTTTAAAAACTAGAATCTAATACAATTTTAGGACAAGATGGTCATTCAAGTAAGTTCTCGGCATCAATCTAGGATCTCCAGTGATAATTTACTGATGTTAAACTGCAGGATGGAACCATTGGAGGGCAGAAACACACCTGCAAGAATATATAGGTGGACCATGAAATTCTATTGGCCTGAATCACTCCCGCGGTGCAAAAAGTCAGAGTACGCATCACCAAAATGTTGTAAAGCCTGTCCCTTGAAAATGACGAGAATTGGTGCCAGAATGACGCACAACATCAGTATGAGTTGGGACATTACTAGAATGATGCTTGAGATTCGAGGTTCTATGGTATATAAGAGGAAGGGAAACTCAAATCAGTATGTGTGTATAGCCAAATACTTAATAAAACATCTCTATCGCCTCCGCCTGTCTGTCAGAAGCGTTGCTAGTTGGCAAAAAGACCAATGGCTTCAGCCCACGAGTACATTTTATGGCCCCACCCATATCTATTGATTTAAGCTCCTCCTAATATCAGGGCTAGACCCGAGTCCAACCTTGTTTTCTATAAATCACATTATGACACCAAATCTTTGGCTGTATTCAGAATCTTACATGAAACTATATTTATAAAGTCCACACCAAGCCATGCTGTATTAACCCATTACCCACTGGATTAAAATCTGCACCCATAGCAATTCCCTCACACTGTGCTGTGTAACTACTCCAATTATGTTGCATTAATGTGACACTGACACATATATTAGGGGGGTGTTATGTCTATCAGTATCGTACGGGACTAGCTAGCAGTGAAATACGACCCAGGTCTTCTCATGACACCACTCCAGCCACTGTCTGCTGCCCCAGCTTGGGAGTTAGGTGAAATAAGGTAACAAGGAATATAAATTAAAGGGAGAACAGATTACTGTGAGGTCAAGAGGACTACACCTTGGTTCCGAGTATGGACATACTCTGAAGCTGTATCTCCGTTGGACAGTTTGGAGGAAGAGGAGGAGGGTTCAAACAGCACTGTGTCCACCATACCTCCGTTCTGCCTCCTTTGAGTCCCTTGTTCTAGATGGACCTGTAGGGTCTGAGCGAAGGTCTAATTGCTATAAACTTTGGCCAGTCGTTAAGGCCTATATAAGTTTATAGTGGTGCCATAATAAGGGACCATAGCATACAGAACAAGGTCAAAGCTTGGAACTGAGATAATGTATGAATGGTCTGCATGGTTTACAATAGGATTTTGAGTAAGAAAATGTATACCTTGCTGTTACAAGTGTCTATATCAAACGGACTGCAAATTGTAAACATTGGACTGTTCCTTCAGTAACTGTTACAGTGACTGAAGAAAGTATTTGACCCCCTTTAAACGTTTGCCCACTGACAAAGAAATGATCAGTCTATAATTTTAATGGTAGGTGTTATTTAACAGTGCGAGACAGAATAACGAAAAAAAAATCCAGAAAAACGCATGTCAAAAAAGTTTTAAATTGATTTGCATGTCAATGAGTGAAATAAGTATTTGACCCCTTCGATTTAGTACTTGGTGGCAAAACCCTTGTTGGTAATCACAGAGGTCAGATGTTTCTTGTAGTTGGCCACCAGGTTTGCACACCTCTCAGGAGGGATTTTGTCCCACTCATCTTTGCAGATCCTCTCCAAGCTATCAAGGTTTCGAGGCTGACGTTTGGCAACTCGAACTTTCAGCTCCTTCCACAGATTTTCTATGGGCCACTCCAGGACCTTAATGTGCTTCTTCTTGAGACACTCCTTTGTTGCCTTGGCTATGTGTTTGGATCATTGTCAAGCTTGAATACCCATCCACGACCCATTTTCAATACCCTGGCTGAGGAAAGGAGGTTCTCACCCAAGATTTGACTTTGATGCGGTGCAGTTGTCCTGTCCCCTTAGCAGAAAAACACCCCAAAATCGTAATGTTTCCACCTCCATGTTTGACTGTGGGAATTGTGTTCCTGGGGTCATAGGCAGCATTCCTCCTCCTCCGAACACGGCAAGTTGAGTTGATGCCAAAGAGCTTGAATTTGGTCTCATCTGACCACAACATTTTCACCCACTTCTCCTCTGAATCATTCTGATTTTCATTGGCAAACTTCAGACGGGCCTGTACATGTGCTTACTTGAGCAGGGGGACCTGCAGGATTTCAGTCCTTCATGGCGTAGTGTGTTACCAATTGTTTTCTTAATGACTATGGTCCCAGCTGCCTTAAGATCATTAACAAGATCCTCCCGTGTAGTTCTGGGCTGATTCCTCACCATTCTCATGATCATTGACCAAGGGAGACTGACAGTTATTTTGTGTTTCTGCAAATAATCGCACCAACTGTTGTCACCTTCTCACCAAGCTGCTTGGCAATGGTCTTGTAGCCCATTCAAGCCTTGTGTATGTCTACAATCTTGTCCCTGACATCCTTGGACAGCTCTTTGGTCTTGGCCATGGTGGAGAGTTTGGAATCTGATTGCGTCTGTGGACAGGTGTCATACAGGTAACGCTGAGATTAGGAGCATTCCCTTTAAGAGAGTGCTCCTAATCTCAGCACATTACCTGTATAAAAGACACCTGGGAAACAGAAATCTTGCTGATTGATAGGGGATCAAATACTTATTTCACTCATTGGCATGCAAATCAATTTATAACTTTTTTGACATGTGTTTTTCTGGATTTTTTTTTGTCATTCTGTCTCTCACTGTTAAAGTACACCTACCATTAAAATTATAGACTGATTTTTTAAGTTAGTTTACTAACATTTTACATATTTCCTTTTTTTTTTTTAAATCATCTAACTATTTGTGGACATGGCTTATGTTTTTTGATTGTGTTTTATTAGTGGGGGGAGGGGTTCCAACACTGTCCCTCTAATCTTAAGACTATTTTGGAGGGACACTTGAGAGATACTCCCAGTGGATCTTGTAATGCTTTGAGTAATCTTAGAGAGTAGTTTACTTTTGTCTCAAAGTAAAGAAAGGTTTGTTTCTATGTATCCTATCAGGGGTTGTTCTCAATCCAGTACATAAGATGTGTTGGACACATTTGGTCAGATAAAGGGACAATGCTTTCTTTATCTTTATTCATCTGTAAATACTGGACCTTTGTTAGCCTTTAAGAATTGTAGTTGGATTATCAATTCCAATTTATATTATTTCCTTTTTATTCGGGTCCAGGTCTTGTTACATTGATATTCCTGCATAGTTCAGTGTGAATGTCATAACTATAGTAGATCCACGTCAACTTTCTACCTATTGCACATCAAAGCAATTTAGAGAGGTTAGGATTCCTTTGTATATTTTTTTTGTGATTATAAGTATGTTTTAAGTCCTCTAGTTCTCCAAAGTTAAAGTAATATCCCAAACACCTAAAGCACTTTTGATGTGCCCTCTGTTTTTCATTTTACACAAAGTGCAGAATTCAATAGATTGTGACACTTTTATAAACTTACTTTGTTACACCTCCTGGCTGTCAATCAGACAACTGGTTCTGTTACTTGGCAATTGGTTGATTAGCTCAGTGGACAGGGCCGGCACTTGCTATAGACGACTTAGGAAGGGGCGCCGCCAGGAGTGCCAGCCCCTCTCATGCTGCAGCTGCCTGAGCACTCTAAATACTGTAGTGCCTCAGGCGGCTGCAGCACTGCGCGGGCCGGCGCTTCCATTAGAAATGAGGGATCGGCAGGAGGGAAGTGCACAGTGCTTCCTCCTGTCAGTCCCTCAGTGTATCATGGCCGAGCTCTGCTCCAGTCCGGTCCACAGTACAGGAGCATCCGTTTCCTGTACCCAGCCGGACTGACAGGAAGTGCTCACTCAGTGACAGTGGCTGGGTACCGGAAACAGAAGGAGGGTGGGGGAGAGGAGAGACCACTAATGGGGTGAGGAAGAGGAGAGACCACTAAGGTACAGCGGAGGAGAGGAGAGATGACTAAGGGACAGGAGGGAGAGCTCTAAAGGACATGGGGTAGGAGAGAGCACTAAGTGACGGGGGGAGCACCACGGGTTGGGGAGGGGGGAAGCACCAAGGGACAGGGGGGTAGGAGAGAGCTCTAAGGGACAGGGGGAGGAGAGGAGACTACCAAGGGACGGGTGGGAGTGAAGGAGATTATTAAGGGACAGGGGAGTGGAAGACACACAGAGAGGCTAAGGAAGGGGGGAAAGAGAAGCACAAAAAGAGACATACAGAGGGGCTCAGGAGGGAGACACACAAAGGGGCTGGGGCGACTAAGACACACAAAGAAGTTGGGAGGATGTAGGAGACATACAAAGAGGGGGTAAAGGACAAACAAAGGGCTTGCAAGAGATACACTAAAATTCTATTTTTTCTGCTCCCCTCTCAGCCCCTATCCTATCCCACAAACTCTCTCTTTCACAATATACACACACACACACACACACATGCAATGGATCCCTATACACACACAAACACACCATGCTTCCCTTACACACAGAGAAACACACAGTGCATCCATTACACACACACAATGCATCCATTACACACAAAGACAATGCATCCCTTGAACAAATACACAGAAACACACAATGCATCCCTTACAGACAGAAACCTTACATTAAAAGGACACTATAGTCCCCAGAACCACTGCAGCTTAATGAAGTGGTTCTGGTGTCCATAGCCTGTCCTTGCAGGCTTTTTACTGTAAACACACACTGTGTGCAGCACTGATGTTGGTTCATATGACAGATCATATGGGTGGGGCATTGTGATGTCACATGGTGGGCAGCTCATATGGGGGGAGGGGCAAATTTTTATTTTGCCTAGGGCGGAAAAAATCCTTGCACCGGCCCTGTCACTTAAGAGGCATCAATTGCCCAGAGCACGTGCCTTGCAAAGACTTTTTATTGAGCTGCATTGGGAAGTCTGTGATTGGACAGTCACAGAAAGTCTGGGCGGGCTTAGAAGAGGAGGGTTTGCAAAGGCTGCAGACAAGAGATCTGCTGCTTTTACAAGTTGTCTTTAGATTTACCCCATTAAAAAAAAACATAGTTAAATGCATACATGTTTTCATTGGAGTATATCTACTAAATAGTGATTTGTTTTTTTTTGTATTGTGCAGTGTTGTATTTAGGCAGTGGAGTATCCCTTTAAAGTGGTTAAAAATGCAAGATTTAGGGAATCAAAAGTAGCAATAAAAACTGAATTCAATAATAGCGCAAACTCCCAACCTAACTCCAAAAATTAGAACAGTGGGTTACATAATAAAAATAGAACATAACAATCAGAATATTGTAAGGTGTGATAAAAGGGAAGATTAATACAGGTTCAAAAAGTACACCGCGAGCTTAACACAAAGGAAAGAAAACACAAGGAGTGTATTCTCAGCATGATACACATAAAGTAATAATCAGGACCAAGAAAACACCCACACCGTCGATACACTAAATGACATGTTCTGCCTGCAGGGTATCCGTTTTTCTTTTGATGGCTGTAAAATATATAAATTATTTAAAATGTGTCCTCCTATTTAAATAACCACCTTTGTGACAAGTGGGCATTAGTTATTTCTTGTAATGATTCATCACTGGCGTCAAACTTGCGTACCGAGTAGACAACTATTTCATTTTCTGAACAATCTACTGAAAGTGACAAACCTGAATTATGCTAGTGCAGATAAGACTTGCTAAGGAAGACTTTATAACGTTTTTTCCATATGTAGATTTCATTGTTAAAATATGTTTTTGTTCTTCAAAACGTTATAATTACTTACAGCTGATAGTTTGTTCGCTAAATAACGACAGCCGGGTTGCAAAAATGTTACATAGTAGAGATTTTGTTTACGCTTGGTTGTTTTGCTAACATTTTGCAATGTGGCCGAAATTCACAGTTAAATTTTGCAATGTGGCCACAATTCACAGTTAAAGGACCACTCTAGGCACCCAGACCACTTCAGCTTAATGAGGTGGTCTGGGTGCCAGGTCCAGCTAGGATTAACCCTTTCTGCTGTAAACATAGCAGTCTCAGAGAAATTAGGGTTAATCCAGCCTCTAAAGCCTCTAGTGGCTGTCTCATTGACAGCCGCTAGAGGCGCTTGCGTGCTTCTCACTGTGAAAATCACAGTGAGAACACACAAGCGTCCATAGGAAAGCATTGTAAATGCTTTCCTATGAGACCGGCTGAATGCGTGCACAGCTCCTGCCGCGCATGCGCATTCAGCCAAAGAGGAGGAGAGGAGGCAGAGAGGAGGAGGAGAGCTCCCCACCCGGCGCTGGAATAAAGGTGAGTTTAACCCCTTTCCTCGCCATCCAGCCCGGCGGGAGGGGGTCCCTCAGGGCACTATAGTGCCATCAAAACGAGTATGTTTTCCTGGCACTATAGTGGTCCTTTAAAACGGATGTGAGAAAAGCTGAAGTTGATGGAAGCATGTCTCTTTTCAGCCTATGTAACTATGGTAAATAATTTATCGCCTGGAGCAGGGATAGGCAACCTTCGGCACTCCAGATGTTGTGGACTACATCCCCCATAATGCTCTTACACCCAGAATGCTTGCAAAGCATCATGGGAGGTTTAGTCCAAAACATCTGGAGTGCCGAAAGTTGCCTATGCCTGGCCTGGAGCATATCCACACACGCTTTGAACAAATCAACATTAAATATGGTTAGAGAGATCTACTTATTAAAACGTTTGTGGGTGTTGGTTGGCTTCATGTCTTTGTGTTAAATGGGTGGATTTATCACTAACCATGAATTCTTCCGGTCTTCCCTTCCAGCTATTGACTTGTTATACTGGCGGGATGTAAAGCAGACCAGCATAATGTTTGGAAGTGTCCTTCTAATGCTCTTCTCACTGACTCAGTTCAGCGTGGTCAGCGTCATCGCCTACCTAGCTCTCGCTGCACTCTCAGCCACAATCAGCTTCCGAATCTACAAATCAGTCTTACAAGCCGTTCAGAAAACCGATGAGGGACATCCTTTCAAGTGAGTTGTTATCACTGACCAGATCATTTCAGATGGTGTTCATAGACTGTATTTGTAATACCCCTTAGTACTTATTAATTTAGCGACATCATCCTGTCCTTTCTATCTCTCCCTTCCATCCTGCAATGTTTTCTTACTGCTGTGTGTGACGTCATGACTTAGGTTTCTTTAAAAAAACAATATTCAATGTAGGGGACTGCAAGCAAACAACATTCAATGTAGAAAATAATGGCATTGAGATCGTGGTGCTCCAGACCCTGTTAGCATCCTACAAGAGAAAGCCGACAGTTGAACTCTATTGTCTGCTCACATGCACACTTACATATAGTAAATATCAGTCACTGCCTGCTGTAGTGAGAGCTCATTGCAAATCCGGCACAGCCTTGAACTTTGCAGAAAATGCAAGGTCTTCAAATATGAATCTAGTTTATTTTATTTTGCTGGATTCCTAACACTATAGCGCTGCTGTCCCTTGTCCTACACAGTTCTCCCTTAAAAATGAACCAAATTAAAGGTGTACTCACCTTTTCCCAACAATGAGAACCCCTCGGTGCTGCTCACTTCTCTGCCTCGTGCTACATCATGGCCTCCTTCGTGATGGTCTTTGTGAACTTTATTAACCATTGACCAGTTTCAGCAAGAACCACATGGGCATTCAAGCTTCCCCGTAGGAAAGCACTAAATGTAGTGCTTTCCTATGGGCTTCCTCCTCACGTGACTGTGTTTTACTTGGTCAGTGCAGTATAAGAGCCTTGGTACGCTATCAGGAAAGCAGTCACTAGAACTGGATTTAACCCTGCAATGTAATCTTTGCAGTTTCTAAAAAATAAATACTTTGCAGGGTTAAAACACAGTCATTGCACCCAGACCACTTCATTGAGAAGTTTCCTGATTTACTATATTGTTCCTTTAACATAAACTATAGGCTTGCTATAGCACAATTTCCTTTTTTTGCAAACAAAACCACATTTTTGTTTCAAAGCAAACATAGCAGAGGGCAGAAAACTGGAATATATTGGTTATACAGGCAATAATAGGGTTTAAAGAACATGTATTATAGAAATAATATTTATTGTATTGTTAACCATCGTATCATAGATAATATGTGATATGTAGCTGAACTATGCAACATAACATTGAATTGCATTGAATTAACCCTCCTAGATCCAGTTTAAATTATTACGGGGCAGCTCCATGTTTTTCAGATACATACTAAAAAAAACGCTGTTTTTATAAGATTTTATTTTTTTAAAAACCTACATTAAATGCACAAGTGAACTTGTACATAACTTAACTGTCAGCTCTTCTGGCAGGACTTTGTCAGCGTTGCAGTTATTGTAGGGGATTCTCATTGAATATGGCTCATAGATAGTGCTATAAAGTGCTGTGCATGCGCAAGGCTGTGAGTGAGTGCATTTACATTATGTAACGCCAGTTCAGCGCTAGATTCCACGTATATCACAGCTGGCATCACCTAAGAAACTTCACTCTCTTTCTGTCTGCCAGTTGCTGGGTTGCAAGCTTCCAATATTGGGAGGTAGCCCTCTGCCCCTTTAAACAGCCTGTAGTGCGGGTAACGTCTGGCTAGTACCTTCTGGAACACTTCATTATAAAGCATTATAATAAGCCAGTAATAAAACAGGATTTTGTTACATCATTTCAGAAGCTACTTGGATGTGGAAATCTCCCTCTCCCAAGAGCAAATCCAGAAGTACACAGACTGTCTTCAAGCCTATACAAACTGCATTGTTAAAGAACTGAGGAGGCTTTTCCTAGTGCAGGATCTCGTGGATTCATTAAAAGTAAGTTTGGCCGTCTTTTGAGAACACCAGGGAACTGTCCCCAACAATCATAGCGCGAGAGCATCGTTAGACACATTGCGCTACAGTGAAACAGGGCTCCCTGCATGTCCTGGCCTCCGTGGGCCGGCCTGTATGATTGACAGGCAACCTGGTGTGCATTAATGACATTCTGATATGCCATTAACTTAGGCGTGGGCGGGAGGTATGATATCTGCGCTTACAACTGTGATATCCAATGTCCCATTGAGTTTGGTGGGCAAACATATCTAAAAATGTGTGGATACTTTTGCTCAGTCTATCTATCAATATATCTGTCTAGATATCTATTGATCAATGTGAGCTGTTGTGATTCATCTGTGTTTTTATGTGTAAAACTTTTTATGAGAGCGCCCTGTGTTAAAAGCAGGTTCTGTATATTTCATCCCAGTGTACATAGAAAAAAACACTGGGCCCTGCCTATATAAATAGTTTTCTATGTGGAGACATCAGCGACCCTAGAACCCTAAAAATATAGGAGGTGTTGCTGTAGATGAGGAATAAATGGGCCAATATGATTGGCTTGGCTATTCCAGACGATCATATTGACTTGCAGCTGCTGCACAGGGGCTGTAAATCTCTTATGTCACAGTGTATATAGTGTCATTTTACGTAGGCTACAGACCTATGGCAGTTATGTTTGTAATTGTTACAATGTTGTATTTTCTCATTTTTATTAATCTCTTTTTTTTTTTCAAGTTCGCTGTTTTAATGTGGCTGTTGACGTACGTCGGTGCTCTTTTCAATGGACTCACACTTCTCATCATGGGTAAGCTGTTAGCTCCTTTGGTGCAATTCTAAGAACTGGTTTATATTTGCATTACATAGTTCCATTCAAACATCAACAATTGTATATCGCATCATCATGATTGCGCAATGAAGAAAATTATACCTTGAAAAAAGAATGGACCAACGCCACTCCCTACATAGTTTGGAGTTTTTATTTTTGGATGCAGACCCAGGGGAGTATACTAAGCTATATTACACTATACTAAATAATATCTGTTAATGAAGTATAATCTGAAATTGACAAGTTCCTGGGAACGCTAAAGATTTTTCTTCATTTGGTATTTTGCACACAGACATTTGTTCTAAATTCTGCAAACATTCATTAACCCTTTGTTTTACAAATCAATGAAACGTTCAAGAAATTTTTTTTAAGTAACGTAAAAGCTGTGAGAAATAAACAGTGCACACATTCAGTGTTATTCAATATAATAGGAATTGCTGGGAATTAGCAAGAGAATCACACATTTTAGAAAATAGCTAGTCAGGAAAAATACTAGTTTTTTTTTTCCTCCCAGCATTTCTCTAACCATGTTAGGATTTCTGGGTATAAACCTTCTGCTGTTATCACGTAATAACTTTACATGTGTTGTAGACAGGTGAGTAACATGCCTTGCGTGATGATGTTTGTAACCTCTTTTGTTTTGTAGCCGTGGTGTCTATGTTTTCACTTCCAGCCGTCTATGACAAGTATCAAGTAAGTAATCAATATTTCTTATCTAAAAAATTTGAAAGTGCGCTTTTTATAATATAATAATCCAAATTACCATTCCATCCTAGGCGCAGATTGACCAGTATTTGGGACTTGTGAGGACAAATATTAACACCATTGTGGCAAAGTAGGTTAATACTTTCAGCTGTGAAATTAAACTGTATGGTCTATAGGACACGTTAACATGTTTTAAAGTAAATTTGTATATTGTAAGATATTAGAACCTTCCAATTAAATCATTATATTATTTACTGTTGAGCGGTACAAAGATTTAAAGTGATCTGTCATCTTACTTTAACACAATAAAAAATTTTATTGAAAGCTAGCTATAGGCTGATCTAGTTTTCAGTGTATCCAGTTAAAAAATGTTTGCTAAAATAATTCTATACATCTACCAACAGTTAAAAAAAATACAAATCAAGGACAACTTACGAATATAGAATTTTTCACAACAGATGTTTTATTTGCATTTTAGCAATTTAAATTAAACAGCACAGAGCAAACAACATAGAGTCTAGAAACCCAGAGTGTCACGGGTGGCAGTCCGAAGACCGGGACCCCTGAGTACCTGATGATGATGATAGGAGTCTCAGGGAGGAAATAGACAATCAGGGTCTGGTGCAGGGTAACCCCCCCAATCCCCACTAGTGTTGAGCACCAGGGTTTGTGCGGCCACATACCAGAGCCCTGATGCAGCATAAGCGGATGCCAGGAGCTGATATTAAACAGATACGTATCCAGTACTGGAAACAAGGTAAGACTAGAACAGGCACCAAACAAGATAACAAGAAAAGACTAGAAGAACCCAGAACCGGAGCAGGACAGAAAGCAGAACCCAGAACATGTACACAATACATGAGGGAAACATGAATGGGACATGGACAGGGCAGGACAGGACTGTGCATGAACTGGGAATACAAGACAAAATAAAACAAGACAAGAGATACACGGCAAAACAAGAGGATACATAACCAAGTACTATATATGTAATAAACATTGGAGACATACATTGGAGACATACATAAATGGCCAAGATGTATGCAGCCCACCACTGCGCCAAAGTACTCCAAGTACGGTGGGTCCTAACTGCCTAGATATGCATAACTAAATAAACAATAAAACACACACAGTACTTACCTGCAAATAAAGGAGCAGAGCTAATGAGACCACTGCTTGCAGGAACAGACTGAAACAAAAAGGATTAATGGCAAAGGAACCGGTGAGGCAACAAAAAACAAACATTTAAAGGAATCAAGGACTGGGAATTCCAGGAACGGAATACAGGAATGAACCCAGAAAATAAAGCATAAAGAAAACCAGAAATAGAATAGAAAACCAGAAAAACCAAGAAAAACTAAACAAGTATTGTAAAAAGAGTACTGGATACCAGAAGCCATTGCCAGAAATGATCCGCAACAGGAACAGGATGTGACACTGCGTACACGAGAGAAACGTCATGTTAGATCTAATAGAGGCTCTAGAAAAGGTTTAAACTGTATAACAAGTACCAAGGAATACACATTTATGTTTGTGCATTTTCATAAACAACTATAACATGAAAAGATGACAGACCATAGTTTAAAAACAATAGAAAAATCACAGCGATATATATTTAATATATTCTAAAGCAGGCATGGGCAACCTTTGGCACTCCAGATGTTTTGGACTACACCTCCCATGATGTTTTGCCAGATTGTGGGTATTGTAGCATTATGGGGGATATAGTCCACAACATCTGGAATGCTGAAGGTTGCCTATCCCTGTTCTAAAGGTTCGTGTATGTGGAAATGTGTTATTTAATGTATATTTACAACTTCTCGACATTCAAAAAAATAGCAATTATGTATAAAAGTGCTGTATTCTGAACAGTGATCTAAATAAAGTACCAAATGTGGTAACAAATCTAACGAGAAGGCACATTCACATTGTTGGTTCCACTATTTTAAATTTTTAGACCACTTTGCAGAACATGACACTTTTTTACATAACCCTTATAGTTTACTACAAATGTGGAGACGTTTTAGGTTCAGTTGATTAAAATCGAACTAAAGACGTGTCACTTTAAAAAAAAGTCTTGTTTGTAAGAGATTCTTTCAGAACAAGGTGGAGAACGCGTCTAGAAACCAGCTAGGTGGAGAACTCATCCAAAACCGTAGGCTCTAGAACACTACAGCAACCCTGGAGAGAAAGACATATTGGAAAATTAGAATAATCTAATCAGGGTTTATCATTTCAAGTCCCATGCTACTGGGCAGTCCCAAACGTAACTAGCCATTCCAAGTCTAAAGGGTTCTTGGCACACAGCAGGGGTGAATTTCTACATGCCAGGGCTGAATTTTTACTTGCCAATGGCGAGTCGGTTAGTGGACATTTTGAGCTCTGACGTAATAATATGAAAACATAAACATATCTATTATTTATTTTTATTTTTTAATGGGTGCCATATTTTTGTCTTTCATTTTTTCTGCATCGTGCTAATTGTTGATTGCATTTCCAGGATCCAGGCTAAAATCCCAGGTACTAAACAGAAGGAATAAATACACATTCAAGAAATTCAAGTACTTGGTAAATAACGTGAAGTCCGATGTGGAAGCATATGTTCCTACACTTCACTTCTGATCTACTGCACCATTCTGTAAACACACCGCGTACCTACAAACATCCAAATACAGAGCAGCTCTTCGGAATCTGCCTCGACGCTATTAGAAAAAAAAATTGCAATCAGCTGTGTCAAGCACTCGAGTATAGTGAAGAAATACAAAGTGTACTAGATGTGTTTTTTTCCTGTGTTGCTTACAAAGTGCATGATGTCGGAAGCCTAAGTACCATTTGATTTTTTTTATACGTTTTTTTTTAACTTATTTTTTTTAGTGTTTTTTCTGCTATACTTGCTGACGCTTCTATAACTTAATGTGATGTGAAGGCTTCACTCTTAGAGCACTGACGCAAATCGTACAAACTTGCTTCTTTGTCTCTGGGCCGCTGGTTGGGTATATCTCAATTATATATAGATATATACATATATCTATATATATCTATATATATAAAAATATATATATACGTAGAACTGTAGAACAATGTTTCGTGTTTTCGAGCACAAAAAGTGAAAATCATGTCTGTCCGTTTTGTATGAATAAACTTGCAGTACTCTTGTTGTAAGGGATTGCGAAGCAGATATACATGTATGGTATATAGACCGGTCCAGATTGTTAAATTTATTACAATTTGTATTACATTCTCTGTAGTTCCTAGTGAACTTATGGACTCTGAATATTTGCACTTATTATGTACTTGACACTGAATGCAGAAATAAATGGTAATAAATGTACAAGGGTCTCTCTTGTTGAGCTTGTAAATTAATATCAATCATAGCCCCCCACCCCTTAAGATCCAATGTGAAACCAGTATCAATTGCAGGATATTCTCTACAATTACCTTATTATTGGTGTGGATTAAATAGGTGCTGTAAAATTCTGCTGGTGGTTTCATACACTTTAAGTACAAATGGGAATAAAGTTAAATTATTAAAATAAATTTGTGTTTTCCATGTACCATGTCAATACATATGGATGTGTATTTTTAAGTCAATAGTTCAGTTTCAGATTCAACTTTATTATCACTGTACAATGTACGTACAAGAAACATGATCAGAAATACATTGATAAAAAAATACTATATATATATAAAAAAAGTAATCACAATGTAAGCTTTAGCAGTCCTTACCTAATGCCATACAATCTCTTCTTTATTAATAGAATTAGATTTAACAGCCTAATAATGCATATAGACATTACACAACACTGCCACCAAAAATATTGTTTTATCGTCATATGTAGTATTTTTGAAAATACATGCTCCCGCAATTAAATCTCCTCTTAATTTATTAGGGTAGGGGGCAATACAGGGATTTCAGATCAGGGAGGAACAAACTGAACGGCAAAACTAATAAATAGAAAAGCTTCATAGGTGTGCGCACAGGGTGTGCACGCCTATGGATTGAGAGTGGCAGGGGAGATCTCAGGATCTTCCCTGTCGGCTCATGCAGAGCCGGAGCTATCCGAGCGCCGGCTCTGCTCTAAGCCTCCATGGGCCGGTGGGGAGATCAAAGATCTACCTCACCGGCCCACAGGCAGAGAGGGAGGCAGGAGAGGACCCGGGGAGCTCTAGCCAGCAGCTCCGCCGGTTCCTCTCGCGAGATCTGAGCGTTGCTAGATCTGAGCAGGCTAGAGTTCACTTTCCACTGGACCACCAGGAATGGCACATGGCATCAAGGATCCCCCCTCCGTACATCAGGTAAGAAGGGAGGGGGGATATTTACTAATCTCCCCACACCTCCACCCTCACAATCCCTCCAAATATACAGCACACACACATACAGCACCCTCACACACACAGCACACAAACAACACCCCCTCACACAAAGCACCCCCACACATACATCACCCTCACACACACAGCACCCTTACACACAGCACCCACACACATACAGCACCCACACACACACAACAGTGTATGTATGTGTATGTGTATATATATATATATATATAAATATATATATATATACACATACATACATATACACGCGGCATGTGTTTGTGCTTTAGGGTGCACACCCTAATGCAATAGGCTGCGCACGCCTATGGGCACACCCTAATGCAATAGGCTGCGCACGCCTATGAAAAGCTTGTTAGTTTATAAAAATTGAGCTGATCCCTTTGGACCATAATAACCATAAGTGTTGGCCAGGACCAGTTCTCTTCTTACCTAGTGTTTATGGGTAAGGGATTTAATAGATAATTACAAGGATTTTACTGGCTTCCTCATGGCTTCGTCTTATACCATGTTCCATTGTGTGAGGAGTTCTAACTATTAGCAATGATTCCCCCACCACCCCCCAATAGGGCAATGGTTTCCCTTCTTTCTCTTAACCCAATGTTCAGCAGACAAGGTGTTAAATATAATTGGCAGATTCCATGCAGCCCCCCCTATTCCCACAACCCATGTTCAATAAGTAAAGCTAACATATGTCCATTCCCATTTAAGCATAATAAGGCCTCTTAGCGTAGTTTTGTCATCCATCTTAATGGAAACTTATCTCTTACTTCCAAAAGGAAATGGAGGATAATGACCAGAAATCTCTTTAATTGTCATCATTTCAGAATCCCCATACCGAACGCTAATGGCGGTCCACAACACAGCCTGCATTTGTTTATTTAGTCTAGTTTATCCACTAAATGGTGAAGACTTGAGAAGGGAATTGCAAATTTTAGGTCAAGATAGCCCAGCTGGAAAAACAACCGAGTTTGGGACTTTTTAAAATCTGGCTATTTTCCTTGAAACTTGCCATTTCCTGGTCAGTTCCCAATAGTTCATGGTTTAATCAATAATCCTGTCATGAATTCATGAGTGTGAGAGAATGGAAGTTGCTGTTACCGTCCATTAACTGACACTTAACGTTAAGACTTCTAATGAGGTGCTCACGCTGTTTACGAAATATACGCTTTTGAGATTATTCACTAAACTGGGATTTGTTCAGAACTGAAGGGAATTGCTACGGTCAAAGTAGCTGAAATGGCAAATAAACTGAGTTGGATAATTTTTCCAATTCAGATACTTAGGTCTGCGATTTGAGATAATGTCTTCAGAATTCCATGCAGAGCAGGATTAACTTGAAGGAATCCGTACAATAAAATGCAAAAACTCTTATTGTAACTGAAAAATACCCAAAACTCTTTAACATAATACAAATACAAAAAATGAAATGCTGCTAATAACGTGATTTTAGAAACTAGTCATCTACCTATCAATGAGTGCGGGCAGTTAAAGATGTGGGAAAAAGCACCACACTGTAACTAGCATTAACCCAAAGTAAAACTCAATGTCCGCTACTTCACCATCTCCTCAATAAGTGTTAACCCTACCCCTGCAGTCTAATGGAGGCCACTGAAATGCCTCCTATTGCTGTAGTGACATCCCAATTTGATGACCACCATCTGGGCTCCGGGTCTAGAGGCCCATTCTTCTGCCAGTTCCACATACTTCTTGCCCTTTCACAGACATCATTACCATCTAGAACGGTATTACCAGAAGACCCAGCGAGGCGAAGCTCCAACGCTGTGATCTTAGCCAGCAATGTAAGAGGGGTCAGCATAGGGCAAAATGCAATTAGCCCATGAAGAAGTACAGGGCTAAAATGTTGTTACCCTTCCCTGTGGTTATGAATATGTAGCACTAGAGGTCTAGTGACAACCAAAAGCTGTCCCTAAGTTCTGCATCAGTTTTCCTAGGTTATTTAGTATATGGCATAAATGGCCATTAACAATAGTAATTCGTTTACCTATAATATCTCATTGAAATGTCTTTTTCCTTCACTTTTTGCATATGTATTGCTTTCTATACGCTGTTTACCCTGTAAATACAATAAAGGAGACAGAGACTTAATGCAAATATCTCCAGAAGACCGGATGCGATGCTGGCACTTGGTGGGACCCATGCTAAAATGGTTTAATAGATTATTCTGGAACGGCGACAGGACACTCCTGTCAAAATAACCACTACGGTGGGCGACAGGGCTCTCCGGTCACCATAACCACTATAGTGGCAGTAGGGCACTCCTGTCACTATAACCACTACAGTGAACGACAGGGCACTCCTGTCACCATAACCACTACAGTGGCAGCAGGGCACTCCTGTCACCATAACCACTACAGTGGGCTGTAGGTTACTCCTGTCACCATAACCACTACAGTGGCAGCGGGGCACTCCTGTCACCATAACCACTACAGTGAATGGTAGGGCACTCCTGTCACCATAACCACTACAGTGGCAGTAAGACACCTGTCACCATAACCACTACAGTGGCAGTAGGTTACTCCTGTCACCATAACCACAACAGTGGGCTGTAGGTTACTCTTGTCACCATAACCACTACAGTGAATGGTAGGGCACTCCTGTCACCATAACCACTACAGTGGCAGCGGGGCACTCCTGTCACCATAACCACTACAGTGGGCTGTAGGTTACTCCTGTCACCATAACCACTACAGTGGCAGCGGGGCACTCCTGTCACCATAACCACTACAGTGAATGGTAGGGCACTCCTGTCACCATAACCACTACAGTGGCAGTAAGACACCTGTCACCATAACCACTACAGTGGCAGTAGGTTACTCCTGTCACCATAACCACAACAGTGGGCTGTAGGTTACTCTTGTCACCATAACCACTACAGTGAATGGTAGGGCACTCCTGTCACCATAACCACTACAGTGGCAGCGTGGCACTCCTGTCACCATAACCACTACAGTGGGCTGTAGGTTACTCCTGTCACCATAACCACTACAGTGGCAGCAGGGCACTCCTGTTACCATAACCACTACAGTGAATGGTAGGGCACTCCTGTCACCATAACCACTACAGTGGCAGTAAGACACCTGTCACCATAACCACTACAGTGGCAGTAGGGCACTCCTGTCACCATAACCACTACAGTAAATGGTAGGGCACTCCTGTCACCATAACCACTACAGTGGGCTGTAGGTTACTCCTGTCACCATAACCACTACAGTGGCAGTAGGACATTCCTGCCACCATAACCACAACAGTGGGCTGTAGTCACTCTTGTCACCATAATCACTTCAGTGGGTGACAGGGCACTCATGTCACCACAACCACTACAATGGGCTGTAGGTTACTCCTGTCACCATAACCACAACAGTGGGCTGTAGGTTACTCCTGTCACCATAACCACAACAATGGGCTGTAGGTTACTCCTGTCACCATAACCACTACAGTGGCAGTGGGGCACTCCTGTCACCATAACCACTACAGTGAATGGTAGGGCACTCCTGTCACCATAACCACTACAGTGGCAGTAAGACACCTGTCACCATAACCACTACAGTGGGCTGTAGGTTACTCCTGTCACCATAACCACTACAATGGGCTGTAGGTTACTCCAGTCACCATAACCACTACAATGGGCTGTAGGTTACTCCTGTCACCATAACCACTACAGTGGGCTGTAGGTTACTCCTGTCACCATAACCACTACAGTGGGCTGTAGGTTACTCCAGTCACCATAACCACTACAATGGGCTGTAGGTTACTCCTGTCACCATAACCACTACAGTGGGCTGTAGGTTACTCCTGTCACCATAACCACTACAATGGGCTGTAGGTTACTCCAGTCACCATAACCACTACAATGGGCTGTAGGTTACTCCTGTCACCATAACCACAACAGTGGGCTGTAGGTTACTCCTGTCACCATAACCACTACAGTGGGCTGTAGGTTACTCCTGTCACCATATCCACTACAGTGGCAGTAGGGCACTCATGTCACCATAACCACTACAGTGGCAGTAGGGCACTCCTGTCACCATAACCACTACAGTGGGCTGTAGGTTAATCCTGTCACCATAACCACTACAGTGGGCTGTAGGTTACTCCTGTCACCATAACCACTACAGTGGGCTGTAGGGCACTCCTGTCACCATAACCACTACAGTGGGCTGTAGGTTACTCCTGTCACCATAACCACTACAGTGGGCTGTAGGGCACTCCTGTCACCATAACCACTACAGTGGGCTGTAGGTTACTCCTGTCACCATATCCACTACAATGGGCTGTAGGTTACTCCTGTCACCATAACCACTACAGTGGGCTGTAGGTTAATCCTGTCACCATAACCACTACAGTGGGCTGTAGGGCACTCCTGTCACCATAACCACTACAGTGGGCTGTAGTTTACTCCTGTCACCATAACCACTACAGTGGGCTGTAGGTTAATCCTGTCACCATAACCACTACAGTGGGCTGTAGGGCACTCCTGTCACCATAACCACTACAGTGGGCTGTAGGTTACTCCTGTCACCATAACCAGTACAGTGGGCTGTAGTTTACTCCTGTCACCTCAGACTGTGTTGTGGGTGATTTTGCTCCCAGGTTTGGGGGGCACAATATTAAATAAATTGGAGGTGGTACAGGGGTTGTCCCTGGCTGTATGACCATGATTACTCAGCCTCCAGTTCTCTATAAAATACAATGCAGTCTATAATAACAAACTGAGTAAATAAAATATACTTTATTATAGGGGTATAATTATAATATATAACATATAAGATATCAATATCTATATACAATGTATCCTAATCACTGCTAGGAGCCTCACTGCTATCAATCCAGATACAAACTGAATGGAATATCAGCACAATAACACAGCTTTATACTACTACTGCTCAGTCTAGCCCTCCCCTCTGTGAGCGGCGTTTGGTTTGTGCTGCCCTCAGAGCGCATTGCACAGTCCCAAGGGAGCGGCTGGTTGGAACATTCCATTGCGGTCCCAGAGGGGACGGCGTCTGGTTGCTATAGGAACGAGCAGTGTTAGTGAGCGGCCTGGATTGGAGCCGGTACCGGCGGGATGGACTCTGACCCGGGACCGGAGAGCCCCGCCCTGGCCGCCGCCCTGCAGCCACTCACCGACATAGGTAGGTACTGCCGGTAAGGAGAGGGTTAATGCAGTGTGTACAGTGATGGTGAGTATCACCCCCTGCACCCAGCCAGTGTGGGCTCAATATTATTATTATTATTAATTATTATTATTAATTAGTATTATTATTAATTATTATTATTATTATTATTATTATTATTATTATTTAGTATTATTATTATTATTATTATTATTAATTAGTATTATTATTATTATTTATTATTATTATTATTATTATTATTATTTATCATTATAGTGACTTTTATACTAATGGCTCTTAGTATTATTAGTATTGATTATTATAGTGACTGTAATACTAATTACTCCTAGTATTATTATTATTATTATTATTATTATTTAGTATTATTATTATTATTATTATTATTAATTAGTATTATTATTATTATTTATTATTATTATTATTATTATTATTTATCATTATAGTGACTTTTATACTAATGGCTCTTAGTATTATTAGTATTGATTATTATAGTGACTGTAATACTAATTACTCCTAGTATTATTATTAATATTATTATTATTATTATAGTGGCTGTAATACTAATTACTCCTAGTATTATTATTATTATTAATATTATTATTATTATTATAGTGGCTGTAATACTAATGGCTCTTGGTTGGAAAATAAATAAAAAAATTACTAATAATTTCATATATTTCAAGAAAATGTCAAACCCAATGTTAGGAATATTTTATATCAACATTAAACGAACACAGTACAGACATGTCTCGCAGTGCCATGGTTAGATCCCCCCCCCACTGTCCCCCATGTAATGTAAATAAAATATATAACATGGTATTTCACCAACGAGAATTCATGATGAATTTCAAATTTTAGGTCAAAATAGCCAAACTGTAAACATCTCTTTCAGTAACGCTTTCAGTTCAGCAATTTTTGCCTTAAAGGGACACTATAGTCACCAGAACCACTACAGCTTAAAGGGACTCTCCAGTGCCAGGAAAACAAACCGTTTTCCTGGCACTGCAGGTCCCCTCTCCCTCCCACCCCCCATCCCAAGTTGCTGAAGGGGTTAAAACCCCTTTAGTGACTTACCTGTATCCAGCGCCGATGTCCCTCAGTGCTGCGTCAGGGTCCGCCCACGCTCCTCCCCGCCGACGTCATCTGGCAGGGGAGATCTAAACTGCAATATTTGCAGTTGCAGGGTTAAGGGTAGTAGGAGTTGGAACCCAGAGTGGTATGGGTGCCTGAAGTGTCCCTTTAATGCACAGTAAACAGCTTAAAGGGAAACAATAGGGCCAGAAAAACAAACTCGTTTTCCTGGCACTATGGCTTTCAACTTTGTCAAGGCCCCCTCCCGCGGCATTAATAACCCCTTCTGTCAGTTACCTGGGACAGCTCTGCCCATGCTCCTCCCCCGCCAACGTCCGCCGGCGGTGGAGAACTAATGCGCATGTGCGGCCATGACCACGCTCACATTAGGATCTCCCCATATGAAAGCATTATTCAATGCTTTCCCATGGGTACTCCGGCGGCGCTGGAAGTCCTTATGCAGAGCGTGAGGACGTCCAGAGTCATTTAGACGACCAAAAGTCGTCTAAGAAGCCAGAAGTCCCTCGAGGAGGAGTTAACCCTAGCAGGTCATTATTGCCGTTTATAAAAACGGCAATAATTAACACTCTAGGGTTAAGGGTGATGAGATTTGGCACCCAGACCACTTCAATGAGCTGAAGTGGTCTGGGTGCCTACAGTGTCTCTTTAATGTAGTCACTGCAGGTTTTTCAGAGAATATGTAGTGTTTACATTGCTGGCTAGTAACACCTCTAGTGACAGTCACTAAGATGGCCACTAGAGGTGCTTCCTAGTCAAGTGCTGCACAGTGTGTAGTAACTACATTCAGCATCTCCAAGATCTGCATGGAGACGCTGCACGTTCCCGGTGGAGATGCATTGATTCAATACATCTCTGTGATGAGATGCAGATGGGCGCAGTCCAATGTTCTGCCGCCCTTGCGCAGTAGCCTCCCAATGCTTTCCCATTGGAATGCATTGTATTTGCTGAGATCATCAAGATTTATTCTTTTTCACTGCAATCTGTGGGGGCTGGAGACCCAAATAGCCACTCCAGCACTATAGTGTTGGGAATACATTTTTGTATTTGTAACACGTGACTATAGGGTTCCTTTAAATTTGAAATTCACTGTAAAATTCCCTCTCCAGTAAATAACCCTGTAAAAAAAAAAGGTTTTACTTTATTTCCAGCATTAAGGCTCACTCATTGCTGCCTGCTTCTCCTACCACAAAGTCATCCTGGAGGTGTTACTTGCTGCCTTCTTGTCCAATCCAGTGCAAATCATAGAGCAACATTGGGGAGGAAACGCGCGTGCACTTCCAATAACCCAGTGCTTCCCTATGAACTGCATTTAATGACATTCAATGTCTTCATGGACAAAACGTACATGCTAAAAGTACAGGGTCGCGGCACCTAGACCACTTAATTGAAGACATCTGAGGGTGTCTTTAAATTTGTATGAGTGCGCTGAAGTAAGTCCGATTGTTCTTAGGCACTGTGTGAAATCTGGAGCATCCTTCATCACTCTCAGCCAGGAGTGTTCAGACACAACAAAGCAGACCTGAATGTGCTGGGGCAACTCCCATCAGGCAAAGTAGTGGTTTTGCATCTGGCATCGCTAGCATGAAGTGGGAAAGTTACCAGGTGGAGGTGAAAGTGTCTGTAAAGCAACTACTCCCATTACACTCAAGGATTTATTTGCTAAACTCAAAATTGCAACACATTGGATTTTAATTTGCAAAATTTAGTCTAAAATGCCAAGCTGTGACTAATGTTGAGTTGGAGAATCTTTTTTTCAAATCTGCTATTATCTAAATTGTGATTTTTTTCCCCCTCCAATTTTCAAATTCAGAGAAGCAGCTAAGACATGACAATTCAGAATTTTGCGAGGAGGTTTCAAAGCACCTTGGGTCATTTGCGGATGCTGTCAAAGAACTGGTAATTACGTTGCTGACTTTGCATGATTGTATTTACGTAAAAGTAATCAAGACTTTGACAGGTTTAAGGGAGCTGTACTACAACTATGGCTGTGGGGTCACACTTTGATTCAAGGGTTTATTTAATAAACCTGCAACTAAACATTTTAAGCTAATATCGATAAACTAGAAATATTTGCCAGCTTGTCTGTCTTGTCCTAATATTTGCAAGCCCCTTGTCAGGTCTCTACAGTTTTCGGTTTAATGGCTAACTTATTCATTAGTCTTTTACCACTAAACCTGTCATCAGTTCAGTGGCCAGTCAACTATATGGTCTCCACAAATGCTCCTTGCCGCCCCATAGTTCTACGTTCTATAATGAGTATGTATATAACATATCTACATATACACTATATAGACAAAAGTATTGGGACACAGCTCTTAATTGTTGAAAGCAGGTGTTCCAATCAGACCGATTGCCACAGGTGTATAAAATCATGCACCTAGCCATGCAGTATGCCTTTACAAACATTTGTGAAAAATAAAATAAATCGTTCTGAAGAGTGAATTCTAGGTATTCTATGGTCAACTGTAAGTGGTATTATTGGAACGTGGAAGTGTTTAGGAACAGCAGCAGCTCAGCCATGAAGCTTAAAGGGACACTATAGTCACCCAGACTGTAACCGAGTAAACTTGCAGAAGCCAGACACAGAGAGATGGATGCAGGTTTTCAGGAAGTAGGAGGTTTTTATTAACATACCGATCGGGCCTCAGATGAACTAATGTTCCAAAACAGGTCTGAGGGCCAAACACATGGAGTACATGCTTTTTATAGAACTATAACCATTAATAGCTCCACCCGCACATACCCTTAACCAATCAGTGGACAGGATTTGGATTTCCTCATGTGGACAGACCACATGGCTCATCCGAAACAAAGGAGAAAGGAGTGTAATTTCAGTTTCTGCATTCCTGCACATACTCAGTACATTGATGACAATATCTTAGCTACGTGTAACTAACTAACTGATACAACATACACATATGCCACGTGGAAATCTCGGCCTACTAAATTTACATTTCACCGAAATTCCATCAAAAGACCACTTCAGCTCAATGAAGTGGTCTGGGTGCCAGGTCCCTTCAGTTTTAACCCTTCACATGTTAACATAGCAGTTTCAGAGAAACTGCTATGTTTACATTAGGGGTTAATCCAACCTCTAGTGGCTGTCTCCCTGACAGCCGCTAGAGGTGCATCTGCGACACTGGATGCGAAATTGAGAAATACTTTCCTATAGACAGTTTGAATGCGCGTGCGGCACTTGCCGCGCATGCGCATTCCGCTCCACTCAGGAGCTGACGGCGGGGGAGGAGAGGTCACCAGCGCCAAGGGAGCCCGGCGCTGTATTAAGGTAAGCTGCTGAAGGAGTTTTCCTGACACTATAGTGATCCTTTAATAAGGCATAAGTAGTTTTTTCATCCATATTAATAGAATCTTGTCTCTTAATTTCAAAAGGAAATGGAGGATAATGACCAAAAGTCTATTTAACTGTCACAATTTCTCAGTCCCCATGACATAAATCCCCATACCAAACGCTAATGGTGGTCACAAAACAGCCTGGCATTTTTTGAAATACAAGCAGCACTGGCTGCTCATTCACTCTGAATATCGATATAGATGGAAAATAGTAATCTCAAACCAATGCCTCCTCATCTACAACCCTCGAGGTTACCCAAATATACAACGTACGGTTTTCCATTGGATTTGGCTCTCCTGGTGTGCCATCCCCCTCTCCCCTGGCAGCACATAACTTCTTTTCTGTACAGTTTGTTCGCAAAGTTTGGTTGACACATCCTCTGGGTTAATATTGGGCTGTACCTCAGTAGAACCATGTGACGAGGTTCTTGTTCTTATTACCCACTACACACCTACACTATCCACCAATGTTAACTACAGGCTCTACAAACATTATTGCACCTAGGATAGCGAGAAAGATCACTAATGGGATTAGCTCCCATATATTTAAACTTAATCCAAGCTCTATCTGCAGAAGGCACAGGTCTATGGATCATAGAGCTATACTTATACAGCAGCTTTACAAATTCGATCACCCCAGGAATATTGTCCTTATGCACAGATTTATAGGGCTCAACACACGTTCTCAAGGATTCAGTGCAAGTAACACTGTATCAAGGGCACTGTTTACAATTTATCAAGTTCTCGCTAAGGTTAATGTGTATATATCCTGTATGTCAACAATTGTCGATAATGTTGATTAAGTGATAACTATAACCAATCTAACCAACTAAATGAAACATTCTGTAACCCTATGGATGTACAATAAAAACTATTATAAAAAAAACAGCCCGGCATTTGCACTCGTTAAAATAACTCACACAACGTTTATTTATTTAGTCTTGTTTATCCTCTAAATGGTGAAGAATTGAGAAGGGAATTGCAAATGTTAGGTCAGAATAGCTGGAAAGACAACTGAGTTTGAGGCTTTTTTCAAGCTGACTATTTTCCTTGAAATTTGCAATTTCCTGATCAATTCCTAATCGTTAAAGGTTCAATCAATAATCCTGTCATGAATTCATGAGTGGGAGAGAATGGAAGTTGCTGTTACCGTCCATTAACTGACACTTAACGGTAAAACTTGCAATAAATATCAAGAAACCGTGTCAGAGGTGCAAATAATGAAGTGCAAAGTTATATAAATATTTAAGAAACGTAAAATGCATCAAAGCTGGAAAAAGGGTCAAATTTAACCTTAAGAAACATGAAACACGAGTAGCAGCTTGTCAAATACATATGAGAGAAAAAAAATAAGAAAAATGGGTATGATGTAGTTTAGTATGTTTAATAATAGATATATCAATAAAAACACAAACAAATAAGTAAATATACAACATAAATTGTGCAAATGTAGCCTTTCCACAATGGCCCTCAAACGCCAGCAAAGTCTGCTCAAAGTCCACACGGCTGGCCATCAAGATGCTCCACGAGGTAGAAGCATCCAATTGGCTGAACGCAGCAATGACTCCTCTACGAATGTCCCAGCTATGGTAGACATATCCAATTGGCTGAATGCAGAAATGGCTCCTCTACGAATGTCCCAGCTATGGTAGAAGCATCCAATTGGCTGAACGCAGCAATGACTCCTCTACGAATGTCCCAGCTATGGTAGACATATCCAATTGGCTGAACGCAGCAATGACTCCTCTACGAATGTCCCAGCTATGGTAGACATATCCAATTGGCTGAATGCAGAAATGGCTCCTCTACGAATGTCCCAGCTATGGTAGAAGCATCCAATTGGCTGAATGCAGAAATGGCTCCTCTACGAATGTCCCAGCTATGGTAGAAGCATCCAATTGGCTGAAAGCAGCAATGACTCCTCTACGAATGTCCCAGCTATGGTAGACGTATCCAATTGGCTGAATGCAGAAATGGATCCTCTACGAATGTCCCAGCTATGGTAGACATATCCAATTGGCTGAATGCAGAAATGGCTCCTCTACGAATGTCCCAGCTATGGTAGAAGCATCCAATTGGCTGAACGCAGCAATGACTCCTCTACGAATGTCCCAGCTATGGTAGACATATCCAATTGGCTGAATGCAGAAATGGCTCCTCTACGAATGTCCCAGCTATGGTAGAAGCATCCAATTGGCTGAACGCAGCAGTGACTCCTCTACGAATGTCCCAGCTGTGGTAGACGTATCCAATTGGCTGAATGCAGAAATGGATCCTCTACGAATGTCCCAGCTATGGTAGACATATCCAATTGGCTGAACGCAGCAATGGCTCCTCTACGAATGTCCCAGCTATGGTAGAAGCATCCAATTGGCTGAACGCAGCAATGACTCCTCTACGAATGTCCCAGCTATGGTAGACGTATCCAATTGGCTGAACGCAGCAATGACTCCTCTACGAATGTCCCAGCTATGGTAGACGTATCCAATTGACTGAACGCAGCATCTTTGTTTTATCACAGCCAATGGCATTCAAGTAATACCTGGTTTTGTGCTCCGGTTTGTTACCTGTAGAGTTTTCATTTCTGAGGAAAGGCACTACCCAGCAGTGCGGACACTGAGGAGGAACATATCTACCTCATCCATCATATAATGAAATCTCTGCAAATCCTACTCTATTACTCAAGTGCTAAACAGGAAAAAAACAAAACAAAACATAAAACAAAAAATATCTCCCCCCCCCACCCCCAGAAGGTGAAGGAGAAGGTGCCCCTAAAAAAAGGCATTTACTAGCAAATCCATCTTTTATTACTTTCTTAATAAGCTAGTGGTTTTATTAACATGCTCCGTTGTCGATTAATACATTTGCAATAATTTAATTCAATATTTTTCACTCAGGAAAATGTTAGGAGGACGACACGTGAGCTCCTGGAAATGGAGACAATTGAAACAAGCAAACTACGATATCAGATTCTGCATCTCCCAGGAATCATCGCACAGGAGATAGAAGGTAACCAGACAGTGAGGAGAAGCCCTACTGCTCACCCATCATTCATTTCATTGCATTGTGTGAGGAAGTTAAAAGAAGTACAGGTTGGGGTTTATCAATGGATGAGATCAAATAAAACATTCATTGGTATGTAGTTCCCTAGAGGATGTTACTGTACGAGTTGAAAAAGGGTTTAGGTGAAAATACTTGTTTTTAGGTTAAAAACTGGCTTAACGATGTAGGGTAGGGACTAAATGCAAAAGTGTACCTAGGTTACATGGCATCCAGGGCAGAACACATTTATGTACACACACTGACATTCATATGCCTTCAGAATTACTTGCATACACACCCAGAGTACAGCTGCAGAGCAGCAATATGCTGGTAGGTAAGTGCCTGTTTTGACAGGATGTGGTACACCTCCCCTGCCACCTGTTACTTTCCCCTTAGAACGTCCCTTACTAGTTGTTGAGTTTGAGCTGGATAAAAGTGATAAGTGGAGTGCCTCAGGGCTCTGTCATGGGTCCACATGTCTTCCGTGTGTTCATTATTAATTATTTTGAAATTGGAAGTGGAAGTCACATTATTGTGGATGATATCATATTCAGTAAGGTAATCCAGTCTTAGAAGGAAAATTTATTTTATATAGAACCGGTAAAAAAAAAATAATTGCATTTGTATTTTTATAGCAATATTATCCTATGCTCGGGGCCCGTGCAAATAGTTCCGATAGGCATTAACAGCATTGTATAAAATACACAATAGGTTTTCCACTGAGATTTGAAGAAAGCTTGTATGTGCTTCTCTCCCTCCCCAATGTAGCTGCCGTTTCCAGTGCTCGTACATCTAATGAGTCTGAATTGATGCAGTTACAAAATGAACTGCAAGACATAACACTGGAAATAGAAAACACTGCAAAGAGACAAATGGACTTGGAGGAAATGAACTTGTGTCTCAGGTAAAGTCCAATCATTGCCTTAATGAATTGAACACCTTTTTGTGCCAGACAAACTCTGATGCAATATCTAGATTTATTGATTTGTTTTGTTATATCTTCACCAGAAGATGCTTATAGCCGGTCATTGCTATGCAAAGTTGACCAGATATTGCTTTATTTCCGCTTGCTCTGCAGTGATGCTGGGCTTTAAGTGCTGGAAGAGCAAGTTTTTGTCATACAACTGAATGCTTGAACAAACAGAGGCCTCTAGGCTGCCCTCACCACAGTGCTCTATAATTCGAGGATTTTACAATTATCATGACGGAAAGTCATGATTTTATTAAAGACACGGAGGCGAGTATTATGCTGCTCTCTTTCTTTATTACCCTCAGCAGCAAAGAATACATTATTGAAGAAAAATAAACATTTGAACTAGGTATAACATCATAGTGACAATGTCCGCCTAGTAACATGGCCATCCAATCAGTGTCGTCCTTCTCCTATAGTAGGCGGAGCATTGATGACCACTTCCTCTTTCTTTCTTGCGTATCCCGAAGAATAAACTCAAAACTCGGAACAGGAAACCAGATAAACCAACGAGCCAGAACAAGGTATGAGACTCCAAGAGCTCCTTCAACCCAGTCATGCTAGAAGAGACAAGAAAATATGGTAATGTCTTGGACTGATGGGTTTTCATACATAGAGGTCCACACATTTGACTAAACAGTGGCAATAATTCATAGATGTAGTAAGAGGGACTACTGATCTGAGGACACTTGTGGCAATGAGTCTCAAATTAGATAATGTCCTAACGCCTGTGATGGCCTCAATATCACCAAGATTGAACTTACCATGGAGAGGTCTGTAACTTACCTTGCCCCACATCCAAGCCGTCCAAGGGCGGGTGGGTGGGATAATACTCGCCTCCGTGTCTTTAATAAAATCATGACTTTCCGTCATGATAATTGTAAAATCCTCGAATTTTATTAAAGACCCGGAGGCTCCTATTATGCTATTTTAAAGCTGTGATATCACGGCTTCTGCAAAATGTTGGATTGGTTTGAAATAGAAATTACGGAAGGTAGATTCCGCAGACCAATCAGCCGCCTTCAATATATCCTCTAAACGACAACCAGCAAAGGAGGCTTTAGAGGCCATGGCACTGCGAACCGAATGGGGAGAGAAAATGGAGGTGTCAATACCTGCCAAAGACATGAGCCATTTCACCCAGCGGGCCAAGGTTGGAGAGGAAACCGGAGCATGCGGTTTACGGAAGGAGATGAAGAGTTGGTGGTCTGACCCAGTCCGAAGGGGTGCGGTACGGGCTTGGTACGCCCGAAGGCATGCTACCGGGCAAAGGAGTGGCTTCGCATGAAACGCCGGGTACAGGACCGTCCGAGATGACGATTTCGTCCTCCGTGAGATGTCAAAGACCACTCCTTCTGGAGAGAAGGATCGGGCATTGACATCGAGTGCTCTAACATCTGACACTCTCTTGCAGGAGATTAGGCATAAGAGCATAACTAGTTTAGCGGATAGTTGTTTCAAGGATAAAGAGTCGTTGTCTGGCCATCGTGTCAAGAAATTCAATATTAGGGAGACGTCCCACAGGGAGGAATAGCGAGGTTGGGGTGGCCTTGCAAAGCGAATGCCTCGGAGAAGACGACAGACAATTGGGTGTCGTCCTATCGGGGCCCCATCAATGCCTGTATGGCCGGCCGATATGGCCGAACGGAAGAGGTTTACTGTCCTGTAAGCCTTCCCGTCGTCATAAAGGGATGTTAAGAATTGCAGGACTGTTGTCACAGGAGTTGATAGGGGATCCAAACCCCGTGCCATGCACCAACCATCCCATGTGCGCCAAGCAGACTTGTAAGACTGCCTCGTGCCGGGTGCCCATGAGCCCTCGAGAAGTCGGAGAGTCGATTGCGAAACTCCCTCGATCGACCAGGGTCCCCGGAAACCAGCCACGCCATGAGGCGGAGGAGCCCCTGACGGATCATGGGGTGGGGGTTCGCATCCGGGTCTCGTAGTAGAGATTGGGCATCCGGGAGGAGCCGCGGGCGATCTATGGCCATCTCCAGAAGAGGAGGGAACCAGGGCTGCGACGGCCATAACGGGGTTATTATCACCAAGCAGCCCAATTGGCGCCGTAGGTGGAGAAGACACCGAGGAATGAGGGCGAAAGGAGGGAAAGCATAGTTCCTGGTGGTTGACCAGTCTTGGGAGAAAGCATTCGTAGCCGAAGCCTTGGGGTCTGGCCTCCAACTGAAGAAGGTCGGAAGTTGGGTGTTCAAACGGGAGGCAAACAAGTCTATTGCCAGAGGACCCCACAGATCCCAAATGTGCTGGAAGACTTGGGGATCGAGGTGCCAATCGCTGGAATCCCGTAGATGGCGGGAGTACCAATCCGCCGTAGTGTTGGATAACCCGGGTAAGAATTCTGCCCTGACGGCCATGTTGTGTTGCAGACAAAACTGCCAAAAGTCCCTCGCCAAATTCGCCAGGATTTTGGATCTCGTGCCACCGAGGTGGTTGATATACCGGACAGCCGATACGTTGTCCATCTTCAGTAAGATTGAGCATTGGGACAGTGTCGGGGAGAGGCTGCGAATTGCAAAGGACCCTGCAAGGAGTTCCAGGCAATTTATATGCAGTGTTGACTCCGCCTCCGACCAGCGTCCGCCTGTGGAAATATCTCCGCAGCGCGCACCCCAACCATAAGAGCTCGCGTCCGACTCTATTACTACATCTGGGGCCGAGCCGAAGATGGCTTTGCCATTCCACGCCTCCATGTGTATGAGCCACCAGCGGAGTTCTTCTTTCGCCTCTGCGTTTAGAGTCAGAGTATCCTCGTATGAGGCGCCGTCTCTCAGGTATGACGCCTGTAGGCGTTGGAGGGCTCTGTAATGAAGGGGACCCGGGAATATGGCCTGTATGGAGGCTGCTAGGAGCCCGATCACGCGGGCCAGATGTTTGAGAGATATATGTGGACAGGTAAGAACTCGTCTTATCTCTTTCTTGATATTTTTCATTTTGGATGTTGGTAAATACAAGGTTTGCATAACTGAGTCCACCAAGAGACCTAGGAATTCTATTTGTTGAGTGGGGGCTAGGGTGGACTTTTCCCAATTTATGATGAATCCCAAATTCTGCAACAAGGTTGTGGTCCAACCGAGGTGCATATGGAGCAGTGAGACTGACTGGGATAGCAGTAGGATGTCGTCTAAATATATGATTAGGCGTATCCCTCGACTGCGTAGGAGAGCAATCACGGGCTTCATTAGCTTGGTGAAGCACCAAGGTGCGGAAGACAGACCGAAGGGAAGGCAGCGGAACCGCCATTTCCTTCCTTGCCACGTGAATTGCAGGAAATCTTGGTGCGTCTGTGCAATGGGTACCGTGAGGTACGCGTCTCTTAGATCGAGTTTGACCATCCAGTCGGCTGGTTGGAGCAAATCTCGCAGGCAGTGAATGCCTTCCATCTTGAAGTGATGGTAATTTACGTAGGTATCTAGGTGTTTGAGATTGATAACTGGGCGGGACCCGCCCCCCTTCTTTGGGACAATAAATAGGTTGCTCACAAAACCCGGGGTATGCATCGGGATTTCTTGAATAGCTCCTTTGAGAGCCAAGTCTCGGACCTCCTCGGAGACGAGGGTCGTGTCTAGAGGGGAAAAAGCAATCTCCCTGGGTGGGGAGCGTTGGGTTGGAAGGGATATAAAGTCTATTAGGTACCCGTGGACAGCCCTGAGTATCCAGGCATCTGAGGTAATGAGAGCCCAGACATGGGAAAAATGTGTGAGTCTGCCCCCAATCGCCACTTGTGTTTGAAATTGAGAAAGGTAGCTTACCGTAAGGACGTCTTCCGGAAGGAGCGCCTCGAGTAACTCTCGACACCCATGGTCTGCCTCGTTGTGGAAAAAAGGTCGGAGCGGACCTTTGGTCAATAAAGGGGGTTCTCCCAACATAGGAGCCTCGGCTCGGGCGCGAGCCTCTGTTGACTCTGCCGGACAGACGGCCCCTTGCTCTGCCGGCCCCACCAAAAACCTTTGGGTGGAACACCCTTTTTAGATTTGATTGTGCCTTGTCTAAGGCCGTGAATGTTTGGACATAAGATCCCAGGTCTTTTACAAAAGATTCTCCAAAAAGGTACCCTTTTGCTAGGGCCCCTGGCTCAGTAATTGCCATATTTACAAGCTTTGGTTCTATTTTAATGAGAATAGATTTACGGCGCTCTGTAGCCAGAGCGGTATTGGCATTGCCTATGAGGCATATCACCCTCTGAATCCAACCTCTAATAGTGAGGCGATCTAAGGCGTCATCTTGTGCCAAGGATTTCTCCACGGCTTCGAAAATTTGGGTCGCTGGACCTAAGATATCCAAGACTTTGTCTTGACAATTATAAAGCGAAAAGTCTAGACCTTTCTTAGGTTTCCAACCCGTCTTGCTTAAAAATTGTATGATCTTGGGATCGACTTGGGGTGTCTTACAGACCTCGTCTGGTACGGTGGGGCGTGGGCATTCAGCCCTCAGTTTATTACGTGTTGCCTTGTCCAGAGGCTTACGGACCCGTGAGGCGACATATTGTGCCACATGCTCAGCTGGTGACCATTCTGCAGAGCGGGGGTGACGTAAGTCATCCGGCTCAAACAGTGGTTCGCCCTGCGGGTCAAGGATTTTTCCCTGTTTAATCAATTCTGAGCTTGCGGTATTTATCTCAGTAGAGGGATCACACACCTCATCAATGTCATATTCAGAATCTAGGTCGGACAAATCGTTAGACTGATCTGAGTCTAGGGCTGGGGCACTCTCCTCATCTGAACTGAGTTCTGACTCAGTGGAATCAGGTTGGGCTTTAGCCCACTTCCAATGCCTAGCCGCTTTTGCCCGGCTAGAGGCTCTTTTGCGCGGTGGGTTAGTATTCGCGCCATCTGTGACAGGTGTTTTACTGTCCATCGTTAACCTGGAGGAGTGCTTGGTTTTTGCCGAGGCTTTGCGGCCGGGGCGTGATGGGTTGGAAATAGATGGTATCGCGACTGGCATAGCGGTCGGAGGGACCATGCGTTGGGCCTGCCTTAGTGCCTGGGTAAAAGATTTTGAAATAGATGAAGACATAATGTCCATGGCAGATGCCAGGGCTTTAGAGACAGACTTGGACACAGTAGTGTCCATGATAGTCTGAATATCCTCTGATGCTGGGAAATCCAGGTCATCCCCAGAAACTATAGGGGGAACACCCAATGTAGTGTGGGGGTCAGTTGTTGTCCCTGAGGGACCAGGCAAGTCATTAGCAGATTGCATAGTATAATGTAACTGACAGGCAGGAGTTTATAATCAAATAACAGATTTTTTTTTTTTTTTTTTTTTTTTTTTTTTTTTTTTTTTTTTTTTTTTTTTTTTTTTTTTTTTTTTGACAGTAATCAACAGTGCAAGTAATGTGTGGTTAATTTAATACTAAAAGTTGTAAGCAGGGTTAAGTAACCCAGCTGAAATAACTAAAGTACACTAAGCAGTATATTTAAAACAGCAAAGACACTTACAGCTAGTTATGAAATAATGGAGGGGAGCAGGAGAAAGGGGGACCGTCCGCCACTAATACTGGACACCAACTCCGATCAAGGGACGGAGTGGGCGTTCCAGAGTACAAAGGGCGGGAAAAATGCGGAAGAAAATGGCCGCCTTGTCGGCGGGAACCAAAAAGATGGCCGCCGCGACGAGCGAAACCGAAAGTAAAAGTAAAGGAAATGAAAAGCCGTTGTCGGCGTGGAAGGAACGGAGTTACACTGCCGCACGAGGAGGGAGAGTAGGAGTGTGGCTGGCTGCGCGGTCAGAAATAGATCTGACCGCGACCACCGCCGGAGTGAAAATGGCCGTTGGGGCGGTCTGACAGGGCGCGCATGCGCGGACAGACTAAATGCCGGCGAATTTAAAGTAACAGGACCTTAGACCTGTCAAGCCCCTGAATATCAGGGCAGTTAGAAAAAATGGGGTTAAGCCATGAGAGTGGTTGGATTTGTAACAGAAACAAGTGAAATATTCAACAGTGGTAAATGATTATTTAAAGGTACAATGCCTCCAGTACCAGTAAAAGGTACCCATGAATGTGAGTTATTATAAAGAAAACAATTAAATACAATTAAATATAATTAAATACAATTAGCATGTTGAATAGAGTAACATTAAAGGATCTCACAGTGAGAGAACTGTGAGAGGTGTACTTATCTGAGGGTAGCAGCAAAGAAAGAGGAAGTGGTCATCAATGCTCCGCCTACTATAGGAGAAGGACGACACTGATTGGATGGCCATGTTACTAGGCGGACATTGTCACTATGATGTTATACCTAGTTCAAATGTTTATTTTTCTTCAATAATGTATTCTTTGCTGCTGAGGGTAATAAAGAAAGAGAGCAGCATAATAGGAGCCTCCGGGTCTTTAATAAAATCCTAGATATATCTCCTAAAAGGATGGGCCATAATATGCCACTGCTTTCTCCCAATTACTGCAGTTAGTATGTGAAAGCCACGGCTTTCTCCCAATTACTGCAGTTAGTATGTGAAAGCCACTGCTTTCTCCCAATTACTGCAGTTAGTATGTGAAAGCCACTGCTTTCTCCCAATTACTGCAGTTAGTATGTGAAAGCCACGGCTTTCTCCCAATTACTGCAGTTAGTATGTGAAAGCCTCTGCTTTCTCCCAATTACTGCAGTTAGTATGTGAAAGCCACTGCTTTCTCCCAATTACTGCAGTTAGTATGTGAAAGCCTCTGCTTTCTCCCAATTACTGCAGTTAGTATGTGAAAGCCACGGCTTTCTCCCAATTACTGCAGTTAGTATGTGAAAGCCGCTGCTTTCTCCCAATTACTGCAGTTAGTATGTGAAAGCCACGGCTTTCTCCCAATTACTGCAGTTAGTATGTGAAAGCCGCTGCTTTCTCCCAATTACTGCAGTTAGTATGTGAAAGCCTCTGCTTTCTCCCAATTACTGCAGTTAGTATGTGAAAGCCACGGCTTTCTCCCAATTACTGCAGTTAGTATGTGAAAGCCACGGCTTTCTCCCAATTACTGCAGTTAGTATGTGAAAGCCTCTGCTTTCTCCCAATTACTGCAGTTAGTATGTGAAAGCCTCTGCTTTCTCCCAATTACTGCAGTTAGTATGTGAAAGCCTCTGCTTTCTCCCAATTACTGCAGTTAGTATGTGAAAGCCACTGCTTTCTCCCATTACTGCAGTTAGTATGTGAAAGCCACTGCTTTCTCCCAATTCCTGCAGTTAGTATGTGAAAGCCACTGCTTTCTCCCAATTACTGCAGTTAGTATGTGAAAGCCACGGCATTCTCCCAGTTACTGCAGTTAGTATGTGAAAGCCACGGCTTTCTCCCAATTACTGCAGTTAGTACGTGAAAGCCACTGCTTTCTCCCAATTCCTGCAGTTAGTATGTGAAAGCCACGGCTTTCTCCCAATTACTGCAGTTAGTACGTGAAAGCCACGGCTTTCTCCCAATTACTGCAGTTAGTATGTGAAAGCCACGGCTTTCTCCCAATTACTGCAGTTAGTACGTGAAAGCCACTGCTTTCTCCCAATTACTGCAGTTAGTATGTGAAAGCCACGGCTTTCTCCCAATTACTGCAGTTGGTATTAATGAAACCTCTGCTTTCTCCCAGTGCTGCAGTTGGTATGTAAGAAGCCCGCGACTTTCTCCCAATTACTGCGGATTGGTATGTAACCTCTGCTTTCTCCCAATTACTGCAGTTAGTATGTGAAAGCCTCTGCTTTCTCCCAATTACCGGTGTTATCAATGAAGCCTCTGCTTTCTCCCAATTACTAGGTCAGTATCAGAAGCCACTGCTTTCTCCCAGTGCGGTGGTAACAAGCCTTACGGTGGTTGTGTAGAGGCATGACTTTCCTCCCAATTACTGCAGTTGGTATCATCGAAAGCCTCTGCTTTCTCCCAATTTACTGCAGTTAGTATGCTGAAAGCCACTGCTTTCTCCCAATTACTGCAGTTAGTATGTGAAAGCCACTGCTTTCTCCCAATTACTGCAGTTAGTATGTGAAAGCCACTGCTTTCTCCCAACTACTGCAGTTAGTATGTGAAAGCCACTGCTTTCTCCCAACTACTGCAGTTAGTATGTGAAAGCCACTGCTTTCTCCCAATTACTGCAGTTAGGATGTGAAAGCCACTGCTTCCTCCAAATTACTGCAGTTAGTATGTGAAAGCCACTGCTTTCTCCCAATTACTGCAGTTAGGATGTGATGACGCTGAAGCCATTAATAAATGTGTTTTTTTTACAACTGTTAGTACATGATGTGTGCTATATGGCCTAGAAATGGATCTATATTGAAGGGACTGCCATGGCTTTATCTTCTAGTTGCCGTGAAAAGACGTTGTCAGATGATTACCAGCAAGCTGTTGATTTACTGAACCAGCAGATGGCAGAGAAAGCTAGTAAGAGCATCTATCTCAATGAGACCCACAACAAACGGAAGAAAGCCCAAGAAGCAGTTGTAGAATTTAAAACCAAAATAGAAGACCTCGCTGAAGACATGATCAAAGAAAGGTGGCGATTTGCTGAAGAGAAGATTAATCTGACTAATGAGGTGCTTCATTAATAAATATATAGCTTTCCTTCCATCAGGTGTAAAATCCCTGTCTTCCAAATTCTGTGTTTTGGTACACATTATCATTATGAATTATTTTACCAGGACCAGAAATCTGTACATATTGTATGTAAGATATATCACCTGCAATGTTACTGCTGTGCGAATAGAACACATGAACAAATTGAATGAATACATTAAGAAGTGAGCGTGATGTGTCTAGTTAGTGGGTATCGATTTAGCTACTTTATCTCTTATTCAAACATTACGTTTACTGGTTCAATCCCAACAGGCTCAACTCAGCCTTTTACCTTCCAATGTGGAGAAAATGAGTGTTGTTGAGTTGGATAATAATAGCACCAATTCCCGAGTTCATATTTAAAAGCTAGTGCAATTTTAAAGTGTTATCCTTGATTATAAATATTTATTTTATTCACATATTATTTATCTAGCATATAATAGTTAATGCATGTGTAGAAGGGTTGGAGTGATATGAATGGTCTGACTTTATTTGTGTACGATCTATAACTGGATTGTATATTCTGGTTGTATTGATCTCTTCTGATAGCTGAAGGTTAAACAATCGACAGGCTGTGTTTATGCAGTTTGGATCACATCCCATCATTCAGTTGTACTCAAGCCAGATTTGTTATGAAGCATACTGGGCAAATGACTGGTGGATTGTGGGTAGAATTGTAGTGCCAACCACTGTGTGTCAGACTGCCCCTATTGAGATCATATGAGACCAGAAGCTCCTTCTCTGCTTCCTCTTTCCCATGATATCGCAGTGTTTCTGCTTCCTATAAAGATGGTAAAGTTTACAGATTCTTATTTTCTTGCTACACGTGTCGGCCATTTCACTGTCAGTTGTGAGGTATTGCTGTGCTGTGACAGTGTGACTTTCTATCTCTGACTTCCTTCATCCTAGAATTAAAAGAAAACAACCAACAATAATGTACCTTATACACCTTAATATATATGCAAAAGATACTTATCAAATGAAGATGAATACAGCCTCCCTCAGATCGCTTCCCAGCTAGCGATCAACTTGACAGCAAAATGTAGAAAAAACAACAACGAGGGAACCGGCTGATAATCTCTACAAAAGTAAATAAAGAGAATATAGTGTAATACAGTTTACAGTATAAACATTGCGCAAATTGAAATGCACTCACTGGATTTTGGACAAATTGAAGCTTGTAAGATGCCTCCCCCGATAGTATGGGGGGCCTAGGGAAATCCCCTGGATGTTTTCACTCCAACACAGGACTCCGGGTGAAGTTTGGAAAGATGGCTTTAATTCAATATTAAAATGTGTTTAAAAATAAATAAAATAAATATAAATAAGGTCCTACGCGTTTCGTCCCTTTAACAAAATAGGGACTTCCTCAGGGACCACAATATTAAGAAACAATTTGATACAATACAATCAAAGTACAGCCTGTTTATTTTTAAACACATTTTAATATTGAATTAAAGCCATTTTTCCAAACTTCACCCGGAGTCCTGTGTTGGAGTGAAAACATCCAGGGGATTTCCCTAGGCCCCCCATACTATCGTGGAAGGCACCTTACAAGCTTCAATTTGTCCAAAATCCAGTGAGTGCATTTCAATTTGCGCAATGTTTATACTGTAAACTGTATTACACTATATTCTCTCTATTTACTTTTGTAGAGATTATCAGCCGGTTCCCTCGTTGTTGTTTTTTCTAGAATTAAAAGAAATATGAATGACCAACGAATGACTTTGTGTGTGGTGTGTTTAACTTCCTTCGTGATAGGATTTACCTACTTTTTGTTACAGATCACGGAAACCAGGAGGCTAACAGAAGCACAGGAGGCGCAAAACATCGAGCAAAAGAAACGCTTAAGTCAAACAAAATCTGCATTTTATGGTGTTGAACAAAAGCTGAAAATGGAAAGAGAGGTGAGGGTGACAAGCTTGATAGCACACTCTTTGGTGATTATAGTAATGGGTTGTCTTACACATATTTTTTCTGTTAGTGTGTCTGTCTTCTGCAGTTTACTGGTTTTATTATGCCATTAACTTGTTAGAGGATGGCAATTTAAAGTGCTCCTGCTATGGATATGTCACATGGTTACAGTTTATTGGCTATAAATGTTAATCTAGAAGACATACTAGCATAATATAAGATAAAAGTCAGTACAGTTGAATGTTTGCTAAGATTCTACAAGTTACCAGCATAGAGGTATAATGTAGCAGTGTGGTAGCTGCGGTTGCTGCATAGCATTGTGGGGCTGTACAGACAAATACAGCATTTCTAGCCAATCAATAGTGCATTGTGGATCAAGGTGTTTTTTACCTTCCTCTGATACGTGCTTCATCCAGTCTTAAATGGCAAGTTTAGTGGGAAGAGCAATGACCAACAGGGTGCTTCATTGTGTTTAATTTACCACAAATGTATATTTATTTGTTTTCATCGAGTCTCTTCGGGTTCATGGATCCTCCATATCTGCTGATATCATGTTGAGATTCTCTAGAAGGATGCACGATTCTGGACTTGACTTACATCAGTTCACTCTTGAAACATGTCCCAATTTTAACATGATCTCAAACTACAATGAGAAACACTTAGACCAGGAGTAGGCAATCTGTGCACTTTAAATGTTGTGGACTCCTTCTCCCATAATGCTCTTACAGCCATGAAGCTGGCAAAGTATCAGGGAGATGTAGTCCCCAACATCTGGAATGCCGAAGGTTACCTATCCCTGGCTTGGAAAAATAATTTGTATTGGGTGTTGCGGAGAGCATGCTTTCGGTTTTCCCCATTGTACTCTGCAGTCAATCAGTGTGAGGCTGCACTGCTTCCTTTCCTAAGTACAAAATTGCCCTGTCTCTAGTTAATCACAATAACACACAGTGTGCAACCTATTTTCCATATTCTCTGTAGAGGTATATACTGTGATATTTCATTATGATGGATATGAAAGGTTATGAAAAAATTGCAATACTATATTATTTGTGTATATGTATAATTTGCAAGTTCCTTTTTTACTGTTTTAAAAGGATCTAAATACTGTGAAGGGCGATATTTTACTTTTTCAAGCCTCCCACGCACGTTTGGCTAATAAGCTGGAAGTTCAAAGGATTTCGTTTGCTGAGCTCTTTGACAAAAAGTAAGGCTACATCATAACGTCTCTGTGAGACCATTTTTTATCTTGTTATTCTGAAACCAGCTCTCATTATTTCTATTGCAAGTTTCATTCTTCTAAGACCTTAAACAAATATAATCCTAAAAATTTAAAAAGTTATGTGTCGTTACAATTATGGAAATAAACCCTCTTAGGAGCACAAAGAAATTTAGAAAGCATGTATTGGGACCTTAATTATTTCCAGTAATGCTCAGTTAACATGTATTCATTAATAAACAGAAACCATTTTGGCCTTTCCCCAGCCAAGCTATGTAGTTACCAATGCCTCTCCTTAGCCAAGATACATAGCCTCACAATGTATTTAAGAAAAATATATAGTTTAGCCATTTTTTAACATTGTGATTTGCAGTGGACATTATCTACCTAAATGACACTTAGTCCTACACTATACTGAAGGCTACACGCTGCCTACTGCTGGGATAAGCACTACCTCCCCCCCACTTTTTTGTGTATTTGGCGGAAATTCTGTTTGAAGCCAAGTTGGCCGTAGACGAATTTCCACATAATGAATTCGTCAATACCATAGTCCTCCTATTCTTTTTTTTTTTTTTGTCAATCAAATTTTATTAGGATTTATCGAAGTGTTACAAGCATAAGTATTGTACAGCAATGTGGAAGAAAATAGTGCTTCACAATTCCGTTCTTGTACATTATACAGCATGTCGTGTTAAGGCTTGTTCTCATGGGTTATTTCAATAGCGGCCCGCCTCATTCATGAGGCGGTGTGGTATGTGAGATATGTTGTCTTTAGTTAGTGAGTTAGTGTTATGAAATCGTCTTTCTACGGTGTATTCTCGCTTGGAGTGAGAGCCCCTGAAGTGAGTTGTTTCTGGGGTACCGTCTCTGGCTGTGCAGAGCTCCCCTCCCCTTCCCCCCATCCTCTCTGTCTACGGTCATGGTCGTCCGGGCCGTATAGTGGGTGATGTGTTGGTCAGTGGCTGAGCTTGGTATGCTGTCGGTCTCTATCGCACTCTGTCCCTCGGGTTCAACCCAGCAGGTGTAGGGTGCGTTGGTGCCTTGTGAGTAACCGTGAAGTGGTTGCCCCGGTTTGGGGGCCCTCTAATACTGCAGCTAGGTCCCCTCTAGGCGTATGTCCCCTTTATCCATTGTTGTCCTGTGGAATATCGTGGCTATTGTGTATGTGTTAATCATTGTGAGGCTTCCTTTGATGGATCTACTCTTCGTCTTGTCTCCCCAAGGTTTAGTATCCTCCGTGTCGTAGTGCCTTGTGGTGCGAGTGTCTGGGTTTGTGCTGTCCCCAGCTCCCTTCCTCCGTGTTGGATGGCGGCTTTTGCCGCGCCTTTGGTGTCAGGTGGCGTGTGGGGCTGGGGCAGTCTCCCATTTGTGTGCTACTCCGTGTTACTGAGTTAGGGGAGTCGACGTATCTCTGAATTTACTCCCGTAGTTCTGTGTCTGGGCCGTCCGTGGTCCTAAGCGGGAGTTCGGCTTTCTTGGGTTAGGGTGTGTCAGTGGACCTGTCAGTCCGAGTTCTCGGGAGTGGTTCAGGTGTTGCCTTCCCTGTCGGGGGTAGTTCTTTAGGATGGTCGTGTGGTCAGTCTATACTAGGTCCCCCCCAGCCCCCCCGAGGCGAGCGCCGCCCCCCCCCCACGCGGTCTCGCCACCCCCGCTCTCTTGGTCACATAGTCCATCCATGGGTACCATGTCAGCGCACATTTTTCCGCCCGTCCCTGCAGTGAAGCCGTCATCCGTTCCATGTTGTAGATGTCTTCCACCCTAGCGATCCACTGTTCTAGCGAGGGGGTCAGCGTGGTTTTCCAGTGTGTGGGGATAAGCGTCTTAGCCGCCGTAAGCAGGTGTATAGTGAGCCCTCTTTTGTAGGCTGTCAGTGGTGTGTGCGTATGGTTGAGCAACATCGGCAGGGGCTGTAGCGGAAGTTCAGTGCCTGTGATATCTACTATTGTGCGGTTTATCGTTCGCCAGTAGGGGGCTATAAGGGGACATGTCCACCAGATGTGGTATGCTGTGCCCCTTTCTGTTCCGCATCTCCAGCAGTCGTCAGGGATCGTGTCATGAATATGTCCTAGGATATCCGGGGTCCTGTACCAATGCGTTAGAATTTTATAGTTGCACTCCTGGTACTTTGAGCTTATGTTTCCCTTATGCGACAGTAGGAAGATTTTGTTCCATTCCACGTCCGTGAGCTCTGTCCCCGTCTCTATTTCCCACCGCCTCGTGAAGCCCAAGGCGTCCTTTTCTCCGCTGTTCATTAGGGCGGTATACAGAGTTGACACGCCATGTGTGATGTGTTGCCGGGCCGTGCATAGTTGTTCCAGATACAAGAGGGGGCGGTGTACGTGATCCTTCCCCTTGATAGTGTTGTAGTATGCTTTGAGCTGGTGGTAATGAAACTCGTCTAGTCTGGTAGGTCTACAGTCTCGTACCAGTTCTGTCAAGGGTCTCAGGCTCCGGCCGCTGCACCATTGGTGTAGGTAGACCCAATCCGTCGCTTGAAAATTTTTAAGGGCAGTAGGAGTTAGTCCATCGGCTAACTGGGGGTTGTTGGTTATGGGTGTGAGCGGGTTGGGAGATGTGGTAAGCTGCTTGGTGTATCTTATTCCGCACCAGACCCCAAGGGTGGCGTCTATCATTGGGTTGCCTGTGCGTATTTCTCTAAGCGTAGCCTCTCCCAACCATAGCACGGCGGGGATCTTCCCCTGTGCTTGTTGGAGCTCCATGTCCACCCATTGCTTAGCGTTGGGGTTGGCATGCCAGTCCACCAGTCTATGTAGGTGAGTTGCCTGGTAGTACATGAGTACGGACGGGAGTCCCATGCCTCCGTCACACTTTGGTCGCTCCAGAATCGTTCTCCGAACCCTTGTGGGCTTTTTGTTCCAGACAAACTGTCTAATGTCGGTCGTTAGCCTCTGGAAGAAGACTCTAGGAACAGTGGTAGGCAGTGTCTGAAATAAGTATAGAACGCGCGGCATGATGTTCATTTTTATAGCGCTTATGCGGCCGAACCACGATATGTACTTGGACGTCCATCGTTTTAAGTCTTGTTGTAACGATGCAAGGAGAGGAGTGAAATTCAGTTGGTAGATCTGCGCGAGCTCTTTCGGCAGCCAGACACCGAGGTATCGGAGCTTTGTTGTGCAGATTTTGAATGCGAAGTGTGTTTCAAAGTGCCTTGTCAGGGTCAGGTTTTGTGCCACCGGCATTGCCTCTGATTTTTCTAGGTTAAGTTTTAGATTTGAGACTTTGCTGTATTGTTTGAACGCCTCGAGCAAATTCGGAGTCGAGATTCTAGGTTGTTCCAGGAAGAAGAGCATGTCGTCCGCGTATGCCGCGACCCGGTGTTCCGTTCCGCCCAGGCGAGTCCCCGTTATGCCCCCGTCCTGTCTGACCGCCTCCAGAAACGGTTCGAGAGTGAGGGCAAACAGAAGGGGTGACAGAGGGCATCCCTGGCGGGTACCATTGTGGATGCTAAATGGTTTTGTCAGTGCTCCATTGACCCGAATGCGCGCCGTTGGGACCGTGTATAATGCGGCCACCCATAATCGTATGTGGGTGCCAAAGCCCATGTGGCGTAGCGTCTCAGCGAGGAACGTCCAGTCCACTCTGTCAAACGCCTTTTCGGCATCCGTCGACAGGAGCACTACCTCCCGTTTTCCAATCTTGGCCGCGTGTATGACATTGAGGGCTCTGATGGTGTTGTCCCTGGCCTCCCTCCCGGGTATGAAGCCGACTTGGTCGAGGTGTATCAAGTCGGGCAGGAGATGTGAGATCCGTAGTGCCATTGCTTTTGCGAATATCTTCAGATCCGCATTTAGTAAGGAAATTGGGCGGAAGCTGGCGCAGTTCGTGGGTCTTTACCCTCTTTTGGGAGGACCGTGATTGTGGCTCTCAAGGTGTCCGTAGGGAAGTGGCCATCCGTTTGAATTGAGTTGAGGCCCGTGAGAAGTCTCGGCAATAGGATGTCTCTGAAGGTGCGATGGTATGATAGCGGTAGTCCGTCTGGGCCTGGTGCCCGGTGCGGCTTTGAGGCTTTCATGGCGCCGGCCAGTTCTTCAATCGTCAGAGGTTGGTCCAGCTCCGCAGCCTGTTCCGGGGTAAGTTTTCTGGCCACATGATTTTCTAGGTATGTCCGGACTCGGTCCTTATGACGCTGTTCTGCGGGGCCCTCCCGGGCTCGAGCTTGCGCGTAGAGTGCCGCATAGTACTCTTGGAAGGCTTCGAGGATGCCTTCTGGTAAGCGCGTGACTTCTCCCTCTCGCGTGTGTATTTTATGGATGTGTTGTGCCCTCCTCTTGTCTTGTAGCATTTTCGCCAGCAACCTGCCGCTCTTATTGGAATGTTCGTAGAAGAATCTGGCTGATTTTCTAGCTGTGTGTAGTTGTCCCTGTGATAGTATGTCTCTAAGTTCTCTGCGAGTGATCGTGAGGTGTAGGTATGTGCCTTCTTCCAGCGTGTGTTTATGTTCGTATTCTAGTTCGGCTATGCGCTTCGTTAGCGTGATGAGGCGTGCGGATCGGTCTTTTTTGCGTCTAGTGCTCTCTGCGATGAGACGGCCCCTGATGACGCATTTATGCGCTTCCCAGAGTACCAGTGGGGAGGTCTCCGAATTCTCGTTGTCAGCGAAATATTGGGTCAGGGCGTCGATAACCATAGCCTTAAGTGCGGGGTCATCCAGCAGGGATTCGTTGAGTTTCCATTGTCTTTCTCGAGGTTTAAACAGTGGAGAACTGATGTGCGCCACCACGGGCCCATGGTCGGAATAGTCCAGTAGTTCGATGTCGGCTTTGTGCAGTAGGTTCAGATATTCTTGCGCTAGAAATACATAATCAATGCGGCTGTAGTGTGAGTGGACCGCTGAATAGTGGGTGTAGTCACGGTCGTCTGGGTGGCTCACCCTCCAGCTGTCCACCAGCCCCTGCCTGTTCAGTGCCCGCATTATTTTGCGTACGCAGTGCGCTGGTACCGCGCTCACACCTCTGGAGGTGTCCAGACGGGGGTCTAGCGGTACGTTCAAATCTCCCGCCATCACCAGCATACCTTCCCTGAAGCTTTCCAGTTTAGCTAGTGTCCTGCTGATGAAGGTGTGCTGCCGTCTGTTGGGGCTATATATGGTAACGAAGGTATACGTGTAGTCGGCTATAGAGCCTTTGATGAAAAGGTAGCGCCCATTGGGGTCTGTCATTGCCGCCTTGAGCTGGAACGGTACTGTATGTGCAAACAATATCGCCACCCCTGCCTTTTTCGCGTTCGGGTGGTTCGCGTAGAACCCTAACGGGAAGCGACGGTTCTCTAATTTGGGAGCCTCGTTGCCTCTGAAGTGCGTCTCCTGTACGAACGCCACCGACGCCCTCGCTGTCCAGAGCTTGCTGAGTAGGCGTGTGCGTTTCTCCGGCCCATTGAGACCCTGGACATTATTCGACCAGAGCGTTAGTGGGGCCGGCGCGAAACCCTTTGTAGTTGCGGCCGCAGCGAGGGGGCTGCCCCGCCCCGGGGAGGGCATGGAGGGGAAGGAGAGAGAGAGAGAGAGTGAGAGAGAAATATGTTGTCAGTGGTATGTCCGGTGTGTGTCCGTCCGGTTGTCTGAGGGTTGGGTTCAGGGGAGAGTGTGGTGTGACTTTGTCCCGGTACCGGTTACGGTCGTCACAGGGTCAGAAATATGCCTGTATCCCGCGACCCCGGTATTATATACAGAAGGGTCTGTCACAGTGAGGTTCAGTGTAGCCACCGAGGGAGGTAAGTTATCGGTTGTACTTGTGTCCAGTCTACGAACTCCCCTTATGACTCCCAACCTGCGGGTGCTATATGCATTGTGTTAAGTAGCAGGTCTTAGTTGTGGGGGTATCTTGACGTCCGCCCTATTGTACCTATGTGCTGACCCAGTCCATATAGGGGTGTGAACAGGAGTTGGTACTTGTTGTGTGTCCGGCTGGACCCGCCCCTCCCCCCTCCTCGGCCCCTCCCAGTGTGTTCCCGCTCCTCGAGTTGGCTGAAGTGTTCGCCTCCGCCCCCTAGTTCCCCTGGCCTTCCTGTACACTACCCTGTGTGCTCCACCGGAGTACCCTCCCAGACAAGGCCTGCTTCTGGGGTGTCGAACTGGGTGTCCTTACCCTAGGGTGGGATGGGTGACCTCAGGGTGCCCTAGCTCCATACCCCAGGTCTCTGTCTCCCCGCCCCCTTCTCCCGTCGCCCCCTGGATCCGCCTTTGCTGCCTTACCTAGTGTGTGTAGCAATTGTGTGTTTGCTAGTAGCTTGCTATGCTATGTGTCTATGAAACCACGTGTAAACTAAACATGCTGTCATTAACTTTGAACTGTTAGGCCTCTGCGGCGGCCCACGCCTTTCCTCTTCGCCTGCCTCCCTCTGTTGATCGTTCAGCTTGGGTCGCCACTTACACCCCGACCTGCCCCCGCCCCTTCCCTCCCGCAAAGCCCCTCATGCCTGTAAGATACCCGTGAAATTGGGGCAGTGTTCAAGTTCGTATTCAGCTGCGGCCCTCTTTGCATCCCGGCCCTCCCGGCGGGCCTGATCCCAGACCCCTGCATGCGTGCCCTGTGTCTCGTGCCCCACCCCACCTCAAGGGGACCCCGGGTAAAAAGCCAGTGGACCCCTCTATCGGTTGGTCTCCCCCTCCCCACTGCGCTTCTCCGTGCAGGCTCCGTCCCTCCCAACCTGTGGGGATCCCCTGGTGGCTTTTCCCTTAGGCTGAGGGGTGAGAGACTAAATTAACCGGGCTCCCGAGTCAGTACATACCCGCCTGGTTACGGCTGGAGACCTTTAGAGGGCGAGGTGAGTGCTGCCGGCTTACATGTGTGCGCTGGTGCAGCTGGGGTACCAGGGCGGGCATCTTGTGCGGGGGTGGCTCCTTAGCTGGTACTATTCTTCGGGGCCCTCGGGGCCTCCTCGTCGCCGTGGAGTCCCTGGGCGCGGGCGGAGGTTGTGCGCTGCGTCTGACGGTCCAGTTGATCGGGCCGGAGGGTTATCTAGGATCCAGTTTGGGACCGGTACTTCAGGTAAGCCGGCCGTCCGGAGGAAGCGGGGAACGTCGTTGGGCCAACGAATAACATGCCAAATGTTCCCGATTTTGGCCTGGAGGCTAAAAGGGAACCCCCATTTGTAGATTATTCTCCTTTCTTGCAGGAGGCGCGTTACTGGCCTCAGGGCCCGTCGGGCGTCCAGCGTGATAATGGATAGGTCCTGGAAGAGGGAGATCTCGGCATCCATGTAGGTGACATGTGGCCGTGCCCTGGCGGATCTCATAAGGGCCTCCTTCAGTTGGAATGACACCAGGGAGCAGACTATGTCTCTGGGTTGACCGTCTCTCCTGGGGGCCCTCAGGGCTCGATGTGCCCTTTCTATGCCGAATTCTTGTGGGGCCAGGTCCCCCAGGAGGTGCGTAAATAGGCCCGTGAGGATCTCCTGCAGGTTTTCCCCCTCCGCCTCTGGCAGGCCCCGGATTCTGATGTTGTTCCGGCGGCCTCTATTGTCCAGCTCCTCAATTTGCCGGCGTAGGTCCAGGAGAATGTTGCCCTGCCTCGTGGTGGCCAGGTCCGCGGCCTGCTGATGCTGTGCGGCCTGCAATTGCGTTTCTTCCAGGGTATCCACCCTCTGTTCCAATGCAGCGAGGTCGTTGCGGACTGCTGCCACTTCTTCCCTTATGATTGCGCGCAGCTCAGCCACCATTTCAGTTTTGTCTCTGCGAGTCAGCATGCTTGCGGAGATCGCAGCCAGGTCGGCCGATATCTGTGATAGGGTGCCTACTGCGGGCGAGTCCTGTGCCGATCCCATCACACTCGAGCCTGGGGAGGAGGGAGTCTGCATGCTCGGGTCCCCGGAGCCCCGGAGGTCGGGCGGCACTGACAGGAATTCGTCCATCGGGCCCGGCGTCTGCCGCGCCGGGGTCGCTCCGGGTGGTCCTGCGGCAGTTAGTCGCTTGTTTTTCCCCATTTGTGCAGTTTTGTAGAAAAATATGGCTTGTGTATTTGGGCTTAGCAGGTTGGGGCCTAGGAGCTCGAGTTAGGTGCGTCTTACTCCATTGGTAGTCAGGCCACGCCCCCCTAGTCCTCCTATTCTGTTAGTCCATAAATCAAAGCTGATGGGGAATAAATACATTTATAAAAATGTGTAACAAATCACATCAATGGGTGTATTCAGTATGTAATTTGGGAACCTAAATTTTTCTGTACTTTTTTACTGTTCTATTAAGACATTTTGCCTGCATACTAATTCCTGTAGCTAGGGATGGACAGAAGTATTTGCGATGTACTTTTTGTTCATCATTTAACCCCTTACAGTCTTTGTTCATCGTGTAAGAATGTTCCCCTTGTTCCCCAACTGGTGGAGGGTAGGGGGCATTCTCCAATTACTAATTGGGTTAAATTCTATTTTCCCAATTGATCTGGTGTCCGTCAGGATTTTAAAACACTCCTGTGATACAGAGATTATAATATCTTTTTTCTCTCTTTCAGGGATGCCCTTGAAAACCAGATGATAAAACTGAAACGTGATTTTAGCAGAGATAGCAATATCTTAAATGAAAAGATATCGCAGGTAAGAGCACGTATGTAAACAAATGGCTATTCCTGTCATGGTAGTCACAGGTTATGAAATTGATTACAGAAATTCTTAATGACAGTGCGTTGTAACACTTTAATCAATGGTTTTTATACCCTTCGGTTTAGTGTTCAAAGTGTCAGAAATTGACTTAATGAAACACAGTCCCATGCTATCCGTTAAAGGTCAGTTTTATGTGTGGCCAGTTCAATAGACTCACATTTGAAAGTATGTTCAGAGTACAGTGAAATCTCCAAAAAGCTCAATCAGAGCTGTACAAAGATCTGACCTATTGCTGTATGGATTTCTGTAAAGGACAACTTTGTATGTGGCCTGCCGTGCCTTGGGTTCAGCTTTTTCAGTAAAGCCGTCACCAGAGAAACCAATAAATGATCCCTACTGATTGCTCCATTATAAAATAAAACATTAATTCTAAATTCCCATTGCATTTTTCCCTGGAAACAATGAGTGAAATATCCCTCTCCAATCCAGAGACAGTGGAATTATTCCCTGGATCTCTCTTACATAAGCAGATCCTTACTGTTGTAACTGTGTATGTCTCTGTTTGCTGAAAGGCATTCTGTGCGTGTATTCTGACCGTTGATGTTGCATTTCTTTCTCTTAGCTGGATGAAGAAATGAACACGGCTGAAATGCTACATCAAACTCTGACAGATAAAAACCAGGAGCTTTGGAAAGAATATCAAGCCATAAAGGAAAGTGAAGAGAAGGAGTTGGCAAAGAAAAAGGATACAGCGAGACAGTACGATACCAAACTTATCAGATTGCTTGTTTTTATTAATGTATACAGAGAGCACAGACTGCACTGTGGAACGTATTAAAAATGTCTACTATGATCTATCCTAAACGCCTAATTGAATCAGCAATGCCATCCCTACCTACAGCTGTGGAAAATGTAATTTCAGATAATTAACTCATTCAACCTAAAAAATTCTTCCTATTGCATTCATGACTGTCATACAGGGGCAAATAGAGAATGATAAATTTGATCTCTTAATGTCTTGGCTTGTATAATCGCCCACCTATCCCCTTTATAGATCGCAGAGGAATAGATTCTGTGTGATCTGTTTACTAAACAGTAATATTGTGAGTTGCCCGTGTTGGCTGTGAATTGACCATAGTCTACCCATTTACAAACACACCATGAAAATTTTAGGTCGCAAATCCCCCCTTCCCCACACACACACACATTTTGTCTAGCATGTCCTAAAGTTTGCAATTCTAAATTTTCGTTTTCTGAGTTAATGTCTTTATAATAGAAATTTCAGGAGTACTCTTGGAATAAGTAATATTTTTATGATTGACTTAATATCGGATCTCTTGACGTTAACCATTTATATATAGGAGTGCTACCCCCAAATTAAGAAGTGCAAGAGAACAGCTATTATTTTCTCACGGCAATCATGTTCGCTTTGTTTTTAGTAACGGCTTGCTGAATAACAGTGTGTATCCCAATCCACTTTCGATATAGCCTCCTATATTTCAGTATGATAACACTTTAATTAAAGTTGGTTAATTCCACCGACTTCTAAACATAGAACCAAATTATGCTAATTAGTATGATAAATTCACCACTCCTCCTTAATGAGCCCTGTACAGTTACTGGAGCTAAGGTGCTGTTAATTCTGAACTAATCCCTCTAAATATATTGCTGTGCAAATATACTCCACTGTGCGCAGGTATCAAGGTTTCTTGAGGTTTCGAACCACAGTTATGAAATTGATAATTCTATTGTCCAGAGATTAATCCAGATATTGTTCATTATATTTTGTTTTGAATAACTGCATTGGGGGTTTTGTCCTGCTCCCTTTTTGGACTTATACTTTATGCCCCAGAAATCTGGTTCTATTGTTTTTTTTGTTTGTTTTTTCTATACAACATATAGGTATTTTTTTTTTAACCTCTCTGATTGACAAAATGTATAAATTCAATGATTTACTAGTAGCAAAATAAACTATTCAATGTAATAACAGTAAAATGTTTTGAAGTCATAGTTGTTATAGAATTGTGATATACGATTTTTATTTTTTTGATGTTATATTGCTGAATATGTTAAGTACTAATTTGGCATATTTCCATGATAGCAAATCACATGTAGCAAGCTGGCCATCAGACTTTAAGCATTAACTGTAAAATCAAAATTATTGAACAGACTTGAAACTTCAAGAATGGGTGTCAACAAAAATATGGAAATTTATGGAAAACTGAAAACTGAATTAAAAGAGATGGAACTTGAATCCACTAACCTGGCAGAAGTTAGCAGGTAATAATCTATTTTGAAACAATAATAGCGAATGGACTTAGAATGCTTGCAGACAATGATCATTCTGCATCATTTATATATTTATTTCAGAATCAGTACAGAACAGCTGGCTCGCCAGGTAGACGAATTCAAGGAAACGCTTGAAATTGAAAAACAAAAAAGGTAAAGACATTTAAAATGAAAACTAAATTGAAACCAGTGTTTATTAATGTGAATGAACTATGCCTTCCTATTAAACCTACCCAGACCATCACTGGCCACTGCAGTTAGCCTTTTTAAACCAGCACTATTACTTTGTTTCATTACCTTTTGGATTGGCTATGGGTTCCCAGGGTGTTTTAATATCTCAAGTGTGTACATTGAGCATTGCGCTTCCCTGTACGTAGATGGACGTTATCCCTGCATAGGCGGCTTCTTATGACCTGGGAGTTTGGCATATGCACCAACGAGTGCCAATTGGCAGATTCCCCATCGATGGGTAACTCAGCTGTTTATGATCTGATCAGTTATTTGTTGCGGGACAGCAAATCTAGTTTGTATAACCTACAAACACATTACTAGATTACAGCTTAATTACCACCCCAGAGACACTCTGTTAAGGTAACTTGGTTTAAAGTAATCAGTTAAGAGAATGATTTATGACCCTGAATTTAGAAATAGAAAACGCATGAAACCTAAATCAAGTTTCCGGTTCACTATTTTATTACAGAATGGCAAATCAGATAAAAAAAGATCAAGTTTTAAAGGAACTAGAGCTTAAGAAACTGGCTGAAGAAACCTTTATCAGTGAAATGAAGGAAAGGATTGAAAACGGGCAAAAACTGCAGCTTTCGTTATTAGATGAGGTGAGTCTGAGTTTACATGCTTTATGCGATATACAAAGAAATGAATCTCTTTAACAGTGGAGGCATCAATCAATAGGGGAATAATGCTAAGCTGCATTGTACTCAGTATTTTCCCATCAACCAATATATAAACACATTATTTGTTTCTGTTACAATATTTCAGCATTTTAATTACATTTTAGTTGTGTCATCAGCGCTGGGATCAGGTAAGTAAATAAAGGGTTTTTAACTCTTTATTTACCGGGAAGGGGGAGGCAGAGGGATCCGTAGTGCCAGGCTACTTGACTGGCTTCTCTTTAGACAGATGTTCTACAACATCTGGGAGTCTACCTTACCCCTGGTTTGACGCATTATTACGTATTAAAGCAACATGGTGGGGGACTCTTCATTTGTTTGCAACAACCCCCATGATAACATGTCCGCTTGTAGGGTGCAGAAGCAGTTTGGATGTCTTATCTTACGTTCTCCCTCCTTGAGAGCTGTAGTTACTATATACTCTTGTGCATGTTGACGAGAACAATCATGGTCTATGGGAGATAGTCTTGCACTTGCACAGTAAGATACATTGCACAGTAAGATGCATTGCACGAGATGGCACCTAATGTCTGTTGCAAGGGCAGATTGGAAATGGTGACCGTAACTCCACCTTTTGCCAAAGATTGACTGCTACATAAAAAACATAGGAGTCCGTATGTATCTTTTGATTGCACGGTAGTTTCAAAGAAATTCATTTACTTAAAGATCCTGTTTATGAAAAACTCAAAAGTGCCAGAGCCAGTTTATTAATAATTAGATTTTCATAAGAACTTGTTGTCCATAACACTCTGTGTTCATCATCAAACCACCACAAGGAGCAATGGGTCTTCTATGTGTACAATGCAGAGCCTCCAGTGGTTTCCAACCCTTTTTTTTTAACTAAGGCACAGTTTTGTTTTTTTGTTACATTCAGCAGCTTATAAATATCACATTTACGTGAAGCCCAACTAGAAATATGTGCATACTTCTAGCCAGACTGACTTATTATTTTTAAAGGGACACTCCAGACACCTAAAGCACTTTAGCTTGCTGAAAAGCTTTATGTGTGTAGAGTGTCCTATTCTTTTTTTTTTTTTTGAAAAAGTGCAGATTTCAATAGAAATTGACACTTTTATAAATTAGGCTGGTTACGCCTCCCTGGCTTACATTCAGTCACTTCATGGGGAAATAGCCAATCAGAAATAGTTTATAAGCTGAGTGTTCCTGCCACTTCTGTTGGCTCAGGGGAGCTAATCAAAGCTGGAAAGAAACCTCATTGGCTGTTTGTTTGACAGCCGGGGGGGGTGTTTCATTAAGTAATGATACAAGTGCCAAATTCTTATTGAAATCTGCACTTTTATAAAGTGCTTTTTTTAATTAGATGCTCCTTAGCTGAAGTGTTTTACGGGTGAGGAGTGGCATTTAGTGCTGGCACTTATTATAAAACACATTTTAAACACCGTATGTTGTTTGTGAACACTGTGAGGTGGCTTTTGGCAGACCAGGGTAACACGGAACCCAGCTTGAAAATCACTGCTCTAGAGTGCAAGTCTAAAGCAGAACTGTCACTAATTCTATATTGGCACAAGCTAATAGCTAACCAAAATGTAGGTGTTGGTTGTGCTAATTTTAGGTAAAGTTTGGTATTGTTGGCAAGGTGATGCCAATAATAAAATACTGCTTTAATACTTAGATTTTTTTTTTAAACTGATATATTTTTTAATAAGACATATGTTTTAATATTTTGAAAAAAAAAATACTTTTAAAAGTTTATCCAAAAATATTACACAATTTGAAAAGCCTAGACCATAACTTGTGTCTCAATGCGCAGAAGATGATCAGATCTCAGGACTTCTATCGTGGAGGTTTTGACAATAGTAGGTTGCTGAAACTTTGCAGTAAAAAAGGATACAATAAAACACGGTTTTCCTTAGTTTTTTTTTCTATTGATAATGCAAGCTATATGCCCGGAAAAATTTCCTTTTGGCTTTTTTTTCTGTGACATTTATAGTTTTTTTTTTTATTCAAATGTAATTTTTAAGTACTTGTTGTTAATCTTGACTTTTGTATGCACTTCTGACCTATTGAGCTCCAGTTAGTTATTTTAATTGATTTATAATATGCCGTGGCATTAATAAGCCAGATGCCTAAAATGTTAAAGCTGTTGTCGTATTTACTGATTTTCAGATCCTGTAATGACCTATGTTTCAACTCTTAAGAACCCCCTCATTTGGCGTCCTTTTAATCAAGCACTATAGCCCTAGGCAGCGTTGGCTTCTGCAAATAACTGGATTCTTTATCTAACTTAAAGCAATTATATATCACATTGACAAATGGAGGAGCATATACAAGAATAATCTGTACACGCTCAGTCTATATAAATCAAATTACATGTAAAAAGCAGATGAAATATTACTGTTTTCCAAATGTAGTCACTAACACAATGGGATGGGTATTTATAGATGTAAAACACAACTAGAATATTTTATTTTATTCTCAATATCTAGGGCAACATCCTGCAAAGGGAAATAGAGAATTTTGATGAACAGATTTTCATCTTGAAAGAAGAGGGTGTGAAAATGAATGAAGACTTCTCAAATATGGAGCAAAGTCTCACTAAAGAGATAGAAATGCTTGAGGTAAGAGATTCGAACATTTATCTGAGAATGTTCTGGAAAGGGGTTCTCTATATTAATAATTATAAAATATAATAAGAAATAAACAAAATGCTAACACATCCAATAATGGCCTCGATGTAATATCTCTGGATCAGGCTTTCAAATAATGATTTAATATTTTTGGATAAAGTTTTAAAATTATTTCACATTTTGAAAATATTTTAATATTTTTAATGATATATATTTTTTTATATATATGATCTATTATAATATTTTGAAAAAAATAAATAAATCTTAAATCATTTGAAAATCTTTCCCAAACCTATTAAATCAAGGTCAGTATTTCAAATGCAAATATTTTGTTGGAAACAATATATCTCGGTCACCGTGTAATATATCTTGGTCACCGAAAGGATAATGTAAACTGGAAGTAGAAATACAAAATTGATAACCTGTTGAATTTGTTTATATACAGAATGTGTCAATGGCCAAGTAATCACCCCGGTATGCTATATAGAATACACTATAGTGTGAGAGGCGAGGGATACCAAAGTTAAAAAAAAAATTACTGTAATCCCAACATTTCGGCAAAACTGCCTTTGTCAAGGGAGAATGTGTGAAGGCGTTTTTGCCGAAACGTTGGGATTGTGGTCATTTTAATTTTTGCTTTGGAATCCTTCTGGTGGGGAGCCCGCTCAGTTTAGCCTTGATATTATACTTTTACCCACATGTACCACCAAAAGACACAAACATAATCTTATTTCTCTGTAATTTAAGGAAGAGGTCAGTTCCATGAATAGGCTCCTTGGATCAAAGACTGAAGAACTTTCAGCCAAAATTGCTGTTCTGGATGAAGTAGAGGACCGGCATAACAAACAGCAGCAAATATACGAAGACTTGAAAAAGAAAGCTGGATGTACATGACTCTTTTATTGCTTTATTTAGCATTTGGAAGCAGATATGAAAATGTATTATGGCTTGATAAGTTACCAAGATTTAGTCTTTAAACAAAAGGAGAAAATGGATCCATATTGACAACAATTTCCTTTTTCTGTCAATTTCCTACTGCAGGGTCCCTTATGGGTTAATTTCACTCCTCAGCAGATAGGAAAATAATAAGGAAATTGTGGAATAGGGAGAAATAGAACAGTAACCTTTGTTAAGAAATCCTGTAACAAATGAAAAACCAGTCAGTCCTGTAGAACCAAATTGTGGGCTGGCGTGATAAAATATACTGAGTCTGGGGTGAAGCTGTGAAAAGAGAATCATTTTTTTTAGAAAAAATAATATTCCTACCTTCAGCTGAAGACAGAATGAAAGGACTGAGGGGCTTACAGGGGGATGGGGCATTTATACTTATAATTCAGTAGCAATTGTTTAATTCCTGTCCTATGAGTGGAGTTAACCATATTTATTTTTAGCATGGTTATCCAAACAATATGTAACGTGTGTCAGTAGTTATCATAAAAACATATACGTTTCACTTTATTATCATTCATGTTATAAATCAAGACATTTTAGAAAGTTCTACAGCACAAAAATATTTGCTTGTTCGATGCTTTTATGAAATTTTGTCTTTTTCACTTGTAGTGCTTAAAAGCCAAAAGAGGTCAATAGAATCTTCCATCAACACATTTAGCAAGGACATAGAAACCAACTTACAGAAAAAGGTATTTATTATTTTAGAAATTTTTTAAATGTACTTAATTAAAGCGGACTTTCCGCTCAAAATTACAAATCACGTGCAAAAACATCATATACAGGGATACAAAGTTTAATTAGTGGAGTAATAGCTTCTTGATCCAAGGAGAAATCTAACTGCCATTCTGGGGTCAAGAAAGAATGTTTTCCAAGTTTGTTGTAAAATTGGAAGTGGCTCAAACTGGATTGTTTGCCTCCTTTTGGATCAACAGCAAAATCAAATGTGAGAAAGTCTGAACTTAATGTCTCTTTCCAGCCTATGTAACTATGTATATGGGGGTGCATTTTAAATATATATTTTTTTTTTACTATATATTTCTAATATTGTGAGATTTGTTTTAGTTTTCATGACCAGTTATTTTATTTGCAATAATACATCCGTGGCCTTGTTACATTACCTGTAGGCTTCTTTTGTGTTTGCCCCAAACATCTGCCTCCTTCCTGATACTAGTGATCTTGGGTTATTTCATCAACACATCCACGATCTTGTATAGGAAGCCTAGATTGTGCATGTGTACATAGACCTAAAGTCTAGTGTTGTAGTTTCCTGCTGTGAATCGAATATTGGCTCCTTTCACTAGATTACCTAATACCTCACTTTACCTTGTGTATTAATCTATTGATCTCCCTTTGTTTGCTGGTAATTCTGAACATCAGCTAGTTCATGGTTATCATGCTGTAACTGTGGTTAGTTTCTTGTTAAATTTCTCACCTCCTGATTCAATTTTCTTTGGTATCTGTTCGTTTAAGCCTACTTCTTTCCCTTGCTGTATTTTAATATCTATATTCAGTAGGCATGTGCATGGGAAAAAATTTCGGTTCGGCATTCGGCACTTCGGAACTTAGGAATTTCTTAACTTTTCTTGCAGCCGCTTGGTAGATAACGCCCTAATTCCCACGGTATCAGGGAGTTATCTACCAAAAGGCTGAAAGACCTAAATCGGTCTTTCAGCCAAATGTACTAATACTAAGTAAAGATTACTTAGTATAAGTAAATTATGCCCCTACTCGCTATACCGCGAGTAGGGACATGTCTAGTAAACAATGAGCAGCCTTTTAAAAAAAAAAAAGGTCCCCCCTCTCGAGCCCCCACCCGTGACGGGCCCTAAATTAGAATAAGGGGGGGCCTAATGCCCTCCCCCCTGGCCCCCACCCCTGAGCGGTGAGTGGGGGCCCTTAATACTAATTGGGGGGGGACACCTAATGTCCTCCCCCTTGGCCCCCACTCCTGAGCGGCAGGTGGCGTCCCTAAATAAAAAATTAACCCCCATCCCCCAGGTGACTAGGGGTCCCCAAACCCCTAGTCACCCCCATCCCCCAAAAAATGAACCCCTACCTACCCCCCTCACCCTAAAAATAATGTGGGGGGACCATTTAACTAAGTATCTGTAAAAAAATAAAATTAAATAAAACTTACCATTTGATGTTTTCTTTCTTCTAAAATCTTTTTTCAGCCCCAAAAAAGGCCAAATAAAAAGCCATAATAACCGACGCACTTAAAAAAAAAAAAACGATTTTTTTTTTTTTTAAATCCATCTTCACCCATGGGGGGGCTCCGCGCAAACTGAGCTCTGCAGGGCGGGGAAGGCTTATAAAGCCTTGCCCCGCCCTGCAATTAGGCTCAGAGCATTATGATTGGTGGGTTTAAGCCATCCAATCAGAGTGCTCTGACAGGTAAATGAAGAGACTGACAGGTAAGTCTCTACATTTACCTGCCACAGCACTCTGATTGGTTAGCTTGAAATCCACCAATCAGAGTGCTCTGTGTCATTTTACACAGCGTTGGAAAGTTGTTTGGAATTTTCCGACACTGTGTAATTTTACTCATAACACTCTGATTGGTTACTTAATCCACCCCTACATTCCTGTCATTCCATTGACAGGCTAAGTAACTTACATTTTATATGAATGTATGTTACTTGATTGTTGTAAGTGTTGCAAATGCTTACAGCTGAATCCTGGCTATGTTTGTATACTTTTTATTTAAACTGGTATACAGTGTAACATTCTTCTTCTTCCACTGAGTAAGTATATTAGTACTTAGGCAATACTGTGCTTTGGCACTTCAGAACTTCGAAAATTCGGTAATTTTGGAAATTCGGCAATTCGGAAGTACCCGAATGTCCGAATTGCCCGAAATTCGTCCGAATTCATATTCGGACCGAAACGAATTGCACATGTCTAATATTCAGGTTACCTTGTGTAGTAATTCTGCGGGCACCCACCACAGATCAGCCTAAAACAAGAAAATATATGGGTGATATTCACTAAACAGGTAGCTTGGATATTTTTCCACATTTCATTGGGGTAATTCACTAAACTCTAAATGTCCTCCAAATGGCAACATCCTGAGAACTTCTGAATTTATATGAAATATGCAATGTGGATATTTAATAAAGGCATGTCAGTGGCAGATTTGGATATTCGCTGCCTGCATACATTTTGAACATTTTCTGGTGTGCTTTTTTTTCTTTTCTTGCAATCACTAAATAGTCAAATAACCCAGAATTGCACATTTGGGTATTTGTCTAACTTTTCTGGTCAATTTAAAAAAACTAAATTCTGCACAGCTATAGGGTAAATTATAAAGGATCCAGTTGATATGTCCATCCCCTCACAATTCACACTGCAAAATTATTCTACTTCATTACAAATGGTAACAGCATGTCAGACACTACAGTTTGCTCTTTTGCTAACATATTTATATACATATCAATATGTACTACTGATTTCTTAATCATGTCATCAATTATTACAGGAATCCAAGAAGAATTCCTTGAAAAATCTTCGAAAATCAATGTTTGAAATACTACAAAATGAACTTGAAAATATAAGATTGATTGAAAAAGACATCTATGAAATAAATAGAAAAATGGAGATTGTGAACATGGAAAATTGCAGACTTAAATTAGTGAGTAATCTATGTACAATGAATCTGTAATCTGTGAGTGAAAATTCATCTGGTGTGAGCCTTTTTCAGTATTTGTTTTATAATTATTGTTTTTTTTAAGTTAATAATCGAATTTCATATTGTTTCCTATGGTATTATGTAAAGCTTAACTTGGTCCACACTGTATTAAATTTAACTTATAACCAGAGCACACTAAGTGACCGCAACTCATATATATAAAGCATGTACACCTGGACAAAAGGTTTCGCTGATTTTCAGTCACATACATATATCAGGATGTATAAAGACTTAATAAAGGAAACTTCCATTGTATTATTACTGAAAATGAAAGCTTGTATGTATTATAGCCTCTGTGCGTATGATGTTTTACTGCATACGTATAATGAGATACCTATTGGCTTAACCTTTCTTCATGGAAGTGGCCATCCTCTAAGGACCACTCTGAGCACCAACTACATCGCAATTCTGTTTTCTGCTTCCTTTGTGCATCACATGGTCTTCCAGTTAATTTTGTTTGTTGAGTCTATTGTATTTTCACAGATCCAAATAGTAGTTTTGTGATTATCATTATGTTTAATCTGTTATACTTACCACCTATTTATATTGCAACTTAAACCCCGTTTGGAAGTCAGAGCATTCAGCAACATAGCATGCCGATATCTGTTATAGAAATTGTGACTCACAGACAGTTTTCTCTTGTCTAAATATTTATTAATAGCGCAATGCACAGTTCAAAGAAGATATTGATAAATCGGTAAATGAAGGAAGGAATCATGCATCTGCTATTACACAAATGGAGAGCGGGTTGGCTTCCCTACTTCGTGAGTACAAGTTAAATGGAACCATTCTTTATGTCACTAAATATATACTATGCTTGAACTATATTTCACATAATGGATCTTTTATTCCTTATATAGAACACCTCAAAGAAGGATGGGAAAAGGATAACTTTGTGTGCAACGTAAGTTTCATTTTGAGTTTGTTCAGGTTCAGCTTTTCAAATACAAATTACTTGCATTTTGTTAAAGGAACATTGCAAGCAACGTAAACACTACAGTGCTAGGAATGCCCACCTTCCCCCCCCACTGTAAGTAGTTAGAGTTTTGTTTTTTTACCAGGAGTCTGCCTGGCTCCACTCCTCAGTTCTTACACTCTGGAAAGCTGCAAGCTCCTGCTAGGATCTCTCCTGAAATAAGCCCAGCAGTGACTGGTGTTCTAGGACACTCGTGACATCATAAGCACTACAGCACATGGTAGCGTTTATGTTGCTTGGAGTGTTCTTTTACATTAAAAGGCTAAAAAATGAATTTCTTGCTACCATGTTGCAATACATGTGTGCTTTCTTGAACTGATCGCTAGTTCCAGGAATCTGCTGAGTTCTACAAGCAGGAACATTGATGCCTTCCTGTTCTCACCAGATCCACCCTAAAATAGTGGTGTCCTTAGTGGACGTCCCAATCCAATGGCGGGACTCAAAGCCTTTTAGAACAGTCCTTGTCACTTTTTAATTAGGGTCAGGAGTCTTACTGGAGTTAGAAGGGGAGGGCTTGCAAAGGCTGCAGATGAGAGATCCGGTAACATATCTATTTAATAATAATAATTATTATTATTATTATTATTTTGCATTTGAGCAGTGGAGTGTCCCTTTAACAACGCTCTAATGGTTGAAATACAGCGATTATAATCTCCTAACTAAGCTACTGCTTATATATTAGGAGATATGCTGGATACCACTGCACATATCTGGATTACTGAAAACGCTTGTTACTCTATGAAGTGAAATACATTTACTACAATGTTGATTTATCTTGAATACATTAAGGACTTTTTGGAGCGAGATCAGTGTATTTTGGATGCTATCGCAGAGCTGATGAAAAAACTCAACATTCGCAAAGTGAAGCTTGGACATCTTAGCGGCATGCTTCAAAAAGAATATATTGGAATAGCTTCACTTCTCAAAAGTAAATCAGGTATGTGACATGCTAGATAGGCTAAAGAAGTCATTTACTTAAGTGTGAATTTTGTATCAGCAAAGTTATTAGCTATTTGCACTGAAAGAGTGACAAACTTAAAATATTGTACCCTTAGGCATCCCATTTTAGCCATTTGCAATTGTCCCTGGAACAAAGGCATCTTGGAGACTTATTTGTTTTTTGTAGGAGTAACCCTTTAAAATTACACACATCACTTTGAGAAAACAGTCTCACTCAAAAGGTTTCTTTAGTTTTGAATGAGATTGTTGCCTCACTCTGCATGATCAAACAAAAGCAGGTAAATATAACTCCCCCATATTTACCTGCTTCTTCTTCCTTATGCTTTCCTCACGTACTCCAGTGGCGGCACTGATGTAAACAATCAGTGTTGTGGATGCCTGACAGATTAAAACATGTGCAGTTGGAAGATATCTTCACTTTGCAGTATCCTGACAGGGGGAGAAGAGAGGGAGTCTGATCATTGTGATTTATACAGAACAAGCTCCGGTGTCAGGTTTTTCAGTCCCTGCAGGGAACATGAGGAGCTTGTTGCTTTCTTTTACAATGATGCCCTGTTTCTGTCACTAGTGGCCTGGTCTGAAACTGAGATGGGTGGGTAGGACAGGTTGAGAAGAAACTCCCCTAGCTGAGAAGTGTGCCCAACAATGCAATCTGGCCAAGTTTATAAAAAATGCTTCGATTGTTTTTTCCTGTGAAGCATTGTGTGGGAGTTAAAGTAACTGTTTATTTTTAGGAGGTGTGTAGGGAGACTGTCAGGGAAGGTGTGGCTAGGGCTGCATAAACCGAAACAAAAGTGGTTTTACCCCTAAATGAAAGAAAATTGAGCAGTGACACTGCAGAAGCAGGATCTATTCACCAAGACTGCTCCTTTAAAATAACACTCCAGACACAAAATACTTCTGCTGCTTAAGTACTTTGTGTGTCTGGAGTCTCATTTTTTCCACGAATTTATGAAAGTGACGATTCCAGTAGAATTTGGCACTTTTATAACGGTTTTCCGAAACACTTCCCCGTCTGTTCAACAATTTTGTTCTACTAGCTGTACAAAGCTAACGGAAGTGGTTTGCCATTCCTGCCTTCTCAGTGAGATGTATTACATTGGAAAAGGAGCCATCACTTGCTTGGATAATAGGTCACTTCCCCAGCACAGACTGAACGTTGGTGTAAGTAACCGCTTCTGCAACCTATTTTGAAATGTACCCCCTAACCCCCCAAGAAAACATGCAGACAAAATACAAACATATTGTCTTTAGGGGTATATCAACTAAATAATGAAAGACATTTTAATGGAGTGTTCCTTTAAGCTAAAACTTGTTTCGCTGCATAGGCTGATCCAAACAAAATGCATCAGTAAATGTATCCATTGTGCATTTTGTCTGTAACTAAAATAATGTTTTACTTTATTTCAGTAAAAGCCGAAAGCTACATTGCATTGAACAGAAACAGATGAAAGATTTCTATATATATTTTGTTTGTTAATTGCTTTATTTTTCATGGAAACAGCAAATTTACAACAGTGACTTTCTAATAGAAATATATATGTTTTTCTTTCCTCCTTTATATTGAATAAAAAATATTCTTCAAATAAATAGTAACGTTAAAAAAAAAAACTACTTTCACTAACATTCACCAATCACGTGTAAGATTAGCCACATGGATTCATGATTTTACATGCAGCAATGGGTTGTATTTTACTACTTTTATCACTTTGTCGGGTGAGGAATGTCAGCAATTCGAAGTGAATTTAACATTTTGGCAAAACAGACAAACTGGAATAATTTAGCAGAATTTTTCCAGTTCTGCTATTTTGGCTTTACATTTGAAACTCGCTTTGAATTCCTGACAATTATCTTAAATAAATAACCCTGTCAATGTAAACCTGCATCTCAGAAGGCCTAACAGAACACAAGCTGCACATTACATACACAGTACATGGTCCTACGTGTTCTGTAATACTGCCTTAGGCTTGCTTACCTGAGAACGCTACATATTACATCAGTCCAGCCTCTGACAAAAGGAGAAAATACCTGTGTAGAACTAAAGATGGAATGACTGCAACAAATCTGCTGCTGCTATTGTATCATCCAAAAGCAAACAATGCAAAGATCTGCCTTATCAGATTATTGCAAAAAAATTATGGCAAAAAAACAAAATGTGTCCTGCTGCCGTCACAGCTTACTGGGTCCCTGTAGAAGCTGCTCAGCTAATGAGCTAATGGCCGCTGCCCTCCTCCAGGTGTATCCTTGTAGGGTCTGTAAATTTGGCAGTAAGCAGATAAAAGAGTGTAGGGCCTGGGATCAAAGCAAGAAGGGGCAGGTCCCGTTCCAGTTTCTCCACCTTTGAAATCGAGATGATGCCATAGGCGTGAATTAGCCAGTGACTGAGAAGAACAACCAGACGCTTCTTTTTCACAAGGAGATCCTTAAAAGACTTAAAAATAAAAGAATATTAGCATGTACATGACTAGAAGTTTTCAAAGCTTCCAGGTTTTTGTATTTATTTTAAAACAGTAAACCGTTTAACACAAACAAGGGCTATGAAGCCCGGGAACCCTGTGCACTACAAGCGCTGTAATGATTGTAGTAAATGGTGCTTGGTGTGACCAATTTAGAAAACCACACACCACCATACACAGGGGGTCTATTTGATTCATACTTTCTCCTATGAATATAAATAGCAAAGAGAAAAAAAATCAAATTGCTGGTACCAGGAGATAGTTATTGCCACTAATCGTTCTAAAGGGGATATATCATCACTTAATTATGTGAAATATAAAATTAATAATAAAAATTGCAGAAGGGGTAAATTCGCTAAACAACGTTATACAATGTTTAAAATAATGACAGTAATATTAACAGAAAGACGTTTAAACCACTTTGATTTATAAAGATAGTCTCTATGAATAAAGAATAATAAAAGAAAAAAAGAATAAAAAAGTCCTTAATATATATAGGACGTAAAAACTAGCCGAATGCTTCAAAATAGGTCTATTGAGTCCATTAGGCTGTATGCTCCTATTTGAATAAGGCTGAAATCCCTTCTATTGTAAAAGCAGGGAAAACTAACCAGTAGGAGCAAATAAGTTAATCTAGTGACACATTGAAATGATATGCAACAATGTTATACACATAGAGAATAACTTTATCCGATATATTAAGAATTTTTTTCTCTTTGCTATTTATATTCATTTTAGTATTTTTTAACCTTAGGTGTGGGTTAATCTACTGGGATTTGAGAAGTTACATGCCTCTTTGTGAGACCATTATATAACCTTCCTACCTATCAGATAGGACTAATACTCTTTTCTGGTGATTCTATACTTTCTCCTATAGCTGCTAGTGTGCATCTACCTCAGAACCAGCTAATTTCTTGCAGTAACAGAATAGCAATCATAAAGTGATAATATATTTATAGTGTGTGAAATAAAACATCACCCATGGAATAATCACACAATTCCACCTAATGAAAAAAACAAAAACAGTAAAATGGTATAACAGTAGAAGTACATTGATCAGTGATGTATCAATGTACTTCTACTGTTATACCAGTGCTGCTCGCTGGTTGGAGAAACCTTCTCGCTTTTATAAAAAAGCCCCCTACATCATCAGAATGGTTGGTGTATTCTATTACTTTCACCTTGTTTTTATAAGAGCACATCATAAAGTCCTAAAAACCTTTTAGTCTTTCCTGCATAGGAGAACATTGGGAGCTATTGAGCTAATCACAGATTCTGATTGTCAGAGAGGTTTAAAAAATACGATGTAATACCACACCAAAGTGCCAATTAGATCTACACCCACTATAGCTTGGTCAGATCAAAGTAATGAAATATGTGGAGGTTACTGTTTACTATGGATTTATGTAAAGATTTTAGTGATCACTGACACTTAATACAATTTGATAGGGTATTTTACATTCCTGATATTTTGATTGAAGCTAAAAACATGTCTCCAAGTCCTGTTTAGTCAGTTTAATGAAAGAAAGGATAGTATCTTAGCACCAACAATATTACATGGCTATGGTGCTTACAATGTCCCTTAAAGGGAACCTGTCAAGCTTCAAACAACTTATGTTTATTAGATTGCGCATAAGATTTATTTCTACATTGTGCAAGCAGTTTTTAAAAATAGTTTTTCTCCATTCGGCATTGACTGACAAAGGAGAGCAGAAAAGACCTCTGCTTTGCACCCATAGGAACCACAACGCATGCGCTGTGGTTGTTATGGAAACTCCCTAATTGGTGATTTTAGTGTCGGCTATGGAGTATAGGAAAGGCGTGACGTCTCTATGTTCCGACATGAGCAACGAAGCCAGCATGTCTACATCACTGAGGAGATTTGTCCTGCTTGGGTCCGTGCAGTCAGAGCGGAGGGTGTTAAACAGTAACAATCAAAGTGGACTGGAATGCAGGAAAAGGGAGTGAAAGAATGTATTTTACATTGGATACACCATGTTTCTTTCTGATATATGGTGTATTCAGAGTATATGGGAGCGATTTCATGTAAGTGATTATTTCCATAACAGGTTTATGTTACTGTAACAGTAAATATAGCATTAGGAGGACAGTGAAAGGAACATTTGGTCTTACCTCAATCTCTGATGCAGACATATAAATAGCCAAAGTTATTAAAGATAATACGAGAATGATGTACGGAAAGGCATAGTCTAAAAAAAAAATAAAAAAAATGTACAAAAGAAAAATTACATCAAAGACAAACAATATTCATTGACAAAACACAACCTAACAGCGTTCAATTAAGGCAGAGAAGCCGTGTAATTTGATAATTATCAGATCCCCGTTCATAATTGGCCATAGCCTCTTACATAAATCTCACAAACATACAAGATAAATGGAACAATAGAGTATCATGATGCCCACCCTCATTGTCCTCTGTCCAAATCCGCCGATAAAGTCTGTGATATTGAACATCAGCCTGCAGGTAGACAAGTCTATAGAAGGGTTATTTATCATAGACTGACCGGTTGATGAGCCGCCACCACTTGTGCTGAGTACCAGTGAGTAAATGTTTCAAGAAATGTCCTACATAATACTTGATGGACACATGGCTCTTTTCCGCCTATGTAACTATGTAATACACAGCCTAATGAATTAATAAACACCCTCCAATTCTAGAAAATACATTTATTTTTTTATTCATAAGACACTGACATGGAGCAATTTGAATTGGAGTGTGGGACCACTGGACTGCTGTGTTTGAGTGAATTTTAAATTTGATTTTAACTAAGCTGGTAAAAGTTAAATTAGAGTGAAGAATTGAGGTAATCGTGACTTTTTTCCAGAATCGTTGGATCCTAACATTCACTCAGGAGCGGTGGTACAGATCGGTGGATGTTGCAACGATGTAGATCTAGCTGGAGGTACTATGTTTAGGAATGAGATTTGGAACCAAATACGTAACATTAATGAAAGTCTGAAGGTAATTAAAATTAATCTCAATTGGTAGATAACATCCACACAGGTCAGAAAACAAATATGGTAATATATGATACAGACTAAAAAAATATTCTAATATATCTCAGAAACATGTACAGTGACTTACACAACAGGCCGCCTCCTACTGCCTGTATCACAGTTAAGATGGGAAAAAAGTAAAGCGCAGCATAGATGCTTTTAAACCGATCAGATTTCCCCAGTCCACAGGCAATCTTCTTTATCAAAAGAGGTCTCAAAAGCATCATCAGCACCAAGCAAAATGCATAGTAAATAAACACAATAGTGTATCTGTGGGAGACAAAAGTAAAATATATAAAAAGTTATGATAAAAAGGGAAATGCTGTTTTATTGGCCAATTTATATCAGAATTTTGAGATGTATCACTATCAAATATACACAAATATAGGGGGTCAGTCAAGGCTGGAGATCACCCCCATTTTGAATGCATAATAGAGATAATGTGCTTAAAATAGGCAGATAAAAAAAAAAACGTAATCCCATTCGAAGTTCCTGCATTTGCTGCTAGCTTGGAGACTTTCCAGCATTAGCAGCAAGATTAGATCAGATCAGAAAGTGGCTCAGGGAAGCTTAGTCACTGTCTGCTGGCACGTAATGGCACGTAACAGTCTCTGCTACTGCAATGGGATATTCCAATTTTTATATGGAATCATTTGACCCCTCTGCTGATCATATGTAAAAATGTTAGTTTTTTTGCTGCAGGTAGAAATGAATGAAAGACATGAACCAGCACAGCGTGGCTTTACACGAAAACCTGGAGACTTCCTGAATAAAATGGCATGTTTTAAAACACGTAACTCCCCCAACTAACCACACGCATGGATAAACTATACTTCTATAACAAAACAAAATACAAATTTAGTTACTTTCACAAAAGTGTGCATTCAAATAAAAGCTTACAGGGGATAGACAGCTTCTTGCGTGCAGTGAATAGTGTTCACGTAATCAGGGCTGGGATTGTAAAGCATCGTGTACCAATCTGAAAGCATCTGGACCCGACAGGACCGAATGTAGAGATACCCAACGGGTTCATTCACAAGTAACGTAATCAGGGCAGCTGCGGTACATTCCAACAAGGCCGTGATATGCTGGAAAAGGGCACTGGAACTATAATAAAATAAATATATGCTTAGCGTACTGTTCAGATTCAGTATAGATAGAACTATTTGCTCATTCTAATCACTGACAGAACACAAAACTTGTTATAACCTGTAATGTTTAATGAAACTTTTATGGTGGAGATTGGTAATATACACAGAAACAACAAGACTTTCCACCATTACTTGTCTGGGAATTCTGCAAACGTTTTGATAATTAGTGTGTTATAATACTTCAGACAAAGTATTAGAATAGATTGGACACTCAAAATAAAGGAAGGGTGAATGTACACATTGCTCTACTGAAAAATGACCGTGTATACAGAACAGATTAAACATTGTACTTGCAGAAATGGTTGGGAAACGATCATGTGCAGCTCCAAGGTTGCTCAGTGATACACTCACAGTAAAGTGACTTCAAGGTACTAGTTAAAAGAATCAGATCTGTACTTCCAAAAGTGAGGCACTTCTACAGCTTCATATTTGTCCACATCAGGCACCTACAGATCCCTCGATTCCCATTCAGATCCATTTCTACCACATTCAGTATCATTTTCTGGCTCCTCTGTGTCCCACTTTCAGACACTCTGGACCAATTGTTGTCTTACCAATGATCTCTCAGTGTACCTCTTTGCAAACACCACAATTCTATTTAAACCAACTCCACCTTTCCTGTTTAATTTACAACATGTTTCGCTTCCCAATTCTTATCCCCAAATCCTCCTTGGGTTATTGAAACCTCCTACAGTTGGGTTCTAGCACCTTTCCCGGTCCCCTCTCTCCTACCCCCACAGTTTTAACTGTTGTTGATATTTTGGCTTCCATCCTCCCATGTGAGATAACCTCCATTTTTTTTTTTTTAATTCTTTATTTTATTGTGCACATTATAACAGACAAGCTTACAGTGTCACGACAGCACTAGTAAGCCGAAATAAGAACATGGTTAACCACAGGCATGACATTAAGATGACTGCACATTTTTAGAAGGTTTAAGGATCATGAGAGACGTGTGAGTAGGCATAACCGTGTGTATAGTGAAGAAGTTAAACAGGCTAGGTGGCTACTGTTATGACTGGTAGAACAATATCCCAATGAGTGACACTTAACATAAAGTGACAAATACTCTAAAACACCTTATTGTGGGTTTTCCCTTTATCCCCACACAAACATAGACTAATACATACGGTATAAGGTGGAGTATATGCACAACATAAAATCGCCAAAAGTTGCTGTAGCGAACTGATCCTTATGGAAGGGGGGTTCTTCCAATAGCGATAATAATAAATTGGTCCTTATAAGAGTTTGTTAAACATGGAGCCAATATGAAGGCTCAAGGGGAGGGGCTCTGTGGGTACTAGAGGGACCCACTTCCTTCTTTTTATTGCTTGTAATGCTCAAAGATTTGATATCCTCCCAAAATTTGGTGAATTAAAGTGCTCTAATCAGAGGCTTCCTCAGTTGCCTCCTCAGGCAACTGAGGAAGCCTCTGATTAGAGCACTTTAACCCCTTAAGGACACATGACGGAAATATTCCGTCATGATTCCCTTTTATTCCAGAAGTTGTGTCCTTAAGGGGTTAATAACATGCTTTATACAGGTAACAAAAAAACAATAATAATAATAATAATAATATGAAATCTATATTTAAAAGTAAAAAGTACTACATACCTCTTTTTACCAGAATACCATTCTATAAAGAACCAATGTAATATTAATGGCAGCATGGCCATGAACCCAAGGTACAGCCAGTCATACAGCTCAGGGGACTCCATGCATTTCTGACAGATTTTAGTTGTGATATTCGTCCTCTGACCTCTTGGGCAAACCTTAAAAAAAAATCATAAGAACAAACCTCAATTTCTGCCCAGGGATTGCATGCCAACGCTAATCTAATTTATTTATAACACACGTATAAACTTGAAAATGCAAATGAATAAACAAAAACATACTTCAAATTAACAGCACATCTACAGGACTGCACATACAAACTTCTTGAAGGATTATAAATCTTTAGGAGACAAACATTCATTCCTCTTTGCCAAACCGTCAGCTGGCATTCCCATAGGCTCATGTTGAAAACCTGTGTTCCGTCTATTTTTCTCCTTATATTTCTAATCAAAGGCAGGCAAGAAAACTGTCAGAAGAATTTACCCCACAATCTCCATAGATTTCAGTTGTTCCATTGATTGCCACAATTGGTTTCCCACAATAAAGGCCAAAGCATGTTCTTTGTATATCCACAGCTGAAGAAAACAACAAGATAGCAACATTAGCAAAAGCAAGAACATAAACTCACTATTGTCCACTCAATAGCCTAAAAGTGTCAGCTGACGCATTTATTTTAAATATAAATATGGGAAAGCTTTGGATTGGCTGAGATTATGAAGTTTGAGCCTGTTAATTTCATGGTTTCCATGGTGATTGATACAGGGGGGCTGTTGGTTCTATGGTTTCCATGGTGTTTGATACAGGGGGGCTGTTGGTTCTATGGTTTCCATGGTGATTGATACAGGGGGGCTGTTGGTTCTATGGTTTCCATGGTGATTGATACAGGGGGGCTGTTAATTTCATGGTTTCCATGGTGATTGATACAGGGGCTGCTGGTTTCCATGGTGACTACTGATACTGGGGGGGGCTGTTGGTTTCCATGGTGATTGATAGTGGGGGGCTGTTGGTTCTATGGTTTCCATGGTGATTGCCCTGTGTTGCTATGTCACTCACCCATTGGGCTCCTCTCTGGGTTCCCTGAGAAGCTCACACTGTGTCTCTGCTGCTGACATAACCTCCACTTCCGGGTCTCGTTGTCTCGCGAGATCTCAGTCCAGGAAGGTAATGGCGAGAGCCGCGGCGGCCATCTTTATTGTGGGCAAGCCATCGCACTGTCCCTCCCATTAGCCATGGAATTCCTGTCAGTTTTGGTCACAGTATTCCATATCCGCGTTACACACAGTCACACACACCGTACTCACAGCCTGTAACCCGCCTAATACCGGGCCTGCCACCAACAAACATGGCGGCCGCGGCCTCCCGCTGATGACGTAGTCAGCCTGCGCCCGTTGCCGTGCTCCCGGTATCCAGGGATGTCGGCGGTGAAGCTGCCGCCGCACGATGGGCCGGTGCTGTCGGTGGTGGACATGCACACGGGGGGCGAGCCGGTGCGGATCGTGCTGAGCGGGGCCCCGGTGCCGGAGGGCGGCAGCCTGCTGGAGAGGCGGCGCTGGCTGCGGGACAAGGCGGACTGGCTGCGGCGGCTGCTCCTCCTGGAGCCCCGGGGACACCGCGACATGTACGGCGTGCTGCTGGTACCGAGCGAGGAGCCCGGGGCCCACCTGGGGGCGGTCTTCATCCACACCGAGGGCTACAGCACCATGTGCGGCCACGCCGTCATCGCCCTCGGCCGCTTCGCTGTGGATTATGGGATAGTACCGAGGGCCCCTGGGGGCCCCGACACCCCCGTGAGGATCCACTGCCCCTGCGGGCCGGTCCAGGCCTATGTGAGCACCAGCGGGGGCCGGAGCGGGGCCGTGCGCTTCCACAGTGTGCCGGCATTCACCTTGGCCACAGGTAAGGCCCCCCAGGGAGGGAAATCAGGGCTGGTTACTGTATTATAAACATTTTATTATTATTATTATTACATGGCCACAGGTAAGGCCCTCAGGGAGGGAAATCAGGGCTGGTTACTGTATTATAAACATTTTATTATTATTACCTGGCCACAGGTAAGGCCCCCCCAGGGAGGGAGTCTGGGGCTAGTTACTGTATTATAAACATATTATTATTACCTGGCCACAGGTAAGGCCCCCAGGGAGGGAAATCAGGGCTAGTTACAGTATTATAAACATATTATTATTACCTGGCCACAGGTAAGGCCCCCAGGGAGGGAAATCAGGGCTAGTTACAGTATTATAAACATTATATTATTATTATTACCTGGCCACAGGTAAGGCCCTCAGGGAGGGAAATCAGGGCTGGTTACTGTATTATAAACATTATATTATTATTACCTGGCCACAGGTAAGGCCCCCCCAGGGAGGGAGTCTGGTGCTAGTTACTGTATTAGAAACATTATATTATTATTACCTGGCCACAGGTAAGGCCCCCCCAGGGAGGGAAATCAGGGCTGGTTACTGTATTATAAACATTATATTATTATTATTACCTGGCCACAGGTAAGGCCCCCCAGGGAGGGAAATCAGGGCTAGTTACTGTATTATAAACATTATATTATTATTATTATTACATGGCCACAGGTAAGGCCCTCAGGGAGGGAGTCTGGTGCTAGTTACTGTATTAGAAACATTATATTATTATTACCTGGCCACAGGTAAGGCCCCCCCAGGGAGGGAAATCAGGGCTGGTTACTGTATTATAAACATTATATTATTATTATTACCTGGCCACAGGTAAGGCCCTCAGGGAGGGAAATCAGGGCTGGTTACTGTATTATAAACATTATATTATTATTATTATTACATGGCCACAGGTAAGGCCCTCAGGGAGGGAGTCTGGTGCTAGTTACTGTATTAGAAACATTATATTATTATTACCTGGCCACAGGTAAGGCCCCCCCAGGGAGGGAAATCAGGGCTGGTTACTGTATTATAAACATTATATTATTATTATTACCTGGCCACAGGTAAGGCCCCCCAGGGAGGGAAATCAGGGCTAGTTACTGTATTATAAACATTATATTATTATTATTATTACATGGCCACAGGTAAGGCCCTCAGGGAGGGAGTCTGGTGCTAGTTACTGTATTAGAAACATTATATTATTATTACCTGGCCACAGGTAAGGCCCCCCCAGGGAGGGAAATCAGGGCTGGTTACTGTATTATAAACATTATATTATTATTATTACCTGGCCACAGGTAAGGCCCTCAGGGAGGGAAATCAGGGCTGGTTACTGTATTATAAACATTATATTATTATTACCTGGCCACAGGTAAGGCCCCCCCAGGGAGGGAGTCTGGGGCTAGTTACTGTATTATAAACATATTATTATTACCTGGCCACAGGTAAGGCCCCCAGGGAGGGAAATCAGGGCTAGTTACAGTATTATAAACATTATATTATTATTACCTGGCCACAGGTAAGGCCCCCAGGGAGGGAGACTGGGGCTAGTTACTGTATTATAAACATTATATTATTATTACATGGCCACAGGTAAGGCCCTCAGGGAGGGAGTCTGGTGCTAGTTACTGTATTATAAACATTATATTATTATTACCTTGCCACAGGTAAGGCCCCCAGGGAGGGAGATTGGGGCTAGTTACTGTATTATAAACATATTATTAATATTATTACCTGGCCACAGGTAAGGCCCTCTGGACAGGCTGCACCAGGGAGGGAGAATTAGGGCTATTTACTGTATTATAAACATTATATTATTATTACCTGGCCACAGGTAAGGCCCCCTGCACAGGCTGCACCAGGGAGGGAGATTAGGGCTAGTTACTGTATTATAAAGATAGAATGTTAACATATTATTACTTGATCACAGGTATGGGCCCCCTGGACAGGCTGGTAATTTTCACTCCCTGTATTTAATGCAATATAAAGATAGTGTATTAAATTGCACACATTTGAGAGTTAATATATAAAATTCAAAATGTCCCCACATACACTGTTTCTAGTTGGAGTGATTATCTCATAAACCTGACTTTTCAGGGATTTATGGAATACGTTATTTATCCCCAAAAATCAGTTCGTTATCTAATAGGAACTGATATGCTCACTGTTTAGTGATCCAAGCTGTGTGTAACTATCAGCAGAGTTATGGTGTGCACAGGCATGGTATGGTGTTATGGTACTCTACTAGTCTTGGCAAATTGTGTGTATTCTAGGTGGCCTGATTGACCGCCCTGAGGGCAGGTAAAGAGCTGCACAGATTTTTTTTTGGCATTTCTTAGTCGCTCTCAGAGCGAATGGCTGTAGGGTGCTATATCACTATCATCTTAATAACTATGCAAAGTTGTGATGGTGCTTAGAGGGACTCTCTAACCTGTCACTAAAGTCTCCCCCATAAGTAACTCTGCATATACAAACCTGGTTCAGTAGAGGGATGTTTTATTTTTCTGTATTTTTATATCTAGAAACAAATAGGAAGTGTGATCTTGGAGTTCAGATCCATAGGCTTGTAACCGCGGGTGGTTCCCTTATTTACCACTATAATGTCTTAAAGCATAGAACTTAGCAGGGCTAACCATACAGATATCTTAGCCATAATTTTATATAGTCAGTAAGAGATCCTCTATTTAACATATATAAATAATTGAGAATACAATATAAAATAAGGATTGTCTTGGAAGCAATCGTTTTGTCTTTTTGGATATTTATTATATAAATATAAAATCCATTATAGCAGAGTTTATAAGATTAAATTACATGCTTGCAAATATCATTAATAGGTTAACATACCCTTCTGAGCAGGTCATCTTGTCAGCCTCTCTGTCATTTTAAGATGGAGCAGCGTCTGTCTCCAAGTCTCTCCTCTGTGTCTTAACATTTAAAAGTACACCTATTTATACCTTAGGTGTCTCCATTTTAGGGTTGCCGTAGTTCATTTACTTTATTCATTTTAGGACCTCCCTTAATTTGGCAAACATACAAGGCCATAACTAAAGGGTGCAAACGTCATGGAAATTTTCCTGACTTAGTTCAAGATGGCATCTTAAAGTCTGAATAGGTTATCTGTTGTTTATACTAAGTCGTAAGTGTACAGTCGTGGGAGATTCCCGGATTTGGGGAAGTTCCATTAACTTGGGGTTACCACAGTATATTGTGTACTGAAAGATTCGTAGTACAGCCTTGAAGCTTGTTTATGCATTATTGTTATTGTAATTCGTCTGGGACAAAATGGCGCCAACATATTATGCACTGAGGTTATTGCTTAAAGAAACATCTATGAAAAACTATATGTTCCATTTCTAACACCTTGTCAGTTTGCAATATCTCTTAAAGACAAAGTACACAGTTTAAGAAATACAACATTTCATTCTAAAACTTGTAATATTTGCATTTGCCCATAACAGGCTTTGCTTGCAGTGTGTGGTTTTCACGTGCACCTAGAGACTCTTCGTTAAAGGGACACTATCGTCACCAAAACAACTTTAGCTTAATGAAACCGTTTTGGTGTATAGATCATGCCCCTGCAGTCTCACTGCTCAATTCTCTGCCATTTAGGACTTAAATCACTTTGTTTTTGAACACCAGTCACACTTCCCTGCATGTGCCTTGCACAGTCTCCCTAAATTCTTCCCGTAAAGAGTCATCTAATGTTTATCCTTCCTTTACTGCAAGTTCGGTTTAATTTAGATTTTTCTTATCCCCTGCTATGTTAATAGCTTGCTAGACCCTGCAAGAGCCTCCTGTATGTGATTAAAGGACCACTATAGTGCCAGGAAAACATACTAGTTTCCCTGGCACTGTAGTGTCCTGAGGGTGCCCCCACCCTCAGGGTCCCCCTCCCGCCGGGCTCTGGGGAGAGGAAGGGGTTAAAATCTTACCTTTCTCCAGCGCCGGGCGGGGAGCTCTCCTCCTCCTCTCTGCCTCCTCTCCCCCTCTTCGGCTGAATGCGCATGCGCGGCAGGAGCTGCGCGCGCATTCAACCAGTCTCATAGGAAAGCATTCATAATTGAAAATCACAGTGAGAAGCACGCAAACGCCTCTAGCGGCTGTCAATGAGACAGCCACTAGAGGCTGGATTAACCTATTTATAAACAAAGCAGTTTCTCTGAAAATGCTATGTTTATAAAAAAATTAAAATAAGGGGTTAACCCTAGCTGGACCAGGCACCCAGACCACTTCATTAAGCTGAAGTGGTCTGGGTGCCTATAGTGGTCTTTTTAAAGTTTATTTTACAGAGAAAGAAATACAAGAGATACAATTGTTTAAGGTAAATTACATGTGATTGAAAGTGAAACCAGTGTTTTGTTTTTTTTCAATGCAGGCTGTGTCATTTAGAGCCAGGGGAGGTGTGGCAAGGGCTGCACAAACAGAAACCAAGTGATTTAACTCCTAAATGGCAGTGAATCGAGCAGTGAAACCTGAGGCATGATCTATATTCTAAAACTGCTTCATTAAGCTAAAGTTGTTTAGGTGACAACAGTGACTGCAGGTCAATTTGATGCTGCTGTACAGTATATGAATACAAATGTTGCATTATTTATAAACATTTTTACAATTTTATCACAATGAATCTGCAGGGGGAGTGTAAGCAAAACAATATGGATGATTTAGCAAAGATCCCCGGGTGACTTCCTTGCCGCGTGTGTGCCGGCTGGGTGGCTTATCTCAAACTCTCTATCATGTCTGGTAGCATCCTTCTTGTCCAGTGTTTGTCATGCCCCCATCACTGCTGTCCTTTCTCGCAGCACAAGTCTCTGAAGGAGACTTCTAGGTCCTCCGTAGACCAACCCACATGCTGTGCGTGAAGGTGCATGTTTTGGGAATAGTGAAAACCTTATTGTGCAAACTTTGCTTTTTGTCACGTTTTGTGCACTTCAGGCTTGTAGTAAGACATAGCCAGCTCTACTGTGTTTAATGAAATCTTTTAATTGTGTTGGAATTTCAATAAAATTCCAGTACATTTGATATTAATATTAGGGATCGACCGATATTTTTTTTTTTGTGTTTGTGTAGTGATGTGTGTGTAAATATGTGGGGTAGGAATCTGTGGATTTTCTTTGTTTATTGTATAAACAAACATAATTTTATATAATTATTACATAAAAAAATATATATTTTATTCCCCCCTCCCTGGCCACATAGGGCATTACACTCCTTGGTGGGGAGATAGGGGTACAGTGTGTGTGTGAATGTGTAGGGTGTTATTGCGCGCGTGTGTGAATGTGTAGGGTGTTATTGCGCGCGCGCGCGTGTGTGTGTGTGGTAGGGAGGGAAGCAGATCAACGCAAATAAAACTTTTCTTCTGTGTTGCTCTTAAAAAAACAATATATTGTATATCCCCCTCTTTACCTGAGGGGGAGACATTGCTTTCCATCCCCGGTGATCCGGTGGGGAAGCCCTTGTGAACTCTAGCCTGCAGCTGAGGTTAGAGTTCACTCTCGTGAGAGTGGAGCTTTGCCGTGGTAACTGCGGCTACGCTCCGTGCTCGTGAGAGGAGAACCCGACGGAGCTGCAGGTAAGAGCATCAATGTCGGTATCTTTATAGGCGGATACCGATATTGCTAAAAATGCAGAATATAGGCCAGACCGATAATCAGTCGATCCCTAATTAATATTTCATAATTATTTATATTATTAATCAGAAATTCTTTTACTTTGATGGAGCTATTTTACTTTGATGGAGCTATTTGTCTTGCAACCCTTGTACATTGCTGATATCAGTTCTCTCTTTTTACCATATTGCATGTTCAAATACTGTTGTGTGTTGAACAAATAATTTGAAAGGCTAAACTAGATCTTAACATTGTAACCGTATTGCATTTCCCTGCTATCAGGTTGCCTCCTCTTTGCAGTATCCAATCTTTATATTAAAGGACCCTTATAGTGCCAGGAAAACAAACTTGTTTTCCTGGCACTATGTAGTCCTTAGGTCCTCCCTCATTCAAACCGCCCATAGGAAAGCATTACTAAATGTTTTCCTATGGAACGTCCACAGTGAGACGTGCCTCTAGCGGCAGTCAGTGAGACAGCCACTAGAGGCTGGATTATCCCTCAGTGTAAACAAAGCAGTTTTTCTGAAACTGCTATGCTTTCAGCTGCATGGTTAAAACCTGGCACCCAGACCAGTTCATTGAGCTGAACTGGTCTGGGTACCTATAGTGGTCCATTAACTTTACCCCATGATTCACACAACCTTAAACATGTACCTTTCCATGTGTTTTTAAACTACATTTCCCACGATCCTCAGCCACCCTACATGTTTCCTAACAATCATAAGAAATTTCATCTATAAAACGCCACAAACAATGGCTAACCTTATTCTCACACACCTGCCCCCTGTCTCTTATTCTAGCAATATCTGTGCACTATTAAACTGTCCCTCCCCAGGCTTAGACATGTCTGTCCTCTCCGTATGTTCCTCCTTAGCCATTCCACATGTCAGTGTCATCATATTGCCATTAAACAGTATAATGACAGGTCTCTCGTTGGTATTTTTTGAACTCAGATGTTTCTGTTGAAGTTCCTGGATATGGGAAGTTAGTAGTGGACATTGCATATGGAGGTGCATTTTATGCGTTCGTTAGTGCAGAAAGATTTGGTCTGGATGTTTGCACTTCGAAGACCAGAGATCTTGTAGATGTGGCAGCGGCAGTGACAGCCTCTGTAAAAGAGCAGGTAAATGGCCGATGCATGCCAGTATAGTTGCCCTGGCTAGTTTAGCTGCTATGCTCTGTGAATGATCAGTACACTAACTGTATACTAATATTTCATGCTAGGATAAATAACATTGCATGTATGGGGATTTCAATAACATCTCTGCTGGTGACACCTTTCCTCTGCAGGTAAATCATTAATGGGATCTATTGTTTAATGTTTTGTAGGTTAAACTGGCCCACCCTGAGAATGACGAAATGGCCTTTCTCTATGGCACAATACTGACTGATGGCAATGATGGTTACAGTGAACAGCCGACAGCCAATATCTGTGTATTTGCAGATTCCCAGGTATTTATCAATTGTATAATGCCCTCTGTGTACTTAACTGATATAGAGCAGCAAGAAAACAGCCTCTATTGCTGACAGACATCAGCATAGAATTCATGCAGACTGTGTTTTATCTAATAATGCGTTGGCTAGCACGATATCTAGATAGTTTTAAAATGAGGAATTTATTTCAAAGAGTAAAAAGTACCATGACTGGTATCCTTTATAAATGTGTTGGAATGGATAGTTGTAAAAGTATGGCTAATTATGTTTCCCAGTGAGAAGTTATGTTTGTGTGGATGAAGAGCATAAGGATGCAGGCATGAGTGACTTGCACAGGGCTTCTTAAACCGTTAGAGTAATCCTGTCCTTGGCAGAGAAATTGGTTTCATAATCGGAAATATACATTTTTTTTTAATCTTAAAGGAACACTCCAAACACCATAACTGCTACAACACACCGTAGTGGTGATTTTGACAGGAATGCGGTTTGACTACTTAGGGCACTGCTGGCACTATAACCACTACTATGCGCTGTTTTGGTTTTGTACTTGTAGTGTTTCTTAAAATTTGTGATTATTCCAATTTAACAGTGTGTGATGTACGTGACTATTGTATGCCTGAAAATTCATTTAAAGAGATCCTCAGGCTGGAGGTGATGCCAAGTTTATTAGTGCGTTGCATAGATACTGTAAGTCATTAAAAAGGAACGTCTAAAAAGAGGTTAAGGCTTGTATTTTGGGGACATAAGCCGTTTAAGTATTTATATAGGCAATGGGAAGAATACGCTGACTGATGAGCATTTTACAAAGTATATGTATACAATGTCATGGGACCTGTGAGACATTTCAATTATTTGCCAGGTCTGCATTCGAATTTGCCAATGGCTAGTGGCAAATGGAAATATTGAGACCTGCCTATATCACAAGCAACAGGCTGTTATGAGGCCTGATGTTAAGAAGCTTGTCTTTTTGTGTTTCTGGACAGCAGTAATTCTATATATTTTATTTATGTAATTTGAAAGACTGCTCGCCAACTGGTTAAATATATTGGTTAATAGTGAGAAGAGGTGATCTGTATGCACCTAATGGTTTCACGTGACTTGTAAATGGGAGGAATCATGTTAAATGTATCTGCTCTGTGACCTCTCATATCCTACAAGCTGGTCTTAGTGGGAGGTCATTTTCCTAACACTTTTGCTTTCTTTTTGTGCGTTAGGTTGATCGTAGCCCTACTGGTTCGGGAGTGACTGCTCGTATTGCTTTACAATACCACAAGGGTTTAATACAGCTGGATCAAACACGCTCTTTCAGAAGTGGCGCCACCGACTCGGTGTTCACTGGAAAAGCTGTTAAGGTACTGTACATTTCCGAATAACATTTCAATGTTTGCTTTTGGTTAAATGAATGATTTGCATGTTAACACCGGTAAATGTAGCATGCGTTAGACATAACCACTAGCGACTCTTATTACTTCTGCTTCATTTGCCTGTCGTCTTGCTAAGAACTGTTTATATTAGATACTAACTCCATGATAGGAACAACCAGATCTCTTTGCGGTGCATGTACAACTTCTAAACTCGCATACAACGCTTGCTTGCAAATTACAAATCATTGATATCAGACTGATCGTTTTCTCACTATAAATCAAGTAACAAACTGGACTGATTGCAAATTATAACAGGCAGAAATGGATAACAATCGCTCTCTTAACAATAGTGGGGGTTTGTGACATGCAATGAATTCATTTTTTTATTTTTTTTATTGACGAGTTTCCTTTTTCCTACATAGGAAACCACGTGTGGCAATTTAAAAGCTGTAATTGTAGAAGTGTCTGGCCAGGCTTTCTATACCGGTGCGTCAAGCTTTGTTCTTGAAAATGAAGACACGCTAAAAAATGGATTTCTTCTAAAATAACATTTTTTTTCTATAGCGGCATTCTAAAGACGTTTTTCTTACTCCAACCCATCTCCATTTAAACATTGCTTATACGTTGGGTTAATGATATTTTTATCTGTAGTTATCCCTTCTTTGCTTTAAATATACAAATTTCATAAAATACATGTAATGTGCTATACCTGTGTCCCTCTTTAGGTTAGGCATTTCTTTTTTATGGAGTGCTTTTTTAACCCATAAAGTGATGGAAAAGCCAAGTGAAGATCGCTTGTACATTAAAGTCATGCTGGCTGGTCTCTTGTAATGAGCCAAAGACATATATATCTTGTTGGTTTTTTCCTTGTACTTATTTAGGAGCTTTTTCTTGGGTTTTGTCTGTGGTACTGCTTTAGACATGGTTTTTATATTCCATTTTATATGTGTATAAAAGTATCCTGTTGGAGGTCTTGCATAAAACAATGGAGAACATTAATACTCAAATAAAACTTTGGAAACTGTTGCTTTTTTTTTTCCCCCCAGTGGTTCTCGTTACACTTCCAAATCTGATATTCTGTTTGTGTGTGCAGTTATTAACATACGTGGGTGGGGGGTATTAAATTCTGTAGGCTTCTCTTGTGTCATAGTTGTTCTGTATCTGCAGGATAACATGTACCTGTCATTGTACACACAACAATAAGGTCATCTATACAGTGTTCTAACACACGTTCTACAAAATGTGCTCATTCCTCCCCCTCAGTGAATCCTCAGCTTAGACCTCTTCATGCCAGCACCATGAAGAGAGAAGTCAGGATTGAATGATGGGGAGAGCAGAAGAACCTTTCTACAACCAGTCCTCCTGCTCTTCGTCCGTTATATTCGCTCGGTAAGCTTTTCTCACGCTTGCCGGAGGAATGTTGGATGTTTTGGAGGAGAATTGCCCTTGTTGGGGATAATGGCATCTTAGAGGGGGCAGGACTCGAGCGTGGTGCTGTACTCCGCAGTAGTTTAACACCCACAGACCTCAAAGCATGGCGTCACTGGAGCGAGGAGTCAAAGATAAATGCTAATAAGCAAAGATAATTTAATACTCTGATAAATTATAGATTTACTTCTTTAGGAGTTTGTATGTTAAGGTGAAGTGGTGTGACCGGTGATACTGCAGAAAGACCAGCACCCAACGATAAAAAACATTTCTTCGTTTTCCTGCTTTATCATAGAATAGATCAATACAAATAACACTCCTGTAGCCGTGTCTTGTGTTATTAAAGTGTAGCCCCCAGTTAGTTATACATTCTATAAATGGACCGGTTCCAGTGCAGTGTCTTATGGTTATGTCGCAGTGATGCACATTATGATCCCACACGGTTTGTGCTGCACTCACCAGTGCAATATCCCTACTTGGCTATGTCTACACACGTGATCACTCAGTATATGTGAGGAAGCTCTCTGCAGAATTATCATTGTGTCTGACTGATGTCTTTATAAGAGCCTTACATTTATATCTGGGCATTTTATTGTCACAATCAGCTTGAGTGAGATTTCTATATAATGGATCGCCCTGGTCATTGCTTCAAAATGTCATTACCTCCGGGGAGGTGTTTGCAGTGTTGTTTTTTGTTTTAATTATTTTTATTTATGTGCAAAACTGTTTTGTAGTGTTCATGTTATTTTGTTAATTAGTTAAAATAAATTCAGATTTTTCAAGCCCTTTTGGCTGTTGAATTTATACTTGAAAAATTCACTGCTTAAAGGGACACTAATCTGCCCACATAATTAAATATCACTGTTTAGTAGATCTCTTCTCTGCAGCCTTTGCAAGCCCTCCTCTTCTCTTCTTCCCCTGCCCAAACATTTTATGGCTCTCCAATCGCAGACTTCCCTAATATCGTGCATGTCCCCCTCATGCTGCCAAAACAGCTCTGATGTTTCGAAGCATTTACTCCACAAGACCTCTCGTATCCTGTGGTATCTGGCACCAAGACATTAGCAGCAGGTCCTTTCATTCCTGCGAGTTTCTAGGTGGGGCTCCAAGGATTGAATTTGTTGTTCCAGCACATCCTACAGATGCTCAAATGGATTGAGATCTGAGGAATGAAGAGGCCAAGTCGAAATTTTCCTCAACCCATTCCTGAACAATTATTGCGGTGTGGCGGGGTGAATTATCCTGTTGAAAGATGCCACTGCCATCAGAAAACAGAATTGCCATTGCAACGGAGATTCCTGTACCCCAGTTGGGGTACCCCGGCTCGCCGTCCTCTACCCACCCTGGACCTACAAAAAGGCTCCAGGTTCCATTGGGTGAACAGGAACAGCTCTTAAAAGAGCTTAGTGATTATAGCCATGGGGAGTATACAGAGTATAGCAATCCCCAGTGTAGATGCAGCCTTTCCCCCCACACATGAGACGAGGCTCTATGTTGAAGGTAAAACAGAAACTCAGCAGATCTGAGGGTTTATTGAACAGTTTGGTCTTTTATACAGTTTTCTCCACAAGGTTACCACCCAGGTGGACCTTGTGGGGCACAAGGACACAGGAACAACAAGTCAATAACACATTCAGTCACTCCCATACAGTGTACACAATCCCTCCTCTCTGCCTGTGATATAATTAACGAAGACAATGGACTAACTCAATTAAAGGACCACTATAGTGCCTGGAAAACAAACTTTTTCCTGGCACTATAGTATTAATAGGTCCCCCCCACCACCCTCATGGCCCCCCTCCTGCTGGGCTGAAGGGAGAGGAAGGGGTTAAATCACTTACCTTTCTCCAGCGCCGGGCTCCCTAGACGCTGGGGGGACTCCTCCTCCTTTGGACGTCATCGGCAAGCGCGCACATTCAGTCAGTCAATAGGAAAGCATTCTCAATGCTTTCCTATGGACGCTGGCGTCTTTTCACTGTCAAAATCAGTGAGAAGCGCGGAAGCCCTCTAGCGGCTGTCAATGAGTCCGCCACTAGAGGCTGGATTAATCCATATGTAAACATAGCAGTTTCTCTGAAACTGCTATGTTTACAGCAGGCAGGGTTAACCCTAGATGGACCTGGCACCCAGACCACTTCATTGAGCTGAAGTGGTCTGGGTGCCTATAGTGGTCCTTTAACTCTAAGCAGAAAAAACATACATTTTTACGAACCCCAAAATACAACATATCCCCTGATAGCCCCGATCTGGATGAACAACATATCCAAAAATCACCCAGATTGGTTCAGGAATTTCCTGGAAGTCTTATTTTTGCCCCACCGTGCACATGGTCCCATGCCCAAAACAGTTCCATATACCCGACGACTAAACATTGCTGGACAATTTTAAGATGGCTGCCGCCACATGTTTGAATCTGTTCCAGTTAAAAGTCCAAGGGACAGAAACAGTCCTTTTGAACATGGGCCCATTATCACAGGGCCCATAGTCCCAGGGTAGGAGGCTGGCAAACAGGCCCCTCCAAAAACCAGTGGCGAGGTTACTTTCGCCACAGCCATGAATCTGTGTACGAGGTGTGCAACACTCACTAGGTAGGTGGTCCGTGTCAAAGTAACATCCACATGAATGCCAGGACCCAGGCTTTCCCAGCAGAACATTTACCACTTTTTTTCAGCTTAGAGCTTTACAGTAACGGGACACTATAGTCGCCCACATCACTTCGTCTCAATGCAGTGGTCCTATATGTTTAACCCAGCATTGGAAAACATGGCAGGTTTTTCTCTACAATGCTTTCCTATGGGAAGTTTAAATACACTTGCAACACTCTCCGCACATGTGTATTCGATCCCTCAAGAGACCATTGCGGTGGAGTTCATACCTCCACCGTGGTGTCACGGGAGGTGAGATGTGAGCTCAGTGCTGGAAAAAGGGAGTAAAAAAAACCTTTTATATTATTTTTATGGCAAATGGTGGAGGGACCTGTATTTTACTAGGGATGCTTTGCTGTGGTGTTCGTTTATACTGGATGTGTGGGACCATATAACATGCTTTATCAAAATCTGAGTAGTTCATTCCTCCGATGTCTTCATATAAAACAATTTATTTTACACTATGGTATGCAGGTGGCATATAGGGACAACACCGAATACTGTAATGGGTGTGGGGGTCATCTTGTAAAACAATACTTCTGTAGCAGTCGCTCATCGAATCAAGGCCAGCTGTGTTTTTTGCTGCCTTTCTTGGCATTGCTGGTCAAGGGGAGCTGGTAGCGTATGCCCAGCTACATGTATTCCACCCCCCCCCACCCCTTAAATCTCTGCTGAACGACAACTCCAATCAACCTCATCCAGTAGTTGATCTGTCACCATTTTAATAGACCCTTAAAGTATGACTATTTTTATCTAATCTCTCTATCCCATTTTATGGGAAGGATTGGACTATAAGTTTGTCCATGCTTTTGTATAAGAAGCATTTGATTGGGTAATGCAGATATTAATTCCCTGCGGAGGCCAGTTTTGCAGCTAGTGAAAGGTAAAAAAATTCCTTCTTTTTTTTTTTTGGTGGCCAATTCAGCTCAGCCATTCCCTGTGCTTGTCCTCCCTCTGGCACTCTGTAATCCAGCATGGACAGGGTTACCTTTGGCACTGAGATCCAGCGTGGAGAGGGTTACCCTTTGGCACTGAGATCCAGCGTGGAGAGGGTTACCCTCTGGCACTAGCTGTGATCCAGCATGGAGAGGGTTACCCTCTGGCACTAGCTGTGATCCAGCATGGAGAGGGTTACCCTCTGGCACTCTAGCTGTGATCCAGCATGGAGAGGGTTACCCTCTGGCACTCTAGCTGTGATCCAGCATGGAGAGGGTTACCCTCTGGCACTCTAGCTGTGATCCAGCATGGAGAGGGTTACCCTCTGGCACTCTAGCTGTGATCCAGCATGGAGAGGGTTACCTTCTGGCACTCTAGCTGTGATCCAGCATGGAGAGGGTTACCCTCTGGCACTCTAGCTGTGATCCAGCATGGGGAGGGTTACCCTCTGGCACTCTAGCTGTGATCCAGCATGGGGAGGGTTACCCTCTGGCACTCTAGCTGTGATCCAGCATGGAGAGGGTTACCCTCTGGCACTCTAGCTGTGATCCAGCATGGAGAGGGTTACCCTCTGGCACTCTAGCTGTGATCCAGCATGGAGAGGGTTACCCTCTGGCACTCTAGCTGTGATCCAGCATGGAGAGGGTTACCCTCTGGCACTCTAGCTGTGATCCAGCATGGAGAGGGTTACCCTCTGGCACTCTAGCTGTGATCCAGCATGGAGAGGGTTACCCTCTGGCACTCTAGCTGTGATCCAGCATGGAGAGGGTTACCCTCTGGCACTCTAGCTGTGATCCAGCATGGAGAGGGTTACCCTCTGGCACTCTAGCTGTGATCCAGCATGGAGAGGGTTACCCTCTGGCACTCTAGCTGTGATCCAGCATGGAGAGGGTTACCCTCTGGCACTCTAGCTGTGATCCAGCATGGAGAGGGTTACCCTCTGGCACTCTAGCTGTGATCCAGCATGGAGAGGGTTACCCTCTGGCACTCTAGCTGTGATCCAGCATGGAGAGGGTTACCCTCTGGCACTCTAGCTGTGATCCAGCATGGAGAGGGTTACCCTCTGGCACTCTAGCTGTGATCCAGCATGGAGAGGGTTACCCTCTGGCACTCTATCCAGCTGTGAGCTGTGATCCAGCATGGAGAGGGTTACCCTCTGGCACTCTAGCTGTGATCCAGCAGAGGGTTACCCTCTGGCACTCTAGCTGTGATCCAGCATGGAGAGGGTTACCCTCTGGCACTCTAGCTGTGATCCAGCATGGAGAGGGTTACCCTCTGGCACTCTAGCTGTGATCCAGCATGGAGAGGGTTACCCTCTGGCACTCTAGCTGTGATCCAGCATGGAGAGGGTTACCCTCTGGCACTCTAGCTGTGATCCAGCATGGAGAGGGTTACCCTCTGGCACTAGCTGTGATCCAGCATGGAGAGGGTTACCCTCTGGCACTCTAGCTGTGATCCAGCATGGAGAGGGTTACCCTCTGGCACTCTAGCTGTGATCCAGCATGGAGAGGGTTACCCTCTGGCACTCTAGCTGTGATCCAGCATGGAGAGGGTTACCCTCTGGCACTCTAGCTGTGATCCAGCATGGAGAGGGTTACCCTCTGGCACTCTAGCTGTGATCCAGCATGGAGAGGGTTACCCTCTGGCACTCTAGCTGTGATCCAGCATGGAGAGGGTTACCCTCTGGCACTCTAGCTGTGATCCAGCATGGAGAGGGTTACCCTCTGGCACTCTAGCTGTGATCCAGCATGGAGAGGGTTACCCTCTGGCACTCTAGCTGTGATCCAGCATGGAGAGGGTTACCCTCTGGCACTCTAGCTGTGATCCAGCATGGAGAGGGTTACCCTCTGGCACTCTAGCTGTGATCCAGCATGGAGAGGGTTACCCTCTGGCACTCTAGCTGTGATCCAGCATGGAGAGGGTTACCCTCTGGCACTCTAGCTGTGATCCAGCATGGAGAGGGTTACCCTCTGGCACTCTAGCTGTGATCCAGCATGGAGAGGGTTACCCTCTGGCACTCTAGCTGTGATCCAGCATGGAGAGGGTTACCCTCTGGCACTCTAGCTGTGATCCAGCATGGAGAGGGTTACCCTCTGGCACTCTAGCTGTGATCCAGCATGGAGAGGGTTACCCTCTGGCACTCTAGCTGTGATCCAGCATGGAGAGGGTTACCCTCTGGCACTCTAGCTGTGATCCAGCATGGAGAGGGTTACCCTCTGGCACTCTAGCTGTGATCCAGCATGGAGAGGGTTACCCTCTGGCACTCTAGCTGTGATCCAGCATGGAGAGGGTTACCCTCTGGCACTCTAGCTGTGATCCAGCATGGAGAGGGTTACCCTCTGGCACTCTAGCTGTGATCCAGCATGGAGAGGGTTACCCTCTGGCACTCTAGCTGTGATCCAGCATGGAGAGGGTTACCCTCTGGCACTCTAGCTGTGATCCAGCATGGAGAGGGTTACCCTCTGGCACTCTAGCTGTGATCCAGCATGGAGAGGGTTACCCTCTGGCACTCTAGCTGTGATCCAGCATGGAGAGGGTTACCCTCTGGCACTCTAGCTGTGATCCAGCATGGAGAGGGTTACCCTCTGGCACTCTAGCTGTGATCCAGCATGGAGAGGGTTAGGGTTACCCTCTGGCACTCTAGCTGTGATCCAGCATGGGGAGGGTTACCCTCTGGCACTCTAGCTGTGATCCAGCATGGGGAGGGTTACCCTCTGGCACTCTAGCTGTGATCCAGCATGGAGAGGGTTACCCTCTGGCACTCTAGCTTTGATCCAGCATGGAGAGGGTTACCTTCTGGCACTCTAGCTGTGATCCAGCATGGAGAGGGTTACCTTCTGGCACTCTAGCTGTGATCCAGCATGGAGAGGGTTACCCTCTGGCACTCTAGCTGTGATCCAGCATGGAGAGGGTGATGTTTCAGGCCCCGCCCCCTCTCCCCAGGCCCCGCCCCCTCCCTCCCTCTCCGAGGACCACAGCAGAGATCCTGTTGCCCCGGTAACCGCCGTGACGTGCCAGGCCCAGCATCCTCCGGCCGCCCGCTCTCTCCCCGCTGTCTCCCTCCCGGGATGCCGCCGGCCGGGCCGCAGTGCCGAGCCCCATGGAGCCGCCCAGTAACCGTAGCTCCCCGGCGGAGGCCGGCCCGGTGCTGCTGGGGGTGTCGGTGGCCTGCCAGGCCCTGCTGCTGCTCGGCCTGCTGCTGCTGTCCTGCCTGGGGAACCTGTCTGTGATCGCGGTGATCGCCAAACACCGGCAGCTCCGCACGGTGACCAACGCCTTCATCGTATCGCTGTCCGTGTCCGCCCTGCTGTCCGCCCTGCTCTGCCTGCCGCTCTCCCTGCTGCTCCTGCTGGGCCGGGGCCGGGCCTGGCTCTGCAAAGCCAGCGGCTTCTTCAACTCGTGTTTCGGCATCGTGTCCTCGCTGACCATGACCCTCATCTCCCTGGACCGGTACTACGCCATCGTGCGGCAGCCCCAGGAGAAGATCGGCCGGGCCCGGGCCGCCCAGCTGCTGCTAGCCGCCTGGCTGACCGCCCTGGGCTTCTCGTTCCCCTGGTACCTGCTGGCCCGGGAGCAATGGGTGGTCCACAGCCAGGGCTACCAGCACTGCATGTATGTCTTTCACTCGGGGGGCTCCAGGCTGGGGGCGGCCTACAGCATCTCCCTGATTGTACTGTGCTACCTGCTGCCCTTCTCCTTAATGTGCTTCTGCCACTACAACATCTGCAAGGCCGTCCGCCTGTCCGAGATCCGCGTCCGGCCCGTCACCACCTACGCGCACCTGCTGCGCTTCTACAGCGAGATGCGGACGGCCACCACCGTGCTGATCATGATCGTCTTCATCATCTGCTGCTGGGGACCCTACTGCGTGATAGGCCTGGTGGCGGCGGCAGCAGGGGACTACCCCTTCACGCCGCTCATGGACACCGTGGCCGTTTGGATGGCGTGGGCCAACGGCGCCATCAACCCGCTCATTTACGCCATCCGCAACCCCAATATATCCATGCTGCTGGGGCGCAATCGGGAAGAGGGCTACAGGACTAGGAATATTGCCGCCTACCTGTGTACACAGGGTCAGAGCAGAGAGGCCAGAGGACGGGCTGACCCCATACGTGACCGTTACGGTAACCGTCACGGTCAGGGGAGCCGGGTATCGTCCTCCAGTCCGGCCAACGGTGGCGACGTGGCCATGTGGGCTTGTAAGAACCCGACTGTGCTGTTTTGCAGAGAAAGTCAGCCGGACACTGTGACCGAACCGCCACTCATGAAGTCCGAAACGGTGGACACAAGCCTTTAGTGACCCTGACTATAACTCTGTCCACATGGTACAAAAGCCGGATCATCACGTGTAGCTGGCTTGGGACATAAAAAGCTCTGGGACTATAAAAATGAAATCTGCCTAATGTGAAAAGGGAGAAATCTAATCCCGAACATGACCTAATAGAGCGATGAAGTCAGTTATGGGATTCATTTGCCAAATATGGTGTTTACGTGGGTTGGCGGTCACCTTGCATATTTTTGGCCAAAATAGCCAAGATGTCGAAATTTGCCATTTTGGTCATCTTAACAACCTGGCTGTTTTGATCTCCGTTTTAAAAGTCAATGTCAGCCCTCTGTCAGTAAACCCCTACACCAGACCATACTGTGACACTCCGAAATGCTGTTAATGGCAGTGATTGCTCTTTTTATACCGTTCTTTCCCTTAATATTTTTGATGGGGTTTTTTGTTGCTTTTTTATGTAAAGTGTATTATATACAAAAAAAGGATAAAACATTTTGCAAACTGTCCTGTTAACAGGGCTCTATCACGGGTAAAAATATTTATTTTTTTGGTGAAATGTGTGATGCAGAATTGTACAAAATGTGGTTTTTTTTTTTTGTTCTTGCTTGCTAATCATATTCAAATGTTTTCCAGGCTCTGGAAAATGCAGGGTTAATTCAGAGGGCCATTTGGTTAATGAGATCTGATAGACTCTCTTGCTGTGAGATATTGTTTACATTTAATTGCTACAGTGAAACAGAAGAAATGATGTTATTGGTGTGAAACTGTTTCATTTGTAGTTCATGTATTGCAGAAAGTTGAGCAGGGAATTTTAGTTTTAGCATTTAAAATGCACAGGTCAAGGTACCAGTAATTCAGTTTAATCTAGTAAAGGCCAGGTTTTTGGCAGAGTCCTCGTACTAAATGGCAAAAATTGACCTTATAGAGTTAATGCACACGTAAGTTAAAATCCACATGAGAATTAATTGGGACATATTGTAGCGTTTCAGTGGCAACATTTTATGGCAATTCACAGTACATTTGCTCCAGAATCAGACCATCCAAATTAGCCTTGAAAGTGCCCCCAAAAGTCCTGGGTAATGCATCCATGAATAACGAGCTGTAGTCCCCAGTAACTCCATGCACACTAAAGGCTTTCCAACAAGCAGGTGGATAGCCACTGATGGTGCATTAATACATTGGATGGGCTCTACCTGCCCAGCAGTGCTCTCCTCCCCTTTACTTGATATGTGTCGAGTGAGATGTTGCTAATATAGCGATTGGGCAGCCCCTTGCCCTCTGATATTTTTTTTTTATTTTTTTATTTTTTATTTTTTTTCCATCAGTATTTTTTATTTTACCCAATGTCAGATATTGTAAATTCTGCTCCTTTCCCTGTAGAAATGCATAAACACCAGCATCTCCAACTCTGCTAGTCTGGAGGCAAATCCATAAATATTCTGTGACTTTCTCCAGGCATCCTTATCGAGTGATATCTGTTATCATTGAATTCACTAATTGTGCCTGGTCATCGTGTGATGATGTTAGTTTATAATGTTCGATTACATTAATCCTGTTGGCGTCACACTGCAAATTTTGTCAGTTTGTAATATCTGCATGTGTATTTTTTTTCTTTGTGGTTATTTGTGTGTTTGTATACAGACACAAACACGCAATGAGAGCAGTACCAAAAGCAAATCATGTTCTTGTGTGAGATGGAGGGAGCATGTAACGACATAGATAAACATGTAAATCAAGAGGAAGAGTACGACTTAATATAGTGTAGTATTTCTGGTGCAACTTAATAAGAGAGAGAGAAATCCACTTACTGAGTGTGGAGCTTAAATGAACTACTGTGCCTGGGCGGTATAAACCTCGCCTAGGGATACCTGCTGTTTTATTTTTGATCCAGTAGTGAATGTGTGAAATCAACAGAGAATAAAACCAAATGTAGTGCAGTATTTTTTCATTTTATTTTTCTCATGATGCTGAATTAATATTTCACAAAATACTGCACTTGATTTGGTTTTATTCTTTTTATTTCAAATATTTATTTCAGTACTTACTACTGGATTAAAGCACAACATGCCAGATATCCCTAGGCGAGAATAATACCGTCCGGGCGCATCTAAGCTCCACACTATGTAAGTGCATTTCTTGCTTTTTTTATTGCGTTGCTACAGAAATACTACACAGTATATTGTAGTGCTTTTCCTCTGGTTTTACATATTTATCTGTCTTAGAATTCCTTTAAGCACCCCCCTTGCCCCCCGGTTTGGGTTGCTTGCGCTGCCTTCTGTATTCAACTGTAGTGGTAGAAACCTGCCACCTGTATATTTTAAATCATGTTCTTGCTGAGACCACTACAGAATGAATTAACTCAACCCTTCATCCTTTAGAGGTTCATTTAAAATAATCTCCCTTATATTTTGAAAAATAACACCCTAGTACACCTCTCTCTCCCTCTTTCATTTCACATTTGATCTTCATTTGAGTTATTGTCCTGGAATTGGCTTCTAGAATTGTTTTACACTTGTCCATCAAGTTCTCTATAAAGGCTCTTATTGTCATGCTGACCTTGTATAGAGCCAAGCGTTCCAGTATCCGTGTGTGTGTGTGGCATTGTGTCATAGGATTTCTTGTAGTCAGTCCATGCACGGATTGGTCTGTCTGGTCTTAGAATCCTGTGTGACTGCTTGTTCTACCAGTAGTTTCCAATCCTTTTTTTGAGTATTCCTCGTGTACTGACTCATATGCCCATCAATCTTGGAGGCTATGATGCCTGACTGGACCCTCCATGTTGTGGGGAGGCAGGTTGATTGGTCGGTAGTTTGATATTGTTGTTCCCTTGTAAGAGTTCTTCATGGCCAGTATTGTTCTGCCTTATGTTGGCCAGGCAGGGTGGGAGCTTGTTGCTAGGGGTTCATGCAGCGCTGTTATGTCTTTATTCTGTAGGTGTGGATCATGTCAGGTCCTGGGGCTGACCAACTCATCAACTGTGACAGTAGGTACTGGGCCTTTGGTGTTATGTGATCCTTCTTTCTCACAGAGATTCTTCCAGTACGGTTTAGTCTCTGCTCTAGGTGGGTCTTGGGTGAATATATTGTGGTTCCCCTGAAGCTGTGTGCACACCTGATGGTTCTGTGTTAACGAACATTTATTCCGTTAGCCTCTGCTTGTCTGGTTCCAAGCACTGTCAGACTATGCTTATGCCTTTGGAATGGTCATATGATTGGATTTCCTCAGTAGTCCGGATCTATCCTTGATCTTTCCACCTCTGTGAAGATCATTCAGCTTACTTAACTACCAAACGTGTTCCCTTTATGTCAACCTCCAGTCTTAGTCTACATGGTGGGCATTGTTTCTCCTTCAGCCTGTAGTCAAGTATTTGGAGAACCACTGATGCTGTGGCATTTATGGGTTTGTTGGTCTCTGTGATGGTGTTTGGTTGGGCCTCATTAACCGCTGCTCGAATACTGTCTGGCTGTTTTCCAGTGATCTTTGGTAATCTAGTCCGGTGGTCACTGACTACTAACTTCACTATGATCATCTCTCTCTCTCCCTCCTATACATGCAAGTGTTGGATGGTGTGCCATTACCTTAATCAGAAATGGGAATAACAGAACATTGATAGCACAATAGTGTCACTCTGAAATGGCACAAACACGCCTTATCAGTTAAAAATTGTATCAGTATCTTCTGTACGAAAATCCAGATTATTTAACATAAAATAATAAAACGGAGATCACAGAATTACCGTGATGAAGCGGGAGATTTGGCTAAATACTGATTTCCATGGTCTTTAGATTACGTATGTATTATGAGACAGTGCCTCGTACCCAAACCCAGCTCTTTTTATACTTCATAAAACAAGATATCTCGGCCAGTATGAATACATTTAGAGCAGTCAGTGTTTGCTGTGTATGGTGTGTCGGACAGACATGCTCAGTAATTCCGGTATTAAAGTTAATAGAGGCGGCTCGTGTACTGGGGAGCTGTCAGTGGCCGCATTGTACATTATGCAGATAGAAACAAAAAAAAAACATAACACCCAATCAATAATGCATACCTTGGGATCGTATGGGTTAAAATGCTTATATATTCATTTATTTATATTTTTATGCGGCTTTAGTCCAAACTGAGATCCCTCAATGAATGCAGAATCTGCCACCTTTCCCTTTAATTATTATTATTATTATTGCCATTTATATAGCGCCAACAGATTCCGTAGCGCTTTACAATATTATGAGGGTGTGTGTGTATGCGTGTGTGTTTCCGCGTGTTTGGCCTTTACAAATTTCACTATTATCCGCATAGAACGGTCACTGCCATTATCACATTTGGACCCTGGTGTATATGTTTTCAATCCTGATTTAGCCAAATCGGGCAGCAATGCTAAACTGTTTATTAATATTGTTCCCAAGAAGTGGTGTCTGTTTGCATTGTCAGCATTTAGCCTTATCTTTCAGATATAAGCGTTGTATTAATGTATGGCACAATTTTGGGGAATCAAATTATACCTGAAGATTTATTGAGGTTCTCTTATGATGCACAGCCATATTTAATGCAAAACACTGTGAAACAAGTATTAATTAGATTTGTTTGAAATTGAAATGGCCAGTCTAAGCACCGAAGCCACTTCATCTTAATGAAGTTATTTTGGGGGCATTTGAAAGCAGTGCCATTTTCTGGAAAGCGCCGCTGTTTACATTTTCCAATTCTCACACCTATGGCCACTGTCAGTTGGACAGCCACTAGGGCTTTGGGATTAAAATAGATTCATTCATTGAATGTATTTTATGTCCAGCGTCGGCAGGCAGAGTTTGTGTGCTGGGTATTTGTCCAGTTTTTTTTTTTTTTTTTAAAAGCACTGGAATCAATGCTTGTGACCGGGAAGATTCAATCATGGTATAGCAGTGCATACTCTGCGTGTCCTCCATGCTTCTCAGTGAGAAACCTTTAATTGGGTAAAAGTTCTCGATGACGTTAGTGAGGTTAGATTGGGCTGCAGTAAGCAGTATATCCCGGCGCTGGAATAAAGCTTCAGTTATTTAGTATTGTATTCTAGAGGTTTTAAATATGCTGCTTGATCCCTTGGTACACATTAAAATAGTGCGGGTTCATTCATCAAACAATAAACTGTGATGCAGAACGGAAACAAAGTATCCATCTCCACACTCACGCTGTTCTGTCCTAAATTTCGCAAATTCTGTTTCCAGTTTGCCAAAAGTCTAAACCACATGGAGCTTTTCATTTGAAATATTCTTAAATCACTGTTGCTTTGGCCTTCATTTGACCTTTTCTTAAGCAAATGCGTTTTTGATCTTAAATCTGTATTTCCCTTGTAAATTCTGTACAATTCCTATTCGTAAATAACCGCCGTGCCTTGCAGTCACATACTTTGGGTTATTTACTAAACTGTGAATTATCTAGATTTACCGGAAAATTCCAAATGTTGGTATTTAAAAAAAATAAAAATCCTGAATGGTAAAAAATTGTTTCCGAATCATTTCCCTTGTGAAGTATTGCATTGTTTGTGGTATGGAAAGTATTGAATACTTTGAAATATTATTTATAGAGAAACATAGAATGTGACGGCAGATAAGAACCGTTCGGCCCATCTAGTCTGCCCAATTTTCTAAATACTTTCATTAGTCCCTGGCCTTATCTTATAGTTAGGATAGCCTTATGCCTATCCCACGCATGCTTAAACTCCTTTACTGTGTTAACCTCTACCACTTCAGCAGGAAGGCTATTCCATGCATCCACTACCCTCTCAGTAAAGTAATACTTCCTGATATTATTTTTAAACCTTTGTCCCTCTAATTTAAGACTATGTCCTCTTGTTGTGGTAGTTTTTCTTCTTTTAAATATAGTCTCCTCCTTTACTGTGTTGATTCCCTTTATGTATTTAAATGTTTCTATCATATCCCCCCTGTCTCGTCTTTCCTCCAAGCTATACATGTTAAGATCCTTTAACCTTTCCTGGTAAGTTTTATCCCGCAATCCATGAACCAGTTTAGTAGCCCTTCTCTGAACCCTCTCTAAGGTATCAATATCCTTCTGAAGATACGGTCTCCAGTACTGTGTACAATACTCCAAGTGAGGTCTCACCAGTGTTCTGTACAATGGCATGAGCACTTCCCTCTTTCTACTGCTAATACCTCTCCCTATACAACCATGCATTCTGCTAGCATTTCCTGCTGCTCTATAGAAACATAGAATGTGACGGCAGATAAGAACCATTCGGCCCATCTAGTCTGCCCAATTTTCTAAATACTTTCATTAGTCCCTGACCTTATCTTATAGATAGGATAGCCTTATGCCTATCCCATGCATGCTTAAACTCCTTTACTGTGTTAACCTCTACCACTTCAGCTGGAAGGCTATTCCATGCATCCACTACCCTCTCAGTAAAGTAATACTTCCTGATATTATTTTTAAACCTTTGTCCCTCTAATTTAAGACTATGTCCTCTTGTTGTGGTAGTTTTTCTTCTTTTAAATATAGTCTCCTCCTTTACTGTGTTGATTCCCTTTATATATTTAAATGTTTCTATCATATCCCCCCTGTCTCGTCTTTCCTCCAAGCTATACATGTTAAGATCCTTTAACCTTTCCTGGTAAGTTTTATCCCGCAATCCATGAACCAGTTTAGTAGCCCTTCTCTGAACTCTCTCTAAGGTATCAATATCCTTCTGAAGATACGGTCTCCAGTACTGCGTACAATACTCCAAGTGAGGTCTCACCAGTGTTCTGTACAATGGCATGAGCACTTCCCTCTTTCTACTGCTAATACCTCTCCTATACAACCATGCATTCTGCTAGCATTTCCTGCTGCTCTATGAGAAACATAGAATGTGACAGATAAGAACCATTCAAGCCCATCTAGTGCCCAATTTTCTAAATACTTTCATTAGTCCCTGGCCTTATCTTATAGATAGGATAGCCTTATGCCTATCCCATGCATGCTTAAACTCCTTTACTGTGTTAACCTCTACCACTTCAGCTGGAAGGCTATTCCATGCATCCACTACCCTCTCAGTAAAGTAATACTTCCTGATATTATTTTTAAACCTTTGTCCCTCTAATTTAAGACTATGTCCTCTTGTTGTGGTAGTTTTTCTTCTTTTAAATATAGTCTCCTCTATTACATTGTCTGCCTACCTTTAAGTCATCAGAAATAATCACCCCTAAATCCCTTTCCTCATATGTTGAGGTTAGGACCAAGATGCAGTATAGAGCACCAAATAAAACCAGAACCACTTCTAGCAGATGTCTAAATTAGTTTCTAAAACTTTGTCATAATGATGGTGATTTATTTTGATCATATCACAAGGACACTGGAACATTTATGCAGTTTGTAGCTTATGGGCTAAATAATGGACAGTTTTTTTTCCAGTTTCATGCAGAGTTTCATATATTAATGGCAAAAAAAGTTTTGTATTATTCTGCTCTTTACTCCACTGCCTCCGTTCTGTTCATAGCGACACCAATGTTATCACAGAGCACAGCACAGCCTTCTGGGAGTTTACAAGCAGACAGTCTTGCCCATTTCGTTCAGATAGGTGCTGGCGTAACTGCGACTTCTCTGGTTTGTATAGCCACATTTGGTGGGAATGTCCAAAAATAGGTCCATTATGGAAGGAAATATTTCATTTCCTCTTAGCCACTTTGAATTGATCTATTAGAACTCCTACCTATATACCTCCAATAATAAAAATATCTACTCTGGAGGCCAATAAAACATGGGGGAAATGGTCCATTTGGCCAACAAATCTGCTCTAATCCTAATAATTTTATTATCTTTCATTACTGATAACACATATTCTGATAAACAGATAATGGTATTCTATTTCAATCCCATTTTTTTTCCTATGAGAAATAATGATGTTTATAATTACATTATAAAAGCCAGAGCGGTTTGCTTCCTCCTTCCGTTGGCTCCACTGAGATTTTACCTGTCCTCTTGGCCCCTGCTTCCTCCTTCCGTTGGCTCAATGAAAAGCCACTGAGGAGAGGCCGCAGGAATTAGAACGGCAATGTTTGCAAGCCTCTTAGATTTACACCAATGCCAACATGCAAAACTAAATGCATGCATGTTTTCACTGGGGTATGTCTACTAAATAGTGATTAATTTTCCTGTGGAGTGTTTCTTTAACAGAACCGTAAGTCCCAGAAACCCTTGATTTGTGCAGAACTGAGGATGTACACAGAGAGCTTTGAAATTTGTTTCATACCCTACAGACTGTTAGACCAGTAGGCAGTGGGACAGCTTCTTAGGAGAGATTTCTCTTCTGTCTAGACTTATGTGACTGCAACATTTCCAATCTCTTCAGAGAGGGTTAAAGTGTGTATTGTGGCACGTGCTGGGTTAAATATGTCCAAACTTGCACAATTTGTAGACTAGAATGGCTCAACCAATTGACAAGACTGTTATTCATGGATTTAAAATAAATAAATAAATAAATAAAAAATCTTTAAAAGCGAGTAACTAGAATGTTTTTCATATTCTTATTCCAATGCATCATATGTTCTGTGCTTTACAAATACAAATGGGGCATTTCTTTTAAATTTAGAATTGGATGTTGTTTGTACCAGTTCATTTATTTATTAAAGTTATGGAGGATTTTATTTGGCAGATTTTAGCCTAAACTTTAGCGAATAGATCAGGGGAGCCCAAAAGGTTACACCCCCCACCCCCCCCCCAGATGTTTTAAACCTACAGCTTCCATGATCATGGTATGGAAGTTGTACTTCTACAATATCTGGGGATCTACAATCTGGGCACCCCCTGGAATAGATCGGTGAGACAGTCCTCTCTAAAGGGTCCATGCCCTCATTTGCAAATTGAGTAAAATAAATCCAGTTTGGACTTGACATATTTTAATTCATTGCATTAATAATGCTTTTAAAATTATCCATAATCCACCAGTCCTGAATAAGTTACGGCTATCTGACATTCCTGCATTTATAGTAGATATGGCAGACAGGGCAGTGATCTGGGGTAGGCCATTCGGCATGCTCCAGTAACTTTATATGGAACCATTCAGGGTGCACACTTGATCCTTTCAATCCTTATCTAGCAGGGCTATATGGGCAGTCCAGGGCTTTCCAGATGTTGCAATTCAGTTATCGACTTTTTACTTATGAAAGCTGTTGCCAGAATTGCAATTCCCAGAAACCTTTGCTGTGCTTCCTCACATGACATGAATAACTGTATATGGACGGCGCTATGACATCACACGTGCATGTCCAATAACCAGCAAGAAGAAAGTGTTTCGAATGTGTAAGGTGGAACAGAAGATGATGCATTCAGTTGCTAAACACAGTTGGTTATTTAAAACTCTAAAAATAAAAATGCATCAAAGTTGTGATGGTACCTGTAGTGTATCTTTAATGTATCACCTGGTTGTTTCCTTCGAAATGAAAAACATTTTGCTAAATATTTTTACATTATTTAGCCTTCACCCTTAATTAATAGTGGATTTGCTGTCAATGTCCAATTATAATTTGATTAATCTGTTCTGTAACTAGATCAGTGAAAAGTTTGCACCTTATTGTTCCTATCTTTAGTAAATGTGAAAGCACAATATGCATTGCTGTACATGTGACATCTATTGTACAGCGCTGTGGAATTTGTTGGCGCTATGTAAATATTAATATGTACAGGTGACATCTATTGTACAGCACTGTGGAATTTGTTGGCGCTATGTAAATATTAATATCTACAGGTGACATTATTGTACAGCGCTGTGGAATTTGTTGGCGCTATATAAATAATATGTACAGGTGACATCTATTGTACAGCGCTGTGGAATTTGTTGGCACTATATAAATAATATGTACAGGTGACATCTATTGTACAGCGCTGTGGAATTTGTTGGCACTATGTAAATATTAATATGTACAGGTGACATCTATTGTAGAGCGCTGTGGAATTTGTTGGCGCTATGTAAATATTAATATGTACAGGTGACATCTATTGTACAGCGCTGTGGAATTTGTTGGCACTATGTAAATATTAATATGTACAGGTGACTTCTATTGTAGAGCGCTGTGGAATTTGTTTGCGCTATGTAAATATTAATATGTACAGGTGACATCTATTGTACAGCGCTGTGGAATTTGTTGGCGCTATGTAAATATTAATATGTACAGGTGACATCTGTTGTAGAGCGCTGTGGAATTTGTTGGCGCTATATAATTATTAATATGTACAGGTGACATTATTGTACAGCGCTGTGGAATTTGTTGGCGCTATATAAATATTAATATGTACAGGTGACATTATTGTACAGCGCTGTGGAATTTGTTGGCGCTATGTAAATATTAATATGTACAGGTGACATCTATTGTACAGCGCTGTGGAATTTGGCGCTATGTAAATATTAATATGTACAGGTGACATCTATTGTACAGCGCTGTGGAATTTGTTGGCGCTATGTAAATATTAATATGTACAGGTGACATCTATTGTACAGCGCTGTGGAATTTGTTGGCGCTATGTAAATATTAATATGTACAGGTGACATCTATTGTAGAGCGCTGTGGAATTTGTTGGCGCTATGTAAATATTAATATGTACAGGTGACATCTGTTGTAGAGCGCTGTGGAATTTGTTGGCGCTATATAATTATTAATATGTACAGGTGACATTATTGTACAGCGCCGTGGAATTTGGCGCTATATAAATATTAATATGTACAGGTGACATCTATTGTACAGCGCTGTGGAATTTGTTGGCGCTATGTAAATATTAATATGTACAGGTGACATCTATTGTACAGCGCTGTGGAATTTGTTGGCGCTATGTAAATATTAATATGTACAGGTGACATCTATTGTACAGCGCTGTGGAATTTGTTACGCCATATAAATACATGTACAGGTGACATCTATTGTACAAAGCTGTTGAATTTGTTGGTGTTATGTAAATATTAATATGTACAGGTGATATCTATTGTACAGCCAGCCAGGAATTTAAGTTGGCTTAAGGCAAAATATTAATATGTACAGGTGACATCTATTGTACAGCTGTGGAATTTGTTGGCGCTATGTAAATATTAATATGTACAGGTGACATCTATTGTACAGCGCTGTGGAATTTGGCGCTATGTAAATATTAATATGTACAGGTGACATCTATTGTAGAGCGCTGTGGAATTTGTTGGCGCTATGTAAATATTAATATGTACAGGTGACATCTATTGTACAGCGCTGTGGAATTTGTTGGCGCTATATAAATATTAATATGTACAGGTGACATCTATTGTACAGCGCTGTGGAATTTGGCGCTATATAAATATTAATATGTACAGGTGACATCTATTGTAAAGCGCTGTGGAATTTGTTGGCGCTATGTAAATATTAATATGTACAGGTGACATCTATTGTACAGCGCTGTGGAATTTGTTGGCGCTATATAAATATTAATATGTACAGGTGACATCTATTGTACAGCGCTGTAGAATTTGTTGGCGCTATATAAATAATATGTACAGGTGACATCTATTGTACAGCGCTGTTGAATTTGTTGGTGCTATGTAAATATTAATATGTACAGGTGACATCTATTGTACAGCGCCGTGGAATTTGTTGGCGCTATGTAAATATTAATATGTACAGGTGACATCTATTGTACAGCGCTGTGGAATTTGTTGGCGCTATGTAAATATTAATATGTACAGACATCTATTGGCCTGGCCTTAGATGGAATTTATTTGGTATATGTAAATATTAATATGTACAGGTGACATTATTGTACAGCGCTGTGGAATTTGTTGGCGCTATGTAAATGTTAATATGTACAGGTGACATCTATTGTACAGCACTGTGGAATTTGTTGGCGCTATATAAATATTAATATGTACAGGTGACATCTATTTTACAGCGCTGTAGAATTTGTTGGCGCTATATAAATAATATGTACAGGTGACATCTATTGTACAGCGCTGTGGAATTTGGCGCTATATAAATATTAATATGTACAGGTGACATCTATTGTACAGCGCTGTGGAATTTGTTGGCGCTATGTAAATATTAATATGTACAGGTGACATTATTGTACAGCGCTGTGGAATTTGTTGGCGCTATATAAATAATATGTACAGGTGACATCTATTGTACAGCGCTGTAGAATTTGTTGGCGCTATATAAATAATATGTACAGGTGACATCTATTGTAAAGCGCTGTGGAATTTGGTGCTATATAAATAATAATATGTACAGGTGACATCTATTGTACAGCGCCGTGGAATTTGTTGGCGCTATTTAAATATTAATATGTACAGGTGACATTATTGTACAGCGCTGTGGAATTTGTTGGCGCTATGTAAATGTTAATATGTACAGGTGACATCTATTGTACAGCGCTGTGGAATTTGTTGGCGCTATATAAATAATATGTACAGGTGACATCTATTGTACAGCGCTGTGGAATTTGTTGGCGCTATGTAAATATTAATATGTACAGGTGACTTCTATTGTACAGCGCTGTGGAATTTGTTGGCGCTATGTAAATATTAATATGTACAGGTGACATTATTGTACAGCGCTGTGGAATTTGTTGGCGCTATGTATTAATATGTACAGGTGACATCTATTGTACAGCGCCGTGGAATTTGTTGGCGCTATGTAAATATTAATATGTACAGGTGACATCTATTGTACAGCGCCGTGGAATTTGTTGGCGCTATGTAAATATTAATATGTACAGGTGACATTATTGTACAGCGCTGTGGAATTTGTTGGCGCTATGTAAATGTTAATATGTACAGGTGACATCTATTGTACAGCACTGTGGAATTTGTTGGCGCTATATAAATATTAATATGTACAGGTGACATCTATTTTACAGCGCTGTAGAATTTGTTGGCGCTATATAAATAATATGTACAGGTGACATCTATTGTACAGCGCTGTGGAATTTGTTGGCGCTATGTAAATATTAATATGTACAGGTGACTTCTATTGTACAGCGCTGTGGAATTTGGCGCTATGTAAATATTAATATGTACAGGTGACTTCTATTGTACAGCGCTGTGGAATTTGGCGCTATATAAATATTAATATGTACAGGTGACATCTATTGTAGAGCGCCGTGGAATTTGTTGGCGCTATGTAAATATTAATATGTACAGGTGACATCTATTGTACAGCGCCGTGGAATTTGTTGGCGCTATGTAAATGTTAATATGTACAGGTGACATCTATTGTACAGCGCTGTGGAATTTGTTGGCGCTATATAAATAATATGTACAGGTGACATCTATTGTACAGCGCTGTGGAATTTGTTGGCGCTATGTAAATATTAATATGTACAGGTGACTTCTATTGTACAGCGCTGTGGAATTTGTTGGCGCTATGTAAATATTAATATGTACAGGTGACATTATTGTACAGCGCTGTGGAATTTGTTGGCGCTATATAAATAATATGTACAGGTGACATCTATTGTACAGCGCTGTGGAATTTGTTGGCGTTATGTAAATATTAATATGTACAGGTGGCATCTATTGTAGAGCGCTGTGGAATTTGTTGGCGCTATATAAATATTAATATGTACAGGTGACATCTATTGTACAGCGCTGTGGAATTTGTTGGCGCTATGTAAATATTAATATGTACAGGTGACATTATTGTACAGCGCTGTGGAATTTGTTGGCGCTATATAAATAATATGTACAGGTGACATCTATTGTAGAGCGCTGTGGAATTTGTTGGCGCTATGTAAATATTAATATGTACAGGTGACATCTGTTGTAGAGCGCTGTGGAATTTGTTGGCGCTATATAATTATTAATATGTACAGGTGACATTATTGTACAGCGCTGTGGAATTTGGCGCTATATAAATATTAATATGTACAGGTGACATCTATTGTACAGCGCTGTGGAATTTGTTGGCGCTATGTAAATATTAATATGTACAGGTGACATCTATTGTACAGCGCTGTGGAATTTGTTGGCGCTATATAAATATTAATATGTACAGGTGACATCTATTGTACAGCGCTGTAGAATTTGTTGGCGCTATATAAATAATATGTACAGGTGACATCTATTGTACAGCGCTGTTGAATTTGTTGGTGCTATGTAAATATTAATATGTACAGGTGACATCTATTGTACAGCGCCGTGGAATTTGTTGGCGCTATGTAAATATTAATATGTACAGGTGACATCTATTGTACAGCGCTGTGGAATTTGTTGGCGCTATGTAAATATTAATATGTACAGGTGACATCTATTGTACAGCGCTGTGGAATTTGTTGGCGCTATGTAAATATTAATATGTACAGGTGACATCTATTGTACAGCGCTGTGGAATTTGTTGGCGCTATGTAAATATTAATATGTACAGGTGACATTATTGTACAGCGCTGTGGAATTTGTTGGCGCTATGTAAATAATATGTACAGGTGACATCTATTGTACAGCGCTGTGGAATTTGTTGGCGCTATGTAAATATTAATATGTACAGGTGACATCTGTTGTAGAGCGCTGTGGAATTTGTTGGCGCTATATAATTATTAATATGTACAGGTGACATTATTGTACAGCGCTGTGGAATTTGGCGCTATATAAATATTAATATGTACAGGTGACATCTATTGTACAGCGCTGTGGAATTTGTTGGCGCTATGTAAATATTAATATGTACAGGTGACATCTATTGTACAGCGCTGTGGAATTTGGCGCTATATAAATATTAATATGTACAGGTGACATCTATTGTAGAGCGCCGTGGAATTTGTTGGCGCTATGTAAATATTAATATGTACAGGTGACATCTATTGTACAGCGCCGTGGAATTTGTTGGCGCTATGTAAATATTAATATGTACAGGTGACATTATTGTACAGCGCTGTGGAATTTGTTGGCGCTATGTAAATGTTAATATGTACAGGTGACATCTATTGTACAGTGCTGTAGAATTTGTTGGCGCTATATAAATAATATGTACAGGTGACATCTATTGTACAGCGCTGTGGAATTTGTTGGCGCTATGTAAATATTAATATGTACAGGTGACTTCTATTGTACAGCGCTGTGGAATTTGTTGGCGCTATGTAAATATTAATATGTACAGGTGACATTATTGTACAGCGCTGTGGAATTTGTTGGCGCTATATAAATAATATGTACAGGTGACATCTATTGTACAGCGCTGTGGAATTTGTTGGCGTTATGTAAATATTAATATGTACAGGTGACATCTATTGTAGAGCGCTGTGGAATTTGTTGGCGCTATGTAAATATTAATATGTACAGGTGACATCTGTTGTAGAGCGCTGTGGAATTTGTTGGCGCTATATAATTATTAATATGTACAGGTGACATCTATTGTACAGCGCTGTGGAATTTGTTGGCGCTATGTAAATATTAATATGTACAGGTGACCTCTATTGTACAGCGCTGTGGAATTTGTTGGCGCTATGTAAATATTAATATGTACAGGTTACATCTATTGTACAGCGCTGTGGAATTTGTTGGCGCTATGTAAATATTAATATGTACAGGTGACATCTATTGTAGAGCGCTGTGGAATTTGTTGGCGCTATGTAAATATTAATATGTACAGGTGACATCTATTGTACAGCGCTGTGGAATTTGTTGGCGCTATATAAATAATATGTACAGGCGACATCTATTGTACAGCGCTGTGGAATTTGTTGGCGCTATATAAATATTAATATGTACAGGTGACATCTATTGTACAGCGCTGTGGAATTTGGCGCTATGTGAATATTAATATGTACAGGTGACATCTATTGTAGAGCGCTGTGGAATTTGTTGGCGCTATGTAAATATTAATATGTACAGGTGACATCTATTGTACAGCGCTGCGGAATTTGTTGGTGCTATATAAATATTAATATGTACAGGTGACATCTATTGTACAGCGCTGTGGAATTTGTTGGCGCTATAAAAATATGTACAGGTGACATCTATTGTACAGCGCTGTGGAATTTGTTGGCGCTATATAAATATGTACAGGTGACATCTATTGTACAGCGCTGTGGAATTTGTTGGCGCTATATAAATAATATGTACAGGTGACATCTATTGTACAGCGCTGTGGAATTTGTTGGTGCTATATAAATATTAATATGTACAGGTGACATCTATTGTACAGCGCTGTGGAATTTGTTGGCGCTATATAAATATGTACAGGTGACATCTATTGTACAGCGCTGTGGAATTTGTTGGCGCTATATAAATATGTACAGGTGACATCTATTGTACAGCGCTGTGGAATTTGTTGGCGCTATATAAATAATATGTACAGGTGACATCTATTGTACAGCGCTGTGGAATTTGTTGGTGCTATATAAATATTAATATGTACAGGTGACATCTATTGTACAGCGCTGTGGAATTTGTTGGTGCTATATTAATATTAATAATAATATGTACAGGTGATATCGTTTTATTCCCCCCAAATCTAGGATGTCATCTCCTTAATTCCATTTGCAATCAAGCTGTGTAGCTCCTCCACAGATGGACGAAAATACAAACCCTCTCAATGTTAACATAATGACAATATTTTTTCATTAGACAGTATATAAGAAACAAATAATTTTACTTATATTTTTTCACTGTTTGTGAAGTGATGTTATTTTGTAAATAAGGCTTATAAACTCTCAAAACAACAAAATAAGAATTTGTGTGATTTTAGAGCTCAGTTTAAATTTCAACTGTGGTGGTAAAATTCTCCTTTCTAGGCTATTAACATCATTATCTGTTTATCAGAATTTGTATGATCAGTAATGAAAGATAATAAAATTGGTAGGATTAAAGCAGATTCATTGGCCAAATGGACCATTTCCCCCACATTTTATTGATCTCCAGAGTAGATATTTTTATTATTGAAGGTATATTAGGTAGTAGTTCTAACAGATAAATTCCAAGTGGACCCATTTTTGGACATTCCCACCAAATGTGGCTATACAAACCAGAGAAGCCACGTTACGCCAGCACCTATCTGAACGAGTTGGGCAAATGAGCCAATCTGGCGGGTACTAAGTACCATCTAGGAATTGTATCTATATCTAATCTAGGAGTTTTATACGAGTAATTCAGTGGGACAATTCCCATAGATTATCTGCTGATTATTTCCATTCTTCTTCTGGAAACGTACACTTTAATCATTGCCACAAATTCCTGGTCACTGGCTTTAACCTCCAGGACTCTGGATTTAGTTTTGGTCCCATTTTAGTGGGGGCTTTGTGTATTCTGGGCCCTTTACGAATCATGGAAGCCAAGGTGGCAGCAAGCTGTTGGATTTGCAATTTGGGGACTCATTGGGGTGGATTCAGTGCAGTAACAATGTATGATTTCCTTGGTATTGTATTCAGCGAGTGTGTCTGTTCTCTGCCTCAGTGATAGTGATTGCATGACTGATCGCTATTTATGACTTGGCATCTAGCATTCAGTAGTTTCCCTCACAAATGGCCATTTTTCTCCTACTTCTAACTGTAGCCGAGCCACGCATAATGTTTATGGCAGCCGTCTTACTTTGTGACACTATTGCCGGCTGTGCTGTCACACTTTTTTTTAAATTAATTTAAGTGAGGCGCTATAAATCATTATACCATACTTGGCGTATACTCTACATTAATGTTCTATGCCATATCTATGAAACTTTAGTACAGACAATATGTACAAAAAATTAACATAATACTAAAATCTAAAATCTTTCGCAATCACATTCACATATACCAGAGCCCCTTTTACCCGGCTCAGGGTTTATACAGCTCCAAACTGAGAGGGAGTATGTGGCAGACACCATATATGTGAGTGTGATCCCTAAAGATTTCAGTATTATGTAAAAAAAAAATTCACAGATTGTCTGCACTATAAGGTTTTATGATGTTTTACAGATATATGGAATTTGACATTAATACGGAATATATGCTATAAGTAGCATGTCACTTTTATTGGTATAATAAAGTGTTATTTGAGAGTGGTGGTGTTTGCAGCAATGTTTAAAGATTTAGCTTACTCCATACAATGGTGTATATGTATTCTATATAGTTTGGCCCAAATCTGTTTCATTACATTTTTTTTCTGGGCACGTAACACATGGTTTTGGGTTTTGTAACCAGTTTATTATTTTAACATAACTGGTTCTGTTGGCGGTTCCAACTTAGTGGTTTTTGCTATAATTTTTTTTTTTTTTTTGTGGTGGTAACATCTGTTGTATTTCTTCTGCTAGAAATGGAGGGATTTAATTAGCTTCACTGTAAAAAAAAAAAAAATGTTTCCTTTCAGTTACATTAATGTCACATTTCTATATAATGTTAATTTCACATGGGCTTCAAAAGATTAGACAGACATGTACCACCATCTCATTGTCTGATGTCAAAACCCAAAATGGGGATAGTGGCAAAATAGGTGGTTATGAAACTTCTCAGGAATTCCACTAGATGGTAGCAGAGTAGACTGTAGTATTTATGCTTTTAACCCCTTAAATACAAGATCCCGGTCATTCATATTACTGTAGTGTAGATGTATACCAAATGCTGATTTTTGTAACAGAGCTGTCGTTTGATCAGTAAAATATTACTACTTTGGATATAACAAAAATCCACATTTATGACAACACATGGAATTCTTGTTTTTATTGCATATTTCCATTGTTAAATGTACATCATCATAAAAACAGTCTTTTCGTTCAGTTCTACTAAAACATCTTGTTCATATTAACTAGATTTCACTACTAGCTCATACGTAGTTTGTGACACACACACAATTACAAATGAGAAAACTTTCCTTTGTTTGAATCATTTGAAAAAAAAAAAGTTTTAAAACAAACTCCTTTAAGCAGTGATGGCTCTCTTTGATGCTGTGTACATTTGATGAGTTGCATTTCAAGCTGTTTCTGTATCATAGGCCAACGTGCGCCATCACTGTTTTAATGGCTACAACCCGTCAGGACTGATCTAAACATATCTTTAAGTATTTGCACCGTCCACTCTGCTAGTGGCCACATATTGCAAATGCCCTGTTAGCACTACATTGGTTTATTGGAGATGAAAATGTAACATGTAATAAAAAGTTCACACCAACTTACTGGGAATGTACAAACCTCTACACTTCTCCATCCTCAATTTAATATCGCATAAACATAGGAGGCACTTAGAAAACAAAATTAGGGTAGAACAGTGAGCATTTAAATTACATACAAAAATCACATTCCCTTGGAGTGTAAACAGTCTTCCTGGGAGAGATTAAGTAAATCTGATTATACCTGAATTTGTTTTAAATGTTTTATTTCCGCCATGTTTGATAATAAATGCCAAGCAGGTCAGTGGTAGTACTATACTACATATGATATGACTGATTAAGCTCTCTCTCCCCCTGCCCCCCTTCCATTAGAAAATTACAAAGCAGATTGGGTTGTACAATTTAGATCAAGGGTAGGCAACCTTCGGCACTCCGCATGTTATAGACTACATCTCCCGTAATGTTTACAGGCATAACTATGGCAAAGCATCAGGGGAGATTAAGTCCACATCTGGAGTCCTGATGGTTGCCTATGCATAGTTTAAAAAATCAATCAAGAATTTTAAGTTATGTTTTCATGCCAGATCCTCAGAATTTAGTGCAATTTCCACACAAAACATTGTGTTAAATTTGAATGATTCCTTTCGGTGCAAAGTAGGGTGAAGTTCGACCCTCTTACAGCAAACTTTTTGGGGTTATTCCACATCAATTTAGTGAAAATAAACACATCTTAAAAACTCTCCTGGAGGATTTTTAAAAAAATGTTTCACAGTTTTTCAGAAGCACAAAAATTTTCAGTGTGCTTCGAAACATCTTTAGTATTGTGAACAGCACACTCGTGTAGAAAGTCAATAAAAAAAATATAAAGACTTAATTAAATAAAGGTTTAGTGACTTCAAGGTGCATTAAAATTACTAAATGAAACGTTAGGGAAACCAGTTCTGTATATCATAACGTAGGCAGTGTTGTACATATCAGCAGTCATCTTATAAAGATCTATCGTTGGAGAGAAATGGAATGTGTGTCTGATTTGACAGATGTGCGTATTTAGAAATGAACCTTAAATAAAATGTCCATTTTCCAGCTGCTACCAGTGGAATGACATTACATTTGCATATAGTTTCTGAATGTTTAGAACACATGACGGTGCACCCAGTGAATGTCCTTTTGGCGAATTTATTGTACAATTTAAAAAACAAAAAAAACAAACAAAACACACAACTTGGAATAATTGTTTATGAATTAAAAATCTTCTCTACAACAGTTTAATAGTTCAGTCTCTCTGTAGAGAGGAAATAACAGTGTTTATGAAAATTAAATAAGTTAAAAACAGTACTAACATATTGCAAAAGTATTGTATTGTCTTTTTATTTAAGCTACACATGGCAAGCACCAACTTGCAGTTCATTTGAGGGAAGTTAGATCTATGTCCCTGAGATGTGTGCTCACTGGTAAAATTGTAACAGTTTACATTGCGCGAAGAATTGGCCGTTAACAGAGCAATGGTAAGGGCACAGAAACAGTTGTATCGGGGTGTTTTTTTTGTTAACCCGAACAATGAAAATTCTATGAATCGGTTAGATTCTTACAGCAAACCCTCTATTCTTTTTGAGTCAGCCAGTAAAATGCTCCGGTATAAAAAATATTTTTAATTTATTTTTATTTTAAATTTCTATACAGCAATGAGCAATCTTTTTTTAAAATGTTAATAAATCTGATTTCTACCTCTAACCGAAACCTTCTAAAAGATCAAGTGTCAATTGTGTAGAAACCCTGGAGCACAGATTAACGCGTTCAGTAGTAGTGAGATGATGTTTGGAGTTATGGGTTTTAGTGCAGTCTCTGAGAGGGTACTATTGGTCCTATAAGCTACAGGCGGATGTCATGACAAGCAGTTGGGCATGAATATAGCCCTGTCATATTCAGGAAGGGTTTAACATTTTGGAAGATGCTACCACACCAGATATTTTTGGTAATGTTATCTAAATCACCATTTCTCGGTTCCAGAATACAATAAAAAAATGGAATATTTAAGGAATGATTTTGCTTTTATTCTGGAGAACATGGTTTGTGCTTTTGCACTAAATTAAAGGGGGGGAGAGGGATCTTCCACTATAGGAAGAACCCACACTCAAAAAACCCAACTTAACAGTCGGTATGTATACATGTGTCCACATCTATACACATATATACATAATACTGCAATAATAACACATTTTATATGTGCATGAACTCTTCCAAACTATATACATATGTGTGCATAAATATACTTTATGCACATACATATGCACACACATTATATTACATAAAGTACATATATACAAACATCTTCCCACTCCCCCATAAAACCCCGTGGTTACAGTAACGGATCCCAAGGCAGTGTGATGGAAAGTGAGGACAAGTTCTATAGAGTCTGTTAGAAGTCTATAAGGGCGGGTTCTGATAGCAGATCAATAATTCAGTTTGGTCACAGGTCGCTCCCGGCTGCTCTCTGTAGTTTGGCTGATTATGCGCTTGCGGTTCCGTTTTAATTTGGAAAGATCCTTATCAAAGACTTCGCCTGAACGTAAAGCTGAAACCAAGTCGTCAAACTCTCCCTCTTCCTCGCCGTTTTCCTTCGCCTTCCTCGCTTTACGTTCACGATCACGTTGCTCCTTAAGCTGAAAGAAAAAGAAAAAAAAAATAGCAGTAGGTCACACACCGCAACAGAAGAATATTTGATCTAAGCATGTTAACCTCTACACAGAATCTATTGGTGACACTCCAGGCACCATGACTACTATGGAGAGCTGTAGTTGTTATGGTGGCAGAAACACAGTGGCGCCTATTGTAAGCAGTGAAACGGTCTTAGTACAGTTTGACTTCTTATCTGGGGTCGGTGGTGCTGCTCCCACCTCCACTACAGTTACACGGGAGCCCCAGAAGCTGTTCTTAAAAGGTACACTACACTGTTAGGAATATAAATAATGTGTTTTGATTGCTAGCGGCGTTGTACTATTTCTTGAAGATAATTTTCTATACACTTTTTGCCAAGATATCACATTGCCTTCTATATACGGGTGATATTTGATTTAATTGCTGTATTTGATTTTTCCTGTTTATTCAATGATTGGGGCAGTGTTTTGTATGTTCTCTGACAGACTTTGTCTATTTCCGGTGCTGGTGGCATTGCACACTTTCAGAGGTTTTCACTAAAGCGTGAACGGTTCGGAATTCAAAGTGACTTTAAAATTTTACTTAAAATAGCAGAATTGAAGGGAAAAAACAAAGTTCTCCAAGCTATGTATTCAGTTTGGCTGTTCTGCCTTAAATTTCACTTTGAATTCTCACAATTTTACACGTTAGTAAATAGCCTCTTTAGGTCTGTTTTAGAACAAACATGAAGATAGGACACTTTTCCGGTGAAGCACTTTGGCCATTCTGACATCTGTGTAATAAATAATACTGCACGGATATATTGGAAGGATGTAAAGTTGGCTCTGTCACTTCTGAGTATTTGATAACACATTCTTTAGGAAATTCCAACATAAAATAGGGACTACGTTGTCTCATGGCAAGCCTCAGGTTGACAAAAGGCAGAGTTCTGCTGTCCTCTTTTGTCCAATCCCAGCAGTGGGAACCAGACAAGGTCTCGCTCAGCGCTAAACATAATCTATGGAGGATTCCACAGTTTTGAGATCCGCCATAGACTTCAGTGTTGTATTCTTATGCATGCGCGAGAGTACAGCACTTATGTGGCTCCTGGCAGATGAAGACCACCTACCTTCCATTACACTGCACGGCCACCTGGCCGTAAGAGGAGATGTCACCTTCGGGGGTCTTTGCAAAATACACAAGGAATCCTGAAGGTGAAAGATCCACACATACCTGTTCTTGGTTAGAGCACTTATAAACTTGTAAATGTAAACTAGAAGGGCCCCACCTTGTACAATTCAAGCAAAGGCACACAAGTGGTTATATAACATTGAACTTGCATGATTTGTACTACGTGTGCACTGTCGCTCTCTGTAATACAATATATAGCAAAGAAACAATAACCGGTTGTGTCTGGTGGAGCCTAATTCTTGCAGTGAATCAAATACAACAAACAGTAACAAATATTCCAATCCTGGGTATATTTATCTTGTAGATTGGGGAAGAAAGTCTGTCTTTTTCCAGGTGCTGGAGTTATATCCAGGAGTACATGTCAAGAAAAGAGAAAATCTAACAGTGCGATATGTCTTGTAGGTGGGATACACACAACACCCAACTTTGTGATTGCCAAGTCTATATACCGGATCTTGTCTTAAGCTCCATTCCGTGTTCGACAGTCACAAAGTTGTATGTTGTGTGTGTCTCACTGACAAGACATATTCTTATGTATTCCTGGATATACCTCCAGCAGTTAGAAGAAGCCAGGCTTTCTTCCCCAAACTACATGATAAATATACCCAGGACTTTACTGTAATATGTTACTGACTTACTGTAATAACTAGTCGCTATCTGATTTGTTTCTTTGTTCCCTGTCACTTTTTGGGGCCTTTGCAGGAGCCCCTTTCTCAGGGTTTGCTCAGTTATTTAGAATTTAGAAAATATAATTTAATTTTTTTATAGTCTATATCTCTGCATATCATCTCAAAACGGCTCATGATGATTGTGTGTTAGCTCCAGTATGTGGTGACTAAAGATCACATGAACTGAACATCTGATACGGGTCTTGTATCCGTTTCAGACGCACTCGATCTTCACTCTAATCGGCTATGACTTCACCATGCTAAAATTGGTTTCCTTTTTTCTCAGAAGTGTTTGGTTAGAGGGCTCCCATGACAACACGAGTTACAAATTCTCTAAATAACTGTATTCTAGAGCTGTGGTTCCCAAGTACTACAGACTCGGATTTAACAATGAAAAATTAGAGGAAAAAAGCATTATATATATATTAGTGCCGAGGTCACAGACCAGGACTAAACCTAAAATTGTTTGAAGATGGAACAGGACGATTGCACTGTAATTAAGTATTCCATTTTGACCTTGAACTAGGATAAATAGGGTTTAGTTTGAACGTTACTACATTTACCCTCCTCCCTCCCAATCGTACAATTTATCATTTAGGCAGCCTCAGATTAAAGCCTGATGGTGAGCTACATCTTGGCTACAAAGTAATATGGTTTAAGGGTTTTTTGCTTATTTATTCAAAATAGTGGTTACACTTTTTAATTCACAGCACTTGATCTTTCTGATCTACCTTTTCTAAATCATGTGAAGGGATAAAGTACCAGGTTGGAGTGTCCTAGGTTTGTAGAATCTCTGAATATTTTTCTGTTTGTTCTAGGATTTAACAATTACTCTGTTGTGTTCCCATGTGGAAACAATGCAATTTTTTGGTTATGGGGACTTGCTTGAGACACTAAATATAGCAGAGATTACATGATACCACTAGTGAGACCAGTGGGGAGCTGGTATATAAACATGTTACGGGATGAGCAATTTGAGGATTGTAAAAGTAACTGTGTGATCCAGCTTTAGCACTGTTCTCTTATAGCGGATTCAGTTTGTGTGTTTAGATTTATAAATTTGATGTTTCATGTTTGTATTGCCTTATTACACCATGAAATGTATTCATTTATTTCTAAGCATATTGCAATATTGGCTGTGTGCTCCAATTCTATATGATGAGAAAGGAAAATGATAGCTGCAGATGGAAGTTAGACACAACAAGGGGAAGGTAGGTAATATGGGCATAACCCAAACAAGTAGTGATGGTGGAACCCCTCAGACTCCCCTTCACTAGAATTACCACCAATTAAAAGATCATTCTAGATAAGAAGATAATTTGAAACACTTTTAGTAGAAAAATGGTTTCCAAACATACACAAGACAGCAAGAGCTGCAAAGAAAAAAAGTGCGGTATAAAAAGATTGGGGAAACCAAGTGTAATCTGAAATGGACAAATCCTAATACTTGGAGTAGATGTTAAACTGGATCTAAAATACATAACCATGTAGCAGGAAATTACTAATTAGAACAAAGATCCATTTAATCAGTCGGATAGATCCTTGAATAATGTGGGGACTGGGGAGCAGTATTCAGGGTCAGCACATGGATTTACCTGAACCATAGAGGAAACTATACCTCCAATCTTAATCCTTATTTATTTGGTCAGCACTTATGTTGACCTGTGGCAACACATAGGGAGCTTTAATAGTGGTATAATATATTTTTTCAACTATCCACAAGCTACCTCTGTTTTATTCCATGGGTTCTACCACTTGGTAATGATATATTGAACAAACTTTATTTTAAAATTCTCCAATAAGAGGGATCATCTGCATTTTTGTGGTGTGTGTATGAACATATTTAGAACTCTGTATGCGTTTGCAAAGTATTACAATAGGGTTTCTTTTCATTCTCGCACCCACTAGGTTTTGATCACCCCATTATCATATATATTTTTATCTCAGTCATGCTCTTTCCTCTATGGTTCAGGTAAATCCATGTGCTGACCCTGAATACTGCTCCCCAGTCCCCACATTATTCAAGGATCTATCCGACTGATTAAATGGATCTTTGTTCTAATTAGTAATTTCCTGCTACATGGTTATGTATTTTTAGATCCAGTTTAACATTACATGCTACCAGTGAAGATCAGTGAGACACTTTGTGCCCTATCTATTCCAAGTATTCGGATTACATTTGGTTTCCCCAATCTTTTTATATCGCACATTTCACACCTAAACCACTTTTTTCTTTGCAGCTCTTGCTGTCTTGTGTATGTTTGTAAACCATTTTTCTAATAAAACTGTTTCAAATTATCTTCTAATCTAGAATGATCTTTTAATTGGTGGTAATTTTAGTGAAGGGAAGTCCGAGGGGTTCCACCATCACTACTTGTTTGCTTTATAAGCTGTTTTCATTATTTGGCTGTAATTATAGGCACACAGTTTGGCACCCTCTCTGTTTGTTTAGCAGGGCTGCCCAACAGGTAGATCCCCAGATTTTGGGGAACTACACCTCCCATGATACTTTGTCATTCTAAAGGCATGCAAAGCATCAAAGGAGGTGTAGTTCCCCAACATCTGGGGATCTACCTGTTGAGTGGGCAGCCCTGGTTTATAGTACCTGTGCCACAGACAGTGAAATGGCAACAGGAGGTCAATGTGCGGCTGAAGTCATGGTGTACGGAGTGCTAGGCGGTCAAGCAGCACATGGGAAGAGGAGACTCCCAATGTTACAATATGTATCGAGTTCAGGAATTGATTGGTGAGACCGCCAGAGAAAATGGCTGTACATTGTTTAGGAAGGGAGAGGGATGAATGAAATCCTAGTACTAACCTGTGCTTCCATACGCGCTCTGCGTTCTTCCTCTTCCTTTCGTTTTCTGATGTTTTCATTCTCCTGTTTCGCTTCAGAAAGTGCCTGAAGAAACTGATCAAACATTCCAAAAAACTCATCTGGCTGCATTTTGTTGGCTTCCTCTCCAAAATGTTTGGCCGACTTCACAAACTGAAATGACAGGACAGGAAATGTTAAATTACCGCAGATTTCCATCACAATCTGACCGTTCTCAGTACGATTTTAAAAAGGTTTCCCTATATCATATTCAAATGGCAATATTAATATTGTACAGTGCGTGAACGTATTTTGGAGATGTTCTGACCCTGTCGCCCAGCCATCATTACTTGGCCCTTGTCAAAGTCAGATTTTATTTTTAACTTGCCCATTTTTCCTGCTTCCAACACATGAAATTTAAAAATTGACTGACTGTTCACTTGTTGCCCGTTTAACAATATAATCACTGTTATTCACTTTACCTGTCTGGTTTTTTTTATGCTGTGATTTGTGAATATACATTGTGTGTAAACAAAACCATAATGGAAGTGGAGATTTTGTGTAAAATTAAAGATTTTCAACATATTACTTCTCAATGAAAAGATAAAAACAGAACAAATGGTAAATATGAAAACCCATGTGTTAGTCATCTAGCTTTCTCCTTGCACTTAGAGTGGCCGCTAGCAGTCCCCTGCTTTGTAGTGCTATTACCCCAGCTGGAGCTGAGACCCATTTTTACTTAATTGTAATAAGCAATAACTCAATTTTAAAGGTCATTTCTTTCTAGTGATCCTTAGGAAGTAGCTGACATGTGTCCGCCAATCCTAGCAAGCAATTAAACATAATAAGAGGGTATAGTCGCATTTTTAGTTTAGGATGGGTATAGGACATTTCTGACAATCGTCATCAATAACGAGAATGGGCTCCTTTCACTATAACCAACGCTATGAGCAATATTTCTCAAAACCTCCGGTAGGAAGTCCAGGTCACCACCTGCTAAAAATGAGTAAATCGTTTATTTTTTTCATACTAAAAAAATATTACTAATCCTATAAAATACGACCCCAGGAAATCAATATCTTTTTACATACTTAACCAAGCACATTAAAGAAATCCACATCTGCTAAGAGACCAGCACTTCGGCCAATTTCTGACTTTTCCCTTTTTATGCCCTTTTCCTGGTAAGTGGCCTGAATCTGGTTTAATCATTGAAACACGGGTGCTGGTTAACCACTTCCTACTCTTTCATCTATTTAGGATCAGGAAAAGCAAAGGGTTAGCTTCTACACATAAAATTTATAGTTTGCACCACAGGAGTTATGAAACTTACTCCAAACCTCACTTTGAAGTTGTTTTGTTCTCCGTTACAACCATATGTTTTTTATATTAAAACCAAATGTGTGCTAGGCAGCCAGGCCAATGAAATGCGTTTAACAGGGGCATCTGTAAAGAGACGCTCTCAGTTGCAGAACTGCATTATGTAACTTTTTTGTTGTTGTTTTTTCTATATAATTTTATGAGGATTGTCAGTTTATGTTGTGGTTATCGTATGTGGTTGTGTAACAAACTTAGGCCATTTTTAAGACATCCCTTTAAAAAGAACATTCCGAGCACCAGAACCATTACAACCTGTTGTAGTAGTTTTGGTGCCAAGAGTGCCCTCCCATTGTAAGTTGTCAAACTATTTGACGACTAGTCTGGGTTTCACTGACGCACACTGCCATGGAGTCTGGTCCTACTTAGGACATTGGAGCCAACCAGATTCTCAGATTCTCCTGCAAATAAAATATGTAAATATTGCCTGCGGCCACCTGTCTAGACTCAGGTAAGTTGTGAAAACATTCTAAAACAGTTTGACAAATGATACTGGTGCCATGACCACTTCAGTGGTTGTGGTGCTTAGAATGTTCCTTTAAATAATGGTCAGACTTACCTTTTAACCCCTTAAGGACCAAACTTCTGGAATAAAAGGGAATCATGACATGTGTCCTTAAGGGGTTAATCCACCATAGAGAGACTCCTCTGTGTTGCCTCATATCTGTCTACTATGAAGTCAACAAGCTTGATGACATTTTCCCAATTATGTTTCTCATAAATGATCACTGAGGGGACACAGTGCAAACTTAGCTAATGATGCGCTAAACTAATCCATTGCCTCTCTGAGAAGCATTGAATGTACACTTGGTGTCTGGAGCCTGCACACTCTATGTACTGACAGCTGGTGTAAAATAGATACAATTCTTGAATAAATGTTAGTTCAACGACTCTAGTAGCTGTTTGATTGACCGCCACTGGGGGTGTGGTCATTACGAAATGGCAAGGCTACAGGGCAAAATCTGTTCTCACTTCATAATTTTATTAAAGGAAACATAGAAACATAGAATGTAACGGCAGATAAGAACCATTCGGCCCATCTAGTCTGCCCAATTTTCCAAAATAATTTTTAATAATTAGTCTCTTATATCTAAGATAGCCTTATATCTATCCCACGCATCAAAAGCTCTACAGTGTGTTGTAGTAGTTATGGTGTCAGGAGTGTCCTAGCTTCCAGAGTGAATTTATCAAACCATTTTAGAATGGTTTAACATCTTAGCTGTGGCCATAGCCCTGTTTCCCGATTCTCCAGTTCGCTAATCAGTACCATGCTCATTTAATGGGCAGTCCTGTATTGGCCCTGCTTAGCTCTGTTAAAACAGCTGTATTCTCCTGCAGTGAATAATACGCCAGCAGGGGCAGCCTCTGGTATTCAAGTTGAAAACATTCAAAGTTTAGGCTTAAATAGCGGATCTGAAATGGATTTAGTATGCCTGAAACACTGCCTGTTTCTGTGCCTTTCACACTAGTTATTGCTAGATGCTCACGGTGGATGTATTCTGAGATTTATATATGAAACAGAGTGATCAGATAACTGGCTTGGAACAGTTTGCACTACTCCAAGTAACACACGTTGGCTGAAATCTCATTTTAGTGAGTAAACTACTACTGTGTGGAAAAAAAACGACGGTTTGTTTTTAAAATCCATTTTAAAAGAATACGAATGATATGACATGTGCGTATCCCCCATCCCCTTTATATTCCAGTGAAGTCATCATCCTAGATAACTTTTTGTCCAATCAAATGCGTTCCATTCTGAGAAGCATTAATTGCTACAGCTACACACATTCATGGCATTTTGTCTGCATATTGTCCTTGATTATAAATCTATTTATTTTAATTTCTGAAAATAAATGTCTGGTGAAACAATGCAATTCTGAAATAGACTGATTTGTGTCATGTACTAGTTTTATCACTATATTTTACCTGCTCGGTTCCTGTCTGGAATTCGCTAAATTACACATAACTGGAAACTGGATTTTGATACTTTGTGTGATGGTCTACTCACCAGGTCTTTGGATTCAGTGAGCAGGTCCTCCACGTCGGAGAAGCTGAACCCAGCTACAGTAATGAACTGACTGACAACAGACACAAATTTATCTCCTGGCTGGGACGACTGGTTCTTCTGGAAATCCAGCTCCTGGAAAATACGTTTCTTTAATTAAATCTGAAACCACTAGTATTAGAACAAACACATACAGGCTGGCAACAGAATGTTTCTGAATTTATAATAATAAAACTCCATATTTTACATTTCTGAGTGCCCATTCGTAGGATGGGAATAATGCTCAGTCCTTCATGTTATAGCTAGTAAACACCCATCAGAGGCCAGGCACAGTATGGACATGGCAGCAAACTGTCCTCGCACCCATCACATGTAGGCTCCGTTGTTTACATTCCTACAGCCAGTGGTAACACGCTTACTTATAAAAATGAGAATTATGGAGAACAAGGAATTCTAAATTTAAAAATACAGGTAGTCACTTACCGACCGGGTTACGTTCCTACGACCCGGTCGTAAAAGGAATTGGTCGGTAAGTGAGGAGTTAAGAGATTCCCTGCTCTGGTGCGCTTTTCTGTCTATGTTCTGTGAAATTTCCCCAAATATAAAGGCAACAGATCAGGGAAACCCTCTAATTCCCACAACGGCTCGCACTTACCAGCCTGGGAGAGAGCTGGTCTTAAGTTTGAGCCATTGTAAAACAGGTCGCAAAACGAGAATCACCTGTAGAACAGAGTTGGATAATGTTTAAATTTTAACACAAAGAAAACAGATAACCCAGGTGGAACAAACCACTATAGGTGTCTCTTAGTGGAGCGCTAAGAAAGGCAAACTTATCTCTTTATACAATAATATAATTCCTATATGATAAAGAGAGATACACAATGGTGAAGTATATCAAGGTCCAGTAACATAAATGAGAAGATAGTAGGGACCAAACTCACATGGTTAAGAGCCACATACGGATAGGCTCAAATCACTTCAGCATCGGTATATTAAGGTAAAACCAAAACCTTCTTATGGTGTCCGGTCAGTATCCTCACCAAAAAAGAGATTAAATTGCAATTACTTCATATTATACGGGTATTTGCAATTTAATCTCTTGATAATACTGCACACAGAAGTTCTCTCTTGTCTTTCTTCCTTTTTTGGTGAGGATACTGACCGGACACCATAAGAAGGTTTTGGTATTACCTTTAATATACCAATGCTGAAGTGATTTGAGCCTATCCGTATGTGGCTCTTAACCATGTGAGTGTGGTCCCTACTATCTTCTCATTTATGTTACTGGACCTTGATATACTTCACGATTGTGAATCTCTCTTTATCATATAGGAATTATATTATTGTATAAAGAGATAAGTTTGCCTTTCTTAGCGCTCCTCTAAGAGACACCTATAGTGGTTTGTTCCACGTGGGTTATCTGTTTTCTTTGTATTCTACTTTGTGTGTAAAATTTGGGGGTATTTACACGTGTGTGAGCTGCTCTTTTTTTCACCTGCATCCATTGTCTGGTTTATCTACCAAGCGCCTTCTATACACAGAGCACTTTCTGTATTGGTTAATGTTTAAATTATGTCCAAGAATTCCACCCGACACTTTATGCATTAGTGAATATCACTGTGTGGCTATGTAGTAGCCCCTCTAAAAACACACTTGAATCCTAGGGGCTATTTTATAGCCGATACAACATACTTAAAAGGTACACTCCAGGCTCCATAATAACTTAATTAACATTAAGTTGTTATGGTGTCCAAAGGTCCCTGGCGCTGGCTTAATTTTTAGGGTTCATAAAAATGGCTAGAAAAAAAACCTGATGATTAAAGGTAAAAAGGAATTTTTATTAACCAACTCTTGATTGAGTCAATATTAGTTTTGAGATTGTTAAAGACACTCTGTTTGCCATAAAAACATAATCAAAATCTAGTTGTTATGGTGCCCAAAGGTCCCTGGCGCTGGCTTACTTTTTAGGGTTCATAAAAATGGCTAGAAAAAAACATGTTTCTCAAGCCGTTTTGCGAATGGGGAGTCATTGAGTCAGCTGACTGCTCTAGGCCAATTAGCGACGTCTCTGCGCACAGCACTTCTAGGCTTCCATTTTCACACTTTCCAGAAAGAGAACTTTGGTTGCTACAGAGGGAGCTGAAGAGGGAGACCTTGGTGGTTACACTATTCTGAAACCCTAAAAGGTAAGCCAGCACCAGAGACCTTCTGGTACCATAACAACTAGATTTTGATTATGTCTTTAACAATCTCAAAACTAATATTGACTCAATCAAGAGTTGGTTAATAAAAATTCATTTTTACCTTTAATCATCAGTCCAAGAAAACAGTCCTTTTAATGATTGTTACTTAGTAAAAAGGTCCCAATAATAAAGTTATAAGGAGTCTTGGAAGGACAAAAATGTATTCCAAAGTTTTAAAACATGTTCTACAACCCACACTAGTTTACTAACATATAAAAACAATGAAAATATTAAACCATATGTACTGCTACATTCATCAGTTCCACAGGTATACCCAGCTCGCAGTATACTGCATCACATACTTATACAAAAAAGTCACCTTAATTGGAGGTAGAGGTTCGTAAAAGTTCCTTCTGTATGCAATTAAAATAGCTTGTGTAGTTTAGGACCCGAGTTTCCTGTAATCCGCTTGGATCCCATTGAAATAATAATATCCGTCGACGTCTCTCAGATAGCGCGCTCTGTATTGTCGGGTGACAATGTTCACTTCAAAAGCTATCGAAGAGACGTCGAAGTCGACTGATACTGTTATTTCAATGGGATCCAAGCGGATTACAGGAAACTCTGGTCCTAAACTACACAAGCTATTTTAATTGCATACAGAAGGAACTTTTATGAACTTCTACCTCCATCTACTATTAATGATTGATATTTGGTCTTTACTGAAGGAAGCTGGTGTACTTACACTCTCCACGGCCTTTAATCCAGTTCTAAGCGTGCTAATTTCTTTATCCAGTTCAGTCATACTGAGGGTAATAAGACAGCGTTAATGTACGTTGACCCACAAAGAACTCAGTTAACAGCTATTTAAAGGAACAGTCCAAGTGGTTATGGTGTCAGATGTGCCCTGGCACTGCTCATCTCCACTAACTCTGACAGAGAGATGGAAGTGTATGTATCCTCTCCTGTACTAATCTCTGCAGTGCAGGGACAGTTTAAAATATCTGGTTCTGTGTTGGAAGTAGTGGAGGCAGGGAATGACACTTTGCAAATCCTAGGTAAGAAGTCAAACTGTTCTCATACTGTTAGACTACATAACATGGGAGTTGGTGGTTGCCCGGACACTGGTAAATATACCCACTACTGTGCACTGTAGTGGTTATGGTACATGGAATGTTCCTTTAACATGCCTCCCAACATTTCAAATAGACAAAAAAAACCACACCTTAATTTTAGTTTAAAGACACATTACTGGGAGTATTATAGCTGTGGAGCTCTGTTATACACTCAGAGCCCCACAGTGAGAATACTCCCAGTAATGTGTCTGTTATACACTCACTCAGACACATTACTGGGAGTATTATTGCTGTGGAGCTCTGTTATACATTCACACCAACAATATAGAGCTCCTTTTAAATAGGGACACTTGGGAGGTATGCTTTAAGTAGAAAACAGAACTTCCAAGGTGTTATTTTTGTTTTATGGATATAATCAGATTATTGAAAACTTACTTTACTTTTGCGGCTTCAGGGATGCTTTTTAACTCTTCGTGCAAATTTAAGATTTTAGGATACTTCTTCTCAACAACCGTTATGAGATAATGCAACAGGGTGATGTTTCTATAGAGGAAACCGTATAGATCAGTGTTACAAGAACGAATGATATTGATACCTTCGGAATCAACGGCTGCAAATTGATAGAATGATTGTGTTTGCATGGCGGTATCTCTGGTTAATGACCACACTCAGGGTGTAGTAGTCCACCAACCAACCTGCTAATCTAGAAACATTACACCGGTATTAAAATATCATGATGTAAAAATTAACCAGTTAACACTGATATCAAGGGACAATTTATTAGAAAAGAAAAGCCATAGATTCTCTTCCTGCAGTTTTTCCAAGCTGCCACCCGGGTAGCGGGTCAGGTGGGGTTTGTACTCTTATAGCAGTATGATCGTGTACAATCCAGGTCTACTGACCCACCTTGTTACACACAGAAGGAGAAATCGATGCCTCTGCCATCATTCATAACTTACAATGTGTGATAACGCAGCACAGAAAATAGACCAGGAATCTTGAAGGAAATGAATGGATATCGTAGATAATATTCTGTAAGCAATAACCCCGCTAACGTTTATAGAGAGGAATTCTGTCGTTTTATTGTGCTTGGAAAGGCATCCTAAATTTGCTGTGTTAGCAGTCTGATCACGAACACAGACTCCCATTAACCAGAGATACACATGGATCATCACATAGGGCGTTACACTAAGTAAAATGCGTGACGTCTACAGGGATTACTAACAGATGGTGAAAATTACAATCAGGAATGAAGAATTGTGAGAATTGTCCTCAGTGTTCTATAAACCAGAGTAAACACCTCTCTCTCACAACCTGGGATCAGCAAACAGAGTTTGTCACTAAAGTGAGAATTTGTGGTCAAAGTTCCCGATCTGGAACAACTCTCTGTCCTCTAAGGTTCCACTTCAGATATTATGTAATTCACTTTGAAATCTCATTTTAGTAAATAACTCTCTAAATGTGTTAACGTGGAGCTGCTGAATTTACTTGTAATGAGCTGCTTAGGCCTTTCCTTACTTAAAACAACGGGGATTTAATTGGCGAATTTCCACAATCCCTTCTCCAGTGGAGCAGAGAGTTTAGGCTGATTTAACTTCTGGTTTAGCACCAATCCCCTCTGTATAAAGGTCAGCAATCAGAAGATGCCCCTTGTTACATCACTTAATGACTTACTTGTCAATGCTGGATTTCGTGTCTGCAATCTTGTTTAAGCTGGAGATTTTAAACCCATAGGCATTCCCTCTCTGGCCTTTGTTCATGTAGTTTCCAAAGGCAAGGACCACCTCTAAGAATTGCTTTAGGCTCTTACTGTGCAGAACTTCCTTTGAGGCCGAACGAATTGCTGTTTAAAACAAAAAGCACATGGCTTATGTCAGTACCCCAGCCAGACAATCACACGGACTTCACATGATTTCAACGAGATAACATGTCAGTCTTTGCTTTTTTTTTTTGGTACAGTTAAGATTCTGGGAGTACGTGGCCCACTTCCCTGGTAATGGGGCAAACCGTTTACTACTGGTTTGCCCTCTTACCTGGGTCTCTGAAGGACCTCTCCTCAGTGACACGCTGCTGCGGAAGCCAATACGTTAGTCAGCCAATGAATGGCATTAGCAAGCCCAGAGACTGGGCTCTGGCAGTCAATGGGTTAAACTCTGTATGTGCAACGTTCACAGCGAAAGGCTGCACATACAGGCTCCAGGTACCATAACCACTTCAAATAACTTAAGTGGTCATAGTGCTCTAGTAACCCTTTAAAATTTGACAATGTTCTTTATCACGGCAAGTAACAAAGCAATGCATTGAAACACTCTGGATCATTTGTCTGAAATCTATCTAGAATAGTCTTTCTGTATGTGTGGCATGGGCACCGACCCCCAATGCCAAGTGTCACGCTCGTATTGCAATATTTGTGGACGTTTCTTATAAAATGCTGTCATGCATGTTGTTTTTATAGCTTAGTAATTTGTTCTATGTTTAGGGGTTACAGAGAATATAATACATCCTGCCCAAGGGTTTATAATCCAATGTTTGATTAGATGGACACATTCTACCTCTTCTCTAAGAATCCAATTTTATAACAGACACAGAAATGGCTTTACCTTCCACCTTTGGTTTTACTTCAGCAACTCTTTCAGCAAACTTCTTTTTGAAGTATAGGGACTGCAACCTCTGCTGATAATGATTAATCCTAAAAAATACAAATTGTAAAGTCATTGCTTAGTACAGTGCATCCCAGCGGTCTGGGAGAGAATAGTTTCCAAAGCAGTCCTACATCTTATTTCCACAATCATAGTCTATTTACCGGAGAGAAAGGCAGGCATACCTTCAAACTGTGTGTTGCCCAAGGGTTTCCTCTGAACACCATAACCACTTCAATGGTTTGACGTGGTTATGGTGCCTGGATTCTGTAAGTGCAGCTTTCACTATCAAATGCTGCACATACAGAGTTTGACCCCTTGGCTGCTGGTGGTCTAACTCCATCTCTGGCAACGTCATAGGGGCAGTCTTAGATACCCAGGAACAAGAGTTCTGTGCTGCTAATGTCAATTCTGCGCAAATGGTTTTGCATAGTGTGCCATTCATTGGCTGAGAGCGGTCAGCTGACACTTTCACCCAAAGAATGACGACTGAATCTGTTTCTGGAAGTGCGTCATCAAGGACGTGAAATAGGCTCGGGACCCAGATAAGAGGGCAAAATGTTACTAAGTGGTTTGTTCCTTAATCTGGGATACAGGCCAGAGTACTTCTGGCACCATAACCACTACAACGGGCCGACAGTAATCCCAACTTGAAAGTTATTGACTATTCTTTAAAGACACATTTAAGGACAGCATTTAGCTTATTACAACTATGAAGTCAATGTCATTAAACAATTACAAATAGAAATAAATTAAAGGGACACAATAGTCACCAGAACAACTACAGCTTATTGAATTTGTTCTGGTGAGTAGAATCATTACCTTCAGGCTTTTTGCTGTAAACACTGTCTTTTCAGAGAAAATGCAGTGTTTACATTGCAGCCTAGTGATAACTTCACTGGCCACTCCTTAGATGGCTGTCAGAGATCCTTCCTGGGTCATGGCTGCCTAAAATGCATCCAAACATTCAGTATATCCACCCTCTGCATGCAGACACTGAACTTTCCTCATAGAGATTCATTGATTCAATTCATCTCTATGAGGAGATGCTGATTGGCCAGGGCTGTGTTTGAATCATCCTGATCTGCCTCCTTGTCAGTCTCATTCAATCCTATGGGGAAGCATTGTGATTGGATCAGGCTACCACTTCTGATGATGTCAGCAGACTGCTTGTTTTTTTAGTTTTTTCCAGTAAGATTTCTATATTTATGGAGGCATGAGAGGCCCAGGGGGGCTAGATGGTGGTTGTAACCCTATAGGGTCAGGAATACATGTTTGTGTTCCTGACCCTACAGTGATCCTTTAAAGTAAAGTAATAATCGTGAGAGAAATACACAGGTCAGTTTAGATCTAAATTTGCTTTTAAAATACTTTAAGCACTATAACTACTTCATTGAAGGAGTGGAGACCTGATGAGACCCATTCTCAGATTCAAAATCTTGTGATATTGTTATAAGGTGCCTACTACTAAGCAATCAGCACTATCGTTCAATGTTGCAGACTGCGCTAATTTCTGTATTTCACTTCGGGATAACAAGTCAGTCTCTCAGTTGGTGAAAGGTGTATCCACAGTCTAATCTATTCAAATGATGTAACTGGTTGGACCTCAGAACTAGCAAAGCAGTAGGAAAACGCTCTAGTATTTCATACCTGCTCATCTCAAACAGAAATCTGTCCGCTTTGGCCATGCGATCTAGCGCATGTTTGTGCTCTTCCAGTAAATCGATGTCACTCTTTTCTGGAATAAATTTCAACAGCTGGAGAAAGAAGATTAAATTCCAAGTCAATAATTATTGGCAACATTTCAGAGTACTGAAAAAAATGAAATCAGAATATTTCATTTATAGAGGCTGCATGGTATTTGTTTAATTAAAGAGGAACAAGAGTGGATGTAATTTCTCTCTCTCAAACTTTAGTATTACCCTATAATACCCCCAGGAGGCGCTGTTTCAAAAACATGTAACACGCCACCTTGAACTGGCTTTACATCACGTTTGACATTATTGTGTTAAACTGATTTTGGAACATAATTACCCGCAACAAAATGCACCACTGAAAGCACTCGGTACCTGGTCACATCCCCACCAGGCAATTTTGCGGTGGTTTCAATATACACTTTTGACCAGTTACTAGCTCTTTAAGGCTTTGTAAAGGTCCAATAACTTCCATATTTTACGGATCTGGTTATTTGGCGGCACCTTGAATTTTGATAGTTTGGGCTTGTTGGGATAGATATATATATAATTTTTTTTTTTTCTTCAATTTTAAACCTAATCATACATTATGGAATTGAGAATATTATAACGCCGCCACAACCATAAAAAAACTACAATAATCAGACTTCAAAATGATCTCATCAGATAGGAATCTTGATCCTATATAGAGTTGAATCTGGAATGCCCTATCTGAATTAAACTAAAGCCGGCGTGGCGTATAGATTTTCAGTAATGCGTATCCTCCATGAGTCATTTATAAGAACTATTAGATCATTGTGATAATTCTCTCCGTATTATATAGACCTCAATTGTGCTACAACAGAACACTAATTATTTAATTAGCTCTGCCCAATCAGTCAACACGCACAGCCCAAGAGATACCATGCCTGTTACATGTTTGGCGGTAACATTAGCTCTTTTGACCCTAGATTGGAGGAGAGGGTAGGGACAATCAGACTACGTGTGTAATAGATCCTCACCTGTTCCAACATGTCCTTTGGAAGATCTTCCTGCTCATCCATTGTTAAGATCGCACGCTTAATTTCATCATTTGACAGCTTGAGTCTGAAAGATTCCATGACAGGTCAAGGATTAATAATGGGGTCAGAGCCAAGAGGTCGAGAGACAGGTGATGATTGAAAACATTATGCTGTCAGAATTAAATGTGATCTCCAGGCTGTTTGAGCTACTCGAACTAGTCACCTCTGCCAGCTGTTAAACGGCAAATCCCATCATAATAAACGAAGCACTTGGCAATGTACTAATGTTGGCTACAAAGGACAATCCCTTTTCCAAGTGTCTTTCGAAAGCAAGTTTGGTATGGTGTACCGATTGTTTAAATTAGACTGCAGCACAATATAATTTTATTGGAGATCACTCTATGGCAAGCTGTATATTAATAGACTTTACAGAATTTCACAAAATCCTAGTACAGCAATTTGTTTAAAATTTAAAAAAAAAAAAAATACACAAAGTTATTCAACAGTAACAATCATTGTAAATTATTTTAATAGGAAATGATCAAAATCCACAGAACCAAATTGAGGCTAAATACACTGATTTTGCATTAAAACCGGTAAAATGTAAAAAAACCAAGAAGCAATGTAATCTTAAGAGTTAGGCTGTGGATGAAGGGTGTGGGCAGATTGCTAGTCACAAAGCACGCAGTCTATAATCACATATCTGCAAGTCTGTACTGCACAGACACAAACCCTCGCAGGAATGTTAACACACCGTGATACACGTACAGACACGCTCAAAGTATATCGACTGAAACACAGGATTCCTAGAAATTGGACGTTTGTATTAACCCACAATTAGCTGTTGTGGTGTTTTAGGGAAAGGACTTTGTTTCAAAATCTCCCATAACAGGAGTTCTCAAGGATGGACTAAATGTAGATCCGAAGTTGTTGTACAGCTCGCCTCATCCTGTGCTAGACTTTAGGTGGGGTATCTACCATTTGGCCATCTCTTATGAGATAAGTACATAACATGTGCTGAAGTGTATCCCAATTTACTCTACTGTAATAAAGCTACGCCGATAAGCCACGTCTGTATTAACTCAAATAACAAACATTACTGGCACAGGAACAATTAGAACACTCTCCAGTGATGTGTTGTATAATTATTCCAGATAAATACTTGTGTTTAGTTAAGCAAATAAGGTTAAATGCCAAAGAACATACGTCTGTCTGTGTGAAATGCGGAGTCTGGTTTCATTATTGAATAGCATGCATAACTATACACATGTGTAACAAAGAATTAATAAACTTCTTGGCTATCAAACAAGACAATATAAGTATTACGTTACGTATTTAGAAACCAGACTTGGAGGAAAGCTGTGTATGTAATTAGACCGAAACACATTTATTTTCCTTAAAGGGCTTTTAATTTGTTAACAGGACTGTACAAAGGGACAAGACATCACCCGGGGGGGGCAGCCTTTAATGGTGTTACCCCACGGCTCACTGATGAAGCTCACCAAGGCCAACATGATTTTCTGAGGTTGTTTTATCTCGGTGTTCCCCACACTAGTCCTTCGGGACCACCAACAGTCCAGGTTTTTAACTCACATGCAGAGAGAACTTGCATTTGGGAACTGGACTGTCCAGTGGGTTCAGTCTAATATACAAATGGTTTAGGTTCTTTTTGTAATTATACAAGTGAGCTAAAACAACCTGTAGACCTGAGGAGTGACTAACCACAAGCTGATTCAATGCTTTCCCATGTTCTCTTGAGGTCTGTTTTGATTTTCAGTTGCTCCCATGGCAATTAGTGTAGAGAAGATCTAGGGTTGGTGCCTTACAGTAAAATATAGAACGGCATGCTTTATTATATTCTACTCTGTATTACCAGAAACCAGAAAATGTTGAATTAACCCTTTAAGGATAAAGGTAATTGTCCAAATTCTGAGACAAAACCTAGATTTTTTTGCTATGTTTATTCCCCTGTAATTTTAAAGGGTTACTCCAACCACCATGACCACTTCAGTGATTTAAAGTGGTCATGGTGGTAGGAGTCTGGATGTGCATGTGCTTGAAACATTGCACATTTAGAGAAATTTGCACTATGTGGCGGGGATCAGCTGCAGCCCTGGCATGTTGGCGATAGATACATGGATATTCTCCCATTGCAGGCAGAGCTCACCTCTACCTCCCACTGTACACTCCCTCCATTACAGCCAGCGTTTTGGGGGTTTTTGGTGTGGGAGAGATTAAATTTTCCTCCAGCCTTCCCTTTGTGCTGTTGCTGGATTCCAGGTAAGTAAAACACTACTTTTTAATCATTTTAGCAAGGGGACTCTCCAGAAATTACCAGTAGGGCATTTTGAGATAATACTACCTGATATATATATATATATATATCCAATGCAACATTAAGCATGAATAAAATGTTAAATATGAGCAAAAATTATTATATATTTTTTTTTTTACACATCCCGTGTAACTAAAAATAACTCAAAACAGATTCATTTGTCAGTCATGACTGTTAAACGCCTCACGTCTTGGATCTAATTTAGTTTTTAGTAGTTGATGCTAACCTTATACCAATCCTACCACAATGTATACCTACCCTAAAAAAACATTAACCCTTATCTTACACGAACCCCAAGGAAACCCTCTGCTAATAACTTTGATATAAGAAAATGGGTTTTCTAGTTAAATCAGTAGTTCATGGTCTGTGACGGCTGTCAACTGGCTGTTTTTAGAATAAATACACTCTAATTAGAATTGGAGGCTGCTTTACAATTGGCTTGGGGACAGCCAGGGTCAATTCAGACCCCGTGGGATCTCCTTGAAGTCGCCTGCAGCCCAGCACAATCGCTCAGCCATGGTTTTATGAATGGATTTAAAAGACTATGCAGCACATATAGCTCATCAGTCACCCTGGGCCACTAAAATTGGCCCCCACAGACAGAGGGGAGCCCCAGGTATTCATTTATACATGGGGCTCCCTGGTGTGAGCAGGGATTTAACCCTGCACATACCATATCTGCAGAGCGTTCCATGCCATCCTACAGGCGTTAAACCCACTCTGTGTAGATCGGCATAGAACATTGGGAAGGGTTTAAGAAAGAAGTTTCGTGGGCTGTGGAAATGTGCTAATTGGGTCTAAATTGAGATGTTTGTAGTTATCCCTCAGACTAAAAGTAGCCAGTCCTCTCCTCTTAAAGAAAACAGATTTCACCTAAAGCAGAATAAAGGGTTCTTTACAATAAGAACGGTACATATGTGAAATTTTATGCATAAAGTTTTTCTTGTTTATTTTTGATATCTAAAGAATTTGAGAAAACACTTATTTTTAGACCATTACATTTAAAATGGAATAGTTAATAAATAACCGCTTACTGGGAAATGTGGCATATTGGAGTAAAGAATGACTTTTCTCATTTCTCAACAGAATTGAACAAAACCGTTCCTTTGGAGTCCAATCTGCTGCTGATAAAATTCTAGATGACATCAGAGTGAGCTACCCGCCATAATCTGTTCTATGATGATCGTATTCCAGAATAAAATGACAAAGACAAACCTACAGAATCGGGACATTCCCTACAGTAACAGTAAACTGTACAAGCTGAATCCATCCAACCAATAGAATATAAAAGAACAGGAAGAGATCCGTCACTCCTCTGACCAAATTGAAGTCCCACTTTTTTGTCATTTTAACATAAATTAAGAGAGAAGTTATGTTGTCGAGCACTAGCAATTAGCTTTCTTCCTTGCATTTTATATTAACCTGGACTAAAAAAAATTAATATACTAACAACAAACACCAGATTCACCTATCCCAAAGAGTGGTAACAGATTGTGGTTGGACTGAATTTTAAATACTACTTTGTATTAATACCTACCTTGACAGGAGAATGTTACAGTTTTGGGCTCTCCTTCCATCGATCACAGATAGTTCCTTTACCTTCTTTGATCCAAGTGTGTCTTCATTGGTCTCTGTTTCTTTCTATAAGAATAAATAAGAGATGTGTTATTTAACAATAGGAAAAACCCTGACAGTTAAAGGACCAGTACAGCTATAAGTAAAATATAGCAACTTTGTTATGAATAAACTATTTATGGTAACTCAAATCCTGGAGTAAATTTACTTTCATCAGTTAACTAGCTAGATTTAGAGTACACCTGGATTTACAATGCCATGCATTTTTACAGCTTTAGCTGATCTCTTCTAGCAGAGAACAAGCCGTTACTGTTCCTTTAATTTATTTTTACCAAACAGAACACTTGTTCGAACCTTCAGCAATGTCAATCTGTTTAATACGCACACAACTCTAATATTTTAGAAATAAAAAAAACCACACCTGTTAATGACTCACACTTCAAAAAGTGAAGTATGTAAGTCGCACGATGCACAATGTTTTGCTCAATCAATAGTGAATAAAATTAATATACATGCATTATAAGAGAAGCCTTTGTTATAAAATACAAAACAAAATACAAACAGCTAATACAATACCGGGACATTAAATGTGTCTCTTCTTGAGAGCACCTGTGTATTTAAAATAAACAAACATGCTTAACCAGCCATTTCTACATCCACGCAAAAGGCTACTAGACCTTCATCAGATACAACCAAGGGTTAATAATTCCAGTAATAGACCAGGTAGGTTCCTAAACAGGGTGAATGCAGTACAGTGCAGAGTACCTTAATGTCCCCAACAAGAAATATCTTATGGTGGAATATGCTTTTCAGTTCGAGAACCTACAAAGCACTATACTAGGTGTGTCCTGTATATTAGTTTACCTGGAGGAATAAGGATTTACACAAGTGGATAATAATAATAATGAAAAAATTAATTAGTATGGACTTTTACATATCATGTGCAGATTTACCACATTATGGACATTACACCACCACCAGGATTAAAAAGAAACACGATTGGAACACTGGGCAATGTGGAAACATGCACTGATTTTTAGATACACTTAATTAACAATGCCCATTATTTCCTTATGACATGTACAGCACAGGGGTGACCAGCAGGACACTTCCAAGAGTTTTTAGACCCCAACCACTACGTGTCTAGCAAAGCATCATGGGAGAGCTGCTATATGGTGAAACCTGGTATATTGTGCAAGTTACTCATTTTAACCCCGCCAATTAAACATGGAGAGTAGATCCCTGCTGAAACGACCATTTGTTCTTAGGAACAGGTTTGGCTATTTCAATAAATGTTAGTACTGCTGTAGAAGTAGAAGCTGCGGCTCACTCACCTGTTTGATCCCGTTGTTCATGAAGAAATCCTGTAGCCGTATCGCAAGCATGGTAAAGGGCAATCATTGCGTGCAATTCAGCGGTCGCAGCAAATAAGAAGAGAATAGAGAGTAGCCAAAGCAAAGTCAGGCAGATATAATCAAGTACGTTTTGCAGCGGCAAAGAATTCAGATTTAAAAATAAAATGAATAGGTGCTTGGTGAAATCACTTGTGATAAAGCTGAATTGCGAAAGCATGCAAAATTAAAGAGACTCTACAATGGTTTTATGTAAAACTCATGCAGGTGACATTAGATTATGCAGTATTGACCAATTTCTTTAAAACTAGCAGATCATAGAGCCTGTTGTGTGCTCTAGAGCTGTGCTTTTAATAAAGAAGTGCAACAGAAATTTGCAATAAGCTTCTCCAGTTAAAGAGACATCCAGTAGATACACAGTAATGAATATGTACAAACAACATTAATTATTGCCAGACTTCACTAAACAACAGTCGGAACATGAGATTGCAATCCCGCTTTATTGTATAATGTTATATTTTAATTCTTGTATCTTTATATTGACACAAGACTTGAATTCAAAAGAATTTTCCTTCTAGATTATCTGTTTGGTGAATTCTAACCACTATGGTTTAACCTATGGCTTTCCAAGGGATGTGATCAGCGACTCAGAAATCTTACTCACATTACCATAAATTGCCTATAACAGACTATAAATTATCATGGACTGCATCTCCTGCAAAACACGTTCTTCATATGTTTTATAAAACGTGGTTCAGGTGTTGAAGATTTACAAAAAATGTCTATTTCCTGGTTAAATTCCATAATTTGTATTAATATAATATATATTTCCATAAAACTATATATTCACGATATTCGATTGATCAATTTCAGAAAAAAAGGAAATCTACAATAATTTCACCAGAATAAAGCTTGCAACTTAGACCTGAACCACAGAGCTATATCACCAGAGTGGGCTGATTATAGCTGGCTCTTAATGAATGGAAGCTTTTACAAACTCTGTATTTCAACTATAGAAACATCGCTCTCTGGCTAAAAAATAAATACTTCTACAGGTGTGATTGTCTTTCTAAAAACCCTACAGTAAGTTAGACTGGGACATTACCTGCTGTCTTTGGTAAGCTGAGAATGTGCGTTCTATGTCATCTAGATCCAAGATCTTGAACACCTTGGTATCATCAACATCAACCCACAAGGTACCGCTCAGCTTGTTCTAGAGTAAAACCAACATATTAAGGTTTGCCAGACATAACACGTTATATGTTTAGATGGTCAGTTACAATATCAGCAGCATATTCATGAAACATTCCAAAAACAACCCCATAAAGAATTATAACTTTTTTTTTTTGCTGTTACATGCACAAACACGCACACACACACGCATTACTTACCTCTGGTAATTTAGACCAGTTGAAAGACTTGAGTGGATTTGTTGGTTGTGGGATATTCTTCTTTTTAAGTGACGGCCCTAGAGGGGCTCCCAGAGGTGCTGCCAAACCCCCTAAAGGTGGAGGGCCAGGAGGAAAAGGCAGACCTCCTGGGGGAGGTGGAGGAGGTGGGGCCATTCCACCTGGTAAAGGCGGTGGTGGTGGAGGTGGCATGAAATTCCCAGGAGGCAAAGGCACAGAGCCACCAGGCATGGGAGGAGGAGGTCCGCTAGGTACAGTAGCAGAGAGAGCCCTCTGTAATACAGTCAGAAAAGGAGATTTACTTGAGAGCCAAAAAATGCAATGTATCAGCCATTCTACTAGAGAAAGTTGCAGCTGAAGCACCACATTGACAGACATTCATTGCAAGTACATGATATTGGTTTCAATCAATAAATATTTGTATTTATCAGATGATTTTTGCACTGCATAAATATTAACGATTCGGCCCTTAGGGCATTCAGTGAATTCCATATGCCTGGGGTCGGTGCATGTGAAAGAAAAATATAAGTAAGTAACTGTAAACCTACTTTATAATAACCAAGATAAAGTTAAACAGTTTTATTTAAACAATTGATATCCTGTTACATGTTACAGGCAGCAGTTTTGTTGAATAAAAAGGATTCTGTAGTAATTCTGACACAGTTTGCTAGTAATGGCCAGTAAAAAGGTAGCCTTGAGTTTTGATCATTTTGTGTGTTGACTTTCAGCGGTGATCACTACTTTCCATTTTCCAAATGATGCAAACAGAAATCTATAAACCTGTTGTCCGCACACATCAAGCCACAGGCACGCAGTGTGCCTCAGAAATCCTGTGCGCGATGGCAGTTTATTTGCTTAAGCAAATCCTCAGCCATGCCACAAATTTATATTCGCATTTTCAAGGTATATTAACAATAAATAACTCACAGCTATCCAAAGTAAGTTTTACGTTATTCCATCTTAAAACAGAAGGCAAAATGTAGAAACAACTTATAATGCTATTAAAGGAAGGTTAAAGGAACTTAACATGTATAGCTTGCAGGAAAGATGAGACAGGGGGCATATGATAGAAACATTTAAATACATAAAGGAAATCAACACAGTAAAGGAGGAGACTATATTTAAAAGAAGAAAAACTACCACAACAAGAGGACATAGTCTTAAATTAGAGGGGCAAAGGTTTAAAAACAATATCAGGAAGTACTACTTTACTGAGAGGGTAGTGGATGCATGGAATAGCCTTCCAGCTGAAGTGGTAGAGGTTAACACAGTGAAGGAGTTTAAAGGACCACTATACTCTTTTTCCTGGCACTATAGTGCCCTCAGGGTACCCCCACCCTCAGGGACCCCCTCCCGCTGGGCTCTGGGGAGAGGAAGGGGTTAAACTTTCCTCTTTCTCCAGCGCAGGGCGGGGAGCTCTCCTCCTCTTCGGCTGAATGCGCATGCGCGGCAAGAGCCGCGCACGCAATCAGCCAGTCCATAGGAAAGCATTCACAATGCTTTCCTATGGACGCTGGCGTTTTCTCACTGTGATTTTCACAGTGAGAAGCACGCAAACGCCTCTAGCGGCTGTCAATGAGAGAGCCACTGGAACATAGCAGTTTTTTATAAAAATTAAAAAAAAGGGTTAACTCTAGATGGACCTGGCACCCAGACCACCTCATTAAGCTGAAGTGGTCTGGGTGCCTATAGTGGTCCTTTAAGCATGCATGGGATAGACATAAGGCTATCCTAACTATAAGATAAGGCTAGGGACTAATGAAAGTATTTAGAAAATTGGGCAGACTAGATGGGCCGAATGGTTCTTATCTGCCGTCACATTCTATG